TCGTTGCTTCGCAATACCTACTGTTGCTTCGCAATACCTACTGTTGCTTCGCAATACCTACTGTTGCTTCGCAATACCTACTGTTGCTTCGCAATACCTACTGTTGCTACAATACCTACTGTTGCTTCGCAATAGTTACTACTCGCTACTCACTACTCACCATGGCAAAAGATAAACCAGGTACCTGCCGCATCTGCTTCCGCGACTACGCCTACCTATGGGACCACGTCAAGAAAAACCACCTACACCTCCATGTCCCCCTCTCTACCCTCGCCCATATGGGCTTCACCGCCTGCCCTACCTGCTACCAGCCCTGCCAAACCTCACATGGCATCAAATCCCACCAGTCCAAATCCGGCTGCTTAAAAAGACCCTTCCTACTCGCTCTACCCGCCGGACGCCTACCACCTCTTCGACCCCTACCGCTATAAATACCTCTATAGCCCCATCTACCGCTACCGCCCTTATAAACACCAACAAACGCCGCCGCGCCTCCCGATCACCATCGCTAGCAAGAAACAGAGCAAGGCTAAGAGCGAGGAATACACATACCTACCATAACACACCACCTCGTCTAGATAGCCCACCCGCCAGGCTACTAGACCTTCTATCTGGCAGCCAGCCGAGTACCCCTCTTGGTAGCCTACAACGGGAAATCCTCGGCAACCAATCCGACAGCCGACCTACATACTAACCAGCCCCTTTACCTACCCTCCTACTAGACCGCTCTCCTACCCCCTCGCCAAACGGCACCTCCTATGGCTCTCCTAACGAGTCCACCATCGGCCTCCTCGAGGACCTAGCCTCAAACCTACCTAGCGGCCATAGCTCACCGGCCCAAAGCGAGATCCACGTCCGAGACGGCCCCCGAAACACTAGTAGTGCCTACTCTCCTACACCCTCCTCTCCTACACCCTCCTCTCCTACACCCTCCTCTCCTACACCCTCCTCTCCTACACCCTCCTCTCCTACACCCTCCTCCCCTAGTACACCGGCACCTCCCTCTTACTTACTAGGGACCCAGGGGCCTACTAGCCCTATCTACGGAGACGAATATACACCACCGCTACCAGATGTTGCAGACATACCTATAGGCCTAGGCCAAGACCGGTATAACACCTACCAGCCCCGAAACAAGTATCTATAACAGCTATTTGGATACAACCACGTACAGGCAAAGGACCACACCTTCCGTGGCAGCCAAGCCGCTAGCTTTGTGGCCGCCGCGGCTAGGTGTGCCTCTAGATACACACGCCAACCTACCGAGAAACACCTGCTAGACTTTCTACTACTACCGAAGGCTGGCCTTACCCTAGGCATCCAATCGGAGGAGTTTAGCACCTAATACGTCCTATAGCACTACCCGGACCTAATGCTACCCCCGCTAAGCCGCGTAGAAACCGATAGGGCCCAGGAATTTCTAGGCCAGCCAGACAACCGCCGGGATACCCCCGCTCTAGAGCCTAAAGACTGGTAGAAAAGGGCTATCTAGGCAGAGCTGCAAGGGCACTAGTAGACCCCTCAACCCTAGCTAGGAACTCGGCGGATATACTAGCTAAACTAAGAGAAAAACACCCGGAAGGGCAGCCCTACCCCTTTGCCTCCTCCGCGAGCCCTAGACTAGGCCCTAGGCCACTCCCGGAAGACATCTTACAAGCCCTAGCCTCATTTGCCCCGGATATAGCCCCTGGCCTATCCGGCTGGTCAGTCCCCTTACTAAGGGAAGCCTGTAAGCATAAACAGGTGGTAGACTTTCTTACCCACCTCTGCAAGCAGGTACAGAACGGCCTAGCACTAGGGAACCAGCTACTTACCGCATCGAGGCTTGTAGCCCTAGATAAGGAAGATAGCGGGGTCCGGCCAATTGTAGTAGGAGAGCTCATCTATAGGCTGGTAGCTAAGGTCCTCCTCAAAAACAGTTCTCTAAGGACTAACTAGCCCCCTTCCAGCTAGGGGTACAGAGCCCCGGCGGGGTAGAGCCAATCATACACCTACTAGGACACGCGGTAGATGGAAACCTTAGAGGATACACCCACGTCTGCTCTATGGACTTTAAAAACGCCTTCAACTCAGTCTCCCGAGCAGCGGTAGCCTACGGGATCCTAAGCTATGCCCCAGAGTTCTACAAGGCAGCTAGATGGGCCTACAACGAGCTAGCAGCCCTAGTGATGTATGACGGCACGGTAATTACCTCCTCGGAAGGGGTTAGACAAGGAGACCCCCTCGGCCCCCTCTTCTTCTCCCTAGCCATTCGGACCACCCTCTAACAGCTACAACAACAGCTACAGAGGTCAACCGGCTATAACAGACCCCCTCCTATCGTCCTAGCATACCTAGACGACGTCTACATCATCTCAGGGCAACAGATCACCCTATAACAACTAGAAGGCTACCTAGAAGACGCCCCTATCGCCCTAAACATAGATAAGACAAAGACACACCCCCTATCGGCAATACAGACCACGGGAATGAAGATACTTGGCTCCTTTATAGGGCTAGAGCTACGGAAGGCCGAATTCCTAGCTATAAGGATAGAAGAACTCCAGACGGTGCTAGATAGGCTAAAAGACCTACCAAAACAACACGCACTCCTCCTACTTAGGGCTAGCACCTCTACACTACTCCGACACCTTCCTAGGACCATAGGATCATAAGGACTCCTGGCAAGATTCCAAGACATTGACATAAGACTCCTAGAAACCATAAAACACCTTTAAGGCTCAGAGGATAGAAGATCACTAGACCAGGACCTAGTAGCCCTCCCTACTAGGCTAGGAGGCCTAGGAATACCTCTCTACGCGGAAGTGGCCGAGCTAGCCTTCTAAAACTCACAGGCTATAGCAGACATCACCCTACAGAGGATCCTACCGCCAAAACTCTTCTGGCGCCTACCCCGAGCACCCTCGCCAGCCCCTAGCAACACTAGTATGGAAGGCCACCCCTAGACTAGCTATAGGCCTACACAAGGCCAAGAAGGCAACCTATAAGAGGACGGCCTAGAAGGGGACATAGACAAGGCCACAGAAGAGGACACATAAGGTCTAGACGAACAAACCACTCTAGGGAAGCCAGGAGCAAGAACAGGTATAAGAACAGGAACAGGATCACTCCTAGGACCGCGGTAGAAGCAGGAATAGAGCAAACCAACAACCACAACTAAGCCTATCCTACCTCCTAGCCCAGGACACCTAACAACAGCCTAGCTTTCCCCTAGAACACCAACAACTAGACCCCACTAGTACTGGCCCTGCTAGAACCATCTACCGAGCTGCAATAGACAAGCTTAACAGAGCTCGACTAGCTAGAGTACAGCAGAAGCTCTCTTTACAGCAAGAGAACGTACGGATCGAGAACTCAGCCTTCCTAGGCTGGAGATGGCTATCCGCAATGCCTACCTCACAGCCCCTTCTACTCTCGGACATGGACGTAGCCGTAGCACTTTCTATTCGGCTTCTTACATCCCCTGAAGAAGGCTAGGACATCTGTAGACACTGTGATAGGGCCTATACCTTCGCCCACGAAGACGCCTGCCGTGCTAGGACTAGACAGACAATTGTCAAACATAATAAGGTGTGCCAGGCGTTAACTACGGCCCTACAGACCGACCCACAAAACAAAGTCACCCTAGAGCCATAAGGAGACTACCGAGGAATCCGGACAGACATTAGAATCGACAACCCTAAGGGAACCACCTACCTAGATGTGTCCATCATTTCCCTAGGTAAGGAAACCGCTAGGAAGGACCCTAATAGCACCCTATCGGCCGCGGAAAGGGCTAAGAAGCTCAAATACCAAACCCTAGGCCGAGCTTTTAAGCCGTTTATCCTTAGCCAAGGAGGCCTTCTAGGAAAGGAGACCTCACAAACCTACAAAGAATTCTAAAAGTCCCTTGGTCCTAGCACCTCGGAGTGGCTAGATAAGTATATCTCTACCACTCTAGTAAGACTCCGGGCTAGGAACTGGCTAGGATATGGTATAGACTAGATAGATTTCTTTTCCTTTTTTTTTTTTTTTCTTTCTTTTGTTTTTCTTTTTCTTCTGTTTCCCTCTTCCTTTTTATCGTACCCTTTTTCTTTGTTCTTATATAGAAAAGTAGTTAGACGAGCAAGAATAGCTTATATAGAAGCGTATCGAAATGCTGCTAACCCTAAACTCCGCTTTGTTCAACGCCTGCCTCAATCCAGGTCAGCCGCTTCACTGGCAATCCATACAGTCCCATCGCCCGATCTTTGCGCAAGCGGGCAGAAACTCTTCCAGTCTCCGCGCCCAAAGATGAGCTGTTCGATATGCCCCTGGCTTATCGAATTCAACCAGAATTGTCGGCGGGAAACCGGGACAGTGGGGACGTGTGGTCAGGAAATCCTCGATCATCACAGACATCCCGAGCTTGAGTGAGGGGTATATACAACATTCTCGGTATCATCCCGATTCTTGGAAGTGTCAGTTCGGGAAATGTAATGATACCGAGTCCTTTCTCACCGAGAAGCACTTACTGTCAGGAATTTTGCATCCATCTAGCTGTTGTTCGAATATGGAGGTTGGGGTGGAGTCACCATCAGATTGAGATTGTAGGCCTCCTCTTCGCCCTTCTCCCAAACTCGAAACAATCGGAGTTGGCCCCAGATATCAACTGCCGTGCAAGCGAGCCGCAACACAAGACGGGTACACAGGATTCAAACGTACGATATGAAGAATACGGAGAGGGTAACTATGCCGAACACGAGTGCGGAGGATAATGATGTCCGATTTTTACCATTCAAAGTCGTCTATAGAAATACACAATCAATGGAATAGAGATAATACTATGAAGAGCAAAGCCATCTATAGATAGAGACAGCCAGTTTCATTCATCATCACCAAAAACAGTCACGCTCCAAACTCAAATCTTCGGAGTCACGGTTCCAAAATCGTGTCAGATGTTCTGCTCCTTGTACACGTGGCATTCTAGAATCTATGGGCCCAGTCGACCGTTCTCGTGTAAATATGCGCATGCTGATAGTCTAGGGTCTAGTCTGTTTGGTAGCAGAGCTGTGCTTAGAGGAGATCGAGCTGGTGTGCTTAGGGCCAGTAGAGCTGCTCTTCTTGGCAGAGGAACTTTGTTTCTTGACAGGAGTAGGACTGCCCTTCTTAGCCGTCGAGCTCTTCTTGGGGGTGGAGCTGCTCTTCTTGAGCGTCGAGCTCTTTTTGGGATTAGAAGTGTTCTTCTTGATGGTCGAGCTACTCTTGGGGAGGAGCCGCTCTTGGAGGATGAACTGGGTTTGGGGACGGAGGTCGGTTTCTTGACGATTGAGCTTGACTTAGATGAAGAGCTGCTTCTCTTGACGGCGGAGCTACTCTTCGTAGTAGGGTTGGTCTTGGTGGAAGAGCTGAGCTTGGTTGACGAGCTGACCTTGGTTGACGAGCTGACCTTGGTGGAAGAGGAGCTGACCTTGGTGGAAGAGGAGCTGACCTTGGTGGAAGAGGAGCTGACCTTGGTGGAAGAATCGACCTTCATTGCAGAAGTGCTTGTTTGGGAAGTGGGGCTACTCAGGAGACGGAACTACTAGTCTTGGAGGTAGAGCTACTCTGAGAAGCAAAGCTGGTTCCAGAGACAGATCCAGTGCCAGGAGGCGAGCCAGCTCCAGAGCCGCCGGCAGTGTCGGAAGGAGCGCTGCCAGTAGGAGCGCCGGAACCTGATGCGTTACCATCTGCTGGTGCAGTGCCATTGCCTGCATCGCCAGTACCGCTACCGCCTCCGGTGAACGAATTCGAAGAAGCATGGCCACCGTCGGCATCGACGTAAGCAGCGACGGTGTAGTACTCATCATCGATGTAGTTGGCGGTAGTGTCAAGACCAATCTGGATCCAAGCAAACAGACCGTCGCTAATGTCATCACCGAGATAGATGTATTGGGGGAAGGGATCGTAGGTTGTGCCTGCTTGGACAATATCCCACATGTCCTCGTCGTTGGTTGTGACGGCCTGGGTGTTGGTGTTGTATGGATAGACCTCTTCGACAGCAGCGCGGAGAGCCGTGTCCCAGAAGAGTTGGCCGATATGAGTGATGTTGTTTGTTGCGGAGATGGTATTGTTGGGAAAGACGGTAACATTCATGTGGGATAAGAGGTGAGTGTGGGTCGCGCGACCNTAGTGTTATTAGCAAAGACATGAGACTGGATAAGCCTGTTATAGCTTACCATCGTAATGACCCGGGAAAATGGTCTCAAACGCGACAACGCCATCGGAATCAGTCTCCTGAATACCACTACACAAGAGTCAGATAGGTTTATCTGGGTAGAGCAGATGGTAAGCATACCGTAAATAAGTAGAATTGTAGCCATCTGCGGCGTAATTGCCACTGACAGAGATACCGGAATATACGCCAGTAGCGTTGGCATTCCAGATATCGACCCAAACATTAGGGACAGGCTCGCAAGTAGTAATGTCAATGTACTGAACCTCAAGGTAGAGATCAACACCATCACTGTACAGGTCCTCCTTGACATTACTACGGATCTGTTCGCCAGTGACATAGTAGGGACCGTCGGTGACTTCGGGGGTCAAGACGCAACTGGTGTTGGCGGAGAAGACCGAAGCTTCAAAGGTAGAGACATCACCGTCCACAGAATCAGTCTGATTGTGGTTGACGGCTTCGAACTTCTCGAGTGTAGCCAAGTCACGCCTGAACTTTTGAGGCGAGGATGCGATACCACGCTTCAGGCGAAGTTCGCTAGCTATCTTGCTGCGACGCGCAGCGGAACGAGCGGCGATCGCGGCACTCTTCTCGGTTCCACTGCACGTATCGACAGAACGTCGGAAGTGGTTGGCCAGATGTTCACGAGCCGTGATCTCACGCTTGATAGCATGATGATCGTGGTGTTCGCCGGGATGAGCCAAAGAAGGGGTGATAAAAGCAGCAGCTGCGACAGTGCTGGCAAACTTGGAAAAATGGACCATGATGGATATTGTTGCTGGAAGATTGTTCGCAGGCGATGATGATGAAAATGAAGATGATTCAAGGCATTGCACTTGTCTTATAAAGTTGTTGTCTCGCTATGCCCCCGTTTTCAGGAGATCGATTCTTCACATTTAGCTGACGACTGGTATTGATGCATGGTGTAATCCAAGCACAACGTGTGCTAAGGAGACGGCTCCCGTGCTTGAGGAGGCTTGACTGGACGGACCAATGAAGAGCGATATGATTGCATAGACTTGGAAGCTTTGACTGGGCGGCTTTGGGTAACAACTTCAGTGACACAGCATGAACAGCATCGCATAGCATTAACGCGAGCAATGATTGTGAGGTTGCTTGACATGTGTGGTTCTGACTTCCTTGCTACATCGACGCACGACTCGAGCGGTAGATCAACAGAGAATGACACGCATTGGCAGTCGTGACAATGGGATCGGATGAGTTGGAAGATCTCTTTCGTGTAGACAAGTCTGGGACGGGCGAAGACGACATTCAAATTTGAGATGCTCGGTGTCCGCGAACTTCTGACTCCTCGTTTCCTGAGCGAAACTTCGGCCGTAGTTGAAAGTCATTGATGGGCGAGACGAGCTGTCAAGTCCACAAGGGCACAGTTTTCCGGAGGTCAAAGAGACCATGCAGGGCGTCGGCTGACGCGTGGCTGTATTCCTTGGCGTTCATGATGAAACGGGTCAACAAAAATGACAAGGGAAAACGTCGAACTGCGCCTTCAGAAACGCGCGCAGATTTCGTGCTGAGATATTGGAGGTGTCGGCATGTATTGTTCTAGATCATGATAGAGCATCGAGAACAATCGATTCGATTCAGGGGGTGGCATTTACTAAGTATGCGGGTAAGAGAGATGTGCTCAAGACCTAGTCGTAAAATGTCGCGCTTCAATGCCGCCGAGCCTGTTTCCAGCTCCAAAAGACTATCACTTCAAAAGATCTACGTTGGTTTTAATACTTGCCCGGAAGACTATCGAGAATCTCCAGACAATGGCTACGATTACGAAGGCAATGGCAGCGATTTTGGGGCTCTTCAACACGCCGCAGGTCGATGTTCAGATATTCGTCTCTAGGATGTACAAGTCCACTTTCTCGATTTCAAAAACAGTACGCAGAACAGGCAATGTCAACCTGTCAACGGCGATGCCGCTTCCCTATTGTCAAATTCCTCTCCTCACTTTCGACAAGGACAATGATCCAGGCTATATCTTCTTCAAGCGAGGGGACAATAGAACCCAAGAGTTAATGGCAGCTGCGCTCGATTGTGTCCGGGCTTGTGGTTTGCGCTCGCAGAGAACGTATCGAACGTTGTTTGAGGGAACCAACAAATGTGCTTGGTGTTTCGATTATGAGTCGTTGCTGTGAAGGAAGCAGTAGCAGTTGAATTTGCAGACAAGGGGATAGCAGGTTGTGGAGTGGAACAGCAGTGTTTGCGACAAGACTCCCGCTATCCATGTTCTAAGAAGGCCGTGTTGCTGGCTCTTGGCGTGGATTTATGCTCTTCCGATCTGGAGGCTTTGGTTGTTGCGGTAGCTGGTGCGACGGCATCGCGAGGATTGTTCTCGACTGCGAGCTCGGCTCCAGTATGAATGGCAGCCTCGTCGATCAACGACTCTTCAATGCCGGCAGATGCGGCTGTCGAAGGCTAGTCCGTGACTTTCGCTGGCGCAGTCATGTTTGGCTTGGGCGTTGAGAAGACGGGAGCCGAGCGGATGAGCAAGATTGGAGTTGTTTGGGTGTTGCCGGGACCCATGGTGTAAAACCAATCCTCCTCTTTCTAGCCGATTCCAGCTTGTAGGTCGAGCCTTCGGCATATGAAATGTTTGCAACGCGGGGATGTTACTTGATTCAGGCGTTGACGACCGAAGGGTCGTCAGTGGAGAGACCTTGGGTAGCTTATGCAAGACATTGGTAGACGGCGATGCGAAGAGAAGATGAGTCATGGCAGAGTGAGCATTGCCGTCAGTGAGGCCGAAACGAGTGATTCCTTCGCGGCAGCGATCGGTTGATGGACTAGAAGCTCCCTCGGAAAAGCGCGCAGGGACTCACTGAAGTCGATGACCTGGATGACAAGGCTCGATCAGCAAGCTCTTGCTGTTCAGGTGTGTGCTAGCAAAGCCCTATTCTTTGCAGGGCAGTGATTGCGCGCTGGCGACGAGGGCTCGGAGGGCGGCATGGCACTTGAACGCGATGGTGATCCCGAATCGGAGTGGGTGCTGTATCGACAAGACCAGGAAGACCAGTCATCGATGGTAGATGCGCACACGTCGAACCAGTTCATTCGCTCGGCTAAGATTACGCGCCGGAGATCTGTGCCAAGAATACCGTTGGAACGCCTCAAGCTTCAAACTTCGTCGGTGTCATTTTTGCCGAGGGACAAAGTCCAGAGAACCCCCACGGTCGTATCCCATGGTTTTGTTTACACAAGACCCTGGGACAATGAGGCCTCTTGCATCTCCAATCTCGTCGCCTTTCCTACGATCCATCATTCCCTGGGCGGTAGTGTAGCGACAGACTGGCATAGTCCACTTCCCCAAGTCGCTTGTTCGCCTGTCAATTGCGACTGACGCTCGATGATCAATGACGGCGGACGACCTCGTGCATGCTTGACATGCAAGCGACGAAAACTGAAATGCGACCAGGCCAAACCGTCCTGCACAAGATGTCTTCTGGCAAAGATTCCTTGCAAGCCTGCCGAGAAACGCAAGATACAGTTTGTGGACACGAGTCAGGCTGTTGCCGAACGCTGTCAAAAGATACAAAGCAAAATCGAGGCTTCAACCACACTGAAAAGTGCTCTGCATGCTGATATAGAGACGCAAGCGCTCGCATTTTTCGTGCGTTGTTATTCTTTGAGCCCAGTACCAGACGGTGGACCCAATCCTGGACTGTTCGGACACGTCATGCCCGCACTCTCTGCCTCTCGGACCTCTGCGGCTGCCATGTCAGTCTCTGTTGTCGCTCTGACGATATTTTCGAGATGGCGTATGGACAGAAATTTGACCACAAGTGCCGCCAAAGTCTTGGGTCAATCCATCAACAGTTTGTCCCAGGACCTTCAGAAGCCGGACTCAAGGCGGACTGATCTCACGCTATTGACTACACTGTTACTACAATTCCATTCCGCGTTCGAGTCTTTGCTATTTTCCAAGAAGAGCAAAATTGTGCATCACCTTGGTGCACTGGCTTTGGTCAAAGAATTTGGTCACCCTTCAACTTGGTCAGCCATCGCAAGTGAGTTTGTGGGTTGTATCATTCATCTCGATATCACAGCTGCCATTCGCGAACAGCGCAAGGTACATCCGGAAGTTCGCTACTGGAGGTCCATCATCAATTCCACCTCATCGGACCCTAGTAGATATCTGGACACTCTGGGTATCCAAGTCGCCGACCTGCAGGTTCGAGCTTCAACGCTCCAAGCAGGCACAGGTCTTTTCTCATTATCCACGGAGGTTCACACGCTTTTGGATGAGATACAGAAACTTGATGATGACATTGTTGTATGGCAAGGACTGGTATCGAGGTTCTGGGGCCCATTCAATTGGAGTCCTCCTGGGACCATCTTTCCGCCGATTCAAACATTCCAAGGATGTTGTCATGTATACACCTCAATCACTGCGGCAAGGAGGATGAACGACTCCCGAAGTCATCGCCTGACACTGGCGTTGATATCTCTAAAGATTACTAGCCAATGCGAAGAAAGCAATGCTGAGATTTGCGAGTCAAGTTCAAATCAGAGCGCCGTGCAGGTGCTTTTGACTCGCATTCAATGGTTAGTCGATGGTATCTGCGGCTCGGTCCCTTTCTGTCTCGGCAACAGAAACAGAGTCGGAACTCTTTTAGATTTCGGTGATTCGACCTGGGTATTCCCTACGTGCCACGACATGTCCGAGATGTATGGTTTACATGGACGGCCGGCAGAGCCGATGGGACTTGAATCTCTTTTGGACCATTACAACCATGCTATCACTCAGGGCTCTTGGCTTATGCTGAGTAACCTTGCACTGTTGGTTGCAACTTTCCTGACTAATAAGACTTTGACCCCGTTATTCCCACTCAAGGAGGGGCAATTGCCATGGATATGTCATCAGTATCTTCGTAATCTATCTCTGAACTCGATCGAGTGGACGCGCGATAGCTTGCTCAAAGAAGAGGTGCTCACAGGGTTGGATCTGCCTCCTGCAGACCTACTCATCTCTGAAGCGAGTAGATGCATACAAAATGTTTCCCGTGGACTTCNNCAGCTCACCGATGATTCGTGAATGGCGAGCCAAGGATTAAAATGCGTCAGTCGTAGGCTGTCGATCGAATACATGAGTACACGAGCTTTCTATAGAATATGGTTCGATCAAAAGCATAGACAAATAGATTCAATCTGTCGATTGCCCACTATCATCAGCGAACATGGCCAGCGAGAAGATGGCACCACTAATGTGCTCTGAAGAAGTCGCTGAAGAGGCGCATCTGTCGCACTGTGCGACATCAACAAGGACGGTCTTGCTGCTTTCTACAACTCGTTGGATCAAGAGGCACGGAAACGTGTGCTCCTTGACGTCGTGGATGTGACAGACAGGTCAGCGGTCAAGGACTTTCTGGAACATGTCAAGTCGCGTTTTGGCAAAATCACAGGCATTGCCAGTATCGCTGGCACTGGTGGACAAGCGTTAGGTCTCGAGTCTGTGTGGGGACATCTGCGCACGAGTATGATTTCATCATGAATCTCACAGGAGCAACCTGGGGTGTTGATGGAGGAGCGAATGCATGATCAAATGGTTCTATCCCAGCGAACATTATTGTTATGGCCGATTATCTGAATCTCTTGAGCTTCCATGTGTCTGTTGCGACACGCTTTCCAGGTCGTTTGCCCCGTACATTTCGTTAACGTTTGCATGCCCGAGTCAAAACACTCGCATTACCTTTCCGAGAACCCAAATTGTTCTTATGCTAATATGATCTGCCTTGCATATATCCTTGCTGTGAACTTGACCAGGATCCTATTGGAGGAATGCTCATGGACGAGCCGTCCAGTTTCGCGACTTCCGGCGTTGCATCTGAACCACCAATTCTCTTTAGATCAGCATCCCTGTCACCAGATCTTGCAACGTCAATCAATCGCCAGTTGTGATTTCTTCTCTTTTCCGCTTCAGCATTTGAGCCTCGGTGCTGAGATCGACCACGCCGTATGTATAGCTCTTCTCACGGCCCCGCCAATACCGTCATCCACGCACTCTCTTCTGCCCGGTCCACACCAAGGACGGATCTCTCGGTGGAAACCGACGAGAAGCACAAGATCGCCTCCCAGAAACAAAACAAAAGGACAGATCTAGTCGTGCTATGCTTCCCGCAGGCCAACACGGATTGACACCAGCTGCACACGCGTGAGTCATCGGCTCCCCTTTCTTGAAATATCCAAGTCTCACCAGAAGCTGGCGCAAGCCCTGACTGTCTTCAACCTGCCGATTGCGTTGCTAAAGCCCATACCGAGTCGATCTTTGCACCGAACCTCGTCAGATGATTGGCGAATGCGTCAATTTGGAACTGGTCACAACAAGGTAGACCTCGTCAGATGTCTGGTGAAGGCTTCGACTTGACACCGGTCACAACAAGGCAGACTACCCAAAACCAGACTGCTCCAACCGCAGAGTCGAGCGTCCTTTCACTGATACCTGTCGCAGCTGCGGTGCCGAAGGTCATCGTTCCACCGAGTGTGCTGAGGCCATCTGCAAGAAGTGCTCCAGTACTGGATACATCGCCGCTACCTGCACCAAGAAGTACAACCTCTCCCCTGACGGTCTTCCTTACACCGACAGGCCTGGGAGAGCTTGTCGCACTGCCCCTATCGCGTGTCCTGAGAAGTACAACCTCTGCCCCGACGGCCTGGCCTATACCGATGATGTCGACAGGAGTGGGCCGCAACTCGTGCGCGAGAGCTCGCTCCCCTGGTCACCGATCTCAAGCATGACCTGGGCAAAAGACCTTTGTACATCAGTGATGACTTGTTGCAAATTAGTGTTGATATCCGATGATTGAATAGAATGACCCATGGTTTTGGTCTTGTTTGCGTACACCGTCACCCTCTTCCGTATCTTGTGTTTCGCTGTACCACCATAATTTTGTCGCGACTCCATCTGAGGTGTAGCGTCTCTTGCACAATCTCAACGACTCCATAGCTTTTCACACTTCACTTCATCTGGTCTTCCTGTTCATACGACACCATTGCTCTTTTCACTCTGCTCATTGCAAAAGAGACTCCGACGGACTGAACATAACCTTCTCTCAATGGACAACACCCATTATGGGAAGACTTTGTACATTTAAATGGCTACATCATGACTGTCTGTTGGGATCGGGAGCTTGCCTCCTTTTTCACAATTGTGACTAGTAATTAGACTTCCTTCTTCTGATCAATACATCGAGGCCCTCCTGCTTATTGAACCAGGCGTTCTTGGTGATCCAATCCCTCTCTGGATGCTTTAAACTGATATCATATCTCTGTATGATCAAAGGTACGACCTTGTGAATCTCACTCAGAGAGATNCTGGAGTGCGTTAGCAGACGAATCTCGTTGATAATCCTTTCACCTACGTTCTTGCCAATACAAGTCCTGGTGCCACCACCGAATACAAGGCTATACCTATCCAAAGTCTCACCACCACTTTCCAGCCATCTCTGAGGATGGAACTCATCGGCGTCCGGGCCATAGATCGCTTTGCTTCTTCCGACCACGGCGGCGTTCATCCCTATCTTCCAGCCTTTNGGAATCACAGTACCGGCAACTTCAAGGCCTGAGTCGCTGACGATACGAGGCATGGTCAGACCGACACTTGGATGGAGTCGCATAGCTTCCTTGATGGTAGCAGAAAGAAGTGGTAGTTTTGATGCTTCTGCGAATCGTGGGGGTTGGAGAGACGCCCTCTTTGTCGCGGTGTCCAGCTCTGTACGGAGTTCTTCAAAGACGTGAGTATGTTTCAGCAGATGATAGAAGACTGTCCTTAGGGCGATTGCTGTTGTATCGGCACCGGCAAACNNCTAGGATCTTGTTAACAATGCCAATAACAAGCTTAGAGCAACTTACAAAGCACTAAAAGCCTGCAGCTTCACTTCTCCGACGCCAAAGTCCGCCTTGTCGCCCTTGGATCTCATGATCTCGAGTAGGTGACGTAGCAAATCTTGCCTTCCAGTTTCCTCATCCTGGAGACGATTGTCAACACTTGTGTGCGCGGCGTTCTCAATATGCGCCATTGCTTTCATGGCTTTTCTTGTGGCTGGGTTGATCGAAGCAGAGCCGAGGATCAGACGTTGAGCCNNAGGAGAGGCTACAGCAGCTTGACATATGACAGGGACCAACGTCTCNAGTGATTGAATGTATGACTGATAATCCTTTCCCTCTGACATGAAGCCGAAAGCTTTTCCAAAGAAGATTTCACCAATCACATCAAACGCATACCAGTGCAACCATTGCCCAAGGTTGACCACTGTTTCTGAATTTGCAAGCTCGTCCAAGCGTTGTAGCAGTACAGCGCTGCAGTCGTCTATGTACGCTTCAAGAGTCAAGATCGTGGACATGCTGTACACATTGTTGACAATGCGCCTGCGACTGCTGTGAAGCTTTTCATCCGTGTCAACAAACAGATCAGGGTACTTTGAAAAGCTGTTGCTGCCCCAAACAGGATAAAAATGAGTCTTGGTCAGGGGCGCCTGTGTGCGATAGATGTTCCGGATTGCGTCCGGGTCCGCGCAAGCGACTTCGTCTGGAGCGATTCTGACGAGCGGGCCGTACTGTTCATGTAATTTTCGCTGGACGATTTCCATGTCTCCTTGGCGAATGCGATGGACCATCCATAGTCGGGTGACGGAGGCCCAAAAAGGTCCAGGGATATGCCTCAGGGGGTGGAGACATCGTGCATATACGATCCATGATAGAGTGTAGCCGACGGCGAAGAGGCCGAGGAGTTCGACTGACAAGATGAAAAGCATTACGAGGAACAGTATCTCGTGAACGAATTGTGGAACGCGATGGAACTGATGTGACGGGTTTTGTACATATTCTGAGCTTGTTGTGGTTTGATAGTGAATATGTATAGGCTCAAAGACAAGGCGTTACCCCACATGATCAAGGTGAAAGGAGGAGAACATCCCGTCGATCGTCGCGGCAAGTCGTCAACGGCTTCCTGCCTCCCTATGTGCTAAAGTCTGTAACTCCACTCTTCTCCCACAAAAGCGTAGATCGAGATCTTCACTATAAAAGGCACAAATGTCTTCCGGAGCAGGGAGTGGCCAAAGAGAGCCGCTAAGATGTCGATTCTCAGTGAACATTGCCCTGTTCCTTGATTTTATCGTGCATTTCTATAGTTATATACGTCATGAACTCTAGCACCTGGGGAGCTGGTGACTCTTGGGCTTGACAAGTTCGCGCAACTTCAGGTTCAGCGACGCGCATCTTGATATGTCAGTTCCTTGTCATGCTATTGCACGGCGTAGGTAGTCTTGTGGAAAGACAGCTGCGAGTTGGCGTCCGACGTCCTGAATTTCCCCACATGCAGAGAGGACAAGCCAAAAGCTTAATACAATGTAGGGTCAGAGCGGATGTTACATGGAATCGGTGGAATATCGGCTTCATTCCATTCCATTCCACCACTTCCAGCTAGTATTCCATTCTATGCCAATTCTCTAGTGGAATGATGCCAATTCCAATTTTGCTGCTGTTGTTGTCGCCACCCTGTCCATGTTAGGGGTCACCCTGTTGTTTGATTAGTAATCATCAAGCTTGGCACGATTATGTAAGCGCGATAAGATATGAAGATCAACATACCTAATAGAAATAATATCAACCTTGCTAGAGAGTGGAATGGTGGAATATTCCACTAAAATTGACGATTCTATTCCAAGCCAACGGAGTAGAATATTCCACTCAAAATCAGTGGAATATTCCAACATTCTACTTATTCCATGCCATTTAACATCCGCACTGTGGGGTATGCGGTCTGATTGCGGTAAGTATGACCCTGTTCGTAAGTGGCGACAGCAGTATACCGCCATACAGCTGGGATACTAAGCATCATTTCAACGGAGGAATGAAACCTTCTTATACCAACATCCGAACCACTGGTTGTAACGCACAAATCGTACATGAGACTTATTTAGCACTTTGATCAACGAAATTTCGTGCAGAGCTATATGGAAGCTGAGATACTCCTACCATGCAGAGGACGGCTGGCAGGAATACAATAAGGTAGTAGTACACTAGAGAGAATATGTGGTCAACTCCAATCTTTGTAAATCACATGAAAAGATATGGAAGATTCTTTGGAGAGAGACTGTTATCCACGGATAAATGTCTTCTTCAAGATAGGCTGTCGTAAATTTCGTCAATGTTTTTCATAAAACTAGATATAAACATGATCTTGCTTTAACCAGTAGGATATAGCCATCAAAGAGAAATAAGCAGTCATCCATCTTCTACACTTCTGCATGTGTCTTGACACCAAACTTCTCCAGGAGGTTGTGGCGAGCCCAATAACTTCTGTACCTGTATTCAGTCTGTTAGCAGGTAGTCATGAAAAGGGCGATGGTGAAACTACTTACCTCNTTGCCAAACACGTAGACTGGGATGGCTGCTAGGCAGATTGCTAGTCCGATTCCACCAAAGACGCTGTAGACGACGAAAGGGCCGGCGGAGGCTGTCCAGTTGTTGACGAATTCGCTGAAGCCGTAGAGAACGACGTTCTTGAGCAGCATGATAGCGATAAAGATCTCATTGCTCATATCGCGGTAGGCGTCAAGGGCGTATGCTGTAGCCGCGGTGCAGATAGACACGACACCCACAAGCATGATGCCGTGGACTGTGGCGCAAGCGTATACATCGATACCGTGTTCAGCCATGTAGCCCCAAGCAATGAGACCGCCGCCCATCAGAAGTCCTCCAACCATGACCACGAGACGGTACTCAGGTTCGTAGGTTCCAACATTGCGTTTGCTGAACCATTTGATCAGAGGGTCGAGGATGATGCCCAGAACAAGCGAGCCAATGATACAGCCAATAAATGGACCCAAAGACAGATATCCAACTCCAGAAGCGCTGAGGTTGTATGGTGGTAAAGTGAAGATCTGTGCGAGCACAAAAGCGACAGCGACAAACAGGACGGTTGATATGCCCACAGCGATGATACACCAGGCAGCTGCCAGATTCGTCCACACCGCAAAGGATCCGATGACGAGTTGAAACAGAGTCTCGTCCGTGTAGGTACCAGTGAAGATAGCCAACTCCTGTCGGAACGTCTTGCGGGAGGGTACAGGCGTTGCTCGAGCGCCAGAGCTTGCAGTCTTCTCCAATTCGACATCATCGCGATGCTCAGCCTCTGCGAGCTTTTCGAGATCCACGTTCGCATTTTCATCAGTATCATACTGCTTATCTCTGTTGTAGGTGGTTTCGGGACAAAAGAAGAACAGCAGGATGAGCTGGAGTGCGACAAAGGCGTTCAGAATGTGGAACAGGTATTTCCAACCCAAATTATCCACGATCGTTCCCGTAATGACGCTCGAAAAGTTGGAGATGCCCGCAAGTAAGAAGTTGATTGCAGAAGCATAGATGCCACGTTCGTGAACGAAGAACAAGTCACCGATTGCTGTGATGACCAGCGACTCGTAGGCCGAAATTGCGAAGCCTTGCACGATACGAGCAGCTAGTAGGGAATCGAGACTGGTTGCCACAGATCCGATGATGGTTCCAACGACACCCAGTATCGAACAGAAAACAAAGAGCGGGCGCTTGCCGTATTTCCTCGAGAATGCGCAGACCGGAGGGCCAAAACAACCAGCGACCAGCAATTGATAGCCCGAAATAACAGTGATGTCTCCGAGTGGAACATCAAAGTCTTTGGAGATTGTCGAGAGACCAGCATTAAGCAACGGACCAACGGTGCCCGCATAGAGAACGACTCCAAAAGCGAGGATGAAGGTAATCGTCAGTTTCTTCGTGGTGGACCAATTGAGTGGATCGTTAGGATCTTCGGAGGGCTGAGGAGCGAGAACGACTCCAGCATTCTTGCCTTTGCCATGTCGCAGTCCGCGCGTAATGTTCTCTGAGTGGGCGGCCTCTTCGTTGAGGATGACCGTTCCGGGTACGTGAGGAAGATGTGAGTCCTCGAGGATGCCTCCGAAAGCCATGTTCGCTTTGTACAGGTGTTCGAACTGGACAAGATGTTGTGATCTACAGATGACAAGATCCGGACGATATATAGATATCGCTTGGGCAGTGACATGTAGGACAGTCGCGCAGAATTCCGCCATTGCTCCTACCCCCGCAGCTGGCATCAAGCATGTGGGGTACTCCACACCCCACACTAGCCACGCAAGCCATCAATGAAGATCAATATCCGTGCTCAGGCATGCCCGAGATCAATGCTCCTGCAGACTGTATCGTGGTTTCGATGACAGTGTCACTTTGGAGTGACCGTGTCTCTGGAGCTTAGCACGGGCCTCTGCTCCCACAAGATGGAAGGAGACAGACTCTAGCACAGCACCCCTCAAAAGACGATACATCGACAACCTTATCCCGCCGTGCAGGTAATCGCGAGAGGAATGGAGATGAAGTGTTCTGTTATATTCTCAAATTGTCATCTCTGCCTCATCGGCTCTTTGAAGGTGACCCCTTTGGAGAATATGCAATGAATTACAATGAACATGTGGTCAACTCCAATTCCCTGCTGTAATGTCCCTTCCATTCCCGTGTGCCATTGACTGTTACACTATAGCTATAGAAATGCACAAAATTCTCTAGGATAAAGTGTTGTCTAAGGAAAACTATCATCTCGAGGCCGCTTCTATGGCCACGCGTCTGGTTCTGTAAACAACTGTGCATTTCTATAGTATACTGTGGCGCCATGTGCTGGTTGGAAAGAGGGGCTACTTATTGACATTGGACTACCTTATACAGCTTTGTGAAATCGTATTGGAGATCGTTCGCACCCCTCAACATGACTTTTGCAAACTCAGGGTCTTCTTCAGCCTTTTGCACATTTGCAAAAAGCCATCGTGAAGAATCGCTGTCTCGGGATCCTGACTGTGCAATCGGCGGATGTTCTCTACCGAGATAGGATCAACTATCGACAGATACTTCTCCCTCCGTATCCTGCTGTAGTCATCTAAGATGGTGTCGTCGGCCACGCCATCGTAGATACCGCGAAGACAATCGAAGAGGCCGCCGACATCGACAATTCCGCCAGTGAGCCCCAAACCTCCGNNCTGTGTTCAGGTAAGTCTCGTTGTGCGCCGGCACGAGCGGTGTCTGACTTACAAGGGATTGCACAAGTGTGCTGCATCAGCAGCGAGAAGAAACCGACCAACACGCATTTTCCTCGCCAGTCGTTGGTGAACACGGTAGGGGCTGATGTTCACGAGTTTGTAACAGTCTGGTCCAGAATAGCCTGGCAAGATATGCTTGAACTTTTCGGGCTGGCGAGCAATGATCTCTTCCTGAGAGAGTCCTCCGATCTCGCCATACGAGACTCTCCACAGACCATCATTGGATATGCGAGCAACCATATGCCAATGCTCAGGGTGGATGATGAAGTTCGAATCTTGGTAGCCGTGTTTATCGAAGTCGTAGTACGTCTGGAATATCGCACGTTATCAGATAAGCCCTAGAGAATGGAACCTCCGAACACTCACGTTTGTGGACACAATCTGTTCATCCAGTGTATGTCCAGGGAACTCGCTGTCGCCAAAGNNCTTTCTTCGCACGATGCTTCGTGCGCCATCACATCCGATGATGTAATCTGCTCTGAGACGTTTGGATCCATCAGGAGCGTCAGTGTCAACCCAAGCTTCATTCTCATCCTGTCCAATGTCGACAACCTTGTGACTCCATGAGATTTCTGCCGCCGGCTCTCTCTCAAGGTGCCTGACGAGTATCTTGCTGACGCGATTCAGGGGAAGACAGGTGACTTGGTCCAGTGTGCCATCGAGAGTGGTGCTGTCCAGACCTGCGATGACTTCTCCGTTGAGCTTGCGCCAGCAGAATTTCCGACAAATCAGGCCTTCAGCTTGGATGTCGTCCAACACACCTGCACGAGCGAGCTCGCGGACGGCGGGNGTTCCGTAGTGTGTCGCTCGCGGTTGATCGTCCAGTGTCTTTGCCAAATCAATCACTTTGGTTCGAATACCCTTTTTCGCGAGGAAGAGTGCCAGCAGCAGTCCAGCGGGGCCGGCTCCGACGATCAAGACCTGCAGGGCGTGTTAGTTGACGTTGCAGAAGTTTTTGATCCATTCGTACATTTTGAAAGGAAGTTACCGGTGAGGCGGCGATCATGTCTTGCGAGCTGTTCGAATTGATGCGACAAGTGCTTTTGCGCGCTCTTAGCAAAAACGGAGGATAGGAATGAACAGCGACTTCCCAGGAATATTTACGGCTCACCTTGATGGCTCCGATGTGGGGCGCAAACAATGAAAATGCTTCCCGCACCTCGAAGATCCACCCAAAACCACAGGGTAGTTGTAGAAATGCACAATATCTTGTATGGCAGAGCGATGTCCACGGAGGGAAGTTTGTGTTCAGGCATCTCCATAGTGGCAACCCTTTTTGAAATTCAATTGTGCAATTCTATAGCTTATGATGGCATGATGGGTTAGTGAAGGAGAGGGACCGATTATTGTAGGCTCACACGAGGGATCCTTGGAATTATGTCACCTGCTTCCCCAAGCCATTGAGCCGTTTGATAGCTACAAAACGACAGTCCATAACAGATGCGGACATTACAAATTGCCAGCCATACCTAGACGGACTCCACAATTTACCCACAGCTTGTGGGACTGCTTCGCTCCGCAACGCTCTGGACCGTTCAAAAATCATGTGGGGTAAGCCATACCATGAGACTGTCCATAGTTGACACAGCGGCCTCGACAGACGCACATCGATCGAGACGACCACCTGATCAACTGTATACGGTATGACCAGCCCCGCCCGTCTCCGCTTTCGAGCTCTTCCAAGTACCACACATAAGCCAGGTCTCAGCTGCTTCCAATTTCAGCAGAACTCTGTTTGTCTTTACCATAACTACAATGTTGACTAATTCTCGAGAGTACCAAGATATTTTCCATTGGGCAGAGACTCAGCAGGACGGAGCTGTGCCTTCCTTCGGAACCAGAAAGAATGATCCTTACGAGGTCGGTCTTCAACGACCAAATCTTCTATATCGCATGACTGACCTTGAGCAACAGTACCAATCCGGATTCAATAACAGGTACCTTTGAAGATGATATCCAACAACGATATCTCTCTAACCATCCACANGTTTCGCGTCCGAAGCGGTACCCGGAACTCTTCCTCAAGGACAAAACAGTCCCAGAAATGTGCGGTTTGGTTTGTATGCTGAGCAGATGACCGCTTCTGCTTTTGTCGCACCCAGACACCTGAACAAGAAAGCATGGCTATATCGAGCAAGACCCTCAGTGGCTCACCAAGGCTTCGTAAGTAATCACCGCTGCTGCCAGATTCCCTCGACCAACTTTTTCGTTAGANCAGACCTTCCAGACAACCTTGACACAGAGTCCAATTTCCTTCCGAGTAACCCGAGAGTTCGTCTCTCTCCCACTCAATTAGCCTGGCTTCCGTTTGAGATCCCAAGTGGCAATGATGTCGACTTCGTTGCAGGACTGAAGACCATCGCCGGATCTGGTGACCCAACCCTGCGAGAGGGCATCGCTACACATGTCTACGCCGCGAACACGAACATGGACAAGACTGCCTTTGTCAACTCAGATGGCGACTATCTCATCTGCCCACAGCAAGGTACCCTCGACATTCAGACCGAGTTTGGCATGCTGTTCGTCCAGCCTGGAGAGATTGTCGTACTGCAACGCGGTCAAAAGTTCAAGGTCAATCTGCCCGACGGCCCATCTCGCGGATACGTTCTTGAGATCTGGGGTGCCAACTTTGAGCTCCCAGAGTTGGGTCCTCTTGGTGCGAATGGTCTGGCCAATGCGAGAGACTTCTTGCATCCCGTGGCCAAGTATGAAATCGTACAAGAGCCTTGGTCTGTCACATACAAGCTTGGTGGCAAGTTCTTCAGAAGTACTCAACAACACAATCCGTTTGATGTCGTTGCCTGGCATGGCAATTACGTACCATACAAGTACGATCTCACCAAGTTCGTCAACGTCGGCTCTATATCTGTGGATCACATCGACCCCAGCATCTTCTGCGTTCTCACAGCTCGTTCTCGCGACCCCACTGCACCCCTGGCCGACTTCCTCATCTTCTCGCCGAGGTGGGACGTGGCTTCGCACACATATCGCCCACCATATTTCCACCGCAACGTTGCTTCGGAGTTTATGGGTCTGCTGTATGGTGACTATGGCGGTCGTTCGGATGAGTTCCAACCTGGCGGTGCCTCATACGAGTGTGGTATGGTTCCACACGGTGTCGCCTACGAGGAATTCAAAGCTGCTACCGAGAACGAACCTCCTGTCATGCAGATCTCAAAGGGAGCTGTGGCAATCATGTTCGAGAGTTCGAGGCCATTTACTATCACCGACTTTGCCTGGAACACCGACAAGAAGCATGAACATGATCCCAAGATGTGGGACAATCTTGTTGGTATGTCTAACCAAACCAAACTCTTGTCCTTGGACTCTGCTTACCTCTGAATTTACANNGACAATTTTTCCAGACATCAGGAGGAAGTCGAAAAGCTGCTTGCAACCAAGAAACAGAATGGTCATTACGGTGTCTAGCTAGCATAAACTTTCGACACTGTCATCTCTCGTCTCTGGTTGGAATGCTCGGAAGGCGGTCATACTCTAAGCGTCATATAGTATTGTTATCTGACAGATAATCTGTGAAATGAGTAAGCATTCAATCAAATTCACATCCATCTGCTTCTGAAAGATGCATGGCAATGAACGTGTTGAATTTTCATGAATGTATTGCAGAAGTCTCAGAAATACTGCAGATAGCACCGGCGGCTACATATATTTTGTGTGGTACGATATCAATGCGACTAATACCCAATGAGTATGTCTGCCGTACGATGTGCGCGCCGAATCAGTGTTCGGAATGTTGCTACAGATACCGTTTTATTCTTCTCCTTAACGTAATGCTTGATGACCACAGTACGCGGTGGGAATGCACAGCTGTTTATACAATCATCATACGCACGACTACAGAAATGAGCCTGAGAAAACATCTCATCGTGAATGACAATTTCTCTCGAAAGAATATCGCGCACCTCTCCAAGTGATCGTTGAGGAGATAGGACTAGGTCACAAGTTCACGATCATCCATCCCATGTCCTCCAAACTTTACCCAAGTCAAGTGAACCTGGTACTACACAACTCCTGGTCCCAACCTCCCAACTTCATCATAGCATAATCATTGACTGATTGGTCCACCGGGATTCCCTCCAGGAAACTTCTTCTTCCAGTCTTGCTTAAAAGCAACAGAAAGCCTTCTCATGACCTGTCCCATCCGTGGCGTAATCCCCCAAGTCCAGGTATCATCCATCAAACTCGCCCAGACCCTGATAATTTCGCCTGCCAAGCTGCCATACCCATTCTAATCACTGTCTGCCTCATTTAGCAAGTTGCGGAAGTTTGAGATGATTACAAGCTCATCTTGATTGGGTGGGACTTCGAGTTGCGACATTTCTAGCGTTTGTACCCATTTTGTGGCAAGTAAAGCGCAGTCCCAGGCCGCGATGGGGTGTTCGAGACTCCAGGTCAGAGCTGCTGTCTTACGTACGAGCAAATAGCCGGCTTTGATTGGCGTGAGGAAGCCGCCGTAAGCCTTGTCGGCGGCTCGAGTTAGTAGAGGTCCGCGCTCGAGGGAATCACCAGTGATAAAGGCATCAATTGACGCAGAGACGTGGTGAGGACTTCCACAGAGTAGTGTCATGCGATTGAAGTTGTCGGCTCCTGTGAAGATCCGGATGTGGGCAGATCGTAGCAGAGCAAGACAGTTGAATAGCAGCGGTCCCTCAGGATCGTCAGATGTACGTTCTCGCTCTGGACGATCTGCCGTAAGCAGAGCGTAACATCTGGCAAGCGCAGCTTCCGTCTGGTTGACCAACGAAGTCTTGAGACTCGCACTAGTAGAGTCCTCGACAGAGAACGCGCCAAATGACTGAGTGCACTGCATCAGGTTCCACATATAGATGTTGACCGCGTGCATGATGAACGAGGTCGAGAAAGCGGTCCATCTCATAGGTGACGCCGACGCAGCAAACAGATGATTTTCTTTCCCAAGTACGAGATGGGTAAAGGCATGCCTGATCGTGACGCTCGAATGCCCTTCCCGTGGCCGCCGTTGTGCGTCCCACTCTTGGCTATTACTGGCTTCCCAAAGCTTCTCCTCGTCCAGTAGTTCGATGTCAAGATCCTGAGTGATAGAGAACATCGGCGTCAGGTCATATGCAAGACTAGCCATTGAACTCATGATGAATATGCCATATAGAAGTCTATACATACATGTCAGCTCAGTCATGCTCAGGAAGTTGCAAGGAGACACAAACCTCTTGGATGTTTCGCGTAAGATCCATTGTTCCCATGTAGTATTGACAGAGTCATAAGGAATTGATGCAAGCAGAACCCGACGAGATCGGTATTCCTGCAATTTGAATCAGTAAGATGCATTTGTCAAGATCGTCCCCGCGTACCAAGGCATGTGACGAGTATAGCTGTAGAGATGCGTAAGGGGATAGAGAAACATGACGGTGTCCACAGAGACGAAATTCCATCACATCTCTCTGACTACATCTATCATTTTGATAACCACTTTACTTTTGAATAGTCCAGAAGTACTTTGATGTTGTAACGGAAGCAGAGGACATCACAAACTTTCTCCGACAGGGAGGATACATACCGTAGACCAAAAACCTGAAGCAGAGATAGATTGTTGCGTCATGTCTCCGCTGAAGATGGAGAACCAAGCGGCTAGCAATTTGCACTGCATGCTAGCTGTAGCGATTCCCTCGACAAGAGAATCACTGTTCCCATTCGCCTCCATTTCCTTCACAACAGCTGTTAGCAATGGAACTGGCAATCGAAGCTCCAAGTCGAGCATACCTTCTCGCATATCTCACTCGCGCATTCCCAGAGATCATGAGCTGTCTTTCGCCGTAACCTGTACAGAGCTCCAATGGCGCACATCACCAATGTCAGGTGGCATGGGGTTTTCTTCAAATCCAGGGAGGGTAGATGAATGATGGGACAATGTCGGTGGAAGCAAACTAGATAACACTTCAGGAACTGCTGCATCTCCTGTAATGATAATAATGGCTCTATATCCGCATTCACCGTCGTATGAGTCCTCACGCCAGCCATGATTCTATAGTAGATATCGGCATCAACGGTCGGTGCGGCCAGTATATTCCGAGGGGTCTCACTCAGCAAGCTGGGCATTCTGGAGAAAACTTCGTCATTCTGTGGACTTGCGATTCCAACGTTCAATGCGCTAGCGTCAATCGGGAGCGAGGGCGATTCCGGGAGTGCAACGAGTGTACCAATTGTGTGACTGTTTTGTGCACCATTGTGTCCTGATTCATCCCATGATGTTGGCACTGAGTGATTCAAATAGGTGGAGAGATCTGCGTCCAACGCTGCATTGTTAAGTGCCATGCTATCAATGGTGATAAGATCAAACTCGTCAGGGCCCATGCTTTGGTTGGCGTAGAAATCTTCGGTGGTGTGCCTTGCTCCAGTATTCGAGGCTCCCAACCAATCGTCAAAGTTGGGGATGGAACAAGTCATGTTTGTTGGGGTCAGTATCTGGACCATAGGGTCTTTCAGATGGACTGTATCAGTGCGGGAGTCGTATGGCCTCAAGTCGACTGGCATCGAGTCTGAAAGTGGTGGACTCTCTGTTCCCAGTGGCACCACGACATTATATTCCTCATTCCAAGGCGAGCGTGACTGCGAGCGAGTATCATCGGGGATAGGTTCGGAGGTGTGTAAAGGCGGGGTTGGCAGATTGCGCACTTCAGACAAGGTAGCATGGTTGAGTTCGAGATTGGCGTTTGGTCTTTCCAAGCCGTCTGCATTGGGATGGAACGACTTCTCATGGCGGTTGACCAAGTCTCTGCAGATTGACCTCGTCAGTATGTCGTGCTTTTGGAAGGGGATGGTAGTCCAGTCGTACTTGCGAGCGTATCTCCGACCACAGTATCTGCAATGGAACGGCTTTTCCTTCGTGTCTAGCACAACGTCAGTAACATGTCTCTTCCTCATCGGGGTCGGGCGGAGAACGTACGGCCTCTTTCATGGCGGGTGCGATGCTCGCTGCGCTTGAAGACCTTATCACAGCGACTGCATGGGAATCTCGGAGGCGCTTTCTGTACCTTCATTGAATCCGATCGGCCGAGGACATCTGAGGAGGCGACTTGTGACATGATACGAGCGCTCCACGGCGGTCGCGTGTTCGTCTACAGGATGCAAACAACAAGATCAGAAAGTTGAAAGTCAAGTTGCGGCCTGCGGAGAACAACAGGCAGTAGGTACTGAGGTCTAACGGCAGTTTCGAGACCCACTTCTGTATCCACTATTGCGGGGTCGGAAGACTTTTCCGAGCGGAAGCGGAGGAGACCAGCGGGGATTTTTTCTTCCGAAGTGCTCAATTATACGCGCATGGGTACAGAAATGCACGGCCCAGAACAACTTATAATGCTGTTGTTTTCAGCTCTTCGTCTGTTTTGTTTGCAACAACGTGGCGGTGTCGACGCAAGCCCAACATCTATACTAGACTGCCCACCCCTTCACACAGTCATGCAGGAGACTCAATTTGTGAAACAGCTTCTACGTCAAAGTCACCTAGGTGGACATTCAATGTCAACCTGGATCTTGTACAGGCTCTGTTTCTCCTCAAACAAAGCAAACATGACCCCGAGGCGCTCAGCGCTACCCTGTCACAAGCAAACTGACAGGGACGGAGATGAACAATGTCAACCCGTTGAACCCTTTCGCTTCCAAGCTCTCGACATCCGGTCAATGTCTATCACATGCATTCTTGATCCAAGCCTTTACTATCGCGACCAAAACCTCTAGACTCTCAGACCTCTAGACTGTTATACATCTGGACTTTCAGATCTCTGGACTTCATCCATGTACTCATGCTCTGCTTAGTACTGGCTATCTAGCGGTACCTCGAGTGTGGTAGTCATTTTATCGATGTTCGTCAATCCCCTCTGTCAACCCCAACGTTCATTCATATCTTGAGTCGGCCGTCCAGGTCAATCTTCAAACTGCCTCCGCCCGCCGCTTCCACCTGTAAAATGTCGAAGCCGATGACAGACCTCTTCTCCCGTCACTCTCTGACTTCGCCTTCCCGCCTGACTCTTAGCAATCTGCATGAGCATTGGCCCGACAGCGAGAACCATGATGGCGAGCATCATGACCGCCAGCATCATGTCGCGCATTCGGTCGCTGGCACGGCGTGGAGAAGAGGCATGAGGGGAATAATGGTCTAGCAGAAGCCTTTGTCGAGCACTATCTTACCGGCGAGGATCGTCCTGTTCGCACCAGCGATATGGCTGTTCAGGACGACCGCGGTAGGTACAGCCCTGCTGCCCAACGTGTCTTACCCGGATTAGGGGGATATTGTGGGACGATAATAAGCGGCGAAGCCGACATATCGTCAGCTGACCACAAGATAACTGACATCTAATCTTATGTTTGCTGCTACAACATCAAGTCGATCGTGATTCTCATGACAACGGGTAGCTAGCTTAAAAGCAATCAGACAGGACGCAACATTTATAAATACCGCAGCACAGTTTTGTCTAGAAAACACCAAACTGATCTTCTCCACTGATCATTCAAGATCAAGGACTTGAGCGTCTTGCCGTGACGATGATATCCAATGTCAACTTCCAGTCTATGTCGATTGCTAGAAGGGAATCCTGCAAAGGCTTTGTCCATCATCTTGGAGCCTCTAACAGGTGGCAATAGTAATCATAGCCCTTGATAGAGCTATGAATATATCAGCAGAGCAGATATAAAAATCTGGCTCAACCCTTAAGCATTCATACCAAATTTTCCCTTTCTTAGTTTCTAACATTCTTTGTCGCATAGCGGTCCGCTCGAGCAAGCAGTGTATAATGTCAAAGCAATGTACATTGACAAATTCCATATTCCAAGATGATCATTCATGTATCTATACTAGGGGAACACGACTGCAGATGGAATAGTGATGGACAGTAAAGCTCTTGATTGAATCTGTGTACGGTTGAGGAAGGACACCAAGGCCAAATGACAAAGAAAATGAACAACGAGGAGAACACTTCAATCGAACGAGAGAGATGAGAAGGAAAGCAGGGAAGACGGCGATACCGTTGATGAAGATGCGGAATGGTGATCGGGCGGGGGAGAGTATGATTTGTGATTTTGATTGGCCGCTCAGGTCTTCAGAACGAGGTTTGTCGAGCTTTTCTAGGTCTCATTATCGACTTCCCATAAGTATGGAGTGTTCGGATGCACAATTGTATCCGAGAATGGAAGTGTGACCAAGGAGAGTTGACAACATGTTGTCTCTCAGTGGATGATACCACGCTTCTCAAGCCTATCGTGTATCTTCACAGCTGACTGTGTATAGACATCTGCAGACGGGGAAGCTCTGGAGTCCATATATGGACCACACTTTCATCAGAATGCTATACGGGTAATTTCCGAGGACACATGTCGATTTCATACCTATCCAGCAAAAGGTAGGCATAGAGGCGTGGACGGTCTGTATGTACGACTGTCGCTGAGAATCTAGGTGTGACCAAGGAGAGTTGATAAAGTTTTGTCTTTCGGTGAAAATACCATGCTCCTCAACATTACCATGCATCGCTATATCTATCTCTGTACAGACATCCTCAAACTGAGAAGCCCCATGTTCCTACTAAAGATTGTTTCCAGCTCATTCTTGAATAACTGACTCGAGTGTGGTACACTCTAATCTCAAACCCCGATTCCATCCCAGAGTGTCGCAAACATCAGCTGCGAGTTGCCAGTACGGCCAACTGAAGGCGAATGGCTCCTGCTGCCCAATACGGTATTATCCTCAGCGTAGAATCGTACCCCNACTGTGTTCTCGGCGGCATAAAGTCTTGTCGAGATCGCCGTACGACCATTGACGAAGACCTCCAGTACTGAGTTGTCGCGCCAGACTCGAATATGAAGAAGCTCTTCGACCGGCGGGCTGTCTTTTGACGCGTTGATGGCAGTGAATAGTGTATGTGGAGCATACTCGGAGGCTGTGTTGACCAACCCCTCACATGAAGCTGAGGAAAAAGAAGGACGTTCGACGGTGAATGTTTCGGTCTTCGGCGAGAAGGCTAGCGTCGTGGTTTGGGCAAAGTCNTGTAATCTTTGTCAGCGTCTGGAAGATCATGTTTGGTTCTCTTATCCAGACTTACCTCTAGTATGCACAATCTGTAGACCGATCTCTTCACAAGAAGCGGAAACCGCGAAGGAACAATCCAGCTCCCATGCTGATGTCTGCACATCATCCGATGTGAAGGCCAGGCCATAAGACTTTCTGCGTGGTAGAGGCTGGCTGAGTCTGGCTCTTTGTACAGAAGCCTTGGATCGCAACTGCTCGACAACCGAGGTCACAGGTTCTGTTACCAAGGTTCGCACAGTATAATTGCCGTCTGAATTGAGCTCAGTCTCGATCGATGTGATTGTCTCCAGATTCGAGTGCCTCGCGCAGACAACATTTTCAATCGTCTGGAGACTGACCTCTCGGGGCAAGGAGAGGAGACCGCTCCAACCCTGTTCACGACGGAGTTCGTCGCACAAGTCTTCCTCTGTGATCCAGCCCCAGACAATGTGCTTGGAGGTCTTGGGGTCGAAGAATGAGTTCGCGGCGTACAGGCAACCGTGATCCATATATCCGCCAAATCCATAACCCATCTGGACAGCATTTGGCTCTGTTTTTNNGATTGAGCCCGACATCCATAGTTGACCACGGAGTGGACGAGTTGGACCTGTGGCAGTACTCAAAGGTCCTGCAGGACCGGATGCACTCGGCAAACATCCTTCAGTACCCATGACGAGAAAATCGCGGACTACAGATGGATCTGCAGCATCTTGAAGGGTGAGGAAGTTTGTGACTTCCCAATTCTTTCCTAGATCGCCTGACCACTTTGACGGGCGAAGATTCAGGCCAAAGTTTACCAGAGGGCCGATGTAGTGCCAGCTTGTAAGGTCATTCGCATCCATGCTGTACAGGAAGGTTGTGGGCGTGACATCTCGAATGCCTCCTGAGATGATTCCGAAAAGAGTGTTGTCTGAGTCTAGACCAAGGGCTCTTGCCATGGAAGGCCAAGTGCTCACAAAAGGATCCCGCCAGCCAGTCACCTCCACACCACTTGGCTCGCTAGGCAAGATGGGATTGCCTGCAAACTTTTGCCACGTACGACCTCCATCAAATGATTTTGCCATGCTCAGAGATTCGCTTCCCACAACGTGCGGTAATGTGTGGTGGATGGGGAGATCGCTGACGGAAGTGTAGACATAGGTCAACGAGCCGTCTCGAGTAGGCACGTTGCAGCCTGTGAAGACGCCCTTGCCATCGTAGTCTGTGTCTGGGCTCAATGGAAGGGAGTGATTAGGTATCCATGTGGCCAAGTCCGGTGAGGATGCAGACTGCCATGCAATCTCACCCCAGTCTGCATTGTTGAGATCTAGGCTGGACTGGTACGAGATGTGATATAGGTCGGTAGAAGGATCATAGTGAGGTGCGCAGGGATCCTGGATATCATTAGCACATAGCCATGATCTACAAAGAGAGCCTTCGCCTACATTCATCCACCCCGATGGTGCTTGGAGGTGGTAAGATGGCCTCCATCGCTGAAATGTCGATCTGGGCCCAGCGAGCTTGATGTCGAGGTCACCCTGAAAAGAGGGCTCGGTGATATCGGTCGATTGCGAAGAAGCGCTAGGACTGCGGGACATTTCCTCCTGCTGGTTTTACTCATGGTTGCCGTGTCTGATTAGAGGTTTCCAAATGAGCGCGAACGAGATAGTCGCAGCTGTGAATATGCTCAAGAATTCAGAAAGAAGTGATAGCAACACAGTATTGATTTGCTAATTGCGACAAAGGATGTTGCCTGGTTACGGAGATCAAAGGATGGTGAATCATGCTGGAGGCGCCGGCTCTTCTTTTGATGATTGTCATGTGCTATGATCTGCCGGCTGCATTTTCGGCCTTCTTCTCAGAAAGTCAAGAGCCTCCGGCCGACCCACAACCCATCCGGGGAAACTCGAAGATAACGGTATAGGTGTAGTAGATTCGTGAAGATCCGGGGAAACTGGTTTGTTGGAGGGAAGGTGGGGTCGTGTTAGAGTTCACTTGTTTACTGGTGTGCACGGCGATACTGACCGCTTTGGGACTGTTTCCCGAAAGTCAACGCCTCCCGCATCTTCCTCCACGCTCCTTCCTCCGTTACACGCAAACATCCAACCTTCTCCATCTTCCTCAACTTCACCCCGGGGTTGTTGCACATGGGGTATATATCTTCAATGACCCACCACCATGTAGATCATAATTAGCAGAGCAGCAATATCATCAGCATCCAGCACTTCCTCAATCATCAAAGGATAGTAACTCTCTGATCACAATGTCTTCCATCGACAAGAACGACATCGCCCATCTCGAAGTCACCTCTGTCGATTCCAAGACTAGAGAAGAGGCTCGTCAGGCCACTGACCTGTCTACCAAGGCCCAGTATGCACAACTCGGCGCTGCCATCAAGAAGGACAAGCGCTTCGTCTGGTGGACTTTGTACGTTATGCTCTTGGTCTTTGGCTGGGGATACGATGCTGGTCTTTCTGGTGTCGCCATTGCCTTCCCCGAATTCAGAAAGCACTATGGACATTATTACACTCAAGGAGATCAATTTGTCATACCTGCTCTCTGGCAATCCCTTTGGAACGCAGCCTCTACTATCGGTCAGGTCTTCGGTGGCTACGCTGCTGGCCAGTTTGCCGATGTCACTGGCCGCAAGCCTCTACTTTATACTGCCGTCTTCCTGTCTTTGGCTGCTTCATTTGCTTTGGTCTTCGCACCAAACCTCCCAGTCCTCTTCATCTCCAAGCTTCTTCTCGGTCTTGCCGTTGGTCTTTCCACCGCCACTCCTCCGCTCTACGTGACGGAGAATGCCCCCGCAAATCTCCGCAGCACAGCTTCATCCCTGACCAACGTCATCATTGTGTTCGGATTTTTCGCCTCTTCCATGACTGGATTTGGTGCTTCCAAGATCAATGGACCTTGGTCATACAAGCTCGCCTTCATCATGACATTCGCCATCCCTACTGTCTTCCTTGTCGTCCTCCCCTTCTTCCCCGAGAGCCCTGTCTGGTACATGAAGAAGGGCCGTGAAGCCGATGCTCGCAAGGCTATCATGAGACTGTTTGGTGCTGATACCAATGTTGACGAGCGTATCGAGATCATCAGGACCGAGCTCCAACAGGCTGAGGCTGAGGGTAACGGCAAAGACCAAACCAGCTGGAGGGCCATCTTTTCCAAGGAGAACCGTACCAGAACCTTTGTTTCTGTCCTTGGGCTGCAAGTACAGAACTTCAGCGGAGGTTATTTTGCCAATGTAAATCCCCTGGATTCCATGATTAAACATAAGAAAAATGCTAATTTGACCCTAGNNACCTACCAAACTTACTATTTCGAGCTTATTGGACAAAGCGATCCTTTTGGCTTGACAGCAATCTCCTCCACCCTCCAGCTCATCGCAAACTTCGTCGCCGTCCTCGTCTCTGACATTGTTCCTCGCCGCAAGGGTCTCGTCGGTGGTGGCACGGTACTCATGTTCTGGTCTGTCATCATCGGTGGAACTTCAGTTGCAGGAACTACCAATGTCGCTGCCAACACAGCTCTTTTGGTCTTCATGATCACCTGGTCTATGCTCTACACCGGCACTGTCGGCTGCTACGGCTGGGCCGTGGCCCAAGAAACTGCTTCGCAAGCAACCAGACCCAAGACCATTTCTTTTACCCTTGTCTGTCAGCAGCTTACAGCACTCATGCTCTCTTCCGTCTTCCCTTACTTCATCAACCCCGATCAGCTCAACTGGGGTGGCAGAGTCATGTTCCTGTTCGTTGGCGCAGAACTGTTCATCATCACTGCTCTTTGGTTCTTCCAACCGGAGACCAAGAACAGAACCAACGCCGACATTGAGATGTTGTACGCTGCTGGTATCCCTCCTCGCCAATTCAAGAACTTTGCTGTTGTCAACGGTCAGGTTGTTGAAAAGGCACATAAGGATGGGTTCATGAGCCGCTTCTCCCGCAAGGCATAATCAAAACCTGGGGTACCAGAGTGGTGTGTACACATATATATAACTAGTCTTTGTTCTTCTTGTTTATGAGTCATGTATAGCGTCAATCAATCCAAATCTGTCTCTTTCACACTTCCTCCGTTTGCCAGACAGTGTCACAACATCATCGTGGGAATGCATAAAATTCGACTGAAGCAGGTGATGTTAAATGAAAAGACTGCTTTGTCACTCGGTTATCCCTCATTCTCTCCTGGAATCTCTCGTCATCCATGACCGTGTGTTTACTTTGAATCCAAGTCTCAACATTATTGCGAACCTATACATGATCGCATCTATATTCATACATCCATTTGCTATCACCTGGCCAGCGGAAGAAGTCCATATTGCAGTGCAAGATTCGGGTTGGGCATAGATGGATGTCTAAAACATTGTTGCCAGAGATACCCGGACAGCGTCTGATCCAAGAAAGGATAGATTGCCTACTTCGAGACGTTTGAAAAGGCTGCCATAGTACCATAGAAACTTCTACTTGGATCAAGCCAAGCGACATCAGTCTAAAGTTCACCGTGGTCCGAACCCCTCACAAGGCGATTACAACTGATTCCTTCGTGACTTGAACTGATTGCGATATGTGCTGGCCGCTGACGGACCGAGATGGATTTGTCGGGCCGATGTTTTTCGGCGAAACTCATCGTTTTAGGCAATCGCCGTGGAATAGTTCACCGATCGTCCAATTTTGGAACCAACTGTGGGGTCGCAGACACAGGAGGCGAAAGTATCGCCGGAAGTACCAACTTCTCTCGCGTCTGAGATGAATCTCCGGCTACGTGACTGTGACCCCGTGGAGGAGTTCAACGTCGTCTCCTCCGCTTGGAAGGGCGAGGGATCTGCCAAGTCGACTTTATCTTGCCTTCGCCCGCCACTTCTCTGAGCTGTGTCTTCGTCTTCATATCGCGAACCTTCACAACATCTTGAACATCAATGTCACCACACGCCGTCATGTCCAGTGCCTCGAGCAAGGCTTGGTGGAAGGAAGCTGTGGTCTACCAAATCTACCCCGCCAGCTTCAAAGACAGCAACGGCGATGGTCTAGGTGACATCCCCGGCATCATCAGCAAAGTACCTTACATCAAGTCGTTGGGAGTCGACACCATCTGGCTTTCACCCATCTTTGCATCACCTCAAAACGACATGGGCTACGACATCTCAGATTACCGCGCCATTCATGCTCCGTACGGCACAGTAGAGGATGTACAGACACTGATCGATCAACTCCACAACAACAACATGAGACTCTTGATGGATCTGGTCGTCAACCACACAAGTGACGAGCACGCTTGGTTCAAGGAGTCTCGCAGCTCTAGAGACGACCTTAAGCGCAACTGGTACTTCTGGCGCGATCCCAAGTTCGATGCCAATGGCAACAGGAAAGAGCCCAACAACTGGAAGTCTATCTTTGGTGGCAGTGCATGGCACTTCGACGAGCAGACCGGGCAATACTACCTTGCCCTGTTCCTTCCGTCTCAGCCTGATCTGAATTGGGAGAACGAAGACATGCGTCAAGCCTCATACGACGATATGCGTTTCTGGCTCGATCGAGGTGTTGATGGCTTTCGAATTGACAGCATGAACTTGATGAGCAAACACCCTGATCTCCCCGACGGCAAGATCATCAATGACGAACCCTACCAGTCTGGCGCCGAGTTCTTCGCATCCGGTCCAAGGATGCACGACTACATCCGTGAGATGCGAGCTGTCTTTGACGAGTACGACACAATGACTGTAGGCGAGCTGGGGTTCACAAACGACGAGGAGTCTGTCGGCGCATACGTCGGTAAAGATAGACACGAACTGAACATGGTCTTTACTGGCGATATTGTGGATATGGACTTTGGCTCAGATGGCAAATACGGCCGAGGCACTTTCCATCCACGCAAGATCCGACGCATCACCGATATGTGGCAGAGAGTCATGCCCAAGGTCAACGGCTGGAACAGTGTTTATCTCGACAACCATGACAGCGGCCGTTCGCTCACTCGTTACGCTTCAGACGCACCAGAACACCGATCCACAGCAGCCAAGATGCTTGCTACATACCTCCTCACCTTGAGTGGAACACCTTTCATGCTTGCTGGACAAGAGATCGGTATGGCCAACCTCGGCAAAGGTTATGGCGTAGAGGCGTACATCGATGTCGAAGGGCGTAACTACTACAACGCCGTGCTCAAGACAAGAGGAGGTAATCACTCGAAGATGGGCGATGTCATGCGCGAGATACAACTCAAGGCTCGAGACCACGGAAGACTACCTATGCAATGGGACGACAGTGCAAACGCAGGCTTCTCTGCAGAAGGTACAAAGCCCTGGATGACCATCAACCGCGACTATGTCGACTGGAACGTTGCGAGTCAGATTGAAGAGCCTGACAGCGTGTTGGCATATTGGCGCAAGATGTTATCATTGAGGAAGGAACATTCAGACTTGCTCACATACGGCTCTTACACACCGCTGAGTGAGGGTGATACTGGCGAGAAGGTGCTTGGATATGAACGTCAATGCCACGAGACTGGCAAAACTGCAGTGGTATTGCTGAACTTCTCAGATCGCGAGCAGAAGGTGCAAGTCAAGTCTTTTGCTCAGTGCGAGTTTGAAGTTATGGTTTCCAACCAAGACATAAACATCAAAGCTCACAACGTGACTCTGATGCCGCATGGGGCGGTCATTAAAGCTAGCTATGTAACTCTGATGCCATATGGTGCAGTTGTGCTTGTAGATGGATGCTAGATAATTTCAAGATAGATTGACTTCTAATGAGACATGACATGATTCTTTCGCTTCCCTTGATCTGTCCGGAAAGAGAACGAGGACATCGATCTCATCCATGAGAATACTGTATGTCGTTCCGACAGAGTATATCGGACCGAGTTGTGCATCTGCGGGCACGCCGAGGCAGATGAAGATCGTTTTGGTGGAGCTCTCCACACGCGGGGGTCGCGTGCGGGCAACAAACTTTCTTGCTTTACCTCCGTCCTGAGACTCATCATCATTCGGCATGTTTTTCCTCTCCCATTGCCATCCTATTGTGTCGACCGTACCAGCCTGTTTGTTCCATTGTGTTCAGCCGCTCGTTGGTATGTGAACAGGCGTTGATAATCCATTAGCCAGATATCTCGCATGAGCTCGAGCTGGGAACTAGGCCTCATTAATCCGTGACAGCAACATGTTCGCAACCCTCGATGTCGCGGCTGGAGTGCCTCAGAACCGGCAGAAGACGGTGGGCGACAGAGCAAGTCATATGTTGAGCATGATGTTTGTTGCTCACTCGCTAACAACTCTGCCTGCAGGCTTGCGATCTCTGTAAACAGAAAAAGGTTCGGTGCGACATGGCCATCCCGTGCAAGACATGCACAGGTCGAAACCTGGAATGTACATTCAACGAGGCGCGAAAGAAGAGAGGCCCTGCGTCTAGCCGCTTTGCAAAGCTGCAAAGGCGACGATCGAAAACGAGTCCTGGAGAAAGCGTACTGGAGTTCACGACCATGGCCCAGGGTGTCTCGTTGGTAAGCAGGAACGCTGGTCTCAGCCCTTCGAGCACCCATGATGAAGTCGCGAATCATCGGGCGAGTACAGCATCCTCAAACGACCTTGCCATGATTGCCTCGAACACTTCTCCGGTTGAGTACTGGGCTTCTGCAGTAACGCCCTATCCGCTGCCAACCACAAGTACGGGCACCAACCATGACTGGATTCCCAACGACGAGATACAAGGAACTCGCGCATTGTCAACATCAATACCTGTATCACAGCAAACTCTGGACGCTCCCGAGTTCTTGCTACCAAGTCTACCCGTTGAGTCACCAACGGATGATACGTTCAATCTGTTTGCCGCTATACAGGAGCAAGATTTATCGCCAATCATAGAAGCCGTTGAGATCTGGCCCAAGACCATCAGTCAGGAAGCCCTTCTCCCCTGGATCGACATTTACTTCAAGCGCTTACATCCAACTGTGCCTGTTCTGAGCCGGACAATGATATACCAAGAGATGCTTCTTAGGACTCATCACCACGACCCTCAGTTCGGCGCCATGCTCCTTGCGCTTTGTGCATTTGCAATGACTCAACCCGTGCAGATTCATGAGGTTGCGTCCACACCTTCAAGATCTGTTCAAGCTCGAATGCTATTGGAAGAGTCCATCAAGATGAGGATGACGGTTGACTTTGGAGAAAATCCTTCAGTCTACATGATCTTGACCAGCTTTTTCATCTTTGCTTGTCTGTTTGGAAACGGACAGCACAAGGCAGCGCATCACCGATTACGGGAGGCCGTTGACCTTGCTAATTCTTTGTCCATGCACCTGCCTCAAGCATATGACAGTCTGGATCTCGAGACACGAGAGCAATGGTTACGGACTTATCTGGTTCTATCAGTCACAGAAAGGTAAGCTAACGTCCAATCATACTATGAACCGCAAGTACTAAATCCGCATACANGAGCATATGCATTACAAAAGCGCCATTCTATTGGCTTCCGTGGCAGCCCCGCTGTGAACGCGTATTTCATGCGTGCCTTCGGATCGTCCGCGTCCTCCATGAACCAAGATCAAACAGACACGATCGGCATGACAGGTCTACTCTATCTGATGGAAACCTTCGACGCCATCGACGAAAGCGTTGTAGAATGCTGGGCTGGTTACTGCAAATACAGTGACGGTCGTTGCGAGACTTTTGATCGACGACAAGCGATACGAATGTTTCGAGCTCAGCGACGAGCTCGTGAAGCCTGTCTCATTGGCTGTCTCTCTTTCGAACCATCAACCTCGCTTTCACCGCTGCAGCAATTGCTCGAGAGTCAACAAGCGGATATTTCTGTGACTCAGTTCTGGCTGACAAACCGATTGTGGGAACTTTGCATGTCGCATGGCTTGCTCCTCGACTCTTCCGACCACGCCGAACTGCGGTTCGACTTTGCATATCATGTCGCGAATGAACTGCTCTCAGTCTGTGAATTCCTGAACCTGGCTTCGATGGAAGTCCACGGAGTCGGCCTGATCGAGAAAGTATATGATATTGCTATGAGTCTGGTCAAAGCGATGAATTCTTCTGCGCAGATGACACTCGACTCCAGCTTTCCCAAGCTCGAGATCTTGACTGATGAATCTGCGGATTCGCGCCCCACAGTACAAGTCCTTCTGCGACGGCTACACGAACTTATTCACAACTTCCGGGGTGGCGACCATGAGTATGCAACCAAGATTGCAATGGTCTTGAACAATATACCCGAATACAATGCTCCGGTGCAAGAAAGCGAACAACTCTTGGCTACATCTCGGGTACGGGTCTAGCGCTGCTGACACCATTATCGGATATATCTGAGACCAATCTATGGGGCTGATCTTGTCACGTACCAAATCTCATTAAACCTTTAGAAGGTTCCCGCTGCTCGCACTTCCCGCTGCACGAGGGCACAGATAATTGTAACTCATTCCATTCTGTTGTTATCACATCATCATATATGCTCCAAACATCAGTATATCCTAAGATCACATCCTCTAACGCTCTTGCAGCAGCTTCGAAATGCTCCAGGCGGAGATAAATCTGCGCGCTCATTCGCACCCACAAAGCGTTTTTGTANGCATTGACAGCGATATTGTGATCCATGTTCATCACCCTGTTCAACGAATCTGCGAGTGCATTTGAGCACTTCTCGCCACTGATGGGTAAGCGTACATTTGTCATGGCACAATCTCCTAGAGTGAGTTCTTTGTTTTCCAACACTTCTGTGCCTAGCAAGTTTGCCATCAGCTGACCACCTTGTCTCGCGAGATCTTTGTTGTAGTTGATGATTGCTCCTTCGCCCATCTTGTTGCCATACACGATACGCTTGCGCCATGCCAAAGCTGCGGGAATGCACAGATATGGCGTGTCATCATAGGTAGCCACAGCTGCAAGATTAGCCACGAAACTATTGGTCTGGGTGGCTCGTTCCTTAGTCAGGAAGTTGAAGCCTGTGGGTAGGGTTGACCGTATCAATTGTCGGTTTTGGAGTGGTATGTAGAGCACTGCGCATGCACGGGGTGTATAGAGCCATTTGTGGCAGTTGCTGACGAAGAAGTCTGGGTTGAGGTAAGAGAGATTAAGAGGTAATTGACCAACGCAACGGGCGCCATCGATGCATGAGAGAATGCCGTGGTCGCGACAGAGCTGAGCCAGGCGTTCGAAGGGCATGCGGACAGCAGGCAAAGAGGTGATTGTGTCGAAGAGTGCTAGTTTGGCCTTCTTGCCATCTTCCGAGATCCTCTTGAGCATCGTTTCGAAGTCGTTGCATATTTCGTCATCTGTGAGTGGTAGCGTACGCTCGATTTTGTAGATGCTGAACTCGTTCCGCTCGGCCAGATAGTTCAATGTATTCATGAATGCCGGATGGATTGTCGAAAAGCAAATTACTGCATCCTGAGAGTCGAGTACGAGATTCCGTAACACAGTATCGATGCCCGTGCTCGCATTCAGTACTAGAACACAGGTATCCAGNGGAGCATGAACGTAGTCCGCGATGGCCTGCCTTGCTTCATTGAGTAAATGAGTGCGAAACTCGTCTCGAACAAAGGTGTCTGGTCTTGCTTCTGCTCGCTCTTGGTATTTGCGATGTACCGACCTGACTTCGAGGGGATGTGTGCCGTACGAGCATGTTCTGGTCAATTGACTGAGACATGATCTGTTGGAAAGGAGCAACAAACCATGATTGAAATTGATGTATCTTTCTTCAGAAGCAAAGTGCCTTGCTGCCTCTTCGCCGCACTATATCGTTTGGGAGCTTAAAGGATCTCATGCTTGGAAAGCCATCTGTGAACCTTCCTCCGCAAATGTTTCGACGTCTTTTGTCGGGCTACGCTGGGTTGGCCTAGTAGAGGAGATATTACAGGTCACATGTGGTTTTCTACGGATTCGTCATTCCCAAGGTTCATTGAAGAGAAACTTGGGATTTCTGGCATTGATACACCGAGGTCTGCTTCTGGTCACCGCACGAAGTCAGGGACAGCAAATGTGTTGCCCAGGAGACGCAACAACCCCGCGTCCAGCAAAACACCGAACTTTGTCGCCTGGACCCTTGGTTTGGGTGTATACCACTCAAGAATAGAAGCGAACGACTGTTTACTAAAGTGAGTTCTACTGATGTGAGACACTGGCTGACTGTAGTATCGTTGCTTGAATAGAATTGGTTGCTGAGGATCTGTGACTCCAATTTAGGGGCGCGAAGGATTTCTGCCCCACTTGCTACTCGGCGTAATCACGACTGCTGCCTTCTACTTTGAACATTTGTCCTCAAGCATACCAACCTTTCTAAACCAATTCTCAAATCTCTCGTCATCATGTCCACCATCAAGAACGTCGCTATCCTAGGCGTAAGACACTCCACCATTACCATCCCTGCTTACCCCTGACCCTGACCCCTGACCAAAACCAGGNCCTCAGGCAACTTCGGAACACCCATAACAAGCGCCCTCCTCGCCGCAAACTTCAATGTCACAATTATCACCCGTTCCACCTCTACAACAACCCACCCACCCAAGATCCCCACCATACGTACCACCTATGATCTCGAGAACTTAATTCAAGCCTTCACAAATCAAGACGCTGTAATCTGCGTCGTGGGTCCTGGTGGTATACCTCTGCAANAAACCTTCATTGATGCAGCTGTCACAGCAAAAGTCCGAAGATTCATCATCGATGACTTTGGATGGGGTCTCACGACAAAAGGGTTTGCCGAGTTCGAGGAGATTCATAAGCTAAGAAGGCAAGGTTGGGATTATGCTGCTGAGAAAGCTGCTGAGAATTCTTGGTTTACGTGGACGGGATTGAGTACTGGAAACCCCATCGACTGGGTATGTACAGTATCTCTGAGTAACAGAGAAACCCATCAACGCTGACGTGTGGAAATCGATAGGNCAATGAAGAAATTTCCAATGATGGGCTTCGACGTCAACGCACAGAAAGCTATCATCTACGACGCAGGAAAACAACGGTTTACCGGCACTACCCTGGAAGGCATTGGACAAGCAGTGGTGGGAACACTTCAAAATCCCACTCTCACAGCAAACCGCTTTCTCGCCGTCCAAAGCATCAACACTTGTCAAAACGAACTACTGGAAGCGTTTGAGAAGGTCACAGGAAAGAAGTGGGAAGCCTCAAAAGAATCAACCAAGGCACTGATCAACAGCGGGAAAGCGGACTTTGAAGCAGGGAACGGGGTTTGGAGATTGAGATTGGCAGTAGCGACGTTATATGATGTTGGACAAGGAAGAGGGATGGTAGCGCCCTCGAGAAAAGACTCAGATGCCGAGTTGTTAGGAGTGAAGGACGAGAGTGCTGAAGAGATAGTCGCCAAGTTGCTTCAATGAACGAAGCATGCGACCTTTCGCCATTCTTCTGGGTAATCATAAGCAGCAATGCTACATCACCCATATCAAATCCTTAATAGTGCTGCACACCATAAAGACCCAAACGATGAGGCTTAACCATGACATCCATGCAAGTCCTCAACTCAACATCATGACTCTTGTCGAACCAAGGATGATCACCCTCCTTACGGTACTTGCAACCCTTGTCCGTCAGAAACTGCCCGCAGACAGCCGCAACATCGTGATGACCATCACAGTGTCCTTGGTTGGTGCGAAAGGCGCAGAGAACCTAGAAAGTCATGAGCCGAGTGAAAGAGGAGAGTGACAAGAGTAGAAAGGCATACGTANNGCAAACGCGCTTGAGTGTGCACTTTGCGCCATGGGGGCAGGGCTTGGAGTTGAGGCTAAAGGGGCAGTAGATGCTGAGGTACTGAAGCTCGGGGAGGCGCTTGCGGTCGAGATCGTCAAGAGGGTCTCGGGTAGGTGGTGCTTGAACTGGTGCCATGATGTGTGGTTGTGTATGGTTGTGTTCGGTTGTTTGAGCAGAAGTAAGATAGGAAGCAAAGAGAATGAATCGATGGACTATGCGATGTGAAAGAGGGAAGGAAATTCGCGAGTTCCAATGAAGTGAATGCAGGATGGTGAAGAGACAGAAATGCGATATTGTTTTTTGATTTGTATTCATTCTTCGCCGAGAGACAAGTTTACCAAATCAACAGGCGACCGACCTGTTTTCCCTGAACATAAAATTTTTAGACACCTCGATCCTCTTCCCTATGTGCTAGAGTATGTGACACGACATGCGCGACGGTCAGAAGCAGGGCAGTATCCAAGAGGTTGCAACTCGGCATGCTCTCTTTGGCCGCAGCTCTGGTCTGGGTATCATTGGGTCTGCCGACAACGAGAAGCCGCCATGGATCGTGGAAGGAGCAAAGTGGAAGGGACAGCGACTGGCAAACAAGAAGGCCTCATCTGCTCCCCCTTGTGGAAGCGAGACAGCATCAAGAGAACCACATGAGATCGGTGTCAAGGACCGTATCACCTTCCACAATATTTCTTGTAGCCACGGTGCCGGTGCCGTCATGAGTTTTGCTTTCCTCAACTCCAGTTGCAGGCACGGTGTCTTCGAACCACTGAGGGTCCGCTCGACATCAGACGCCATCCAAGAGCTTTGGACAGCATTGCCGAGCTCGTTGACAGGAGTGACACTGCGGTCGATATGGTTATTGTCAACGCCGTAGAAGCCGAGCTCGTGAGATACACGCACGGCGCCCATGAACAGTCGAACCTTGTAGTCGTGATTGCGTGCACATGCTCTCTTCTTGTTGTTGTTGACAAGCCTTCTGGTTTTTGAGCAGCGGGTTCCGTCGAGGACCGAGTCGCATGTAGGAGCAAACTTGTGCGAGAACTTGCAAGAGGCTGGACGCTTGCACTGNGATATATCCTGTATGAAGGTCAGTCGATATGTATGGCAGATTGAAGTAGCTGAACGTACCCAGCAAATATGCTCTAGCTGACATCCACCACCGTGGGAACACTTGCGGAAGACCAAAGTGAACGGACAAAATAGGCTCAGGCGTTGTGGCTTGTTCTGGTCGTCCTTGCACAGCCTGTAGAACGTGTCGGCGCACAGTACAGCACCAGGCTCGGAGGATGTTCTCTTGACCAGCCGAGCTTGAGCCCTGCTCTCAAAGCTGGAGATGGATTGGACAGGTGAAGCAGCAGTGGCCAAGACCAGCGAAGTCTCCTGGCTGGCGTGAAGACGGCGCAAAAGCTCGATGAAGTCGTTGACATTGTCCTGCGTCACAGTATCGCAGATAGCCCGGATCTGAGCATCCGGAAAGGACGTATCGCGAGCGAGAGTCATGAGCTGAAACAATATCTCACGTGTGATGGAGCCTGGCGATGATTCCAGGCATGTTGGGCGATACGGAAAAGGTCCAGGCTGCGTTCCTGTCCCCACAATTCAAGAGCACGAACAAGGTTGAGGACGTCCAAGTCCAGAGCGGTTGTCCTCGAGTTGGGTTACTCGATGCACGCAGGTTGTGTATGGACTCGCTTTGGAAAAGAATAGGATACGAATGGAGGGCGCGCCAGAGAAAAGGATTGAAGAAGAAGAGCAAAAAACACCTACCGAGTGAGGCTGCAGCTGCGACCTGTCGCATCTTTCGAGTGTTTGCACATGCTTACCAACGCGCCAAATCTGAAACTCGGTAACACGAGACTTCGTTTGTACCGAAGAGGGAATTCTGATCAAGTTGACCAAGATTCTCGAAAGGCACTCAAGGACTTCATCAGCGCAACATTAGATTTTCCATCAATGCGCATGTTGATGGAGTGAGGTTGGAGGTTCAGATTGGCAAAGTTGATGATCAGGGTGCTCGGCATCATGTAAACGTCATGACCATCGGGATACTAAAGAGCTCCCAAACGTACCTGCAGGCCTCACCTTCGACAATTTACAATCAATCCCTCTCCCAATTCCTCATATCACCAACTTACACATCACCAAAATGTCAATCATGAGAAGCTCCATCATGCGCAGCAGCCGCATCAACATTTCGCGACCTCTGCGTCCCGTAACCTGTAAGCCTCCAGTGAGCTTTTGAAGCGCAAGAATCAACCACTGACATCTCTCGAGTCATGCGCAGCTACGCCAACAAGAAGAACATGGACTCGACGGCAGGACAGGCCAGCCCAGGCACAGCATCCAACGTCGGCAACCCCATCAGCTCCAGCCCCGAGTCCAACAGCGTCAACCAGTCGCGAGCCACCGATGCCCGTACCGGATCGCCCGACACAGCCAGTGTGCAGACACCCGTCAGTGACCCAAAGGGGTCAGCTACTCAAGGAAGAGGAGGTGACAGCAGCATGCAGGAGGCTTTTAAGCAGGACCCCAATGCTCCTGCCAGCGAGAAGAGGAAGAATGTCGAGGAGATGGGTCAGAAACCGCTTGACCCTGCTGACAAGTAGGAAGAAAGTCCAATGACGATTGTTATGCCTGTATATTAGTATCATGATAGCAACTTGGAAGTGCTGCAGGAACATGCACTCGAATGAAACTTGACCAAAGCAAGCTCTCTTTGCTCACAAAATGTCCAAGAAATGTGGGATTTCTGACGAAAGTACGATTGCCTAATACTTCGACCTCGTAACATTGCTGTGATGGATCATTGATAAGAGCACCGCTTGATGATGGTTCTGCCCTGACAGCTGACAGACCCGTCGGAGAAAAGAAGTCGGGGGACAAATGCGGAGAGGCGGTGCCAAGGCAACCATTAAGCGCCACTTTGCGACGCGTGCGTCAGGCCTAGCATCATCACCAACGGCGAGCGTCCAGTGACACAACCGGCTCTCGACTTCTAGCTGCCTACCTACTCACGAAAGAATCAGGTCTTTTCCTTCTCTACCCCAAACACATACACACTCTACAACATCAAGATGAAGTTCCTCAGCATTTTCAGCGTCGCTCTCTTGTCTGCCGGCGCATCGGCGCGTAGCCTCAGCTTCATGGGCAGCGACTCGCAGCACGCCCTCGAAGAAGAGTTCCCCGTTCCTGGCGACAACCCTCTGCTCTTCTGCGCCGCCCCCACCGACAACATTCTCACCATTGAGAAGGTTGACCTGTCTCCCAACCCTCCCTCTGCGTAAGATCTGCCCTTGTATCTTGTATCGCAATACCTGAAGCTTATCGTGTTTGTGCAGTNNGGCGTCACTTTGTCCATCAAGGCATCCGGAGTATTGTCGCAGGACGTCGAGGAGGGCGCAAAGGTGCACTTGCAAGTCAAGTACGGCTTGATTCGCATCATCAACCAGGAGGCCGACTTGTGCGAGAACCTCAAGAATGTCGATCTCGAGTGTCCTCTAAAGAAGGGCCCCATGGAGTTGACCAAGGATGTCGACCTTCCCAAGGAGATTCCTCCGGTAAGCCTGCATTCAGAATATGGACGAACACTTGCTGACACGCTGGTACAGGGCAAGTACACTGTCCTCGCCGACGTTTACACCAAGGACAACGAGAAGATCACCTGCTTGACCGCTACCGTCATCTTCAGAAGAGGTGGTGCCTTTGAGGTTGTCGCTTAGACGGGGTTATGTTGGAGACGGGGGAACGAGGTTGCATCATGTATCATGGAACGAGACAGTCAAGCGCATAAGCATTTGAGCATTGCAGTATAGTAATAATGTATGGGATCGGGGTATCGTTGAACTTGTGAAATGCACCATCTACTCTCCAAACAGCTTCTTGACGCGCTTCATGACGCTGTCCTTCTCGGGGTCGTAAGGGTGGTCCTTGGAGGGAATCTCGAGGAGAGAAGGGAAGGCTTGGGTGTACGAATCGACACGGCTGCGGATCTTGTCGGCGATCTGTAGATGGAATGAGTATGTTGTGCAGGCATAGACGTGCGTAGAATGAAAAGCGGCATCGNNTACGTGCTGGTTGATGAGGACTATGGCAATGTCCTTGCGCTCTTGGGTGAAGCTGTCAAAGGCCTCCTCAATGGTGTGTGTCTCGGTCTTGTGGTCGACGACGAGGTAGTTCTTTTGCGAGTCCGGAGGGTCGGTAACGTGCTGTCCAGCGAGGTCAGAGGTTTATCCAGAACTTGGGCATTCAGGTCTTCATACTCCGACTCCAGCGAGCAAGACACCCGTCACCGAGTCCNNTGTAGGTCGAGTGTCAGCAGAGGTCAAGAGGCAGGACAGTGCTATGATTACCTCGTCACCAATAACAGCAAGGAACTGACGGTCCTTGTATGCGGATTGTGGAAGAGCCATGATGTGTTGTTTCCCTCCCGTCGAGGAATGTTGCTGTCGCTCCTGCTGTATGCGGGACGAGTTGACGGCTGAACTCCGGGGCGTGTCGACGTCACTGTTTGCGAAGTTGAAGTCGCGAAACAAACACTTTCCTGCGCGTCCGTCGAGCATGTGAGAGTCGACCAGAGAGTCTCCGACTGCAAGATGCCGCCTATCATCCGTCGAGCTCCCTTGTCGGAGCGCATCAAGGCCTACCTCAACCCATACGACCTTCTTCTCTGGATCGCCGAAGAGCTGCACGAGAGCGCTCTGGATGAAGCTCTGCGCGACTGGGGAATGCCCATTGGCGTCACTGCCAATGTCGTCTTTGCATGCGCCAGGTGGGGCTTGAAGAAGAACCCCAACGACGACATCTTTGGCGACTTTGAATCAAAGAGCGGCTGGTTCTACTGGTTTGTGAGTTCTTCCTCCCTCTCTGTCTCGTGCATTCTCCGACTGATCGCCTTCTCTCCAGNNGTCTCATTCATCGCACATTTCCTCGCCTTTGCATCGCTGTTCAACGCCTTCTATACCTTCACCCGATCACGCAAGTACCGCCTCTTCGAGAGCTCCATCGAACAAGCCCCGTCAACGCCTTCTGCCCGCCGAGTGCGCGTCGACTCTTCTCCTTCAGCCTCGCCGCTCGCATACTTCTCGTCCATCATCTCTTCCAACAACGTCTTCTCACGGCGACACCCCGATCAGCACAACGACGTCTGGGAGGTCAGCGTCTGGGATCCCAAGCCCTTTAATCTCGAATTATTTGCTCTCTTCTCGCCCGGCCATGTCCTTGTCTACTGGCTGTTCCTGCCTACGAGCGCCGCCGATCCTCGCCCTTCGGTCACTTTCGTCACAACTATCCTCCTCGCTGCTCTTCTAAGCGTACAACTGCTCTTCTTCAAGAAGTTCTTCGTCCAACAGGCAAAAGACTCGACTCTGATCCACAAGGAAGTCATGAACGAGTACGACACCAAGTTTGTGCACCCCAACATGAACCGCCCGGTGCGCGACGTGGGCACCCAGACAAGAGACACGGCTACAAGCCCTGGCGGAGCAAGAATCAGGACAAGAGAGGTCGACGTCTACACGCCGCACACTGTCATCAACAAGGGATTCAAGGTCAATCCCAACCCAGCCTACGTCAACCACCTCACGGACGACCCCCGAGCCTTGTACGCCACTTCGCCGACCAAGAATCTGCCGAGAAGCGTCACGACTCCTTCCCTCCAGCCCACATTTGGAAGCTATAGTACAGTTTCATCATTCAACACGAACACCATGTCATCGTTCGGAGCGACGCACGAGCCGACAGACATCTTCAACACGCCAGGTAAGGCACTGCCGTTGGCACGCGAGCGAGCGACAAGTCCATTGAAAAGAGCGGGAGATGGAGGAAGCTTGGGGGTATACAGCCATGCAGCAAGTCCGCTACGCAAGAGTGCGAGCCGGCAGTTGCTTCGGCCAGACGGTAGACCACAAGGAAGTCCGTTGAAGAGGACGGTCAACGAGGAAGGAGGCTTGACAGAGAGATTTGCCAGGCTGAGCGATGCGAAGCGCAGGGATTCATCAAGGTATTAGCATTTCTGGGGCATGTGTTTATGGCGTTGCTGAGGGTCTTGCATTGCATGGAGAAGGATTTTGAATTAGGGGCTGGTAGCTGCATCTTCTCTGAGCTTCTTGACAGAGAGCATAATCATATTCAGTGTCTTCTTGCTTGTGTTGAATACTTGATCGAAACCTGTGAAATTGTGTTGCGGCGAGCTCCAGCAAAGTTTCCCCACGGCCTCGGCCAGCCATGACGACTTATGGACCTCTCGGCCAAACATCAACAATCAATACAAGCCTAGACTCGACCCAATGCCCTTGACATAACCGCAACAATGAAGTCGCCACGCTCAGCAAAGCGCAGAAAGCTCGAGACAATATCGGAAAGCCCGCAGCGCACAAACAGCACGACAGCACCACCGGCCGCAGCAAACAAGACACCCCGACGAGACCAACATGATGCCCGCGATACCATCCGCGTCGCCAGTGTCGCTACGCCCTCATCGCTAAACCTCACGCCCTCAAAGCCCACGCCGCGGCCAGCCCCANCGTCTGCCACCAAGAGCAACAGCAAGATTGGGGGCTTGATGGCACGTCTGAATGCAAAGATTGCAGAGAACCAGTCGCCGCAGAAGTCTCCCGTCAAGATTGGAAATGGGACTCCTGTGGTAGTGCGCGCAGAATTGCCAGAGGTGGAGAAGAGTGCCAAAGTCAAGACGCTGTCGCAAAAGTTGAGGGAGACTTTTGAGCAGGAGCAGTTGGAGAGGGCGGCCAAGCGGAAACCGAAACGCACTTTGGAGGATCAGATGAGGGAGATTGAGGATGCGAATCGGAGGGAAGTCCAGGGTGGTGGGATACAGAGTGAAGTGATAAAAGTGCAACCTCTGCCCACGCAAGAGAAGAGGAAGCCTGGCAGACCGAGAAAACATCCTATTGTGGAAGTGGATACGGTGGATGAGCACGATGGCTCTGTGAGTCCTTCCAAGCTCGCCTCGGCCAGGAAACCTCAGATTAGGGATATGAGTCCTATGCTGCTGCATGGAAACGGTATCCGGCAACCTCTCTTCACACCACGCAAAGGAACTCTCTCGAGTCCCTTGAAACAGCCTCGCCCGCAGGCAATGATAGACTTGGACATTGCACCCGCACAAACAAACGCATCAGCCAACCTCTGCATGCCCGCCAGCGATCTCCAAGCCATCCAGACCGCCGTCCTCGACCAACTGCAAGAACGAACACACACACCCTTCACAAACCTGTCTTCTGAATACGAAAAGCTCGCTCAGGTCATCAACCAAACAATCGTCGCTGGAGAAAGCAACAGTATCCTCGTCATCGGCGCCAGAGGAACAGGCAAATCCGCAATCGTCAACACAATCCTCGACGCCCAAGCCCGACAAAATCCAGACCTGTTCCACGCAGTAAGACTCAATGGCTTCATCCACACAGACGACAAGATTGCCCTCCGCGATATCTGGCGCCAACTCGGCAAAGAAATGTCGCTGGATGACGACGACATGGCAAAGAATGCAGCAGACACTCTGACCACTCTACTAGCCTTACTCTCTCATCCAGAAGAGCTAGGTAGACCCTCCGACCAAGTCACCAAAAGCGTCATTTTTATCTTGGAGGAATTCGATTTGTTTACCACGCATCCACGCCAAACCCTACTCTACAATCTTTTCGACATAGCACAAAGCCGAAAAGCTCCTATCGCTGTCATTGGCACAACCACTCGCTTCAACGTAGTCGAGCAGTTGGAGAAGAGAGTAAAAAGCCGCTTCTCTCACCGCTATGTGCATCTATCCTCTGCTGCAAATCTGTCCATCTACAGAGAAATGTGTCAAAATGCATTAACGCCGTTTTCCGCTGCACAAGGACTCACAGAAGACGCCAACAACACTTGGAATAAAATCATCAATGATTTGTTCAGCACGGAGAGTTTCAACACCCATCTCCGCACTTTATACTACATGACAAAAAGCATACGAGCTTTTCACACCAGCATGCTTTTGTCAATCTCTACACTGCCCTGCTCTGCCTCAACACCAATAACTGCAGAACACCTCCTCTCCCACCTCAGCAATCTTTCCCTTCTAACACAACTCAACCCACCAGACTCCAAACTCGCTGCCTTGCACTCCCTCTCCTCTCTCCAACTAGCTTTGCTCATCGCCTCTGCCCGTCTCACCATCATCCACGCCTCGGAAACCGTGTCTTTTGCCTTGGCGCACGCTGAATACACTTCTCTGGCTTCTCGCGCAAAGATTGCTGCGTCGGCTTCTGGTCAATTGGCGGTGGGGATAGGCAGGGTATGGAGTAAAGATATTGCTCGCGCGGCTTGGGAAGGTTTGGAACGAAAGAAACTGGTGTTGCAGGAGGGTAAAGGTGGGAGTTATAGGGTTGATGTGCGATTAGAGGAGATTGGGGAGACGCAAGGACTGGAACTGGGGTTGGCGATGGCCAAGTGGTGCAAGGAGATTTAGATAGGCTATGAACAGTCTTGAGAACATGAGCGAAGAATGGAAAGCCTGTCTCGTCAGTCAACATGATTCCGAAGCAAAGAAAAGTTGCTCCCAATAATTCGCAATGACACATGACGATGAAGGGGTGTACGGCAAGACAGAGTATTAGAAACGTTACATTCAATTCGTGAGCTAGCATTTTACTTGTGTCGGTGGTGTATCATAATCTAAAGACGAGCCTGGAGCTTCTGCTCCTTGGGAACGTCGAAACGGTCCAACTCCATGACCTTGACCCAAGCAGCGACAAAGTCCTTGACGAATCTGTCCTGGCCGCTCGACGAGGCGTACACCTCGGCAATGGCACGAAGCTCAGGGTGCGATCCGAAGACAAGGTCGTGACGGGTGGCCTGCCACTTCTTCTCGCCAGTCTTGCGGTCCTGACCAAAGTAGATTTCGTCCTTGCCCTGCTGCCATTCGGTCTGAGTGTCGAGGAGGTTGACGAAGAAGTCGTTGGTAAGCTGGCCAGGGCGCTTGGTCAGGATACCGTATGATGAACCGTCGTGGTTTGCGTTGAGTGCGCGGAGACCACCGACAAGAACAGTCATCTGAGGAGCGGAAAGAGTCAACAAGTGAGCCTTGTCAACCAGGAACTGCTCTGTGCGGACGCGCTGGGTGCCCTTGCCGTAGTTGCGGAAACCATCGACGACAGGCTCGAGGTGCTCGAAAGACTTGACGTCGGTCTGCTCCTCGGTGGCGTCGACACGGCCGGGGGTGAAGGGGACAGAGATACCAGCAGCCTTCTCAACAGCGGCACTTCCACCGAGGACGATGAGATCGGCGAGCGAGACCTTCTTACCACCCTTGGCAGAGTTGTTGAAATTTTGCTGAACCTTCTCGAGGGCAGCGAGAGTGGACTGGAGCTGAGCAGGGTTGTTGGCCTTCCAGTCCTTCTGGGGAGCGAGACGAATGCGGGCACCGTTGGCACCACCACGCTTGTCACCACCACGGAAGGTGGAAGCAGAAGCCCAAGCGGTGGTGATGAGCTGAGTAGGGTCAACAGCCGAGAGCAACTCCTTCTTGAGGGAGGAGATATCCGAGTCGTCGATGACGGGGTGGTCGAGGTCGGGAAGGGGGTCCTCCCAGATATAGACCTCCTTGGGGATTTCAGGACCAATCCAGCGAGAACGAGGACCCATGTCACGGTGCAACAGCTTGAACCAAGCCTTGGTGAAGGCGTCGGCGAGCTGGTCAGGGTTCTCTGCGAAGCGGCGAGAGATCTTCTCGTAGGCAGGGTCGAAGCGGAGAGCAAGATCCGAAGTCAACATGCGAGGCTTGTGCTTGACGTTGGGATCGTATGCGTCGGGAATAATGGCCTCGGAGTCCTTGGCCACCCACTGGTGAGCGCCGGCAGGAGACTGCTCCTTCTCCCACTCGTACTTGAACATGTACTCGAGGTAATGGTTGCTCCACTTGACAGGAGTCTTGGTCCAGATGACCTCGAGACCGGATGTGATGGTGTCGGGACCCTTGCCAGACTTGTACTTGTTGTTCCAGCCGAAGCCCTGCTCTTCGATGGTTGCGCCCATGGGCTCGTCGCTGATGTTCTCGGTGGGACCGGCACCGTGCGTCTTTCCGAAAGCGTGGCCACCGGCGATGAGGGCGACGGTCTCTTCGTCGTTCATGGCCATGCGGCCGAAGGTGGTGCGGATGTCGCGGGCAGAAGCAACGGGGTCGGGGATACCATCAGGGCCCTCGGGGTTGACGTAGATCAGACCCATGTGTGCTGCGGCCAAGGGCTCCTCGAGCTCGCGAGAGTGAATGTCAGTGTGCTCCTTCTTGGACTCGTCACCATCGATGACACCGGGCTTGTCGGGGCCGGGCTGACCGCTGGCGTAACGGACATCGTTACCGAGCCATGTCGACTCGCCACCCCAGTAGACCGACTCGTCAGCCTCGAATGTATCGGCACGGCCACCACCGAAGCCAACAGTGGGGAGACCCATCGACTCAATGGCAACGTTACCAGTGAGGAGGAACAGGTCAGCCCATGAGATCTTGTCGCCGTACTTTTGCTTGATGGGCCACAACAGGCGGCGAGCCTTGTCGAGGGAAGCGTTGTCAGGCCATGAGTTGAGAGGGGCGAATCTCTGTTGACCGTCACCACCACCACCGCGGCCGTCGAAGACGCGGTAGGTACCAGCCGAGTGCCATGCCATGCGGACGAAGAGACCACCGTAGTGACCGAAATCTGCAGGCCACCAGTCCTGAGAGTCGGTCATCAGGGCTGTGAGGTCCTTCTTCAGGCCTTCATAGTCGAGGCTCTTGAATGCCTCAGCATAGTTGAACTGGTTGTTGTAAGGGTTTGAGACGCCTGTGTGTTGGCGAAGGATGTTGAGCTTCAAGTCGTTGGGCCACCAATCCTTGTTTCTAGTGCCACCGCCGCCAGTGTTGACGGTCTTGTGGCTGGCCTTCATAGGACATCCGCTGGGAGGGGGAGACATGATGTCGTATGTGTGAGGAGGATGGGAAGGTAGGGAAAGGAATACTCAGGGATGAGAGAAAAAGACAGAGGAGGGTAGAGAGAGCAGGAGCGACCCTTGTATATGGTTGCTAAATAATGGCCCGGCGCCGACTCGGGGAGAGCTACAGCTGACCCCGCTCTCCTGCCCGAATGGGATCATGCTGGATGGAACTCCCCGCCCTCGGTTTAGACTTTGGCAATGTTTACCAACGGCAACCATTCACCGACGGATCTTTCCACTTGCTGACCATGGCGTGCATCTGCTGCTCGAAGATGCAATCGTCGCTTGATCCATATCACTCCCTGCCTGCTGTCAATTCGAGAAAGCTCTCCAGCTTGATTGCTCCCCGACAAGCTCACTTTCTTTGCCGCGAAGAGTTACCCAACTCGGAAGTCATAAGTTGATGTCCAAAGAACGCTGTGGAGACGGCAGATCCACGCCCGCATCCCACGCCGACACGCCGGCCTCGGCCAACCACCGTTTATGGATTTGTCTGGCCATGCCCTCGGTTGCGTGAACAACCAGGTGAGCGGCCTTCCTTGATCCACGGCTTCCTCCGTCGTGCTATGATATCAAAGCCCGATAAAGCTTGCGACTGATGGATCTTTTGGCGCGATGGGGAGAAGCTCTCATGTCCCGCGGCATCTGCCGTCTATCGCTTGCTGACCGCAACCACGTGTGTTTACACTTCGGGACAAGGGACGCGAGAAATGACCCTGATGGAAGACCACCGAAGCTGTCGTCCGGAAAGTGGAGGAACGTGGAAGACGTCGTCTTCATGGTTGTGCCTTATGTTGCTGCGCCCTTCCTGTCCCCATCGGACTGTCTTTTCTGATCTGCGTCGAGGAAGCAGTTCTCTAGCCTCTCATGGCAATGAAAATGTGTTGCGACCGATACTCGACATGGCCGTCTTGTTGCATGTGAATCAATTCCCACGAGGCTTCGATGACCAGATATTATCCTACTTTGTCACGCTCGTCGATAGAGACTATCAGTAAGTCGCAAACTGATGCCACTAGTGATTCCCAAGTCGGACCTTTCCACGACACGACAAAGTCAACGTGTTGCACCGCCGTTCTCGCGATGGATTCATCGCCGGAGCTTTCCATCGAACCTCTTGGTTCACTCCATGTCTCTTACCACACGGCTTCTGCCACCGAGCAACGACATTGATGGACAATCAATAATGCAAGCAATACCGAGCTCAACCCGATCACAGAGCCATTCTCAAACTCCAACTCGAGCATTCGGGCCTTCCCCAATATCGCAAGCATCCCTGCTTGCACGGCCGCGCGGTCCTGGTACAAGAGTTCAAGATAGAGTAGCGACGACTTATACACACTTTGCAATTGTCATTCATACGCTTGAGATCTCCAATTCGCAACCTTGAAGTAGGTCGTGTCGCGCGAACTTGTCATCACGTCTTGCGAAGGGAATGAGAATGTAGTTGTGAGAACGTACGACATGTTTGTGGAAAGAGTAGTGTTCGTGTACTCCATCGGCTTTCATTGATTATCTCCCTGAATTGAACTGGTTTGTATGGCCTTTACAAAAGCAAAAGGGTAGCACCCACATGTTTTGTCACACGTGGATATAGAGAATAGTGGTATGCAGACAATCTGGGTAATCGGAAAGAACGAATGAAGCTTGGTCCTCGCCAAAGTGTTCACGAGTATACTCATCACGCTAAATGCATTGTCAGAATATAACAATGGTACATGCGATTGGTTTCTACTGTTAACCGGTCTATGTTAATGTGCCGGTCGTCCTGGTGGTCGTGGGCAATGCGCAAACAGGGTGTTCCTGGCTACATCGATCCGGAGAATCTTCGGGATTATCAAAGTCTTTGCGCTGGGTAAGCAGCACCCATCTCAATCTTCTTCACTGAACCCATCTCAAAGTAAAGTTTCAATCGCTCGCTTTCGTATCCTCGCGACTCTCCTGGCCAAGCGTACCAGGAATGATCCGATGCAGACTCGACAAACGACGGCCAAGGGGTTTTGGCCCGCGGCTCGATGGCGGAAATGATTTGTGTCGGACTCCATTATGACAAGTTTGAGAACTTGATCTCAGTACTTGGAGAACAAGGCTTCTTCCCGAATCCCTTTGTTGATAGCTCTGGCGAATTCGCTTCTTAGCATGGATTCACTCTTCAGACGATCTCTGAGGCTCTTCGGGATCTCGAGTTGAATTCCCTCTTTCCGCTTGCTTCGATTGCAGATGTTGGAAGCCGCCGTCCCAGCCAGTGTCTCTCCAGGCTCACGGACCACAGCCCCAAACCCACCTTTCACCAGCTCAGCCATTGTTCTCCTGCAACGTTGAACATCCAAGCCACCAATCCAAACTCGATCAGGATCATTACCATCCTTTCTCCCGTGTATCGCGACAGCTGTCTCGGCTCTCTCGACAAGTTGTAACGCTTGAGGTTCGTCGAAAAGATGCGATGACAAGTGAAGCTCGCGATGACCATGAGTGTTGCGCAAGCCTTGGAAGTCATAAAGTGAGAGGTCGTCACCTGCGACCGCGGCCGCTATTTGGGATGTTCCTGGCTCAATGTCTCCTCCATGTGGTGCAATTATCACAATGGCAGAGCCACGGTCTTTGACAAGTATCTTGTAGTCGGTGCCTTCGATTTTTGCGCTGGCAATCTCTTGGAAGGATTTTCGTCGCGGTCGAGTTGGGTCTGTCATTGTGGCTCTCACAATCAATTTTGACCGGCGGAGTCGCATGCAGAGCCACTGATGGACACAAATGTGCTATTGTTCATCCGGTCTACGAAGCTGAACAAGCCTGAAGTGTCGCGAAATGCTACAAGCGTGCGTGTCGTGTTGTATATGACATGGCCGGTTTGCTGGACAGTTGAATGTCGTGGTTGTTGAGTTCCGAGTCCTCTGATATCCCCACTTTATCGATTTACCCGAGGCTATTACGTCAAGCATGGACAGCTGAACGCAAGACACAGAACTCCAGACACGATACTCGACTTCAACTCAATCACTGGTCTATTGAAATGGAGCAATTCAAGGTGAGGAAAGGAATGCTTCGACGTTGAAGTATGACACTTACTTTTGAGACTGGTGACGCTTCGATTCCTTGACGATCCCCACGTTTCGACATGCGACTTCCGAATTCTCGAGACATGAATTGTTCTCCAGAACAATTTGTGTCCAAATGAAAGCATTCAGGATGGCGAACACATTTCTTGAACATTCCCAATTGGGCCCTTTACAGGGCATTGCTGTGACCGACAGGTTCACTCAGTTTCGCTCTATTCCCTACGGATCTATCAAGCAGCGATTTGCCAGGTCTGCATTGTTGCCGGACGTACCAAGAAGAAAGCAACTCACTACGAAACCCATACCAAAAGAAACGTACGATGTCACAAAACAAGGACCCCAAAGCATACAACCGCTGCAATCTGCTCACATGGACGCCAAGTCGAACCAATTGCCCGACGATGTTGAAGAACAGGAGCAAGCTGAGAATTGCCTGCGACTGACCATCACGATACCGAAGGACACGACATCAAACTCGAAACTGCCGGTCGTGGTGTTCATCCATGGCGGCGCTTTCTTCCTTGGTTCCGGGGAAAGAAAGTACTACAATCCTCTGACATTCTGTGCCCAAGCATTGGAGATGGGAAAGCCACTTATCTTTGTTTCCATCAACTACCGGCTTGGAGCCCTTGGCTTTTTCCACTCTCCCAATGCAGAAGGTCTCATGCCGTCTAACAATGGCTTACATGATCAGATCACCGGGATTGACTGGATACGTCGCAATATCGACGGCTTCGGAGGTGACAGGGACAACATTACTGCCATTGGGCAATCAGCCGGCGGTGAGAGCTTGAGCTTACACAACATGAGTGGAAGGCGAAAAATCCTATACAAGCGATCCATCATGTTCTCTGGCACACCATTGACTATGCCCGACAAGACGCACTCCGAACATCAAGACAACTTCATCAATCAAGCAAAGAAGCTGGACATCGATACTGAGAACCTCAGCAGCATGCAGATTGCTGAGCAGATGATCAAATGCGACGTTTCCAAGATCAGGGACCTTGGATTTGTGGGCTCTCCTTGCGTTGACACCGACATCATCCCGCACAGAGACCACGCAAACCAGTGTGACATCTCCACTGGCAAAGTTTCTCAAGTTCCCTGGCTGGAATCGCAGATCATCAGTTCCTGCACTTACGACGGTAGCATCTCGAATATCATGATGCGAGGCGACGACTCGCGCAAAGACCATGCAAAAAGCTTCATCAAGATTGCCAAAGAAGTCCTCAACGACCCTGAAAAACTCTTGCAAATCTACGATATCCGAGAGGTCACGCCTGACGAGGAAGCACTGGAGAAGATTTGCCAATTCGAATCTGATATCGGCTTCTTTTCTGCTGCATTGGCTGTCGCAAGAGGTACGGCTGATAAGACAACCACTTTCTTACAACTCTTTGATCTTGGAAATCCATTCCCTGGACCTCTTGAGCAGAACAAGTTTGCATCACATACCTGGGATATCGTGGCGTTGCTAGGAGCCTATGAGGATAGGCTATCAGAAGACTATGTGAAGAAGATTCGAGAGTGGAGGGCGAGGTATATCAGATACATCGTTGATGGCGAAGCTCCTTGGCCACAATTCAGAAAGGGAGGTAAGGAAGCAATGTTTGTGGTACCTACTCATGGTCCGGCTGAGGAGAGAGAGCTTGCGACTGTTTTGCAGGGAAGGCTTGGAAAGCTGATGGATCTGGCGAAAGAGGGAGGAATTGATGGAGCTGACACTTTGTGGGAAGGTGTTTGTCGACGCTGGCTGATGAAGGGAGAGTGAACAGCTGTCGCATTCGAAAACCGTACTGTCGCATATTGGAGCGTCATGATCAACTATCACCAGTACAGTCGCTCCGACTGATATTCTCGCATGGCCTGACTTGACATACGCAGTCGTTTTGAGTTTCAAAAAGTGGACCATCACGTCATCGCGATCTGCAATTATTGAACATCAACAGTTCAAGGTGTCAAGAAGAAATTCCTCCATCTCTGTCAATATCGTACCCGTCCACAACAAAAACCAGGACAACATGCGGACTAATCACTTCCTGGCGTTGCCAATTTCTGCGCTGGTCGCAACAAGCCTTACGACAGCGCAAGCATTGCAATGTCCAAGCAATTTCCAAGGACAAGCATCGCAGATGATTGCAAGCAATATTGCACGAAGCCAAGGCGCAGCAGCAAGTTCTTCAGGCACTGGTCTGATTGAGCTCGGAATCTTCTATCAAGCCCTACGCCAGGGTATCGCAGCGACCAATGACACGGCCAACAAGAAAGAATGGACGGCATACTTGCACAACAGCACAGCAAGTGCTGTCCCGCTCTTATCANATGCCACTTCCGCTACTCAGCTGCCTCTGGACCGCTTCTCTATAGGCACTGAGATGATTAGGCAATGGCAGGAAACAGGAGATCCATCGCTTCTGTCTGCCATCGACGCGCTACAGGACTCGCTTACTCAACAACCACGAAATGCCAATGGAGGACTTTGGTACTATGCCAATCCCAAAAGTCTGACTGCGTATCAAAATCTGTCGTACACCGATGGTATGTACTCGTACCCGACTTTTGCGATTCTTAGCCCCAGAAATGGTACTCGAAAAAGCGATATTTTCAGTGCTGCGGCGGTGTTGAAGCAACTCGAGATCCTCGAGGTCATCTGCAATGATGGCACGGGTCTTCTTGTGCACGGATACGATGCCTTGGAAGCTCATCACTGGGCGAATCCGGAGACTGGTGCTAGCCCCTCGGTCTGGGGTCGTTCGCTGGCATGGTATACTCTTGGTGTAGTCGAAGCCCTGGATTCCTTACCATTTATGCCTCAGCACTCGACCACACCGGAGAACAAGATCGCATACAACAACATGAGGCTGCTTCTCAACTCTCTTATCAAAGCCCAGATCATTGCTCTCGAGCGCGCCACAGCAATCAATGGTAACTACGGCGTCTGGCAAGTGATCGACCTTCCTGGCGCTGCCATCAACAGTACGGAAAACTTTGTCGAAACAAGTGCAAGTCTGATGACTGCCTACTCGCTGCTCAAATCAGTCCGTATAGAGGTTATTACATCACCAAGCCTCCGCAACAGAGCCATCAAAGCGGGCCTCGGGCTTTGGGATACCATACTCGATACACAAATCACGAAAAATGCGAATGGATCACTGAAGCTGGGAGGCACGAGTCCTATCGCTAGTTTGAGTGCGCAAGATGTAGATGCTCAGGTTTGTGCAATTTCTATCAAGACATAAAGTGATGTGCTGATAAATTTGTTACAGTACTATTTCTCGAGACCGGTTGTGAATAACAGTTTGATTGCGACTAGTGCTTTCATTCTTGCTGGTCTGGAAGTTGAGCGGTTATGCGGTTGAGACAGGCAATGCGTGTTAACTGCTCAATGGCTTGCCACCATTTCCTTCAGCTTGGCCCGCCACACTTTGCCTGACAACAATCGAGGCACGGTTTCCACAAAGATCACACCACCACGCAGTTGTTTGTGATCCGACACGCGCTGCTTGACATAATCTTGGATATTATCTGCAGTCTTCTGACAATCATCGGCTCCGGGGCGCAGCGCAACAAAAGCGCGTGGGATCTCTGTATCTTGAGCTACGACTCCAGCCACAGCTGCGTCGGCGACGGATGGATGTTCGCAGAGGATTGCTTCCAGCTCAGCAGGTGCAACTTTGAGTCCGTTATGGTTTATGATTTCCTGGCGAAGTTCGTTTAGTCTGGTTTCGAACGATTGAGTTGGAATGACAAACTCACCTTTNGTGCGTCCTACTACGTATAGAAGCTCATTGTTCTCTCCGAGTTGCATCATATCCCCTGTGCGATACCAACCGTCTTGAGTGAAGCCAGACGCATCTGCCTCGGGGTTGTTGTGGTAACCTTGTGTGATGACTGGACCTTTGAGTAACGCCTCACCGGGCTCGCCGACAGAAACATCTTGGTCATTCTCGTCGACCAGTCTNGCGATCTTCTGTTAGCAAAAACTTGTACAAGAATGTTTCGAAACTTACCTCATCAACATGTTCGGCAGCAGTGCTCCTACGCTACCAGAAGTCTCCCTCATTGCAGGAGAAACATGAGTGACAGCGCCAGTAGTCTCGCTCGCACCCCAGGTCTGGCTAAGCAGCGTCCTATCCTCTCCCTCACCTCCAAATTTTGCACAATGATAAACCTTCTTGTTCAGCGGTGTAGCTCCGGAGTAAGCAATTCTCAGAGCCTTCAGCTGATCAGTGACTGCCGGATGTCTAGCCAAGCCCAGGTAGATCTTGGGCAGACTGAAAAATGTCGTGATGCGATACTGCACATTATACTTTAAGAAAGCGCCAAAANNGTCAAACGAAGGCATCCAGTACACAATCCCTCCATCGTAAAAGCCATTGACAAAGTATCCTTGCACGCCGGAAACATGGGCTGTGGGAAGATGTGCCAGAGTGCGTAATTCGAAAGGCTTTCCTGCAATCGCCCACTCTTGCCAGATGGGTCGGTTGATGTAGGCGGGTAGAAAGGCTTCTGCTACCATGTTGGTATGCGAAATCAGAACACCCTTCGGCAGACCCGTAGTTCCAGATGAGTAGAGCATACAAATCTTGCTCTGTTCCAATTCTTTTGGATCGGTGATTGTTCTCCAAGCAAGCTCCTGCTCAAATTCGCAACAAACACTCCCATCAATGCTTTCCAATCTGATCTCCGGGGTCGATGAAAGGACAAGCACGTTTCGTTTCGACATGCCCACTGTTTCTGCAGCGGCTTCTGCTAGAGCTTTGACATCAGAACTGCAGACGAGGACTTTGGCTGCTCCGTCTTTGATCTGTCGCACGAGTTCCTCGACTGTGGCACCTGGACTTGCAGCCGAGTACACGCCCTCGGCAGCAATGACACCGAAAAATACACATGCAAGTGCGTGTTGGCCAGTAGAAAACGTAGCCACTACGTCTTCCCCGGCACCGTGCTGACCGATGCTATACTCAAGGCGCAGGAAATAAGCAATTTGACGAGTGAGAACTCGCGCTCTCGATTTTGTGATGACTTTAGTAGAGTCACAGGCTTCTGCATATAAAGGTGTATCTTCTTTTGCTGCGCAATGATTGCATTCTNNGTGGGTGTAAGGTCAGTCTGTGGATGGGTTTGACATCACAAGATGACATTTACCAAACAGAAAGGTCAAAAGGTCCACACTGGGGATGTCAGTCACATTATTTCTGTTGTATATCATGATGGCGATTCGTCGAGTTTGCTGTGAACAGAGTACGATTCCGGAGACAAAAAGGACCTACTCGGCATATCGACAGCTACTTCACAAACCAAGTAATGTTTAGTCGACAATCAACCTTCATCTCTATTCCGTCTTGTCGGTCCAATTTCCTGCCACATGTGAAACTTGTCTTGCTTCTTCATCTACATTCGTCTTTCTCTGCGGGTTTAAGCTCGTGCAAGCACCATATCACGGGAGCGGCAATCCCTTTCTTCCAAATCTTTATATTGCATTGTTTGGAAGGTCAAAGCGATGAATATCATTGACTCGTGTGTATCGGAACCGACCGAACCAAATATTTTTCTGTCATCGACGCCAAGGGTTTATATGACAGCAAACGTGGTTGAGTGGATCTGCAGTGGTGGCATTGCTGAGTAGAGTGGCCAGTGGAATTGGGGTAATGGAGTTTGTTATATAACCTACTATAAACTCGGCCGCACTCAGCCAGCATGTTCTCCAACATGCTAATGCCGGAGTTTTACCATCACTTGTACAATTGGACACCAATATACCTCGCTTCTTGAGTCGTTCCTACATGCAGGTGAGGAAAATCTGTGTGAGTGTGAAACAAACTGTCTCACAAGCACAAGAGGGACGAATTGACAACTGGGATAGGGTTGGCGAGACCCATATGTGGTTCCCCGCGCCGGTGCTCTGTTCATGGGTGACTCCTCTTGGCCCAAGAGATGATATCAAGCCTTTTGCTGTCATCCTGTCCTTGGTCACGGGATTTGCAAGCGTACAAATGCTATATACTGGTAGACAGGCCTGGGTCAGTCGGGACGATTAGCGAAGCCTGGCAGTAGATGATCGGTAAAGTCATTTTTGTTCAAGAGAGCAACATCAAGACAAATTGAGCAAACGAGGTATGTGGCATTATACGTGCAAAAACGAACAGGAGTTGTATATTCCTAATTACTGGTAGAAAGCAACATTTCAGATACATGACTGTTGAGCAATCAAACCACTTTTCAATCCTCTCCATCACTCTACTGAGAAGCAGCCGGAGCAGTAGCAGATGAGATAATAACATCAGCAGCCTTCTCACTGACCATGTAGATGGGAAGAGCAATGTACATGCCGGGAATCTTGGGGAAGATAGAGGCATCAACAACACGCAGACCATCAACACCGCGAACACGGAACTCGCTGTCAAGAACAGCCATCGGGTCGTCATCGGCACCGATAGGAGCAGTGCAAGAAGCGTGGTGACCCCAGGCCTCGTCCTTGATGAACTGCTTCAGGTCCTCCTCAGAGGAGATATTAGTCGGAGGCCAGACGCGATCGAACTTGCCATCGAGAGGGATGAGATCCTTGAAAGCCTTGATACCGTGTTGAACACCCTCGTAGACGGCTTGGAGATCCTTGTCGCCACCAACACCCTCACCGAGGGAGTGGAAGACAATCTTGGGGGTATCGCGAGGGTTGGCCGAGGTCAAGTTGACGGTACCAGCGTTGTTGCGAGAGTGAGCCTTGAGAGTGAGCCAGGTCCAGATGCTGAGATCTTGAGTGGCGTGAGCAGAGTATCCAGGGAAGTAACCGTTGAAGTAAGCAGGGACACCACCAAGGAAAAGATCGGGATCGCTTTCGGAGACGGAAGAGTGGTGGAGGAAACCAAAAGCGATACCGTTAGTAGTGTAGCCACCCTTGAGGGCTCCAACGTTGTTCTTCCAGTTGTCGTAGCAGGGGTCATCGCCCTCGAGGAATGCGCACTTCTTAAGGAGATCAAATTCTGAAGGTGCCTTGCCGACGACACCGACCTCGTATCTGTCTTGCATGTTGCCACCAACACCGGGAAGATCCTTGACGACTTTAATGCCGTGAGTGTGGAGCTCCTGAGCAGGCCCAACACCACTGAGCTTCAAGATCTGGGGNGTGTTAAAAGCACCACCAGAGACAATAACTTCGCGGCTGGCGTGAACAGTACCAGAGATACCGCCATCCTCTGTACCAGCACGAGGGTCAGCACGGTACAGACTCTGACCAAATAGGTAGTCGACACCAGTTGCCTTTGGCTTGGTGTTGGAGGTATTGAAGTTGACCTTAGTGACGAGAGTGTTGAGAGCAATGTCGAGCTTGTACTTCTTGGAGCCGTCCTTGTTGGTGGCTCTAGCGACCTGGAGAACAAAGTCACGAGGAGAGCTACGAACATAGTTTCCATCCATAGAGAGAGGGATTTGGTAGATGAGTTCATCGTTGTCGCGAGACGGGCTAGGGTTGTTGATGTCGAGAGTGAGGATCNNTGCATGCAGCGGTCAGTATGACTTTGGTGGGGTTAAAACAATGGTAGCAAATACCTCAGCAAGACCAGTCACGGTGTGCAAAAGACCACCGATCAAACCTCTGCCCATGGCAGTAGCAGCAGCAGTAACAAGCGAAAGAACCTTCAGGTCCTCGGCGATGAGAAGAACGGGAGTAACGCGAGTCTCCAACCAACCACTGAAGCCGTGGCCGACAACGCTGCTGGGCAAGTAGCGGTTGCGCTCGAGCTTCTCGTAGTATTTGCGCATGTTGCTGGCCATCCAGGACTGGTCGCCGGTTATGCTAGCGATGCTGTTCCAGTCATTGTCGGTAGCAGTGATGGTGACCAGGGCATTGTGCTGAGCGCAACCACCAAGAGCACCAGTTCTGGGGTAAAGGATACCCTTTCTTACGGAACCTTCAGGGGGGTTCAAGCCGGAGTAGTATTCGCCCGAGGGAGTGAGATAGGTCATCTTGGAGTCGCGCTTAGCCTGCTCCTCATTGGCGTAGTGGTCGACGAAGAAGTCCCATTGAATAGGGTGGTATGTGCTGGCGTAGGGGTGAAGAGCTGGAACCTGGACTTGTCTGTCGGTACCGTGGTCCTCGCCTGCGTCGATAAGCAATACGCTGTAGCCGGCAAGCGCAAGGCGAGCTGCAAGAGGAGATCCGCCGGGACCGGATCCAACGAGGATGTATTCGTAAGTAGAGTTGGCGTCAGGTCCTTTGGTAGGGAGGTTGTATCCATTAGGAGGATATTGGGGGTCGTTTGAGAGTAACGGCCATGTCCACTCAAAACTGCTGTTTGTCAGTACACGACTGCGTCATTGTTTGGGTTGTACTTACGCGTTTGCGCCTGCTGCACATACAGCGATGATGCTGAAAACCTTCATGGTTGGAAATTAAGATATGTAGGATAAAGTAAATAAGAAATAATATGGAGCTCAACTGACAAGAAGAGTCTTGTACAGTACGATAAGCCGCGAAAGAGCGGATGCGAGGAACTCAGTGGGTAGGAAAAGATTGAATGACTGTGAACGACCCTCGTGGATGAGAAACAGAAAGCAAAATGTAGAAAGGAATCTCAGACATGTTATAGACTTACCGAAGCACTCAATGCTTGAATCAAGTGGCGGCCCAAATTGAGGTCAGAAGATGATCGGGCAATACGGCACGCCTAGTCGGTCCATCTGTATCTGGAGCGGCCAGAATGTGGATGATCATAATTGAATATAGGAGAAAGCGTATACACTCACATACGCGGATTGATTAGAACCAGGGACAAAAAGTATTCATATGGTATCGAGGGAAGAAAATTGATGATGGTGGTGATGGATTGAGTGGAGGTTCCCTGCTAGTTGCCGGCAGCAAGCGGTCCATATTCGGTGCCGATCATCTACCGGATTCAACATCGAGTCGAGATGAATCAATATGTAGCTCTGGTGCTTTTGTCTTGGGTGCTTGGGTGCTTTGGTCAACACTGGAAAGAGGAACCATGTCCGTGTTTACCAGGTCAAAGCGGTGAGGCTCGCGCTCAGAGCATCACTTGGTCAAGCCTCCTTGACTCGGGCCGTGCCCGGTTCCAGAGCCCGTGCCCGGATGAACATCTTCTGTGGCACGTGTATTCATAAAGCACCATAGCATCATGTTTCAAGCGTAGTTGTGATGTTGACCAAATGTCTTGTCTTTGATTACTCCTAAGCATATTGCAAGCGGTGATTTCAGACCTGGTTACGCTCACGACCATCGAGATGATCCGTTCTTCGAAAATCAAATCAGGGGATCCCCTGTTACGGCCTGAAGTTGTAGAATATCCTCATCTGAACACACACTAAAAGTAGGCCATGGTCGAAACTGGGAAAACTTGAGTGGCTGCTGTACTCCATGCGTTTTTGATGGAGACTTTGAGTGGCTGACGTATTGGACAACCATTAGATAAACATTTGTTGTTGCTGGTTAGTTCAGCGCTGAGCTGATGCGTCTCTACTCTGTGGTGTACTCTCCGGCTTCCCGAGAGCAACCTAGCGGTGATGGGTTACTGTTCAATCAAATCTCGATTGATGATAATCCAGAAGTACAGCCACAAGGGTAATTGTACTCTGATGACAAAGGAAAAATAGTCTCAAAAGACTGTTTGACTGGTTGTCCCAGTCCTTGATCATTCCAGTGTTAAGTTCCATCCATGAGTGTACTGTATGACTCTCGCGATAGTGAGGACACAGTGCATGTGTCACTCTCCTCAATGTCGGTTTTTGTTCCAGAGAGAGTTTTGTATCAGCCTTTGTTGCTGCCCATGTCTACCAGAGGGATAAAATCCTCCTCGTCTCCATGTTTCGGCACAGAGACCGACTTTTCCTTGACTAGTGCACCGATTTTGCTCCCTCCCAGTGAGCTACTGGTAAATCCCGAATTGTTCGAGGCCTGGTGGCCAGTTGGTCTGGAATTGTGTCTGGTAGTACCGAGGGAAGACGCGCCGAGAGATACGAAAAGAGCTCGGACTGAAGGTAGACATGCGCAGACGATGCCGACATGAATCTCGACGGTACTCCACCAAGCCGCGTCGTTGTAGTCCCCTAGATGGAGATGTCAGATAGGTTTGCAAACCGATGACTCGAGCCACATACATGTTATGTTCTGAGTATTTGCAAATACGATCAAAGAATGCAGTCGAACAACACTAACAAAAGTGACANNCTGTGAAAGTAGATCGTCAGCCATATATCAGTGGGTAATTCTCTGAGTGACTCACAAGATACCAAGTGAGAACATGATCATGACCATAAGCTTCTTCTTCAAGCTGGTATTCAGTGCATAGAGTTCCCTCAGAGGAAGCACGAGAATGATAATATCGATGACAATGTTGAAAATTGCACTCATCCACCCCTGGATATGAATATTGTTGCATGAGCCTGCGTAGTTGTCGTCGAGTTGCTTCCACGAGTATGAAACCGGACTGCATTGGAATGTAGTAGCAAGAACGAATGAGAGACCATATGCAACACAGACTCCCATGACGACGTAGACGATCTGGCGGACGCTCTTTTTGGGAAAGACACGGAGGAAGAATGCAAGGATCGAGATCTTAGTTGCGGTGATCGAGGCAAAATAGAAGATCTCTCCAAGATAGTAATACNNTTTTGACGTGTCAGTGGGTGTATTGCAGTTTTGATGATCGGAATGTCTTACGAAAAGAACGTTCTCAATATTGGCCAACGGCAGTGTCCACATGTCTTTTCCAAGACCGTTTTGGATACTTCGGAAGTATTGTTAGCATACTTGCCTTTGGCATACAAGTTGATGATTCAACTCACGAAGAACAGAGAACACCGTCGGGGGTATACCGAGAGCGACAGCGACACAGATGGCATAATCATCCATGCCCATATGACGCCCACCAGCTGGCAGTACAGAGCAGAGTCTCAAAACGAATATCACGAGAGCGATAGCACCGCCAATGACTCCGATGAGAAGTGGCTTCAATGACTGGTCTCGTACTGGCGCACCGCACATTTCGGAAGAGACATTCTTCGTTGCTGGAATCGGAAAGTCAACAAGTTGATCCAAGATACATGATGCATCGATGTGGTCACTCACTNNCAATCCTTCGAACGTAGTGCACGTTTCCAAGACGCACATTGTCAATTTGGTATTCAGCGGAACGTTGGTACAAAGACAATTGACATCAGTCATTGTACAGGCAGACTCAGGAATGAGCTTTTTGAGACAGGCGAGCNNTAAAGATTGTTTGCTGTCAGATATCAGATGTTATCAGGGATTAGGTATCGAACTCACTGTACACTTTGGGTAATTCTGCGCCATCTCCAGAGCAGACTGGGCATCAGAAGCAGCGTAGGTCGTCGCCATCAAAGCAGCCGTTACAGCCAGTATTCCGAAGGAGATCTTCATGTTGGCTGAGCTTTTGTCCTGTCCCCGGATGGAAGCAGTGGTACAGCGCCACAAGAAAATGAGTGAACTGGTGACAGGACGAAAAGTCGGACGAGACTGGTCTAGAAGAAGGGAAAGAATCTATTTCAACTTCATGCAAGTAAACACATGAGTGTGCAGGAAGTCTAAATGCTCAGGGTTCAATTCAAGGTCTGCGGTGTGGATTGATCCCCGCTATGAGAGTCAGGGCCGATGAGATACGTGGGAGGTTGCTCTAGTTCGTAATCGCATATTAAAGGGTGTTGAAGGTCTGGGTCATTATCGGGAGAGCACTTGCTGGGTTCTGTTGAGCACCTGGGAAAGCAGTTCTTCAGCAGGCTCAAATCAGAGCCAATGATCTATCCCGGCATGTGCAAGACATTATGTCGGATGTTGACACGACCATGCTCTGCGCTAAAACTACCCCAGTCTTTGATCTGCAAGAATCCTTCGCGGTTCTGGGTGAGCCCATAAGAGACAGCTCTCATTTTCTATACGACGAACCCATTGCAAGACTGGTCCTCTCTGACCAAGATCGTCTTGAGATGTGGGTCGTTACTGTGCTTCTCTAGCTGACTGTCAACTCCGCCTGTGATAATAGGTAGTCTGCTGTCGTGGTCAACAACAGATCAACAAACAGTAACGCATTCGGTTAAGGTTAATCAAGCTATACTTGGTGTCGGGTCGGGTATTCGGACCGTTCAAGTCCATGGTGCATGACAGATGTCGGAGGTTCTGACAGGACTCTGATGTCGATGATTCGGATGCAATTGACCTCGTACGAGTCAGTCGGCGGAGGTCCTTGAAAGCCATCATCTATGGCTTGTCGCAAAAAGATTGACTGCGCGTTGCACGAACGACGGGCAAGATTTGAGTGGGGAAGTTGTATGAGTAAGCGGCGCCAGCGCAGTGTGCACCGTGCACTCTCACATCTTCGACCCAAGCTGGCGACTGACAAAGTGCTCAAGCTCAATCAAGACAACCGCCCACGTCAATCAGGGCCACCACCCACAGGTCTGGTTGGGTGGTAAGGTATCCACGCGGCCATATTGCGTACATGTTCAAGCTTTTTCATATCTGTGACCATCCAATTGCCTGCAGTTTTTCATGTGGCATTCTATCAAGGACTCAGGAGTGTCTTGCCCTACGTGGAGGCACCATCATGGTCATACCGGTATCTGGGATCCTCGTCTGGACATTCTTCTGCAATGCTATGACCATTCAGTTTTGACGATCTCAATCATGGTAACTGCTGGCGTGTTCGGGGGCCGCCCTTGGTCAATCTCTCAGAATGGCATCAATCCGCGGTTCATCTTTCGGGAACAACAGTTGTAGGACGTCCCGCGCCGTGTTCCAGAAACGTGAGGTCCATATCGTTCTCTAAATTCTGCCAGAGTCCTCAGAGATTCTCCTCAAGTCCTTGACACTGTTCTCTGACCGTCGTTCTTTACCCCACATCTGCAGGTTCATCTTGCGTGCCTTCTCCATGAAGGTGTCCATTCTTTCACTCGGGTCTTGTGCCCTGACTTTGCTCTCTTCCAGTTTCGTACACTCTTTTCCAACTGCTGAAAATTTAGCGAAGCTTGTCCATCACAATGCGATTCACGATGCCGCTTCCTCTTCAGAAGGTTTGCATGAGAGTCTCTTACGTCTGAAGGAGAAGCGTCTATTCTTCGATCCGATGACCACCCCAATCGACGGTAAGTGTTCGGATCATCTTGACAACCATTATGCTCTTGCTGATCACGAGTAGNTCACTGGCGGGCACGCTTTCCAAGCGCCGGACTTCGACAAAGGTGACCAAAGAGGTCCTTGTCCTGGACTGAATGCGCTTGCCAACCATGGATACATATCTCGTGATGGTATCGTTGGTGTATGTCATTCCGATGCGCGCCTACTCCAAAACCGATCACTGACAACTCACAAAACAGNNTTCTTCGAAGTCATCACTGCCGTCAATCAAGGTAGGAGCACAGGTTTTACAGTTTCGTGAGCGATTCGCTGATTTGTGGTAGTATACGGTATGGGTATTGACCTGATCACCGTCCTTACAGTCATGGGTACCGTGGGCGTTGGCAACNCCCTGTCCTTGAATCCCGGCTTCTCTATCGGCGGCAAGAGTAAAAAGGCAAACAATCTCCTCGGCAACCTCTTTGGACTACTCGGTACGCCTCGGGGTCTAAATGGCTCTCACAACTGGATCGAATCCGACTCGTCGAACACGCGTGATGACTTGTACGTAACTGGTGATGCATCAACCATGAACATGACCCTCTTCTTGGAAGCCTACAACTCCTCGGACGACTTTGTTCTCTCCATGGACGATATTGGCGCTCGTGCCGCAAAGCGATTCCAAGAAAGTATCTCGATCAACCCAAACTTTTACTACGGCCCTTACACTGGCATGATTGCCCGCAACTCTGGTTATGCCTTTACTGGCCGCATCTTGAGTAACCACACCAAGGAAAACCCTATGGGAGGTCACTTGAGTAAGTCACCGCTGCGATAGTATGTGACTTGGGAATTCTACTAACACACTCGCAGCANNAAAGATGTCTTTGCCAGTTTCTACGCCGTCTACGAAGAAAACGGTAAACTCGTCTACCGCAAAGGCCACGAGCAAATCCCCGCGGACTGGTACAGAAGACCGATGGACTACGGTCTCGTTGAACTCAACCTCGATCTCGTAGCCTGGTTCCTCAAATACCCAATCCTCGCCAGCATCGGCGGAAACCTCGGAACAGTAGACAGTTTTGCTGGTCTGGACCTCGAAGATATTACTGGAGGCGTCTTGAACGCTGTATCACTGCTGGAAGACAACAATCTCGTTTGCTTTGTGCTTGAGATTGTAAAGACATTTGCGCCAGACTCGCTGTCGTCGCTGTTCAAGACTCTGGCGGTGCCGTTGAAGCTTGTGAATGATGCTATCTTGGACCCATTGCTGAGTCTCAATTGCCCTGCGTTCAAGGACATGGGTATGGATGGGACTGATCTTCTTACTGGTCTTCTTAACAAGTACCCTGGCGCGGGCAAGAGTGGTGTTGCGTTCTAGGTATTCGAGGAGACCATGTTATAGTTGGTAAAAACCAATCACTCTCTGGTGCGGGTGCGATTCTGTTTGTGTGTTCATAATCTTCGATGCACGTTTCTGTCGCATACCTATAGGAAAAACAGCGAATTACTGAGCGAATGCTCGAAGCGTCTTTTTATACTCCTAACCTCTCCGTTCTGGCAAATCTCTGTTATTCAACAATGATTGTATGTCTGTTTCACTGTTTGACTCTTCCATGCCCGAGTCCCTTCGACTGTAGTTATACACATACTCATCTCGTAGACTCTTTCCCACCTGGTCTACATGAGCCATGCAATGCAACCCTCTCCAGACCTTCAGAGATCTGCCTTTGACATTGATCTTTAGCCAAGCACACACGCTTCTCTGGGTGTCAGTATCAAGCAGAACATAGTTGCACAAACAAGCTACGGAGACCATCTATCCAAAGTCAGGGTTGCTCTATCAGCCGCCGCGCGACTCGATTAGTCAGCAGCTTCGGCGTCTGTCACCCTCATACGAGTGCTTCCACAATTGAGCCTTGTACATCTACGAGCATGGCATCTTTAATGCCCACGCTCTCAAGCAATGCGCAAACCGATCTGCCACAAAGGACACTTTGCCAACACACAGAGGTCATAACCCCAATCCAAGAATCCTCAAGCACAAAGATAGCGAAGAATGTGTTGTCAAGGATTGCACATCATATTCAAGAATTCTGCTATGCAACGAAATCATGGAAGACGCATTATCGTTTAGCTAACAAAGGGACTAAAAACATATCATTACCATGATTCAGAGCAGCAAAGAAACCACAAGCGAGCGTATCGGCCATATCTTCAACCCAGTAGTTCTTTCCAGGAAACATCAATGTTTACCAAGGCACAACCGACCCGTCGAAGGCCAAAAACTTGCCCGAAGTCTCCTCTTTGGTTGCATTGTCAAGCTGNGAGGTCATCGTTAGCACGACATAGTTGATAAGTGTGAGGCAGATGGTACTCACAGTCTTTACCATGCCATCAATGCTTGTCTCCAAGTCAATGAAGAAACCAGGAGGAGCATCAGTCATACCCATACTCTCAATAACCTGCATAGCACCAGGAGTCTTGACAGCTCTATTTTGCCCTCAGTCAGCTGCCAACCCAAAAATCCAGTTCAGTAAACAAGGAAAACCCAAAACATACCCAGGATGCAGCGCAAANATAACCAACTCAGGATGTTCCTGATGCGCCCTTCTAACCAAGAAATTGGCAGTAGCCTTGGAAGCACCATAAATACCCACAGGGAAAGGTATATCGCCAGTAGTGGCAATAGATCCCGCAAGCGAAGACATGTAAGCAAAAACACCCTTTTCAGCTTTCTGGNNAAGCAAAGGCAGAGATGCCTGGAAGAGTCGAACCCAGCCCATGGCATTCACATCGACTATATCCAACAATGCTTTGCTAGTGATGTGGGCGACCTGTGGCTCGGCGGGAGGGTCATAGAAGCCAGAGTTTGCAATCACCAGGTCTAGATGGTTGATGCCTTGGTCTTTGATGCTGGAGATGGCGGAGAGGCAGTCGGTGTCGGAACGTGCTTCCACTTTGACAATGATCAGGTTGGTTTTGTGGCCTTTGGAGATCTCATGCAGAGCTTTGGCTTCCCGCNNGCTCGAAGGGTCGCGGACGGTGGCTACGACTGTGGTGTCCTCGCGACTGAGGTAGCTCTTCAGCAAGCCGAGACCAAGGCCTTTGTTGGCGCCGGAGATGAAGACAGTGTATGGCATGTCGAGTAGTTGAGTCGAGTGCTGAACCTCGCTTTGGAGGACTAAGATGATTGTGTTCAAGTGTCGTTGGTGATGAGTTCAAGTACCTCGAGCTACATTGATGGTCTTATATAGCACACTTGCACATCTTGGTTCAAGGTATCGAGGCCGAAGGAATGAGCACATGACCAAGCAGATAAAATCACAACCACGGAGCGAACATGTTGAAACAAAATCATGACCAAGCAGATGGAACGGCTTACACAATCATCGAGCAACGTATCAAGACAAGATCCGATGGTCGCAGGATCATAAAGGCATATATCGGTGGATGAAGTCCAATGTCCGACCGTAGCGGAGAAATGTCACTCCGGCTATAGATGAGTTGGCCTGGGAATGCTTGGCTATATATCCTATCTTGACCGGCGCGCTCACCGTTGCATCACAGCAGTCGTTGCAGGATACTAGTCAACAGCACAAGTACACCAATTAGATGGGAAGACATATACCACATTCCTTGGGTGCGAGCATCAGCTGAACTTGCGCTGATCGTAGTAATGATTGAAGCACTCCAAAGCCTCATGCAAGTCGCCATCAACACTGACAGTCTACTGCCTCCAAGCAGCAACATCAACCTTCGTATCCCATAGCTCCAGCGCTTCATCCCTAGTCATCGTTTCCCCACTGACAGGTGGCAATCGCCAAACCGTGATACCAAACCCACTCATCTTCAGACTTGTTACCAAAGGACCCAGCGTAATCCTTCTAACCACAAATCCCCGGTTCGTCAAGTCTGCAATTGCTATCTCGGCAAATCGAGCAAGAACTTCATCACTCGTGCTGCCTAGAGAGTTGAGTAGGATCACCACTTCGTTGTCTTTCTTGGAAGATGTGGATGAGGCTTCGGAAAATGAGGCTGAGGAAAAGGGGATGAATGCTCGATCTGAGTCGGAGATGTCGAGGAGTAGGTCGAGCATCTGAGTTGTGAGAGACTCTGGTGAAGGAACAGGGTTGAGTTGTCGTAGGCCAGGCTCGCCGTGTGCGCCCATACCAAGTTCGATAGTTGCAGGTGGTAAAGTTTGCAAGTCGGTCAATGTAGCATTCGGCAATGCGACGNNCTGGTCTCTGTCAGTTGTGGCATCGATACAGAACACGTCCCGAACTTACCGATCAAAGGCAACACCCACGGTGCCGACGTTCGCAGCGACATACTCCATGACTTGTGTCACGCGTTCCAGACTCTCTCCTCTGGCAGCAAGTGCGCACGCACTCTTCAAAGCCATAAGATGACCGCTCAACCCTCTTCGACCGACCTTGCCACCCTTTTTNCTACCCACTGCAACATCGTCACCCACAGGAACAAACCTGACCTTGTATCCACTTGCCTGTGCTCTTGTGATTGCCAAGCCAGCATTAAGAATGTCGCCAGTATAGTTGCCACAGACGACTAATGTGCCTTTACTCTCGGAACCATCGGTAGGCTGACACATCCTGATGGCCTCGTAAATCTGAGCAGCGGTTGGCGAGGCGAAGATGTTGCCGCTCACGTAGGCGGAAAGGTAGTTTGGACCAACGAAGCCGCCAAACATTGGTTCGTGGCCGCCTCCGCTGAAACCGATGGTCGTTACATGGTTGTTGCGGAAGGTTCCTAGGTCAGAACGGTATAGGATCTTGTAGGGCGGATTGTAGGAGAGATTTGGGTGGATGTGGGTCAGGCCTGCCAATGCTTCATTGATGGCATCTNNGTTTCGCGTCAGATAGCTGCGCGAGGAGCAGAGGATCAACCTCGTACCTTCTGGCTTGTTGATGAAATGGAATGTCTCTCTGACAGCTGGAGTAACTTGTTGTGTTGTCGCTGCCATCGTGTGAGTGCGAAGTAGACAAGTTCTGAAGTGAAGGTCTGAGCAGTTGTATTTTTGACAGCTAGTCAGTAGGAACAGATCGAGGTGACCAAGATAAGCTGCGAGGCAAGCCGGTCATGTAGACAGCTCGACACCACCACATCATCACCTCGGACTTGCCCAATCGACGCATCCCATCCCGAAGCAGCCATGTTTCGGTGGACAAGATGCAGCATCGCCGAGAAGAACGGCAACAATCGGCCTGATCGCCGAATGCTCGGTGCGGGGTTGAGCCTTCGGATTACCCAAATAGGCAAGTTTGTGGCTTGCTCCATCGTGGGGACTCCTGCCGTTTATGTGAAGAGAAGCGCTCGCGGGAGTGCCTGGTGTCGGGTGAGAGCAGCTGCGAAAGAAAGAAAAGCGATCCCGTCCCAGATTCTTGGTCAGGATATACATCTCTCTCTAATCTTACTATTGCGATATTCTCTTGCCGTCGCAGCATTCGACACCTCGAAGACGCTCTATACCATCCCCACAATCTACCCCGCAAGCCAACATGGCGGTCGTCGTTGAACAAACCATTCCTTTCGCGAGGGAACAGCTCGATACCGAGAATACCACGAGATGGAATGCACTATACCCATTGATCCGACCTTCCATCGGCGCAGTCAAGACCAAAGCAGGCCAAACAGTGCTCGTAGATCAGACACTCGCAAACGACAAATTCGCCAGAGTCGTGGTGGTCGGAAGGGCTGGCAACTTATCGAGCAAGTTGCTCTCGGACAAGCACATCACCGCCGTTGTCACCGACGTTGACAGCAGTAGCAATTGTTCGAGCAAGGACCTTGCAAAGGCGATCAATGACGCTGGACACCGGCAACAAGCTGGCATAGTCATCCTGCGAGCGGGCAAGCAGAGGAGTTTGACAAAGGTCGAGGACGAAGTGATAGAGGTCGGACTTGAGAGTGACTTGGAAGTGGATCATTTGATTCATCTTCTTGGTGCTGCCACAGCTACAACAAGGTACGGAAGCAGATGAGACAAGCTTCGGAGATTTTAGCTGACATGTCCCTNNAGATCTTCAATCGAGACAACCTACGAAGTCCTGAAGACCTTTCTCAATACCTCGACGACCGTGGCTGCGACGTTCCAGACAGGAAAGGAAGGTGGTCGACCAGCGATATTCAACACCGAAGGAGAGTCCAGTGGTTACGAAGAAGCAAGACATGCTATTGAAGAGGCGCTAGAACGTGTCTTGGGACCACATCTCGAGCAGAAGGACGGCATCACCCATTCCGTGCATTACTCAGACATCAATGGTCTCTCACGATTGGAGAACTACATTCTTGGCTTGGAGATCGCGACTTACCTCNAGTAAGCTTGATATGACCTTGATCAAGTTCGCACATTCTGACCGTCGATAGGAAATTCCGGCTTGTCTTACCGCCTGTCCACCTCAACAATTCTGCAACATGCAAACCTAGCGAGAGGGTTCTCCATATCAGCCTGTCCGATTTCCAGTCAGAACCTTGAGGCTCAACCTGAACCGACAAACCCGCTTGCCGATGAAACCACCGAAGGCAGCAACCTGACCAAAGTCGACTCGCGATACATGAAGTTCACCGATCATGGAGTCCGCAGCCGTATCGAGAATGGTTGCGAGGCAGTGATCAAAGAAGAAGCAACCATCACTCGGTACGATGAAATCGTCGGCGATGGTGATTGTGGCTACACACTCCGCGACGGCGCAAAACAGGTTCTCAAGTTTATTGCAAACAGAGATCTCTCAGAGCTACCCCAGACGCTGAGTGAGCTTGTGCACGACCTTGAGGTGAACATGGGAGGCACGTCTGGAGCATTGTATTGTATCTTCTTAACTTCGCTATCATCGGCTCTGGCTTCGACTGAATCTGTGGCGACGGCACTGTCTGTTGCCATGGAGCAGTTGCTGAACTACACACGAGCAAGACTGGGGGACAGAACGATGTTGGACTGTCTGATACCTTTTGTTGAGACTTTGAAGTCGACTGGAGATGTTGAAAAAGCTCTTGCTGAAGCAGAGAAAGGAGTGGAAAGCACAAAGAATCTGGAAGCCAAGCTCGGTAGAAGTACGTACTTGGACGAGAGTGCGACCAGGGGTGTGCCGGATCCTGGTGCTTATGGCTTGCTTGTGTTGTTGAAAGGTATGAGTATTACTGAGTAGTAGAGTATCGATTCGCGAAAAGAATGTTGATAGCAATGTAATGCAAAAATTAATGCTCAAACAATTTTGCACCTTGATGGCGCAGGATTCTGGTGGCCTCGGTTGTGATCGTCGCGCACCCCGCAGCAGAGCCACCTCGGCGACTCTTGACATACCACCATATCAGAAACACAGCCCTGCCTTCGTCTGCATTGTGGATTGACCTTAGTTTTCATAATCATACTCACCCGAAAGAAACAATCGTCGACCTCATCCCACATCTCCCAACCATGGCACCCATACCCAAAGTCCCAGCTTTCAGCACATCTCCACCGTCAACCAAATACTGCATCCTATCATATCCCACACCAGAGATCTTGGTCGTGACACTTAACCGACCAAAACAACTCAATTGTATCAGTGCAGAAGGCAATGAAGAGCTAGACGCCGTGTGGAAATGGCTAGACACCGAGCCCAAGCTCTGCGTAGGCATCCTGACAGGCACCGGCCGCGCCTTTTGCGCAGGCGCTGATCTAAAAGGTATGTGCAACGTCTTCCACTGGCACCCAAAGCGATGAAAACTGACACCAAGACAAGAATGGAATCAAGCCAATGCGTCGGGCAAACAGCGCAAGATGCCTTCGTCAGGCTTTGGTGGGTTATCCCGCCGTCGTGGCCGCAAGCCCGTTATAGCAGCAGTCAATGGCATCTGTTTCGGCGGCGGCTGCGAGATGGCTATCAACAGCGACATGGTATTCGCCTCCTCTACAGCAACATTTTCTCTGCCAGAGGTCAAACGCGGTGTCGTCGCCATCGCAGGAGCACTGCCCCGTATCGCGCGCGTGGTAGGCAAACAGCGCGCCATGGAAATGGCCCTAACCGGACGAGTACTAAAAGCCGACGAAGCTCGAGAGTGGGGATTGGTGAACCGTGTAGTTGAGGGAGATGTGTTGGACGAGTGTGTGGCTGTGGCCAAGGAGATTGCGGGCAACAGTCCTGATGCTGTGATGATTAGTCGCGAGGGTGTCAATTTGGCATGGGACGGCTTGGGAGCGGATGCGGCGACTGAGAAGTTGATTGCAGAGATGTATCCGAAGCTCTTGCAGGGAGAAAACATTCATGAGGGTGTCAAGGCCTTTGTCGAGAAGAGGAAGCCTGTCTGGAAGGCTAGCAAGCTGTGAGGTGAGGCCTGCCACCATGAAAGCTTGATTCGATACAATACTCGAAAATGCATTGTCGTTCTGACATGATCGTAAGGCCCTGCGTGAGACCAAGGTCTTTTATCCAAGCCTGAGAACCGGTCTGTAACCTCACGCAGCACGCGTTCATCATCCCGAGCTCAAGTTGATTTAAGATAGGGCTTTACATGGTGAATCTCTCTCGTTGAACCGAAAAAGGACAATCTACCAAACCTATGAAGGTCCACTTTTCATAGGCACCCAAGTCCCATTGACCAACCAAGTTCCAGCTTTGGTATAATCAGCCACCGCATTACCAGCCATATACGCGAACCTGAAGTACTCTGGTAAACTCTCATCATGTCTCTCCCATGTCCACTCCCTAGTCCCATTTTCATTCCACAATTCCTCGGCGTCATAATCAGCATACCCTCTGAACCTTTCTACATCGTTCACCAAGACTGAAATTCCGTCATAATAGGGTATATTGTTTTTGTCGCTGACTGGAGGGACAGGACCCAGCGTAAAGGTTATGTTGCTGGTGCCGATGACCGGAGGCATGATGGTAGGCAACAAAGAGTTTTGTGGTGCATCCGATAGCAATTCTCCAGGTGTTTGAAGAATGCTGTCGAAACCCCATCGAGCGATTCCATTGATAAAAAGTCCACAGAGCAAACCTTGATACAGCAAACTCGGACGATTCTGGAACGCTGTGCCAGGAAGTAGAAGGATAGCCAGAATATAATGGTGAATGCGCACATTCATGCCCGGTACAGCGACGAGTAGCAGAATACCTCCAACAAAGAGGCCATAGACTACCAGGTAGCGAGGCATACGGCCTTCGACACGGAAAGCATACGCTTGACCCAGCGCAATGAAGAAGATGATCAACACGATGGAGATGAGAGCTGGTACGGCGCCGGGCTGGGCCTTGATGTCGTGAGGCGTAAGGCGTTGAATAGGAATTCGGTCGAAGGTGTAATTGTTCAGAGCGCCCACCCATGCTGCGCCCAACCAAAGAATTGTCTTTTCGAATTGAGCTGTCAAACCTGTCAGAGTATAACGGACGGCGTAACGATAGATGATGGCCATGACGAAGGCGGCGGGCAAAAATCTTCCAAGAGCTGTGGAGATCAATGAATAGTAGTCTGTAAGATTTGGCGGATCAGAAGCCAGGCCTGTTTGGAAGAATAATCCGACAAAGACGGACCAGAAGAACACAGCTGGTGATTTGGTGAAGAGAGATAGCATGGCAGTAAAGAAGACGGATACAGCGAGTAGAGGCCACCTCAGATCCCGACATTGCGACTGAGTGCCTTCTACAAATTGAAAAGATTGCGGAAAGTAAGACTCGAAACCGATACTGTCAATGCCGTTTTGCTTTACGCTGGGGAAGAAGTGTTGGTCCCCGGTAAGTTTGAGAACACCGCATCCACCCTGTTCACTTTTGATGAAGCCTGCATGGATAGCAGAACCACAGATGAAACTGTCACCCCTGTAGACGGTGCTTGAGATGGGCTCGCTTGTGTTCAAAGGCCCGCCAACAACCAAGGGCTTGTATACAACTTCTTGATCTCCAACGGCGTGAGGGAACAGCACTTGAGTCTTGGTGCACCCTGCAGGACAGCGGAACGGCAAAGACGAATTGGAAAAAGGTCGGCACTGGTCTCCATTGATGCCACACCCGTTGCCGTCGTTCCAATATCTTGCCGTGCATCCCAGGCGTATTGGCGACCCATAGTCTTTCACATCTGCAGCGAACGAAGACTTGTGTAGAATCAAGGCAAACGAGAGGATCCAGCAGATGTAGAAGACGAACAAGAGCCAGAAGCGTTGCATACGTTTGGGAGCATAGCGGTCCAAGAAGTTGATGGGCGCATGTTGTATGGTCGGCAAGAATGGCTCAATCTTGTATATCCTGGGAGGTTGAGGGCCCTTGGCCCAGTTGACTACTGCACTCGATACTGTCTTGAGCGGCGAGGGTATGCTGTCGCTGACTCTTTGCATCCATGGATATTGCCGTGGTGTGTCGACGTCGTCGTCTATGGGGTCATCGATTGAAGTTGCGTGTAACAATGGATCCTCGGTGGAGGTACGGAGCGGCGTCTCATCGTGGTAGCTCTCGAGCTGGTCGTCGTTGTCACGCATGACTGTGGGATGAATATGGTCTAACTCCACTTTGGATCCTCCTCTTAGCTATTGCATTTGAACAGGAATGTCTTCCAAGGCAGGGGTGAATGCACAGAGCAAGAAGAAGGATGATCGCAAAACTCACTGCGCCAAGTCGGCGGATTCATAGCCAGTGTTTTTGATAGAAGGAAGAGAGATGGGCAAACGTCTCGGAAGGCGGCATCTTCGGATCCGCTTTGGCCATCTTGGTCATGACGCACCAAGCAACATTGAGCGTGGATTTATCACCTGCCTGTGTGCAGTCCAGAAAATGTTTATTCTCTTGGAAAGCGATGCTCTACTGCTGCCGGTGTTGCAGCAAATGGCAGTTCCGCATGCGAATGCAGCTGCGAATTGACAAGACACTATTTAGGCAGGTGCGAAATGATGACAAAATGGACATCTATTAAGCCCGTCTAACGCCGTTTATCACAATGATGCAGCATCCGCCGGCCTATCTCTGTCCCTAGTCCGACCCGTTTAGTACGCCGTCCTACGAGTGGCATTCTTTCCTTTCTCATCTCAATCATCAATCAACATGTCGAGCACCAGTTCCAAGGATACGCGCCCGCCGCCCAAGGACTTCTCGCATCACCTCTCCCGTAATGCCAAGAGCAGACAGCCCAGCTCCATCAAGCAGTTCTACAAGTACTTTAGCATCCCAGGCATCGGTCAATTGGCTGGTGGTCTGCCCAACCAATATTACTTCCCCTTCGACACGCTAGAGGCAAAGGTCGCCTTGCCAGAAAGATGGAAGCCCACCGACAACAAGCCCGTTGATCCGCCTTCGGCCGCCACTTCGTCCCTCAAGAATGGAAGTCCTCTCAACCAACCTCAGTCCGCCTTGAAGGTCCCTCACACTTCACACGAAGAGAATCCACTCAAGAAGATCGATCTTGCATCTGCTTTGCAATACGGCCAGGCCCAGGGATACCCGCCGCTTTACAGCTTCCTCCGCCAATTCACCCAAGAGAACCTGCACCCCAACTGCCCATACAAGGGCGGCCCGGAGATTGTCCTCACCTGCGGAAGCACCGATGGTTTCTCCAAGGCTCTTGCTGCCTTGTCCAACGAGTGGAGTGAAGAGAAGGATTGGGTCCGCGACCGTCAGGGTCTGCTTGTCGAGGAATTCTGCTACATGAACGCCATTCAAGCCGCCAGACCAAGAGGCCTCAACATTGCCCCCGTCAAGATTGACGATGAGGGCATGCTTCCCGAAGGTCCCGGTGGTCTCCGTGACGTGCTCGAGAACTGGGACTACAAGAAGGGCAAGAGACCCCATCTGATGTACACCGTCACCATGGGACAGAACCCCACCTCTGGTGTTCTTTCTCTACAGCGCCGTCGCGAGCTCTATGCTCTCTGCTCAAAGTACGATGTCATCATTGTAGAAGACGACCCATACTGGTACTTGCAGTTCCCTTCGTCCACAAACTCCGACAAGGTCTTTACGCCCCAATCATCAAAGTGGAAATCTTCAGGATACAACTTCCTCGACTCTCTCGTTCCTTCTTACATTAACGTCGACACCGATGGTCGTGTCCTCCGTCTTGACACCTTTTCGAAGACCGTCGCCCCCGGATGCCGTCTTGGCTGGATCACAGGCCAACCCGCCCTGATCGAGCGTATCCTGCGTCTGACCGAGACCAGCACCCAACAACCCTCAGGCTTCGTGCAATCCATGATCGCCGAACTGCTAATCGGCCCTCAAGCCGACGACATTGACCCCGGCAAAGGCCCCGCCAACGGCAAAGGCTGGAGCACCGCCGGCTGGGTCCGCTGGCTCGAGGGCCTGCGCGGCAACTACGAACGCCGCATGAACGCCATGTGCCGCGTCCTAGACACCGGCCGCGAAGTCGTCAAAGTCGGGCGCAGAAACTCGCTTTCAAACCTCAGTATCGACTCTGACGACGAGTGGACCGTCGTGCAAACCTCCACCGCATATACCTTTGACTGGCCCGTCGGCGGCATGTTCGTCTGGCTGAAAATGCAATTTGAGACTCATCCTTTGGCGTCTAAAGTACCGCACGCACGTCTCTCGCGCGCGCTCTGGCTCTTTTGGACTACGAAACCTTACTTGGTGCTTGTATCTCCTGGCCTGATTTTCTCGCCCACAGACGAGATTCGCGCAAAAGACGGGTACAAGTTTTTCCGCCTGTGCTTTGCTGCGTGCGATGACAAGGAGATTGAGCCCATCAGTAAACGATTTGTCGAGGGCGTGCAAGACTTTTGGAAGATCAAGTCTGTGAGGAAGATTGACGAGTTGCTCGAGGAAGAAGGCGAGGGTGTGGAACAGAGGAGTGATGAAGCTGGTATGGCACAATTGGCCAGTTTCATGGGTCCTTGCTAGTTTTGAATGTACAAATGATCAAGAACACGAACACCTCCGGCGTTAAAAGGTTGGGAAAGGCACAAATTGGCACAAATGACAGTATGGCTTTTGGGCAAATCAACTTCTTTACGGAATGTGCTTCCGCTTTTACCTTTGCCTTTACATATCTGTGTCCCGAAACTCTCAATATCTCACTGCCCATTCTGCCCAGCACCCTGCCCGCCCCCAAAAGCACCTCCAACATATCAAACTCGCCAATCCCCGGTCCAAAACAATTAGCCGTGACATCCTGGCCATGCGCCTGTAAAATCGGATCCAGGGGCAACGCCAACCAATCATACGCGCCATCAGCCTCAAAGCCCGCATCAGCATCATAAGCACCAAACTGATAGTCTTGATGCGCAGAAGAATGAGAATCATGCAAAGTGTTCAGAGACGGGGAAGCAGGCATAGGTGGCGGCATGATGGAAAAAGTATTATTGTCAGCACCAATATCGTAGGTTTGGGTGGGGATGCCGTAGAGTGCTGTGGTGTCTACGCGTTGCTGTTGCTGCGAGGTGTCAAAGTGGTCGGGGAATGCGGGCATGTGTTCGGTGCTTCTGTTCTGCCCGAGGCCTGGAGATACAGGGCGGGAAGATACGCGAGAAGCGGCGTTTCCAGATGCAGCGCCGTTCGTGCGTGACATGCGTACGATCATGGGACGTAAGCGGTTGGTGATTACTTCCAAGAAGTTGGAGAAGCGGTTGCTGAGATGGACGTCGTCGACGACGTGGTTGCGCATGACCTCTACCGTGCGGTCCATGAGGTTCAAACTCAATGCCATTTCATTTTCAAACGCGCCAAAAGCAAAGGTCNNTGTGGTTGGTGAAAGCGTCAATACATGGTTGCGAGGAATAGGCAGAGATAAAGAGTATCTTACCTTGACTAGCACCAATGTCACAGACACGATACGGAAGAACGTGCGTACGGGTGCGTGTTTGAGGTATCCACCAGGAGCAAGGCCGTCCACGACGACGCGAAGGACATTGCGGCAGGCCTGCATTACCTCATCTACGTGCTGTCTGTCGCTGCCAAACCACTGATCAAGCACATTCGGTGGGATGATCTTGCCCGCAGAGCCAGTATTGTTGTTTGCGCATCTCTCCACCACGGCTTGTAGTGCGAGTTGATGCAAAATAACTCGAGTGTGTTCGTACTCGATGATAAGGACATGGCGAAGCAAAATCGGGACTNNGCAAATGATGTCAGCACATATGTTCTCTCGACTGGTAAAAAGCCACTCACTGTTCCGGTACGCTTCAAATTCCCTGCGCCATTGCACCAACGATGGCTTGATACGTTGTAGCAACTCTCTATACTTTCCAGTCTTGATGATATCACGGGTCTGCTGTCGATTGGCATACAGCTCTTCGTTATTGATCTTGACCAGTGTAGCCAGACGCAGCCAGAAATGGAGAACAATATCCTTGGTATCCTTGAAACTCGACCGCTTGGGGTTGTACAATTCACTGAGAGCAGGTTCGGCGTATCCTTGAGGGAGCATGGCCGTTACACCCATGCGTCCACTAGTCTGTGTAATGTACCCAAGGATGACACTCTTGATATGAAGTCGTCTTCGCTGGTAGATCTCCTGCTGTTCAGGAGTTACGGCTTGCAAATGTCTCGAACAGTCTGGGTCAAAGACTCCGATCTGAGAAGCCACCGTCATTGCCAGGTTGAGAAGGATCCAGCACATGCGATCACTCCTAAAAACAGGTTCAAGCCATGAAGTCAATGCATGACCTCCTTGTCCCTTGTCAGGATCAGATGTGCTCTCGTTGATTGAGGCCATTGGATCGATAGGAGCCATGAGTTGAGTATCGTCTTCATCTGCGGGAAAGTGCATCATTCTCGGATGCCACTCGGTTAGCAACAGCAGACTTTCAACTGTGCCTAGAGTCAAGAGTCCCTTCCTCGATAGCGGATTGACATCACAGCCAGGTTGTGTCTCGTCAGGATGGAGTGTGGTTCCAGACAGCTCGCGGCCCCAGACGATGCGGTCAATCATACGTTGAACAAAAGGCCAAAGTCTGGAGTGTATGGCATGTGATCGACTCATGGCACCAGGTCCAGATAGTGTCATGTAACGCGATGCAAGCATGAGCATGGTTACGGCAAGCATGGGTTCGTTTTCCAACAGGGCACCATGCTTGTCAGGTCCACGGTAGTCCGGTAGAGCAATCGGCGTGAGGGGTGACATGTATGTATAAAAGTACTCGATATAGTCCATGCCTTCTTTGATGGTGAACCAGCCATTGCGAACGAATCTGAAGCGTGACCATGCAGCATAAGCAGAAGCATGATCTGCCGAGGATGATGGTCGCGCGGTGGAAGATGGTTGCTGCATGATGGCAGGATCAATCGAGGCATCTGGAGGCGGCGGTTTTGACGCTGTGGGTAGCGGTATATGGGCGGGACTCGGTAATGAAGAAGCGTATTTGTGAGCATCGCTGGCACTTCCGGTACGATGGTTGGCTGTGGCAGCTTCTATCAGAACATTCAGGGCATCGTGGCCATTGTGTAGTTCGGCAGTTTGCAAGAGGGCTGCTGTATGGCTGTTGACATGATCATCTGATTCATCCCCAGGATACGGTGTTTGTGATGTCGAGTGTGGTCGGCGGAGCGGTTGTTGGCGACCCATAGAACCTCCAGGCGTCAAAGGTCGTGGTATGTATGGAGCAGCCACAGGTACAGGCGAATGTGCACTGCGAGCATCCGAGTCGACCGATTCAGCGGCACCTTCCTTCAACCTCTTGCGGCCTCCTCTGATCTCGTAGTCGTTGGGGTCAACTTCATCGCCAGTGGTACCAGAGTCGGCGGCTCTCTTCTTCCTCCTCGTGGCAGAAAAGAAGCATTCTTTTGCTTCGCGACGACAGCGAACACATGGAGGCTCATGGGGATTGTCGACTGGGCCGAGATCGCATCGGACCNNTGAGCATGGTCAACGAATTTGTAGAGAGTGGTGCAGTCCCTTGAGTATATGTACCTTCCTCCGGCGACACGGTATACATGCCTGATAGGTCCTACTGTGTTTGTTGTCGACTTCGTTCGCATCCATCGAATCCATGATGGATTGCGTACAAGACGGCAATCAGCGCTTTGTGTCGGCTGTATCGAATGCGCAGATACCCCGCCACTCGAATAGCGTCTTCTTCCAGCAATTGTGTTATGCGAGTTGGTAAAGCTGTCAAGTGCTTTGATGAAACAAGCTGAGGATATATCAGACTTGTTGCCGGAAGATAGACGAGAGGGGAAAAGAAGAAAAGTGATGTAGAGTGATCGGATTGCGATGCCAAGCGGCTCAGAGCTCGCCCTGGTGCTATAAACCTTAAATCGCTGCGTGAGTATGGCGGTCGGTCGACGCAGAGGCTGATATCAGAAATGTTGCGAGATATAATATTCGGACCAGAACTGGTAATTAGCCCTTATCAGCGTGCGTCCGTGGTCTGGATATACACATCCGGACAGCGAACCAGTCTACGGTTGAGTCACGTGGGCCCTAGGCTGCTGTGGTTTTGCACATCTGAAGACTGGTACATGATCTAAAGAAGAGTGATGGAGGGTAATACTCAGAGTGCTTCTGCGAACATAGGTACTCGTCAAAGAATACCAATATATGAGTCCAGTAGAGCAGATACAATAGTGCTGGCAGTCGGGCTTCGAACGACTCGAACACGATCACATGACATGTAAAGCCGGGAGGATGACGCTCTTTCCAGAAATCTTGCAACGCCGCGAAAGACGAGCGCGACAGCAATAGCAGCACAAGTCCAGTCAACCGACGACCACCCTACCACCTCAACTCTTCCTAACCCCTCCACACAACACCCGCCAAAATGGTCAAGCTCGAAGAAGTTCTCGACGAGGAGTTCAACAGAGAACAGTCCGGCCCCCAGGTCGAGGACGAATGGGACACCAGCGATGGTACGAATCATTCCAACACACGCGCAAACACCCCCAAAAAGAAGAAGAGAAGAGCTGACAAGTGTCGCGGCAACACAGAATCCGAGGCCGACGAGGAAGACGAGGAATACATGCCCGACGAGACCTTTGCCGACAGACTCGCCGCCCTCAAGGACATTGTGCCCNCCACATACCGCAAGACCCTCTCCAACACCCTAAGCACAACCTCGTCGTGGGTCAGCACCACGCTCAACTACGGCGGAAAGACCCTGTGGGTTGTCAGCACCAGTGTCTTGCTCTTGGGTGTGCCGTGGGCATTGGCTTTTGCAGAGGAGCAGCAGATGGCCGAGATGGAGAGGGAGATGAAGATGCAGCAGAGTGCCAACGAGGTGATTATTCCTTTCCATAAAGACTTGAGGATGCAGACGATGCTAATGAAAACACAGCTCCTTACTCAGCAGCAACAATCGCAGGCAAAGCCCGCTCTGTAAATGCATTTCGCCTAATGCTTGTATCATGTATCAAAAATGCCCTTTCTTCTCCTCCCTTGTACGACTATTTCTTTGGTGGCGCGGCGGCGGGATTGACGAAGAAAGTCCATCGATTCTTGCCAATACATTTCCTCTTTTTCCATGTAAAAACTACCATTATCTGGCATGAGGTCTCTGTCAAAGGGTACTCTTGAAAATGCACATATCGGGAAAAATAAGAAGAACACCAAGAAAACCCATTTTGATCCGGAACGAGATGAGCAACAGAAGAAAAACGCCCTTTTCATGGGATATTCGATACAATAAACAACCACGCAATGCTAAACTTGTGGCATCTGCACCAAAGCACCTGAAACTACTTTTCCACTCGCTTTTTCCTAACCTGCTTAAGCCTTGTTTGCACGTCTGCTCTTGCCAGGTCTTTGAGCCTTCTTTCCACCCTTCATCTTCTTTGACGAGTAGCCGCTCATGTCGGACGATGACTTTGCATCGTTGCTCTTGGAGAAGCGCTTCTTGCCGCCAAAGCCGTACTTTTCGTCGCGCTTGACGCGCTTGAAGTTGTTCTTGCTGCGGTCAGAGGCGCCGCCGGCACCACCAGCCTTGCGGGCGGCTTTGTCTTTCTTTTCCGTCTCAGCGGCGTCTTCGAGGGCGACGTCGAACATGTCGTCTTCGTTTGCGTTGCCAATGTCTTCGCCCTTGCGCTCTGTGTTATTGTGGTTAGCATTTGTGATACGAGAGGGGAGGAGGAAGTGTAAAAAAAACTTACTTCTCTTGAGAAGCTGGATCTTGTCCATGGTATCCTTCTTCTCGCGACTTCTCTCCTGCAGCTTTGCGACCTGGACCTGCTTTCCAAACTTTTTGAGATCTCTCTGTCTTCGCGCTTCGGCAGAGGCCTTNTTGCTCGCCGCCTCGTCGATCAATTTGCTCTTGATCTTGCCCATGTGCTCGTCGCTCTTAACCATTTCGGCAAAGTAGTCTGCCGGGCGGGAGAAAGGCACGCCTTCCTTCTTGAGCAGGCCGCGGGCTTTGGTCACGGCATCCAGGGATTGCTTGTAAAAGGCGAGTTCGCGGTTGAGGTCGTCGTCAATGTCGGGGATGTCGGTGGGGGCGTCGCTGACGATGACTTGGTTCTCGGAGAAGGGGAGCTTGGACGAGAGGGCAAAGGACTTTACGGCGCGCAGCAGGGCGGCTGTGTTGTTGATGGTGAGGCGTTGATGTGGGATGATGTCGCCCTTGTCTTCTGAAGCCACGGATTCCAGGTCTGAGAGCGCAATGTCTTCGTCTTCATCGTCGTCGTCGTCGTCTTCGTCGTCGTCTAGCTCGGCGGCTCCGTTGATGTCGTCTTCAGAGTCAGACTCGTCTTCGGAATCGTCCTCGACTAGTCTTGCAATGTTTTTCTGCAGCAGAAAGTCAGCATCAAGTCATGCGCAAGACAAGCACCATAGCAGCGCAAAACAGAAACGTACAGCATGCGTCTTGTCCTCATCATCAGTCTCCCACTCCTCATCCTCCTCCTCTTGCACAACCTTTGCGCGCTTGGCGCCCTTCTTATCCTTCTTTGCGCCAGCATCGCCCAACACAGTCTTTTCAGCCTCCTTTATCGCATCCTCAAGAAGCGCCTCGTCGTCCTGATCCTCAGCCCTTGATCTCTTTCTCTTCTCGGCGGCTTTTTGCTGCTTCTTTTGGCGTTCGAGCTTGTGGTCGACGCCCTTTTCGCGGTCCAGCGCGGCCAGCAATTTGCTTCCCTTGACCATTGTGTGTGTTTGTGAATTATAGGTGTGGTGTTGTGTTAGGGAAAAGTGATCTGCTGGTCGGGAACTTTTTCTTGAGAGGAAAGTCTCAAAGGTTCGCCCGACAAAATGTGGGGAGGTTGTTGTGCTTTGCATTAAATAGACCGTGATGCATAAACCCGCCGATACTCAAGCCCCATCACCCTGATTGCCTTACATGCATGCACGCATCGCCATCCCATCATCGTGCTCAACCTATCTCCCTCCCAAATGTCTCAATCACACACAGAAAAAGACGTCAATCTCAGCATGGCAGACCTCAACATCAACAAAGAACATGATACCACAGATACCTCAAATGTATCCCACCACCGATCCTCAAAGACAATAGATGCAAGACTAACTTAATCGTTACAGGGAGCAGAGGACTTGGCCACAGTCGTCGATGACCTTTTGAACCAACTATCCACAAAGTTCACAACCATCTCGAGTGATCTGCTTACANAAGAGTGAGTTGCTGTTCTATTCAAACAATGGCTCTTCGAGGTTTTCAGAGCTGATGCATTTTCCAAAACACTAGTGGATGAGATGTCCAGACGGCTTGACAACCTCGAGGCTTCTATCCAAGCATCCGCGAGACCCCAGAACGAAGAGTCAAAGTGACCAGATTCTGTCATGTTGTTTTACACAAAGTTACATTATACCCCTGCCTCGCATAGCATCATGCTCGAATGGAAAGAGTTTGTTGGAGATCGAGCAAATGTCTCGTCTATATCTGCTTCTGCAATGCTATGCTATTCCCAGCCAAAATCTACTGTATTCCCTTCTCCCGTGGTATCATAGAAAAACATCAAAAAATCCTCCCTTTCCAAATGAAAACGCCAATGTCAGCAGCTCCCAATTCACAATTACAAATCCCAATTCGTCAATAGCGTTGGGTGATGGGTGGTAGAACCTCGCTCGACGCGGCCATGCCNCTGACTCTGTCCATCAACCTGTTTACCGGCAGATATGGTGCCTCCATACGGCGGACCAACTGCACTCTTTCGTCATGGTCGAAATCATGAGTCTGCGAGTGCCTCTTGATCAGCAGTTGTGAGCTCGGCTCTGAAGCTGCGTATGTTTTATGCATGCATCCATCGACGGGACAGTGCCAAACATCACCATTGTCCGCTGCATCCTGAAAACGGAAGGGTAAAGAGGTCTCGCGCGGTTCTGTCCTGGTTGCGTCGTCGTCATCGTCTGAGTCTTCGGTTGTGTCCTCGGACTGTTTGTCGCTTGATTCCTCTGTCTCATTGGGAGGACTGTCAATCGACATGGCTTCCGGCCCAAGATACTCAACGAGGGGCGCTGCTTTCTTACCCCGGATAGCAGAAGGGGATTCCTTGAGGACACTACTTGGCCGTGGAGCAAACTTGCTGGGCCTTGGTCTCAGAGCTGATTTTCCTTTGCCCTTGCCTCCAGTGGTAGGAATCTCATCGCCGCTAGATGACATGTTCTGATCGACGAGATTGTTTGTCTGATCTGTCGCCGACACGACCTCCGGAATTTGTTCTACTTCTGAAGTGTTGTCGAGGATCATGGGTAAGGAGTCTATTGTTGCATTCGATTGAGATCTCGTTGACCTAGTCGAGCGACCCGAGCGTATGGAAACGGTGGATTTGGGAATCATGTTCTGTTGTTTAGCTGTCGCCTTTTTCCTCCTCAAACTTGCTGTTGACGGAGCAGGAGATTGCGAACTGCTTTTTGGNCTCGACGATTTTGCTCGCGGTGGCTTTATCCTCGACTGTACCAGAAGAAAGTCGGANCTGAAGGTTGAGTTAGCTAGAGCCGGAGGGAGAGGGGTGAGCTGCCTCACGGGAAACGTGGACTGGAACCACGTGTAGAGGGGTACTCGGTACCACTGCAAGCCCTCCTTGTTGGTCAACATGGATGCGATTAGGAAATGTCTATGCTTAGTAAACATTTCGGCAACATCTGCGACGTCTTTGCATCCTTCAAGGCTTTCGACGCTGCACTTCTTGAAGAAGTAAGGGGCCGACAGATCAGCGTATCGTTTCAGAGCTTTGTAACTGTCGGCCATGAAATATAGCAACTTCAGAGCCTGGGTCATGTCGCTGTACATGTCCCTGTATGCTCTGCTCGGTCGGATGGCGAACCAGCCAGCCTGTCCAGCAGCCCAAATGTCGAGCGACCCGTCTCCATATTCGCCATACGAGAACTCTTTGATGTCTGTGAGCTCGATCTGGACTGTGCGGCGTGCTGTATTGTCCAGCCAGGATCGGATGTTTTGTGCATTGGGTGGTTCGAGTTTTCCAGAGATGGAGAGTGGACGGTGGTGTCCAGCATGTAGTAAGCTCACGGGTGTTCGGTCTGGGTCTTCTGGGTCAAAGACAAAGGCTTGCTTGAGTTCGAATTCAGGCCAGAGGTCGGAGTTCACTTGCGCCGGGTCGCGAGGGTGTAGTATGTTGTTCTCCTTGCTCATGATTGGATCAATGTGGTAGTCGATGAGAAGGAATGCATCTTCAAGAATTGAAAGACGATTATAGCACCAACGAGACAACGATGGATCGAACTTGAGAGAAGTCGCAACTCTCTTGATCGCGAAGAGCACGCGCGATCCCGCGTTGACACCCGCCAAGCCCGACCTTGGTGGAGCGGGAAGGAGCTGCTTGCCGACGACTTTTGAGAATAATTCATCCAAACTCACCACTCTGCAGATGGCAAAGAGTTTCATCTGGAGGTCAATCAAAATCATGAGCGATCCTACTCCCGTCATCGAGGGCGTCTTTGGTATCTCAGCACCTTACAAATCTACATACCACAGATCTTCGCTGACATAATTCCCCTCCANNGCCGTTCACAAGCCAATCGCCGTCTCGTCCGCTCAAGCTCTCCGCGATCTCCAAAAACACCTGAACCCCTCCAAAACATTCGCTCCCTGGATCCAACAAGAAAAGAACAAACGCGAATCCGACGCCGCCCAACGATTTGGCAAGCGTTCGCGCAAACAGAGACAACCAGTCCAAGTCAAGCTCGGTCATGGCGGAACTCTCGATCCTTTGGCCACTGGTGTACTGGTTGTAGGAGTCGGCAGCGGCACCAAGAAGCTACAGGGTTTCCTTGACTGCACAAAGGTATACGAGACTGTGGTTGTCTTTGGCGCTGCAAGCGATACCTACGACACTGAGGGCAAGGTCGTCAAGAGAGCTCCCTACCAACACATTACCAAGGATATGGTCGAGGAAGCCCTTCAGAAGTTCCGCGGCGACATCATGCAGCGACCTCCCATCTTCTCCGCTCTCAGGGTACAGGGCAAGAGACTTTACGAGTATGCTAGAGAAGGCAAGGAAGTTCCTGTCGAGATTCAAGAACGACCCGTCACAGTGTCGCAGCTGGATATGCTCGAGTGGTTGGTACCTGGCACACACAAGTACAACTGGCCGGAGAAGGAGGCCGAGGAAGAGGAAAAGAAGGCTGTGGACAAGCTCTTACCCCAGGTCGCAAATGAGACCCAAGCAACCGCTGGCCAGGAAACTCAACCCGACACCGACGACTTGAAGAGAAAGAGAGAAGGCTCAGATGGACCCGAGGCCAAAAAGATGAAAAGCGATGGAGCAGAAGCAGCAGACCAAGCACCCACAGTCGATGCAGATGCTGCGCCAGCAGAGAGAAAGCCATGTCCAGCACCTGCAGCCCGCATCAGAATGACTGTCTCGTCGGGTTTCTACGTCCGCAGTCTGTGCCATGACCTCGGTGCAGCTGTCGGCTCGCTTGGTCTCATGGCCGCATTGGAGAGATCACGACAGGGCGAGTTTGAACTGGGCAGAAACGTGCTCGAGTTCGAGGATCTGGAGAAGGGTGAGGACGTCTGGGGTCCCAAGCTCACAGGCCTATTGGCACAGTGGGAACAGGACCATCCTGAAGGCCAGGGCGGTCATACACGCATCACAGCCAAGAGGCAAGGATCACCTGCTCCTGTCGCTGCTGCTGACACTGCAGATCAACAGAATCGCAGAAACTCGTCTTCGCCAGCATAGAGGGAGATGGGATAAAAAATGTTGATGGCTAAAATAAAAACTCATGTTGATACCCCATAGCTTCTAGTGGCTACTATGCTTTTCTTGTCGTAACTTCAATAAAGCTCACTCGCTTAGAGCTCCTCCTTGACGCTCTGGACCTTGGCAACGAACTTGCTGAGAATGTTGCTGCGCTTGGTCAAGTCATCGACCTTTGCAGGTGCGAGACCACCCTTCTTAAGCAGGCTGTTGAGTCTCTTGGACTCTTTCTCAACGTAGCCAGGGTTCTGGGCGAGCTTGTCAAAGACCTTGACGTAGTATTGAGCATAGGTGTCCTTGATATTCTCGGAAGCGGCCATGATCTCCTTCTGGATGCTCTCGAGAGCGCCACCGCTGGTGTACTGAGAGACGAAGCTGTCGAGAGCGGCGATGGTGCCAGCAGTGATGTCGAGGCCACCGCCAACAGTACGGTGGGTACCAGCCTTCTCGTTCAGGTACTTGACAAGGGCGTCCTCGGAGCGGCCACCCTCGTAGGCAACGGGCTCCTTGGAACCCTTGGGGAAGAACTTGATGGTAGGGTAGCCCTTGATGCCCTGGTTCTGAGCAGTTGCCTTTGCGTTCTCGGCCTCGGCGTCAACCTTGGCGATGAGGACATTGGGTTCGTTGGCGTAGGTGTTGGCGAGCTTCTCCCAGATAGGGGCGAGGGTCTTGCAGTCTGCAAAGAAGTCAGCATATTTGCCCTGCTCGGAGAGTGGCATTCGCTGCTTACGTCCACACCAAGGGGCGGTAAAGGCAACAATGACATCCTTGTCACCACCAATCTCGGCCTTGAAGGTCTGGTCGTTCAACATCTCGACATTGCTGGGAGTGGCAGCCTTCTTCTTCTGCTTGAGGCCGGTCTTCTCGGAGATAAAGGCGGACAGACTCTCGAGGTCTCTGCCGCTGTTGTAGTCCTGAGGAGTATCGCTCTTTCCATCGAACCACTTGAGGGTAGGGAAGCCTTGGACACCAAATCTACGGCCGAGCTCCTTGTGGGCGTCGGCATCGACTTTGGCGATGGTGACCTTGTCCTTTGCGAACTCAAACGAAGAGGCCAGCTCCTCGTAGACCGGGGCCAGGGTCTTGCAGTGACCACACCAGGGNGCGAAGAACTCGACCAGAGCAGGCTTGCCAGACTTGAGGACAATGTCGTCGAAGTTCTTAGGGATAAGGTCGATGACGGCCGAGGCGGCAGAAGTGCCAACCAGGGCGAGCGAAGCAATCAATCCGAATCTCATGTTTTCGATTTGTTGCTGTTGCTGTTGCTGTTCAACAGATAATGGCAGCAGCTTGGATGATGTCGAGTTTCAGGGTCGACCATGCATGCCGCCACCTGTTCTCGAGCTGAGTAAGCGGCGCCTTCCCATGCCACAGCCACATCCACAACTGCTCCTTTCCGACATCCGACATCCTTCAAGCCAAGGCCAGGCCTATCGCCTTTATTTCAGCCTTCGCAACTGCCAACCAGTTTCTCTCTTTCGCACAATACTACTGTTGCACTGGATTTATGCAGTAACAAGGACGCTTGGTCCAAGACTCTATAGGAGAGACTGTACGTCTTGTTTCTGCGACAAATCTGAGCCGTCTAATCGCGACTCGCTGAACTCAACTTCTTTGAACTTGTCGCGTGGTAGCTCACTTCGCCGCAGAACTTCCAACTTACATACAGATCTTCTCGTATCCTCAAAGGCTTGTCCTACGCAACGAAGGCCCAAGCACGCCATGCTCAAAGGTCGGCCGCGTATGCCCTTGTCTCCTTCAATGCAGTCTGTGGGTTGTGATACTAATCAACCACCTCGGAAGCCATCTGGGTAATGTTTTGTAGAACCTCCTGATCGCATTAGCATAATTGCTATGCTTCTATTAGCGAAACCCCACCGAAGAAGCACAAGCAAACAGAAACCTCGCCGCAGCAAGCTCTGGGTAGAAATGGCAACTGCCCATACTATTCCCACTGCCAAGACTCGCTCCTCGGGGCAGACGAGTCGATCATTCTTTAAATAGCAAGATTTCTAGGGCAATGGTCACCACGACTCCAACTCCGACCACAACACCAGCTACACACGAGAGGCCAGTTCAAACATCACGCGAAGTGAACTTGTTCTTATCACTAGATTCGTGGACCCCATGGGAATGATAGTGAGACAGGTTCCTTGCCCGCCATCTCGTCCTACCGTTATGTCAATGGCGTTGTTCGATTTGTGTTTGTCACGAACCTTGACTTTTTCTCCAACGGTTAGTGCATGACGTGGTTAGGAGGGCCCAAGTGAACCCCACGGTCCTCAACCATGGCCTCGGCCGCGTGCCCCTGATTGGGGTCGAGATTCTACGTTCCAGTGCTGGAAGAGGCCAAGGTGAGCAACACCCGATCAGAATCGAAAGCCGTCGAGGATTGATGGCGCTTTAAAGTTGGCTCGGGAAAATGCACGGTGAATCGTTGTTCATCTTTTGAGTTCTCGCGGCCGCTACAGGCGACCGACCCATCAATTCGTCAACCTGCGACAGCCACTTCCCTTCTCTTTTCCTTCATACTCTAACCACACCCCATTGTTCCTAACTCGCGCCTCCCGAGTCTTGACAAACGCATCTCCTGTTTCTGGGTATCTTTCGTGCTGGCATGAGAGGCTTGCTCGTGTGAAAATTCGTCGTTCGGCCTGTCAAGACCTGAAGCCAAAATGCATTCCAATGCCATAGCCCTCGTCGTCTCAATAGCCTTCCTCGTAAGGTGTGAAGCTTGTAAGTGGTGGCTGGGCTCTGTTGCCTCTTGACCTATCCTGACTCAGCTTCTAAGTAGCGNNAATGGAAACCTGTCGGCGGTCAACCTCACTCCTCAAATAACATCGACCACTGTTGCCCCAGGCCTAGGTGCATACATTCTGGCCGCTCTAGGACAAACACCGACCTACACTAACACCACAATGACCACCGCTGGCTTGAATACTACAGCTTCCTCGATTCGCTCTTCGGATGTGTCAACACCAACGCGTAGCACTATCTGCTATGGTGGAGGAGGCCGATGCTGGGATGATATTACTTACATTAGTCCAACAATAGCGCCGACGGGTGTCGGTGCCGCATATGCGACATCATGTTCCAATCTGATCTCCGCTTACAATTCAGCTTCCAACTCCTGGGTGGACAAACACAGCTACTTCACCAATTATACTAACGTCCTTGGAGGAACGACATGGAAGTCGGTCACATATTATGCGAACGCGACAACTCTCTGCGACGGCCACGCACGTGTGAACTATTCGCCCGCGATTGCTACCTCGAGTACCGTCATTACGACTGTGGGTACGGCACCAAGCACTTCCGTCGGTACAGCATCAATGGGGTGGATGTTCCCCATCTCGTCCGTTTCCTGCAGTGTCGATCCTTCTGATTGCGACGGATTATGGCAAGCTTATAGCACCGCATCATCGAAATGGACTGGTGCCGCCAATGGTACCCGTGCAGTCGATGCCATCTTTCCTACCATCACGCCATCGCCTTCACAACCTGCTTGTGTAAACTCCAGTCAGTCGATGTCGGACGAGGCCTTCTCAAAGAGCTTTTATGGATGTGGACTTTGCACAATTTTCGGCAATGAGGTCGAGTTGCTATACTTCCCGGAAGCTACTACTGCCTCTCGCGACATGTGTGCGACCACACCGACTGCTAAACCAACGGCGTACAGCGCAAATGATGGTATGCCTTACACAGGTGTCGACCCATCAGCAATCTGGAACGGAACAGGCACTCCTCTGGAAACCGCTGTTGTTGGAAAGCACACGTTTGTACGTGACGGCCAAGCATACATCTCGATCAAGAATGTCTACGCAATGAACAGATGCAGCAGCCAGATTGGTACCACCGTCACTGATGCTATCCTTGCCCTACCATCAGACAGACTGTTGAGTTTGCGCTATTCCCAAGACCACTTCCAGTATTTCGTCACGACGGACAAGATCACCGGATACCCCTTTAATTACGCTGATCTGAATACTCCCGTCCCTTACAGTGCTTGGAACGGACAGGCAAGATGTGAATATCCTGGGTTCGCCGACTACAAGTGTGATGTCATCTACGAAAACCAATACAATCCCCAACTCGCCATGCCTCCAGGTATCAGGAAACTTGACCCAGCATGGGAAGGTTGCCAGATGTGGTATGGAGGTCTTTACGATCCACCGTATGCCTTGAAACCTGGAACCGCTGTTGAGACGCCTACAGTCGCTTTTGGGCCAGCACCGTCAACAACCACTTCAGCAGCAGAGGCTTCAAGTGCAGCTCCTACGACGGCCACACCTACTGCTCTGGCAGACCACACGACTGAGCGAGCGGATTCTACGCAAGAACCAGGAAACAACGGCGATAGTCGACAGACACAGGAAGCCGAAGAAACACAGGCTGCTAACACTGCAGGCCACAATCAGGATGGCCAGGCTACTCAAACACAGAACGCTCAAACTACGCAAGCATCTCAGAACGCTCAAACTACGCAAGCATCTCAGAACACTCAAGGCGCAAGTCACAATAATGGTGGAGGTAATAGCCAGGGCGGAAGCAATGGAAACAATATTGGCCAGAACTCTCAAGGAGGAGCACAAAACACTCAAGGTGGTCAATCTCAAAACGAAGGACAAGGTAGCCAAAGTGGTCAATCACAGAACGCAGCTCAAGGCGGCCAATCACAAAATGCAGGTCAAGATCAGCACTGGAATCCAACACAGGCCGGAGCACAAAACACTCAAGGAGGTCAGAACATCCAAGGTGCCAATACTGCAAACGGAGCACAGAATACTCAAGGTTCCCAAGCACAAAATGGATCACCAGGCGGCAACTCGCAGTTGTCTGCAAAACCTCATATTTACGTGTTCACTGCTGGAACCTTTACTTACACCGCCACCAAGACTGCCATCGAGACAAACACGGTTTATGTTTGCGGCAAAGACACTCTATCAGTTGGTGGGCCAGCCGCGACGCTTCCTGTCAATTGTGTAATCAGTGCTGGCTCAGATGGGCTGGTCATCAACACAGAGGCGGCTACGATTACAAACCATGCATCTGCAGTTACTGCACTGCCCGTCATCACCAAGGCTGTCATTGTTACCGTTGGTACCGAGGTTCAGACTTTATCCCAAGACTCAGCAGGCGTGGTCAAGATTGGCTCGACCAGACTCACTCCTGGCGGTTCGGCAGCCACACTCGATGATGGGTCTGTTGTCAGTGCCGATAGTGAAGGTGTCAAGGTTGGCTCTACCATTGTCAAGTACTCGACCGTGGCACCTGCATCTGCAGCAACTCCCAACGTCCTGGTACTTGTTGTTGGTACGAAGACCGTTACTGCATCATGCCCTCCTGGATCAACCAACCAAGCTGTCATCGGATCCATCACACTCACCGCCGGTGCAGCTGCTCAAACACTCGAAGATGGTTCTCGCGTCAGCCTCGCATCAGGAGGTACTATTGTTGTTGATGGCACTTCAGCTGGTGCAATTGCGACTCCCGCATCCGCAGTGGTGTTCACCGTCAACGGCAATGCAGTAACAGCATACCAGGCCTCTGGTGTCTCGGGTGTCGCGACAATCGATGGCACTGTGATCTCACGAGATGGCTCTGCTATGACCTTGCCCAGTGGCGAAGTGGTCAGTATGGGCTCTAATGGACTGGTTGTGCAACAGGGCTCCACGACTGTGCCTGTCTCTGCCTTCACGACCAACTCTGTTGAGGACGATTCATCATCCTCATCAGCTGCATCTGGATCTAAATCTGGATCCCGTGCTGCAAGTAACAGCGCAGTAATGAGTACGACGAGGTCTGCTCAACAGAACCAAGGCTCGCAGGCGTCAGCCACTACCAGCAAATCAGGAGCAGCATCCATCATCAACTTGTCCGCTACAGCCAGCCTGGTGACGACCGTTTTCCTCATCTCACCCCTTCTATTCGCCATCTACCTATAGACATCATCTTCTACTCTTCGGCATGGCGTTCTCTTAGGTGTATGTATCTTCAAACTCGGTTGATCATTTGCTTTGTTTTTGGCTAAACTAAAGAGCGTTCAAGACTGGGTCTTGGGAGGGAGTATCATGACATCAAACGACATTTCTTCAGCGCTTTGCTTGTGAAATATATGTTTCGAATAGCTTCCTTGTTTCTATACTTGCGACAATGTTCGCCGCTACAAATACAATTTAACTATCCACTTTCTGCCTTTTGTGCATAGAAACTTTGTGCGATTACTTGGGCTTATAAAATATGGTATGGTAACTACTTGTGAGAATTTGCAGGCAGAAATGAGACCATCTATCGAACCCACAACAACCAGACAAATCCTTTCGGGACCAACGTGCCATTTACTGTGATATCTATACTATGCTTTGGAAGCCTCAATTCTCTTATGTCTGCCTTTCCCACACGATACAGTTGTTATAAAGACCGACGTCATCTTCACATGCAAAGCATCAGGGTCATACCCCATACACATGAAATGAGCACCACAAACATCCCCTCCCACACTTCCACCTCTCTCACCAACCATACCCACCAATGTCCAAACAATCTTCCCAACGACTGCCCGCACCCTCCCTCTTCGTAGGACCTCCCTCACATAACGCCAGTAATGCCTCTCTCGCCCGCGCAAACACGGATACCTCGCAATCCTCACGCAACATACCTTCGTCCGCTATACCCGGCCCTGCTTCGCCATCCGTGCAAGCAAACCTGAGCAGATCCAACACAGGCCTATCACGGCAAAACACAAACCTATCACGGCAAAATACCAGAGATGCATTGAGTCGACAAAATACCAGAGATGTCGTGGGTGGTCTATCACGCCAAAACACCACTCTCTCGCAACAAAGACCAGATGGATTAATCCCTCCCCCGACGACGCAAAAGACGCTACTCAACAAGCACAAGCACAAGCGGCGGGGGTAGGCCTCTAACACCCCCATCAACGAAGAGTCAAGACGCCAGCGACCACGCCGCGGCACCGCAGTCCTAGACGCACACTGGGCAGCCCTGCAATCCACATTATCCGACATCGAGCTCAGCGCAGGGTCATCCGCCCACGTCTTCGGCACCGGCCACGCAGAAGCACTAGAAGAGTTGCGAGCAGCTCAAGTAGAATTAGCGCGCGCTTGGGGCCAAACAGACGCTGAAGATGCATCCACATCACCGTCTTCCCCAACCAAAACCAAAGAGACACAACAGCAGCAGCAGCAGCAGCAAAACACACACAAAGAGCAAGAAAAAGCCGCAGAGCAGAATGAGAGAAAACTGTCTACAGCAACAACGCTAGACCTCACGTCAGCGGCANAAAGACGAGAGACGAGTGATAAATACTTTGCAGCTGTGAAAGAAGGTGTTGCAGAGGTGGTGCGGAAATTGGATGGTGTGGCTGATGCGATGAGAGAAGTGGAAATGCAGAGTAGAGATATTTGGGGAGATGATGGCAAAGACAGCAGTGAGATGACCGAGAGTGAGTTTGGGAGTTTAAATTCGTGAAATACCAATGGGAAAACAAGGAGTGGTCTGGCGGGATTTTGTGGATAATCTAGGAATGGGATGATGGGCTATCACTTGAGCGTTTTGGTAGCAGGAATCCATCAACCGCTGGAAGACGCATTACCACATTCGATGGGAGCACTAATTGCTGACGAAGAAAGCGCTTGATGCAGCGCGAATTGTATATATGCATAATTTACCCATCCTGGCCAGCATTATAGCGGCTGTTCCAACCCCTTACCACTTTGCCACCCATTATGTGCCCAGCAAATGTCCCTCCAGGCCTTCACCAGAAGGCTTAACTCCTGTCCAGCAAGAAACAAACTCCTCCCCAAATCCAAAACCAGTTTTGTCGGTTCGTCACATTCCATAAAATTACAAAGAAGGGGAAAGGAAAAGGAAGCAGAAGACGAAGACGAAGAAGAAGAATGTGATCCGCGATCACTCGGCGCTGAAGTCGGTGCCTGTGCGTAGTGTCTCGCGACTGCATCTGGGCGTGATGACGATACTGCTGTCCGGTGTGATACCAGTATTCATGGAGTCCACGCTGACAATTGAAGGTGCGTAGTCATCTGGCATAGATGTATAGTCCGGCAATGTCTCCTCAGTATATTCGGGCAAAGTGGTGGTTCCAGAGCCAGCAGTTGATGATTTGCGCGCTCTCCCAAGGTGAACCAGACTAGCCACGAACTCGCGCGCATTTCGGAGATCTCCAAATGCGTGACCCATCTCGAGATCATCGACCTGCTGTAAATGTCCCTCGGCATAGTCATCGACCACTGCACCAGCTGCTTCGATGACAAGTGCGCGCTTCTCCTCGTAGTCTCCATTGCGAGGGGAGCGCTTGAAGACTNNCTGTTTGAACGAGACCCACTTCTTGCGAAGGGCTTCCTTGCGTGCAAGAGAGCGGAAATGACGAGCTCGTCGACGTTCCTCCTTGTCCGATAGACGTTCGACGCGACGACGGAGAGAACCGCAGCGGCGGCGAATGAATGCGCAAAGGGCACTCAGACCGATTGCCGCTGCGAGAATTTCCAGAGCAAGCACCAAAGGATGCTGCGACTCATGCGCATACTTTTTCGAGTTTCCATCCTCGATATCGGACAGGAGGTTGTCGACAGAGCTGACGTTGAAGTTCCAGTTATCTTTCTCATCGGCAGCAACGTATTGGTCCTGTCGGTCCTTGCTAACCATGATAGAGTCTTGGAGAGCTGCTTGGATCTCCTTGATCTTTTGGTAGGTAGTGTCATGAATGCGCTGGCACATGACTTTGCTCATACACGGGATATCCTTGTGACAGTCAGCTAGACTTTCAGAGAAGTCCTTGTGGCAGCGTTGGTTCAATTTCTGTAGCTTTGTCGCCTGCTCGAGAAGGCGGTTGCGAAGGACTTGTTCGACGGTAAGAATATCAGCCGGCGATTTGATGTCATTGTCGTTCGGGATGGCCTCGATCTTGGAAAGGATGGAAGAATTCTCATTGATCACGCTCTTCAATGTTGAGGTACAATCAGCCTGTTCGTCAATCTCCGAGTCAATAAGAACTTGAGCTGATTCAGAGTGGCCGACGACGACTGTGAATGTGCCGGGGGTAATCAGGGGTTGTTGAGCGACTTTGGTGATGTTGAAGTAGAGGGCGCGCTGGGTAGAGACAGAACCGTCGTCGATAGAATCACAAAGGCCTTGTACCGCAAGATCAACGTCCCAATGTTGGCTAGCTAGACCGCGAGGTATGTGCAAAGTTGATGTTTGCCCCTGGTTGGAGCGGTCAACGACGATGGGCCGTCCGTTCAATGTGAAGTCGACATCGCAAAGGTTTGTCGAAGAGTCGAGACGAGGATATTGAAGCTCAAAATCNCTGAGGCAGACGTCAGATACAAGAATAGACAAGATACGCGTATTCCATGTCGAAAGAGGTATATGGCGCTCTTGGCAAGAGTATATACTGACCAGGGCCACGTCATCTTCGTATACAGGACAGTCAACGCACGGAACTCTGACGGCTATTGTTTCGAATCTGNNTCTAGATGGATTGATAAGTAGGAGTTGTATGATGGAAGCGTGACGAGGATAGATCATACCAACAATGGGCTCATTGGCGGCTTTAGTAAAGGAAGAGAATGAGGGTAAGACGGGGTAAGGAACGGCAGAGACTAGAGTCCATGTAAAGGCAAGAGCAAACAAAAGTAGGCTGATTGAACACATTGTCGAACGGATGGATAGATTTGCAAATAAATGAAATGTCTACATGGGCCTGTCCAGGCCGGATTTGTTTCGTCAAGAAAACCGCCGGCGTGACGGTGAGGTGGCAGAAAAGACGAGCTGTGGAAAAAGAGCCCGTAGGCAGCAGTTTATGGGATGCCTCCAGGTTAGGAAGAGAGGCTCGGCGAAGGATTTGGAAAGCAGACGGAGGCTCGGAGTCGGCCTTCGGAGCAATTTGGCTTGACACGATCGACCTCCTCGTTGTCGTTCGCTGAGAGGCCGGCAAGTTCCGAATTGCTTGACGTCGTTGTTGCTCTCTGGTTGCACGACCAAGAGCATGCGCAAACACATCCTTTGAACCATCTATAACACATTGACGCATCGAGCGTTGTCGCATATACAATGGTGAGTGAAGATACGCTTCTTCAAGCTACAGAGAGCCCTCCTGCTCACACGTCAGGCGACTAACCATCACACGTCGCACTCTAGCTCCCTCTCGGTCTTCTCACTGCCGCCCAAGGCCACCCTATGCTAGTCGAGCTCAAGAACGGCGAAACACTGAACGGACATCTGGTCAGCTGCGATACATACATGAACCTCACACTCAAGGAAGTCATCCAAACGAGCCCGGAAGGCGATCGCTTCTTCAGACTACCCGAATGCTACGTCCGCGGAAACAACGTGCGTCTATTTTCGTGTTCAATTACAAAGACACAGTCAACAGGAAGCTGATTCGGAACGCGACAGATCAAATACCTTAGAATGGAAGACGAAATCGTGGATCTCGTCAAGGACCAACAAGCCAGCCAACAAGCCGCCAGAGGCGGTCGCGGAGGAGGTCAAGGAGGAAGAGGTGACCACAGCGGGCGTGGAGAGCGTGGCGGCAGGGGAGGCCGTGGTGGTCGTGGCAGAGGAGGTCGTGGCCGTGGTGGTTGAAGCATTACGGTCAGGAAAGACGAACAAGAAGCAAACAGCTCGAGCCTGGTCCTGTCTTGACAAGAACGGCAGCCACCCAGGCTTTGAGACACACGAGCGGACATGTGCGATAGCGCTGACCAGCGCGGAATCGGCATTTAGAGCAAAGGATCAAGAGGTACAGAATACCCATGCACGACTTGCAGACAGGCTGTGCAGCCAGAATATCATCACGACATTAACAAGAGTTTATGACTTGAATCCGAGTATGTTGATTGATGTGCAGTTTGAGACGTGATACTTTTGTTTCAAGGAGCATCAAATCGTGGCTTTGTTCCTCTTGGTTGTTCCTCTTGGCTGTTCAGCTGTATGGACCAAAAGCCGGGCTCGGCGTTCACATGCGCGGCTTCAAAATGTCGCTCGGAATTTCCAAGCGCGCCCGTAATTGCACATGTCCTCGACCACACCCAGACTTGTCGCCGACGGGCTCTGGCATTGCCTCTGTCCATCATACACCTCCGCGCCGCTACTGTCCACTCGTCATGCCTTGATCCGCCGCCGCCGACCAGCGCTACAATGCGCCGCTACTCGTACACGACCCCCAGCAGTGCCACGCTACAACTCCACCGTCTCACCTGTCCGCTTCAGCGAAAATATCCATGTTCCGCCCAGGTCGCAAGAGAGTGGTCGTCCGGCTACCAATGCCTTTGTACCCTTGGATGAGCAAAGATATTCAAAGGGCCACGATACCACCATGAGGACAATAGTCCGGCCCAAAGCAACCATCAAGAAGGAAGAATTCTATCTATACAGCACACCGGACTTGTATGAGTTGGCACATGCTGCTGCCGCCAAAGAAAACAGTCGCGAGGCAATGCAGATAGTCGAATACTTGGTACGCGTTCGACGAGAGACGCCCAACCTTCGCTTATACTCCATTTCTATCCTCGCCAATGTCCATCCTACCGAAGGCTCTGCAAGAAGCGTCGCTCGTCTGCTGGCTGAGATGGAGGATGAAGGGTTACAGATGAACGTCCAAATCTGTCACGACGCACTTCGTGTGCTGAGTGTTCACATGGACTACTTGCTGCGCATCGACATCCTACAATACATGCGCCGTCAATGGCTGCAGCTCACTACCGAGGGTTATCACTGGGTCGGCGCTGCCCTGTTCCGCGAAGGCCAGCTTGAGATGGGTCGCAATCACCTCGAAGAAATGCGAAAGGACAATGTGCCAATCCAAGGCTGGCTCTACGACATTGCTCTGTACACCATGCTCGAAATGAAGGAGTTCGATGAAGCCTTACTCATAGTCAAGGACCGTGTTGCCGCCAACGACTGGATCGCCAATCGAAACATCTGGGCTCACATGCTCGACTGCTCAGCAGCCTTCTTCCACCATCCTAGCACAGTCTATGTCTGGAACAGCCAAGTCATCCCGGGCTATCTAATACCTTCATCTGGGACATGTCTGAATGTCCTGACCACAGCTGCTCGCAAGGGCGACGCTGCTCTCGCTACATCCGTCTTCCACGTCCTGGGCAAACGCAGCACAACCTTTCGACAGATTCATTACGACCAACTCTTGACCACATACATGTCTGCATCACCACCCGACCTCCATGCCGCCTTTACCGTTCTCACCATCATGGCAAATGTGAAGATCCCTCCAACCTCTGTATCTACCCGGCCCATCTTTACACACCTTGTTCGCAATCCTTCCGAATGCACAACCGCCTTTGACATCATAACCTCTCTCCACGAAAGCGGTCGAGAAATTCCTATCGCGGCTTTGAATGTGCTGATGGAAGGCTTTGTCGAATCAGGCCAACTTGAGCAAGCCCTTGTGACGTACAAACACATGCATCTCTACGAACGCCTTGCCGTGGACAGACACGGCAAACCCATCCGTCGTAGTGGTTCCTACAGCAACCTCGAAACCTTTAACGTCCTCCTTCGCGGCGTAGCAAAACCTAACAGCCAACAGGCTTACGACTTGGCCATGTTTCTGGTCTCTGAGATGCTGGAGCTAGGTGTTCAACCAAACGCTCTTGTGTACGAACGTCTGGTACTCATCTGTGTCCATGACGCGAAGCTCGACCACGCGTACCGTTACTTTGACGAGATGGACGAGTTGGGCTTCATTCCTAGACCATTTACAGCCGGAGTGTTGGCTGAGTCTTTAGCGGAGAGAGCAGACAATAGGTTCTGGGAAGTCCTGCAAAGAATGCAGGACAGAGGGGCTGGACTGGCGGAGAATAAGAAGGAATTCTTGCAACGAACATTCTCCAAGGCTATGAAAGACAAGGAAGGTGAACTTCTGGACACGGCAGTGTAGGAATAGGCTGTAGGATATATGTAGGATACATGTAGTAGAATAGCTTGTACAGCATTTGGTCCATGAAAAGAAAATGATGTTCGTGAATGCATTGTCCCAAGGAAAGCGGCTGCGACTTCCCGTCCACAGTGTTGTATCTCACAACGAACGACGACTCACTCTAACATTCAATCCCCTAACATTACCCTTCACGTTCACCACCAAAGGCAATTTCCAATACAAGATATGCTGTCGACGATTAATATAGATGAAAAAGCTATGGGCACAAGATGGAGCATTCGGACCGCGGGATTCGCCGCGAGAAAAATGAGCAGCTCCCAACCTCACCTTGCGGCTTCAGTACAAGTGTGGTATAGACGTTTCAGAATAACGAGTTTTTCCCCTTTGCTGATTTGGTGTTTTCACCTGTATCTCTACAGTTGGTTGAACACTTCAACGACAATGCCTCAAGGACTAGGGACACCGAACTCGCTGAAGCGGAAGCGAAAGTCGAAGCCAACGCCAAACCATCAGATGCAGCTTCAAGAAACGCCAATCCATGGAACAAAGCAACACACAACATCACAAGCTGGATCAAGTCAGCCGAGACCGTTGATTTCTCAATCAAAGCAGCAGGGAACTCTGAGCCATCAATCGAAACCAAAAAAGCAAAAGACACCAAATCATCAAAAGCAGCAAGAAGAACGCCCAACAACCATTAATGAGAAGAAGATCGAGCAAGACAATCAAATTGTGCGCTTGGAGCGACCAACAGGCCAACCCTCGAAAGTTTCTGTCCAGCTCATGGAACTACGACAGGACCTCAGAAACTCCGGAATTGGGAAACGTGAGAAGAAGCCTCAAGACCAGGAATCTAAACAATGTTGTGTTCATTGTGAGAGTGACTCAAATCTAGGACTTGTGGTCATGCAAGAAGAACATGAGAAAGCCGTCGATGCATTCAAGGAAGCAATTACCACTCTCATGGAAGGACACACGACTCTCAAAAAGGAACTAAAGCTCACAAACATCAAACAAGACAGTTGGAAAGCCAGCACGATCCCACTGAAGAAACGATGTGATGACCAGCAAACAATCTCCGAGAACCTGATCACAGAATTAAGGGAGTTGCAGCATGAGATTGAGGGCCATTATGACGATTGCGTTAGCCTAATGTCAGGGTGGTTCCGTGAAGAACGCCAGAGGAGCCGGACAGAGATCGACGAGATCCAGAAAGAACTGACCGGACACGACAAACAATTCATCAGGACTCAGAATGCTATCGCGGAACATGGCGAGAAACTTGCCAAGAATGAGAACGACATCAACGAAACCCATGAAGGACTCGTCAGTCTTGCAGAAGATTGTGCTGGACACGGTCGGCGACTTACTGAACACAAGAATCGACTATCTGCTCATGACCACTGGCATACTGCGAATGATGAGCGTCTTACTGGACACGACCGCAACTTCGCCGAAGTCAATGCTCGGATACTTCATGTGGAGAAGATGATGAACAAGGGCACCGCGCAATACGACGAGCTCAAGGAATCACACGAGAATCTTAAAGGATACTATGATGAGCAACAGAAGGTCGTAAACCAACTCAACACTCGAGTTGACGAGCTTAATACCAAACTGGACGCCGCGTGTGAGGCTCGAGATTTGGCTCTGAAGCAAAACCAAGCAAACATCGATTTCATAGCCAAAGAACGTATAGAGACCACGAGGCTTGAGCAAAAACTTGAAGACGTGCTGGCAGAGCAGAAGAGAATGAAGGAAGATCATCGAGAATCCCAAGCTCGATTTAAGGCCTCCATGCAGACGAATTCTACGACAAACGATTCACTGTTCGAGACGCAGGCTGCGAAAATCGAGGCGCTGAAGATGCAAACGGGCATCCTTTTAGCGCAATATACCCACATCGAATCCCGACTCTTGTGTTTCAAGGACCTACCAGCACGAATCCTGACCTTGGAAGAGCAATCTGTCCAACGTACCGGTCTGAAGAATTGGCAGGCTCGCATGGAGATCTACTTCCACGGAACTCGCGATACCATATTCACGTGGGCTAGAAGTGAGCTTAAGGAGCATCACACGAGCCTCGCCTCCGAGATTGGTTCTCTGAAAGCTCAGTCGGAAAGCCAAGGGGAGGATGTGAAAACGATGAGCAAGCGCTTGGAAGACCAGGATCTCAAGTATCTGACACTACGGGCTTTGGTGTCAGGCAAGACAACTCAACCTCCGACCAACACGACATCTCTTTCGCCGAAGAAAGTTCATGAGGAAGCCTCCGAAGATAACGCTGTCTGGAGATCATCGCCTACGTTGATGATAGCTGATACAGAGTCTGATCAACAAGCAAAGGAAGATGCATTCCCAAAATGTTAGACAAGCCTGAGGATGGCAACCACGAAACAATCTGTGCTACAGAACCGGCGTTGACATTTGCGCAGTCAGAATCAGTGCTAGATCCCTCAGCAGCTCTCTACGATCCATGTTCAAGAGAAGTCTTCAAAGAATCAAGCGCTGCTGTCGATGAGACAGTGCAGGCCCCAGATTCCCCGCTCTCTTCGATACCGTCTAGTGTTCTGGCCGACATGGATCAGAATGCTGAATCTGACCAACAGTTCGAAATGTCGAGTCGTGAAGATGACGACAGCCAGCCGGACCAATACCACAATGATGATTGTGCCCAGGACTTGGATGCACAGAGTGATGAACGAGTAGATGCGCCGCTTTCAAGGCTCAAACGCCGGCCTGTGCATGACAGCAGTCAGTCTTGGTCTGAGCAAGAAATCAAGGTTTTGCGAGATTCGATGCTTGAAATTAACCACATGCACATATCGATGATGAAACGCTTTGAGTTTTGTTCGCGAAGGCTCAAAGATAAAGGTTTCAGCCGAAGCTTTAATGCCTGTAGGAGCTTCTGGGAAAGAGACATGGCTTTCGATCATACGCGCGAGAGTCCTGAGGATCAGATCTCTTTGTGGAGCGAGGGTTTTCAGCCAACAGCGAAAGCATATCCACATGTTTCACCTGCCGAGCTCTCGGAAAAAGTCAGTGGGACACTGAACCATACAAACACGATGCCTGAGTCCCGTGTTGCAAGCACTTGTGAAGACGTACAAATTCTCGACCAAGAGCCAGTCCACGAGTCTCTCAAGGGGAGGGACGCACAAACGAGCGAGCAACCTCAGACCAAATCATTGCGATCTTGGTCTGACGAGGAAATCAAGATCTTGTGCGAAACAATAAGTGAATCTGCAGGAGATATCTTGTCGATGTCGCAGCGTTTTATGGCCTGCGAACAGAAGCTTCGGGAGAAAGGCTTTACACGATCAGTGGACGCCTGTAAAACCCGTTGGTATTGTGTATTCGAGACCGGCAAAAGGAACAAGTGGACAGAGGAGGAAAGGGGTTTCTTGAGAGAGGCAGTCAAGGAGACAGCGAGAGTCTACGGCCCTGCCCTCACTAATCAGCGCTTTACAAAGGTCAGTGAGATACTGAACAACACAAATGGAGCCACTATTCCTCGCACCGTACTGGCCTGTAAACAACAATGGGCAAGTATACGGGAGGAAGAGCGATGGAGACTTGAGGATGAGCAAATATTCCACGATTTGTGGCCAGATATGCGTCGAAAGAGGTCTACGATGTCTCTGGCTGCTGAAGACAGTTGCCTGACTGACGAGTCTGACAATGAACACACCACAGAAGCATCGAATCTCCTCGAACATCTGATGGACGAGCAAGACCCCGAGCCCTCACGGAAACGGCAGAAGCAGGTTTCTCCTGGTGCCGATCAATCAGCAACAATCGAGGAGTCGCCTGCCGAACAAGTCGAGCCACCGACAGCCAACGGAGCTGGCCTTGCGTGGGTGCCTTCTCATCAAGAAACATCACCCCTACCTTCACCGCAAGATCCTTCAGCTGAGACTACAGATGTTCCACAGCAGAGTCATCTCATGGAGGGACTGTTGGATAATGACCGCTTTACATAATCTACAGCTGAGCGGACTGTGAACGAGCAGGTGCCGCACGAGCAGGCCTTCAATGAGCAGCAATATGCCACTACCGCCATCGAAAACACCTTGGAGAGCTTTGCGGAACAGCAAGATAATGACGAGTCCGAAGCCGAAGCGATTCGAGTAGAGCCTCGCCGATCATCCAACCTTGACCTTCAGGATACACAACAACCCCCCTGAAAACATGCATGAGGCTGGGCTGGCAAATTTCAGATGCTATGAGGAAGTGCAGAATGATTCCGAGCCTAATCCTCCAGCGCAGACACACGTTACTGGCACTTCGATGCAAGAGCAACCAACTGAGCTACCTCTGAGCGCACCAAACGACAGCCAGGAAGACACCCTCGAAGGCATGTCTGCAGTTGATCTGGCTGCCGTGGTAGCCGACGAGATTGCCGAACACTGCCAGGAAAGCACCACTGCCTTTAGCTCCCTAGATATCGGGTTCTGGATTGCGGATGATAGCTAGTTGTTTCAGGCTCAGCGAGTGACCGAAAAGGAAAAGCTGAACGGAATACATTGTTTGAGTTACCAAGATCGTTTTGTTTCCATGCATCCTCAAGTCTGTAAAGATATGGATACACCCGCCCTTTTCGATCAGAGTTGATACTTCCTCTTCTGATTTCTTTACCTCTGAACTTGACTCCCGAAAGTCTCGACGCTTTCGATGAAAGATTGTTGGCTCTCATGAGACAATCGTCATCCACCCATGACTATCAAACAGCACAGTACCTTCCTGAATATCACAGTAGCCACGGAGAGGCTTGCCCTAGATAATTCTCCCTATACACGTCTCTAAACTCTACAGCATCTATGCATCTTCATGTTGTTCGAGTATGCTGTCACCCTTGCCGGGCACAGGAGTAGTAGGCAGCCGAGCTCGCAGAACAGCAGTTCTCAAGGAAGAGGGGAAGTGAAAGCTATTTCAGTGATCAGGGGATGGGTGAACGAGCTTTCAAGTTGCGGGATGAACGAAACGTCAAAACAATCGCGTCTTGTGATGGCTACAGATTATACAAAGGTTTTGGTTTAAGAGACGACGCTTCATTGCAGGGAAAGATGAGGATGCGAAAAAGCTGTTTGGTCAAGTCGATTGATCTTGCCTCGTAGACTACAGTTCCATGCTTTACGTCTACAAAGCGAATTTTCGAAAAAAACGATAGAGGAAACCAGCACCATTCACATTGAATTTCTACTTCTTATGCCTGATGTTGCCTAGCGTACTCGAAAAGCACCACACCGCACGCGGTCTGCACATTCATACTCCTCGTGACTCCCTTCTGCGGAATCTCAACAAGCATATCGCACTCTCCCAGCACGTTGGCCGGCACACCTTCCTTCTCTCTGCCCATAACAAGCAGCGTCTTTTCCGGCAACTTGCACTGTTCGCTACCCAAAAGCACACTGCGATCAGTCTGCTCAACACCCACAACAGTATACCCCTGCATCTTCTTTTCAGTGAGAAAAGCAGATAGATTATCGGCATGCAAATCGTGGATGGGGAGATGGTTCTGCGAGGCCACGGCCACGGAAACAAAGTCTTTGTTGCCGAGCACGGAGTGTGGGGATTGGATATACATTGCCTCTGCGCCAAAGATTTCGCTGATGCGGGAGAGGCCGCCAAGGTTGTATGCGTTGTCGACGAGGGAGCCGACGACGATGAGGGAGGTTGGGCGTGTTGATGAGGTGGATGACGAGTCGGAGGGNGAGAAGTCGGTTGAGAGGTACGCTGTTCCTTTTGTTTGGAGGGCGGCGAATGCTTCGGTGCGAGCTGACTCTTTGGATTGCTCTTGTGTTGCTTGGGCGGGAAGGATGCCGTTTTGTGTTGGGATGGAGGGCTGAGAACCGAGAGGTAGGGCTTCGGATGTTGCTTTTGTAATTATGTCCTTGTCCCACAAGCGTTGGAAATCGCCAGTCACGACGGCCTCTTCACCCGGTGGTTCGACACGGAGATACTTGCCTTGGAGCAAGTTTGTAAGTGTGTTGTCCGCAGAGGGATCGAGACGTTCGAGTTCTCTAGCGGGTGGCGGCTCCGAGAATCTTTCGAGACTGCGGATGTACTCGTTTAATGCAGCACAAGCAGGGTTTGATTGGATCTCAGTCCAACCCCTGCTATCAGCATAATCCCACAGGATTGGGAATGACCATTGTGCTTCATGACGGATGATGATTTTTGCGCTGGATGCAAGGGCCACTAGACGATACGCTACTCTTGCTGCGAAGTCTCGAGAGCAGTTATCTTGGCAGGCGATCATCAAGGCAATCTTGACAAGAGTTCCAAGGTATTTAGGGTTCGAATGGTGGTCTTTCGACGACAGTGCATCCAGAACGAGTTCGCCTGTTGAAGGATGGTTGAGAATGACGCGGGCAACAATCCATTCCAGCACGAAGCGGTATCTCGGAAGCGGCTCAATAGCGACCACTCTCAGCAAAATTCGGAGTTGATCTTCCGCTTCCTTGGCCGATACCTCTTGAAGACGTTGTTCAGAAAGCATGAGCAAGACTTGAAGTTGCGTAGTGGCCTTCCATCTAGTGACGATAGGGACAGGAGCTCTTTGTTTCGTCCATGGTTTGAGCAGGCGATCATAGATGTCACTGACCATTGATGAGTCAATATTGCTGAGACGGTTGACAAGATCGAAGAACGCCGCATGTCCAATCTCTTCATACTCCCCGTAATAGTCGTTGTAGCTGCGGTGAATGTCACCGTCCTCAGTCAACAATTGAATGGCTGCAGCTTCCAACTTGAACTCAAGCCTTGCAGCAGGAAGGTTGTTTGCAGTCTGAATGACAAACTCATCCAAGCCAAACTTCTCGGCGGCAGCGGGACAAGTGATCATGGCTGTTCTATATGCTTTCATGATAGGCGTCCAGAGGTAGATTCTGCCCTTCATTAAGCGCTGAAGTTGAGCAAAGATTTCCAGGACTGTGGCACACAACGTGTCATCCTCGAGACAGCGACTGACACAACCAGGATGCAGTGCTAGACGTGGTAAAAACATGAGAACGTCTCTAGGGTAGTCTTGTCTCTCAACCTCGTTCCACACCGCGTCAAAGGCGCGATCCAGCTGTTGAGCATCGAGATTGTCGGTGCCAGCCCTATCGAAGATTGAAATCAACGACTCACACGCCATCGATAGTCCAGTACCTTGAACACTAATATGGCGGGAGCTGTCAAGTTCGCTCAAAAAGTCATCAAGCGACTTCCATCTCGACGACCTTTTNTCGTCCGACTCGAATCGTGAGGGTGCATTGATCTTGAATGCCTCGATCTGCTTAGATAGGACCTCGAGCTTGGCGTCGCATGCGGTCAGTTTCTCCGTGCCATACTCGCCGTATGTCTCAGCATCCTGGCTGATCAATTGGGAGAGCTTGTAGCATTGTACAAGCATCGCATCGCGCGCAACCTCGGGGTAGCCAGTAATTCTTGACAGATTGAGAATGAGTTCTAATGCCTCGCCTTCCATGCAAGCTATGGATTCCCCTTGCAGGCCCTTGACCAGACCTTGGAGAAGATAGATCACAGCAACAGGGACAATCTTGTTCTTGTTGTTATCCAGATAAACGAGGACAGCATTAACGATGCATTTTCTGGAGTAGGCATCGTCGCGGCTGAGATGGGCTTGCAGCAATCTTTCCAGAAAGTTTGATAGTCTGGTGCCATGAGCGCATCTCATGTCTCTGGTCTTTCCTTGAACACTTCCAGTGAAGAGGGGGCCTTGAGTGGCCCAAGGCAGGAAAGACTTCTGCAATAATGTTGCAAACTCTTCGGCATGACTGAACAGCCTAATGTCGGTGCTCATGAGCCAGTTCCCCAACATCTTACGCATACTGTCTTGAGTGACCGGAGAAAGTGCTGATTCGAGAAGAGCGAAGAGCCATGATTTTTGGACTATCGTCTCAGCAGACGCTAGGTGATCCAGATCCTGTACGCACTCCAGTGCCTGGTTGAGGTATCTGCCAATGACGATTGTCTCGTAAACAGTGCAGAATCTTGCGTACTGGGATTCAGCGACCACGGACCCTNNATCATAGTATTAGCAATATATCAAGCTTGCGACACTAGCTTGATATCCGTTGGATTGCCATATGTAATCGGAACCAATCCAGGAATTCCTCCAGGAAAAGGAACGCCACTCACCCGTCTTGTCTTGTTGGTCCAGTGTCAATTCCATATCGTTGGCCCGAATGTTGTTACGAGAAATTGAGATGGACTTTTTGAGAACATGGAGACAGATCTTCCTTTGCTCGGTGTCTCCTTGAGACGACTGGCCTAGCGTGCCGAGCAAGTATTTCCAGTAAGGATCTTTTTGCAGAGCCACTTGGCGCGAGTAACCATGACTATCCAGGTCTAGCCATCTCAGCCAGATAGTATAGGCAGTGGTCTTGTACGAGCTCTTCTCGCTGAAGTCGAGCAGGTTTCTGATACATTGCCAAAGATGCCTATCAAGTTCGTCCGGATCCGTCTTGAAATGCGAGAAGGTAAAGGTACCAGCTTTGAAAGAAGCCAGGAAGGCGAGAATAGTCTCTTTAGCTGCAGCTGCGATATCCGAGTTCGATGAAGCAAGGAGACCAAACATGGCACATACTATCGGACTCGAGACGACAAAAGATTTGTCGAGTATCGGGCTTCTGAAAAGTTGCTTAGCAAAGCTCAAGTACATAACAGTCGTCTTGACAAGTTCGTCCAACTGGCGATCAACTCCGAGCTCGGGGTCATAGTGTGACACAAATGGGTCCACAATCAAAACCTTTTCAACCGGAACCACAAACTCGGCATTCTCTGGCTGGCGAAGAAGCTGTGAGAAGCAGATGTGAAGTTCACGATCTGTCCAGTGCAATAAAGCATTTCGGATCCGAGAATATTCGACACATAGAGCTGCAGCTGAAGAAGCATCATCCTGCTCGATCGATCTGATCAGGAATTCATTGAGATGAACGTTTGCCTCCTCGTCAGGACATTGATGAGCGAGTGCAGCAACAAGTCCAAGTGTATTGCTGTCAATGTTGGAGGCAAGGTCTCGGACGGCAGCGAAGCGTTCAGTTTCCGGGATTCTGCTAAGAAAGATATCCGCCAGCGTCGTGTGTACCGATACAGATGGAGCGACCATGGTATGAAAAGAACGCCACCGACGCCCTGAAAGAGAAGACGAACGTGTGTAAGAGCGACTCAGGGCGCCACGAAGTGTCTGCATATATCTACTCCTTCTTTTGGATCCATCAAACAAAATTGTAGATTCGATGCGGCGTAACTTCGGTATCAAAAAACAGTCGCTCTAGATCATGGTCTTTGCGGAGCGATGTCCGCGAGCACCTGTCCGTCTCCCCGACTCGGCGTCGCCGGCAGCGTGTACCTATGAGAGTAAGGACTTTCATATCTACGTCTCGACTATCTTGTGTCGACAGTCACATGGGAATGCCCCGGCCGGTTGATGTCTGTGAAAGCTCTGCAAAGTGCTCACGTCTTTGCTGTGAGGCTCACTTTCGACTGTCATGTCTCAGATTGATGCATTGTCTGTTTTGGGATAGCTGAAACACGGCTTAAGTCAAAGCTAAGTACACTCTTGACCGATGGTAAGTCGGAGTAGAGGAGTATGGTTCGGATGGTTGTTATGGACGGTATGTACGTTTTTTTGTTGTGATGGCGACAACTCTCCTGCATCTCGCAATGCAAACACGCAAATGCCTACAGAAGATAAGACCCACAGCTTCACCGTCCTCCCATGATCACCACCACGAACCTTCTTCCTCTTCAAAATCGAACGATCCGTGAGCTAAGCTCTCCAGCTTCTTTTCTAATCTTACGACGATTTTGAGGGCATCGAACTTGTCGAAACACTCATATTCATCGTCGGTATCATCGTCGGTCAAGGACAAATCTGAATTTATCGCCTTATTCTGTCGGATTTGCCAATAGCTGAGACCTTGATGACCGGCAGCTCTCACGCCGAACGATTCAGATAGCGCTTTGTCCACAAGCTTCTTCTGCTCTGAGTGTTTGTTCGCATGGTGTAGGTCTTGAGTGATGAAAGCAGATTCGCCTACGGACGCATTCCACACCTTGTTGATAGTGTCTATTAATGGCTGCCACTCGACAAGACTCGGCCTGAGCATTCTCAAGTCAACAACAGTCTCTCTGGCTTGTGGCATCATGCCCTTGAAATGCTGATAATACTTCTCGCACTCCTCAGGCTCTGGCAACGACCACCATGAACTTTTAAGCTGATTGTTGAGATCGAAGAACAAGGTCAAGCTTTTGAGGCCAGGAAACATCTCTCGCATATCTCGCCATCTGAGATCGAAGTCGAGGAGAACAGGTGGTGGGATCGGAAGCCACAATTCGAGCTTGTTGATGAGGTTTCGTCCTTTCACAGGCATATCGCGAATCCACTTGTCGCTCTGAGCTATGTCATGGTCCTGGAGCAAGTCGGCATGAGGAAGAGGGCCAATGCAAAAGTTGTTGACGCGGTAAAGCACTGGCATAGCTTCTTGGTGGATCTGCCGGCACGTGAACATGATGTTGATCTTGACTTTTGCAGGGGTGACTTTGCTCTGGACACGGGTAGGGCCTGACTTGCTGAAAAGACGCACGAAACTACGCGGTGCCTCGAGTTGAAGTTCATAGAAACGCTGACGGACTGTATCTGGAAGCTCGAGGAANGGAAATGGCTCAGCGAGGGTTGCGTTTGTGGTATCTGGTTGGTTCTCGGTAAGATGCGTGCCGCGCTTCAAGCGCCTGGTGCTGGGAGGCATGATATCGGAGTGATTGACAAAACTCAATCTTTCTTAAAAGAGCTGTGGTTAAGTGAGAAGAGTAGAAAGAGTACGATACCGAAGATCTGAGCCTCTGAGCCGAAGTAAAAGAGTGGGTCTTTGGGATGTAGTTAGGCAGCAGCAATAGTATACTATTGGACCCAGTCTGATCCTACGAGGGGACTACGGGGGCATCTGCACACCGCTCGAAGCAATCAGTGTTGTCTGGGAGCCCCACAGACTGGCACAAACGACAAGTTCGTTCGGCAACCTCGAGTGAAGTGAAATCCCAAGCACTATGGCTAAGCATTCCTCGGCGTGATGGTCGATGGAATGTCAAGGTGATGTAGATAGTTGAACTCTTCTGCAGCTCTCGTGAACGAGTTGTCTCTTCAACTGCTTGGTGTTTCGTTTCGTCAAGCACGACAAGCAATCAATTGAGCCCAGGGTGATGGTCTCAAAGTGGTGAGAGAGAGTTCCAGGATCAGCGCGCCGAGCCGAATTGTCGTGGCAACAGCCGAGTTGTTGATTTTGGGGGACTTTCTTGTGGAGGAAGGCACAAGCTTGGACTGATGATTGACAGATGTTCACCCACAATCGACTGCGTTTCCAGTCAACGGTCGTTGAACTTTTGATATTACTCCAACAGCAGTTAGACCAGGAGACTTCAACATGGATATCCCTCACACGGTCTCGGAATCGGACATGTCCTATATATCAACAGCGTCAGCTCCATCCTTACGCGCCAGGGACTCAGTAGCGACCATGGCTTCTTCACGACCTTCTTATCTGGCAGGCGAAGAGGGACAGGGCAACGTCAAGGTCGTTGTCAGAGTGCGCAAATTCTTGCCTCGAGGTATGCGCAGAAGTTTCCTCACATGCTAAGCGGAAGGCTGACCGATCTAAACAGAACTCGAGCGACAAGCACCATGCCTGATCGAGATGGATCCGAACACGCAAAAGACGACAATTCACCCTCCTCCAGCAGAATCCCTCGATGCAAAATCTCGTAAAGTCTACGAGGAGAAGAGCTTCGTCTTCGACAAGTCTTTCTACTCTCACGACGAGTCAATGCCTCACTTTGCCCACCAGCAAGATGTCTACGCCTCGTTTGGCGAGGATTTCCTGGATCACAACTTCGACGGCTACCACACTTGTATCTTCGCATACGGCCAGACTGGTTCTGGAAAGTCATACACCATGATGGGTACCAAGGACCAGCCTGGTCTCATCCCCAGANCATGCGAGAATCTATTCCAGCGCATCGACCAGGAGCAGAATGGAAACATCACATACAACGTCCACGTCTCCTACTTTGAAATCTACAACGAGCATGTTCGCGATCTTCTCACTCCCCGCACCAACCCTCCTACACACTTGAAGATCCGCGAGAGCAAGTCGGATGGAGTTTATGTCCAGAACTTGACCGACAGCCCTGTCAAGACCTTTGGCGACATCCAGCGCCTTATGCACATGGGTGATTTAAACCGAACGGTTGCTGCTACCAAGATGAACGACACGTCATCGCGCTCGCACGCCGTCTTCACTCTCACACTCAAACAGATCCAACACGACATTGCCACTGATAGCACCATTGAGCGCACTGCCCGTATGCGTCTTGTCGATCTGGCTGGCTCCGAACGAGCAAACAGAACTGAAGCAACCGGCCAGCGACTTCGAGAGNGGAGAAACATCAACCAATCTCTCACAACTCTTGGACGCGTTATCGCCGCTCTCGCAGATCCCAAACGCCAACGACCCAGCCGCTCAAACCAGACCAAGCGTCGTTCGGACGTGGTGCCCTACCGTGACTCGGTGCTCACCTGGCTGTTAAAAGACAGTCTGGGCGGCAACTCAAAGACAGCCATGGTCGCCTGCATCTCCCCAACCGACTACGAGGAGACCCTATCCACACTCCGCTACGCCGACCAGGCCAAACGCATCCGTACTCGTGCAACTGTCAACCAAGACGCTGTATCCGCCGCCGAACGCGATGCTCAGATCAAAGAAATGGCAGAGACCATCCGCCTCCTGCAACTATCAGTCAACGCTTCCACCACTCGCAAACGCGACGAAGTCGACCGTGCAGGTCAAGAACTAGAAGATTACCAACGCCAAGTCACAAAGATGCAACGAGCAATGGAAGAATCCCGCGCCGTCGCCGACGTAAAGATTCGCGCTTTGAACCAAGAGTTAGAAGATCTTCGCCCCTTGAACAACAAATTGAAAGTGGAAGTCGAAACTTTGCGCAGACATCTCGCTCTTGCCATTGGCGAATTGAAGAATCCTATCGTGTTGCCTCCTGCCGAGGAAGACAAGGGCTGCGACATTCAAGAGATTGAGGTCTACAGTGATGAGGACGAGGAAGAGGAAGAAGAGAGTGACGACGAAGGGTACTCGTCACAGCATGCAGAGTGGCAGGCCGATATTGACGAGTTGATGAAAGATCTGGGCATGTTCAAGAGAAAAGTCGCTGATGACCGCAGTCGCTTTACCATGCCTGCTGCTTGAGAGGTTTAGCGTATTGATGGCATTGAATACAAGCCATCGCAGCATCGACCAGCTTCGCGCCCCTTTTTCTTCTGGTTTTCTGTTTCAGGTCATGATGGATGATGTTTATTGAGCAAGCGAGGAGTTTTTCTTTCTTTGGTTTGGAAAGGGACAAAGAGGTTTCAGTTTAGATGGGTCGGCGACAGAGCAGCACAGCACCCGGTAGAGTATATTTATATGTCTGTAATGATATGCAATTCTTTTTCTATACTTGCTTGAACTTCATTCCTCTTGCACCGGAGTAAGGAAGGGACTAGGGTCAGAGCTGGACGAGATTTGATACTCAAGATTACCCTTGAAAACCAAAGACAATGAAAATGCAGGATCCCTTTACTCATCGTCATCCTCAATCCTCGCCCTCTTGCTTCCACGCTCTTCTTGGTCTCCACCTTCATTGAGGCCGTACCTCTTAACCCCCTGCCCAGAAACGCTCGCGCTTCCAGCAACCTCCCCACCCTTCTTACTCTGCGCATCAGCAATCATCTGCTCTACGCCAAACGGATCCCCATTATCGCGTTCAAACACCACGGGACCCTCTCTCTGCTCAGCAGCCCTGGCACTCTTCATACCCTCTTTAGGCGCCCTGCCCAACGTCTCAAACCTACTAGTTTTNTGAATGGCATCCAGTGTTTCTCCCGCATCTTCGCCATCATCTGCATCCAGTTGCGGTCGATAGATACTATTCAGCGCTTCCCTGTCTGCAAATAGTGGTTTATCGTATGCTTGGTCTTCATTAAAGCCGCTTGCGAACCCAGAAGATCTATCAAAGAGTCTGCTGTCATACATTGTTTCTTTACTCTGGGTTGGTTTCGCGAGCCCCAGGGCCACTTTTTCGGAAATGTCGCGGTTTTGAGCGCGCGCGAGNGTTTGCATGCGGCGTTCGTGGCCCATGTTTTTCTGGCGCAGTTCGCGTTGAGCGTCGCGGCGTTTTTCGGCGCGAGCTTTTTCGCGGGCGAGGCGGTCGTGTTCGGTCTCGTCTGCTGAGTTGGAGCGGGAGCGTGAGCGAGAGGAGTAGCTGTCTATGCTTCTGCTTCTGCTTCTGCTGCGGCTGTCTTCACGAGCGGATGGTCTTCTTGCTGTGTTCGCTTTTTCCTCGCGGGCTTTTTGGGCGAGTAAGCGGAGGTTTTCTTCTTTTGCTCTTTTTCCTTTTCGNGCGAGGCGTTGTTGCATTAGTGCTCTGGACTTTACTTCTTCGCGGGCGTGGCGGTCTGCGGTCTGTAGGGCTTCGGCGAAAGAGGCGAATTTGTCGTTGATGGTCACGTCTTGTAGGCCTCTGCCGTCTGCTGCCAATCTCTTGTCTAGAGGCACTGTGTAACCCTTGGGGTTCTTCCAATTGGAGACGGTGGGAGGGATACGCCAGGCCTCTTGGTCTTCGGCGGTGAGTTTGCGGGGTGGAGAGTGCATGACTGGAGGAGGAGGCGATGGAGGTCTTCCGGGAATCTTCTTTGCTTTGAACTTGGGAGGCTCCATTGGATCGATCTGGCGAGACATGATTTTCATGATGCGGTCGCCCTTCTTGGAGTTGTCTTGGCCCATTTGGTTGGCGGGTGTGTAGCGCACGTACGAGGCTTCTCTCTTTTCCACGCCCTTGACATTCTTGGGGCGCTGAGCTGCGCTTGCACCGGCGACTAGGGTCGCCAGTGCTAGTTCTGTCTTTCGCTTTGTTTCTGCGACGGTTTCCTCGTCGGGGCGCGCAAGAGAGATCTCGCCGGCATTTGCTTGGTGTCTGAGTGGAATCAGGTCCTTGAACGACGCATGCACGATTCTGTTTTCTGCGTGGCCGCGCTTAGCGATGGCGGTATAGTCGACCTGGCCCTCGGCATTGACGCTCAAAGTCAAAGCATTGGACGAGGAGGCGTGCTTTCGGCCCATGTCCAGGGGNTATTGCGCAACCGAGACTTCAGGGTAGGCCCCTCCATCTCCAAAGTCTTCGTTGCCGCGGGGTCGCCAGTTATTGCGCTGACCATATGGAGGGATTCCGCTGCGCTTGGCGACTTGCAGTTGTTGTGATGCCGCCTGGTCGGCTCCGATGATTCGAGGGCCCACGGATTGTCTCTGCTCTTCCTCTTCACCAGTGTAGCGCGGTTTGGGCAATGCCGCAAACATTTTCGCTGGTACTATGATGTACTCCGATGAGACTGTCGACTGAGGAAGACGGGCGCAAAAAGTGACTGCGCGTGAGCTCGGTAGGCCAGCGAGGCGCGACGAATATTACGAGATTAGATCGGCGGGAGTGGTCACTACACAGCGTGACGAGGTGACTCCTGGCGGAAAGTGAGATTCAAAGACGGCTCCACGAAGACCAGAAGCGTAGTGGTGGTGTTGATGGTATGCAGAAGCAGAAAGTCTTGACATGGTTTCCCAGAAGCGTGACGTCCAACCACTGTCTTGGCGCTGCTATATCTTCGATTTCACCATTGGGTACCACGACCATTTGCAACTATATATATCCTATCATCGATTGTTGTTTTCCCCAAGGACTCTCTGGTGTCATTTGATACTATAAGTGTGTTGACTCCGAGACCATGAAGTTGACCATTACTCATATTTTGCAGTATCACACAAGAACATCCTTGCTTCATGCAATAGCAGTCGATCAAAATCAATTTAGCATCTAATGGACTCTGCTCTCGAAGACGAATGTCAAGCAATAAACGCGATCTACACTGAATCTACTCTGATCGTTCTATCTCAAAATCCCACAATCTGCTCTCTGGAACTTCCAGGAGAAGTCAATATATCCCTACGCCTCGAATTCCCAAACGACTACCCAGATGCCCCTCCCTCAATCCTGGGCACTCAGTCCGTGGGCGACAATGCTGCTAAAGGTGAAGGTGCCCATGTCGTCGACATTGCGCGCGAAGTCCTTGCAGAAGTCTACCAACCTGGTTCACCATGCATATTCGACCTCGTGGAAGAAATCAGCCAGAGACTTCAGCAGTACAGCGATCACAGCAGCGAAAGCCAAAAACTTCAAGAGCAACAAGATGCTCAAAGGAGAGGTCAGCAATCCTCTGCTCTGAACGACGACGACGAGACCTCAAACCCTGACCAACACACGCAGTCGCTAGACTTGCTGCCCGACAACGAACCACCCTGGCTTCTCTCCTCCGTGTTCACAGAAAAGAAGTCGGTCTTTATCGCTCGAGCAGCGGCTGTAACCTCGCCGGCGGAAGCAAAGTCTTTTCTAGCACACCTCCTCGCCACAGACAAANAAGTTGCAAAAGCCACTCATAACATTACGGCATGGCGAATCCATGGACCCAACGAGACTGCATTCCAAGATTGTGATGATGATGGCGAGACGGCTGCGGGAGGCAGGTTATTGCATCTCATGCAATTGATGGATATCTGGGATGTCATGGTTGTGGTCACGAGGTGGTATGGTGGTGTGCAACTGGGTCCTGATCGTTTTAGGTTGATCAATACTGCAGCGAGAGATGCTTTTGTCAAAGGCGGCTATGTTAAAGACGCGAGTAAGGCTGAGGCGAGCAGTAAAAAGAAAGGCAAGAAATAGATGTGTCAACCATAATGATATAGTTGTAAATACAGAATGACGGCAGCGACATCGCTTCATGAAGCCTCGGTGCAAAATAATCACATGGATAGTAGCCATAATCGCGCAAAGCACAAGACTATCCTTACTACTTCTGCAGTATCCAGCTCTCTCAAGCCAGATCAAGTCAGAAAACAGCAATGAGGCACAGTGGAAGATTAGCCCGCCAGTACTTGGGTCGCTACCATTGAACAGAGTTCATGAGACCCGCCTCGTCGGCTACATCGACATGATTGTGGGACATTCCTTGATCTCAGGCATGGCGTCGTGCAGTCGAAGCCTTGGATAAGAGCGATATGGTCGTGGATAGACTCGTTCTCCAGTCGCGTCTTTGCATTTTCTCCAGTGGTTTCTCTTGCGACATGTTCTCCATGGCGCTTGCTTTCAGTTGCCGAACAGGGTATCTTTTATTCCGCATAGCTCATCTACCGTCCTGATGCTCTTTCTTTCCTCCCATGGCTCACAAATACCAAACCCACAGAACGCCCACGCTGTATGCAAACATGTTCTTGTTTCCTCCCTGAGTCTTCTCAAAGTCCCAAAGATCTTCTGACATCTTGCTTGACCTTGTTTTCGAACTCTGTTCTTCTCTCTCTCCACATTCTTGCTGCGTCCACGTTGGCAGGCGACTCGTCGTTTGGCTCGGCTAACATGCTCATAACACTGATCAAGATCTTCTCTACACTCTGAATGGGGCTCCAGCGTTCCGAGGCGTGTTCGTAGTGATTAGGGTCGTCGCCAGGAGGATGGAGGATAGAGATGCAAACAACACCATTGGGATAAACNTGCGCCTTTTCATCAGTACAAAATCTCAGACGTTGAGCTGCTTTGGGTAGCGGGAACATACCATTGGGATGCCAGATATCGCAGAGAAACTTCATGGTTGGCGGCATCAAAGGATAGTCTTTGGGAAACTTGAGTTCGGCAGGAAANATGCCGCCTTCGTAGGGAGTGCCTTCGGGCCCTTCGATCAGCGCTTCCCAGACGAAGAGGTCATCTTCTTCGACGGGGCCGGCGGTGATGCCATCGGGTGGGTCTTGGGTGAGATGTTTGTATTCTTGGAAGAGGCGTTTGGAGGCGACGGAGGTTGTCATGATGTGTGATTGTGTATGCGACGGGGGTTCGCTGAGAGGTGTGTGTATGCGAAAGGGTTTTCGTGCTGGTGAGTCTTGATCGCAAATGTGTTGGTTGTATGGGGGCGGTGATGGAAGCCGATGGACCCTGATTGCTGACGAGGGGGCGTTCGCCATGCAGCGTCTGCAAAGCAACACGCCAACGACATGTTCTGACTTCTGAGGACAACATTCAATGTACATATCAAAGTACCAAAATGGAAGACGTGGACTCTGAAAACTGCTGATGCTTTTCATGATGTTGATTCGTATGTTGTACATGATATGATCTGTCAACTCAACTATGCTCTGTCAATCACGGCTTCTGTTGGCCAACCATCTCCTAATCACAAACTCCCTGATCTCGTACCCTCTCAACAGCTTTCCAATATCCACTTCTCCATCCTCAGAGCTCGGTAGCTCCTTTGGTACCTTGACATACACAATGACCAAACTCTTCTTGACCTGACTCTGCACACGGTTGACACAGTGCAGCCACCACCAACCCATTTTGCCCTTTCCTTCTGCCGCTTCAATGCTGCCCTCTGTATACTCAGGGATGATAAGAAGAGCAAATTCGGCGTGAGAGAAGACGGGGCCGCGGTTGTAGAGGAGGAAGTCACAGGAGAACTTTACACCAGGACGGACAACCCAGCCCAGAGAGCGGTAATGATGGTACACGACGTAGTTCAACAAGAAAGGGTCGTCTGAGCGTAGGGTAGAGGTTGGAGCAGTAGGAAATTGCGAGTGTTGACGGAAGAGGGTAAGTAAGGATGGGGTGGAAAGAGGTTGGTTCGTGTTGGGGTCCAGGATCCGCAGGCTGCCCAAGGCGTAGGACAAGAAGAAGGATTCTTCGAGATTCAGCTGAAGATGTTCTTGGTTTGTGATTGGTGCTTCCTCTTCAGGTTCTACGACTGCTGTTTCTTCCTGGATGCCGGTTGTGTGGATTGTGCTGCCAGTAGGAAGGATAGGAACCTCCACGACATTAGTTGCTGGTTCTTCCGGTTTCGTGTCTTCCGCAGGCACAGCTCTCGTTTCCTCTTTGAACTTCGCATCGCCATCCTGCTGTTGCATCCAGGGAAAGACGTGAGAGATGGCAATTTCCGTCGCTTTCTCCTCATCTTTTTCTAGCTTCGCAGATTCCAACACAGCACGTTCTTGCCTCAACGTCTCCTCGATCTGCTCGGCTTCTGCTCGAGCTCTCTCAAGCTTGAACAGCTTTCTCTCTTCTCTTCTTTTTCTTGTGTTTTCTTCTGCAGTACCACCACCGCGTTTGCTCGCCTTCAGCCTGGCCTTTTCTCTGTCTAGCCAACTTGGCTCACTTCGTGACATTGTGCCTTTGCCGAAGAATCCCATCTCCCAGAGTGCACGAACAGAGGCATGATCTGTGACGTGAACAGATCGTGTCTCGGAGCTGAAAATGCCAGTGATTGGTACTTCTCGATGGGATGATGGTGCAGATATGAGTTGTGAGAGGTAAATGTATGCGATGCGAAGAAGAGAGNNAGGATTCTGGGGCACAAAAGCTGGAAGGGGNTGCGTCTCGAGCGGCAAAGGTTTTGAATGAATCAGAAAGTAGTTTGGCTTTTGTGGCCGTGTCCTGACTGGCTTAGGCTTGTCTTGCGCTGCCAGGTCCTGGGGAGGCGAGTCCTTTGAGATGTGAGGCAGCGCTGCTGGCACGTCGAGCCTCGAGCCCACATGTCCGTCGATTTGTGGAGCAGCCATCTTGTCTCCCGCTAAGGAAGATGACTGATCTGTCTATTGAAAATGGAAGTTCTGTTGATACTGTTAGATTCATTCGTGGTCCACCACAAAAGCGAAAACGATATGACGACGCGAAACTTCAATTCGATGAAAGCAACAGTCAGAGAGACTATGTGGAGAGTCCTTCCGAACGGCCAGAGAAGATCAAGAAGGAAAAAGCAAAAATACTTTTGCAGCGCATTCAGGCACAAGCTCATCTTAGCTTTCGCCATATACGACACTGTCTCTCAATGACCACAGACCAACAAGAGGATTTGCGGACAAGCCAAATCCAGCCTGACATCAATAAGGCTTGGTACTTCATATAGATGATTTGATGGTGGGTTTTGTTCTTTTCGTTCTATGACTGAATGCTTTTGTTCGTGCCTGTTGGAGTGGGATGAGGTGCATATGAGGAGAAAATAACTGTAACTTACTGGGCTTGTATGTCTTAATACGAGCAACCAGAGCACGACTGTCGTTCAGAACAATGATCGTACTTGGTATCGACTATAACAAGCATGAACGAGAACGAGACCGAGATTATTCTTGATATGGCCCAAGCTTGCAGGTTTCGGGAAAACGGACCGAGACGGAGTTAAGCGCTGGCCCGAGAACGAACCATCGTCATTCTTCGAACTGCTTCTTCGACATTTCACACAATAACCATGTCAGAAATTCGACCACAGATAATGCTTTTCCGAGCAGCTCGACGATATGTATCGACCTCTAGAGGCCCAAGAGGTCCCCGGAGCATCCTCAATAAGGTACGCACGCCATCTCGCGTCACACATCGCCCATCGAGAGCGTCTCCATTGTCCGCAAACACCCGCCACCAGTCTTCGCAGCAGCCGAACCAGCAGAATCAATCGAACAAGCCAGACGAGAAACCCGAACACACTCCAGAAGAGCCGTCCAAGAACGCCCTTGTGGCTACCGCACTTGCCGAGAACCAATCCTCTGACCTCGTCGCACCTGTGACAATCCCCGACGACCCGAATGGCGTACTCACACCGAGCCATCCAGCATGGCATTTGCTTAACAACAGTTCGCTGGTCATCCAACGACAGATCGAGATGATGAACGTCTTTCTTGGATTCGAACAAGCCAACAGATACGTCATTATGAACGGCAGAGGAGAAACAATCGGATACATGGCCGAGCAGGACCACGGTATGGGTAGCATGCTGGTACGACAGATGGCAAAGACTCACCGCAGTTTCACTTGCCACATCTTTGACAACAGCGAGCGAGAGATTTTGCGTATCCATCGACCTTTCTCTTGGATCTCGTCACGCATCCGTATCTACGACCCGACTACCCCAGGCGAATACACCACGTCAGACACATTGCAAGGCACCTCTGTCCAATCAACCATCAACCAAACTTCCGCAGCACAAGTATCTCCCNTCCCTCTGACAGACATGCGCATCATCGGCGAAGCACAACAACAATGGGCACCCCTTCGCCGAAAATACAATCTCTTCAACCACCGCTCCATCGCCCCCGCAAACGACATCGCACCAAAGCTCACCTCTGGAGATACCCCCAATACCTCAGCCAAAGCCCTGACAGTCACAGAAGGCAACTCAGAACAAGCCATTGAAGCCGGCATGCAGCAATTCGCCTACGTCAACGAACCCTTCCTCTCCTGGGACTTTTCCCTCAAAGACGCAGATGACCGCAAGATTGGCAGTGTAAATCGCAATTTTGTTGGGTTTGCGCGAGAGATCTTTACGGATACTGGTGTTTATGCTTTGCGTATGGATTCTGCTGCTGAGGAGCAAGCGAGTCAGGAGCAAATGGCAATGACATTGGACCAGAGGGCTGTCATGCTTGCTACTGCTGTCAGCATTGACTTTGACTATTTCTCTCGGCATAGTGGAGTTGGTGGCGGAGGTTTTGGATTCTTCCCCATGTGGTTCCCTGGTATGGGCGGCGGTGCTGCTGAGGGAGGGGCCGTGGGTGGAGCAGTTGGCGGAGCAGCCGGTGAAGTTGGAGCTGCAGAAGGGGCTGCAGGTGCTATGGGCGGTGCCGCAAGAGGTGCTACAGGCACAGAAGGCGCTATCGGAGCTGCAGGCACCATGGCTGGAGTGGAAGCCATGAACCGCGGCGGCTGGGGCAACCAACAAGTCGACGATGCTAGTCCACAAGCACCTGTAGACCCATATCAAAACGACAGTAATGTTGGCCCATCACAAGGAGATACCTGGGGCGAGCAAAGTCCCTGGGCTCAACAACCACAGCAACCACAAGATGATCCTTGGGGCAACCAAGGAGGAGGTTCAGACGGTGGTGATGGAGGAGGCGATGGTTTCGACTTTGACGATTTCTTCTAGATGCTTTTGGCTTACTTGTCTCTCCCTCTCCTTTTGCAATACTTCTAGCATAGCGCAGCATACTTAGATACCCACCAAGCTCAAACATAACATCACTCAACCAGTCATTTATTAGAAGACGCTTGTTCGACAAGCAGGGAACATCGGAATAAGAATCCCAATGTCAAGTTGTCTTTGCTTAGCAGAGTCACAGGCCGTTGGTAGGAAATTATAGGCAGACGTTGGTATCGAGACACTTGGACCCAAGCCCATCTGGCCTTCTGATCAAACAAGTGCAGTGTCTCTTCTGGCTTGAGTGGGACTATATGGGCTATACTCTTTGCATCATGGCCGCTTTCACGCGATGGAAAGAATGGCAGACCAGACTTCCAAGTCCATCGTTGAACGAATTATAGATGTCGATGATGATGTGAATGCTTTTTCCTACCATCAGATACGAATTGCACTTTCATCGTATATAACAACAGGATGGGAAGAACTCGTGATATTAGGACTGACGCCAGAATCGAAAACCGAGCTAATGCTAGTGATATCATGCAGTCTGTAAACGCAAGAGCAATTATCTATTTCTAAACTCCATAGCACCCTGCTGTATGCTTGAACCCCTTGCTGCCTCGCATAAGAATGAACATTCGAAAAATTCAGAAAAGAAAACTTGATCTTGGTGTGAAAGAAAAGTTCAACACGCTTCAACATCACCATTTCTTAGCTTCCAGGCCGTCAGGAGGACTCGTCTCGACTTTGCCCTTCTTGACTTCCTCCCAGTTAGTACTCAGAGCGGTGCCGTTGCTTTCACTGAACGACTTCATCATCGCACGACGGGTATCTGCGTCAGCTCCTGCGTAGAGTTTNTTGAAGAAGCCGTTGACTGGGTCGCCGCCTTCATCATCTTCTTCCTCTTCAGTCTTGGCTCCAGGTTTGGAATCGGAAGTCTTGGGCTTGGCCAGAGCTTCTGAGGCGAGTTTGTCCCAGTCTTTAGGCCCGCTGCGAGAGGAAGTTGGGTAGGATGGGGCTTTTTGTGTACTGTTCGAAGGTTGGGCAGGTGTGGTTGTCACGGATGTGGTTGTGGTTGTTTTCTGATCGGCAGGTTCGCTGGACTCAAGGGCGGGCCATTTTTGACCGGGCTGGNNGCTTTTTTTCAGAACGACTTCGACTTTGGTGGACATGATTGAGAATGTTGATGCTGAGGGGTCGATGTCGGCGTAGAGGGGCTCGAGTGAGAAGTCGTAGTCGGAGGATGTTTGGAGAGGGAAGGAGATTGTGAGAGAACGTGTTTGTATGTCGATGGTGGCCTTGTCCTTGGGAACGCCCTTTGCTAGCAGGGTAAAGTAGACTTTGTCATTGTTCTGATACCAGTCGTAACGAATCTTGTCTGCGGGTGTTTGAGCGACTGCAGCGGGCTGTGTGGAAGTCGTGGCGGCGGTAGTTGCTGGTGCCAAGTCTGCCTTGTTGGTTTGACTTGTGACTGGCGTCTCCTCCTCGTCGGGTGTCTCTTTAACGGTCACATCCTGTGCACCATCCATAGCAGCCATCTTGGTTGCGACTTTGTTCTCCCAGATAGGCAGAGTCTTCTCTTTCGGATCCATACGCTTGACAATGTCTAGGCAAAAGCGAGTGTCCGAGTAGCGTTCAAGACCGAACAGTGCTATGGCGCGTCTGAGCTGGCCTTGGAGGATGAGTTCGCGCTTTCCTCTCTTTTGTGCGTTGAGGACGGCCTTGTTAGCGTCGGCGAGAGCAGACTCGTAGTCTGCAGGATTGCTTCTCTGGTATGCGGTGGAGCGTTTGATGAGGTAGTCGGGTGATGTTGGTGAGACTGCAAGGGCGGCTGTGTATTGTTTGATGGCTTCGGCGTAGTTGCCTGCGCTGAGCGCTTCTGCTCCGAGTTTGGCCTGGTCCATGGCGATTGTTGTTGTGGTACGAGTAAGATGGGAGAGAAATGTGAAGTGGTTGTTGTGCAAAGGAAAGAAGAGTCGAGAGGCACGCATGTGATTGTGACGAGCTTCTAGAATGCGCGAGACGCTCTCACTGCGTGGGAAGGTCAAGCCGAGTTTGACAATCGCGTGTTCTAGTTTCACTTCTGCGTTTCACCTCTGCCGCCTCGTCAAACCACTTCTCAATCTTCTTCATGTTCAATGCTCTAATCCGCACGCATCATATAACTTCTAGGAAGAAGGTGACCAAACTGAAGCAGGCTGCCGATGCGACACACGTCTTTGCTCTGCTGAGAAGCGGGAGCTCGCCCGGCATCATGTATGTCGAAGGGAAAGAGGATGGTGTCAGGCAATGGGTCGATTCAGTTCATGTATGCATAAGGAGAGTCTCCTTTCAATGGCATGACTGACACTGTTAACAGAATCTACGCTACAAGGACTATCAACTAGTTGCACGTCCAGCAGCCGTGCAGCATGAAAATCAGCCCACCAAAGAATCACAAGTAAGACCTGGTCTGTATGAGACAGATACGGTGAGCGACTTTGGCAGACAGCTGCAGGACCGCGGTGTATATGCTTGGTGGCGCAAAGCTATGGGTTATGCGAAGGAGTAATTCATTCCCATTGATATACGATTGGTCATGAGGGAAGTGCCTAGCAACATGGCGCCTATCAGGTGGAGGCTGTCTGCCTCTTCCAGCTGGCTTGCCTTGATCATTGATATACACACCGCAACAACACATGCATCTACTAGTAATTATAGCTACTCGAAGCATCAAAGTCTGCCCCTCATGTCAAGATGCAAGCTACCCCACGGCGTTCATGTGCCAAGACGGGTTCACACCGCTGCTCGATGGAGGGGTGACGAGGCAGGGGCGGGCTCCGCTGTTGAAACGGAGCCTCAATCTATTGCAGGTCTGGTCGTAGCTTCCAATCTCGAAAACCTCCTGCCCAGCATCGCCCCTTCTTGTACTCGTGTCTGTCTCTTTCTTCTTCCTGACGTTCTCACCAACCATCCCAACACCCGTTCCAACACCAATCACAGACACAATGGCAGCATTCCCTCCCGGCGGCACTTTCTTCGACACCTTGAAGCGTAGCTTCTCAGACGTTCCTATCGACAATGGCAAGATTGCCACCACTCAGTTCCTCGAGGCTGCCGAGGGTTTGACCACTCTCTTCGGTATGCATGTCCAATCAATGAATACTCTATATTCTAACAAGGCCANNGATGTCCTCGGTTCCGCCGCCTTCAAGCCCGTCAAGTCGGACATGGTTGGCAACATCAAGGTATTGCTTCTGCTCTCGACGGGTCTGCTCGGTGTCTGATCAGTACCAGNNAAAATCCGTGACCGCCAACTCGCTGCTCCCGTCGACTCGGAGACTCTCCAAGACCTCGTCCGCAACGAGCTCGCAACCAAGAAGCACGTCGCAACAGAAGGTCTTGTCTGGCTGAACCGGTACGTTGTCAAAGAATCAACCTCCGAGCCAATGTTCTAACCAATTGACAGTGCTCTCGACTTCACCGCCCAGGCTCTTCGCCAGAACCTGACCAACAGCGGCGAGGAGGTCAGCGTCTCATTCCGCGCCGCCTACGGCAACACTCTCAGCAAGCACCACAGCTTCATGATTAAGCCCATCTTCAGCGCTGCCATGAGCGCAACCNCCTACCGCAAGGACTTCTACGCCAAGCTCGGTGACGACCAGGCTCGTGTTGAGAAAGAGCTCGGTGCTTGGTTGAGCAGCCTGGAGAACATTGTCAAGAACCTGAACGATTTCTTGGCCACAAAGGAGGCCAAATGGTAAATTACGAAAGAGCCCTGGAGGCCTGCAAAAACTATATGATACCATAAACACCAGATCTGTTCTTGCTTCTACAAACCACCACACCAATTTTCCGTGATCCCATGCCTTTCTCACTGCTTCTGTGTGAACAGTGTGAGAACAGTAGGTCAAGTGGCACCTCGCGTTCCTGCTGACCATCCACTTCAGTAGGTTGACGTTCGTCCAAAATAACATATTCCAGCACGCTCGAACCATAGTCCATCATGAAATCCGGTAAAGATTGAGCAAGTTCTCTTCAGATCCCACGTGGCCATGTGTAAGACTCATACATAGACTCATATAAGAGTTTTCAGGCTCTCACGCACTTTCTTTCCTTCATTCCAAGACTACGTCGTCCAAAGGGCCACAAGCGCCAGCCTACGTTCGTCCGACTTTTTCTACCATTGCAAGATCACATGATGCCTATCACGAACCAACGACAATCGCAGACTCCGCTGCGCGATGCATCGGCTCTCGCGTGCGACTGGATATGGTATGTTACACCCGGTTTAGGGGACGCCTAATTGGTCTTGTAGTCTGGTTGTTCAAGACCAACAACTGTTGGTACCCCATCCCGGTACTCAGCGCCGCACGATGGCAAGATCTTCGCTGTAGCGAACTCGGCAAGCACATTCTACCACATATCCGCCGCATAGGAATGGATGTTTATTTGGGAGATTGGCAGAAAATCGACATCAGTTTCAGCAACAACTCGGCAACAGAGATCTGCATCAGGAGGAAACAATCTTGTTGCGGGTGGAGCCATACTGTTGACGCGAAAGTACACAGCATAATCATGGCCAAAATCGAGAGTTGGAAGAGTCAGAAAGCATTGTGTTCCGCCGATTGTTTCGACGCCTCTTCCCAAGATTCAAAGGATGTCTGGACAGCGGCCCGCCTAAGAGCAGAAAGGGCGAATCAAAGGAAATCGGAGGATCCTACCTATAGGCCATGATGAGTATTCTAGGACCGAATCTATCTCATCCGACGCACATATGACTTCACGTCACTTCTTCACTTGTCGTATGCTATCATCCTTCATGAATGGTTTTGCGATACACTTGAGACTTTCTTCCACACAGACATGGCGTTCTGGAGATTTCACCAGCCCCAGACGGTTAACCTGCAAAAGATCGAGTGGGTTGCGCCTTGAAGCCGACGACGACCCCTAGGCCGCTACAGTCGACTTCGCGCATCCGGTATACGTCCGCAGCACCAGGCCTTGAATGTTTCGTAAGAGCGACTCTATCTCAGGGTCTCGCGTTGACTAGATTCAAGATACTCACGGCTGTTGAAATGCGAGAAGTAGATCTTCAAGCCGTTCACTTCCGCAGAGAGTGCCTTGGACTAACCACCCTCTGTGGAGAGTTGCGAGCTCAGAAATGCATCGTGCAATGTGATTGATAACTACAAAGCACTATGGGGTAGAAGAAATGGTGTGTTTGCATGAGTTTGTTTGAGTGCATTGCTTGATAGTTGTACTTTCTAGTTACAAGTCTTTTCTCGTGTATCAAAACGGCTTTAGCTACGTGCTTGTATTCATAGACAATGAATTGTGTACTCCTTGAGTTTGGGATTCTGGTGTTTTCTGGAGCAGGTATGAACACTCTTACAATCTCCCCAAGGCGTGATGTTCCAGCAGGTTCGATGCTTTCTTTAGCATTGGATCCTTGACCTCGCTCATCGACCAGAATCGTGTTGGGGTCTGTGAGCGATATCGTTGAGGAGCAAAGATTGTTCTCAGTAACCTGGAGGTCCGATAAAGCTCATGGCACGTCTGCACGTAGGTCGATTTGTGTTGCCCGACATAAATCTTAGCGGCGGTGGAAAGCTCGGCCAGATGCAGAGGCTTGACGGCTGCTATTTTCCAGCACGCTTTGCAGCGTCGTGGTGTGCCATTGCGGCATCGATAGATTTCTTGGCCAGATCTGGTCTGTCCTGTGTTGAATGGAGAACTTGTGTCATGTGGATACTGTCATTCATTCAACAGGAAGAACTCGATGGACGAAGAAGCTCCTTGAGGTCGTTCATGTATTCGGTGATCTTGTTAGAGTCGTCGGCTTCTTCGCTCAGCGCGGTCCTGAGTTGTCCGATGGCATTTCTCATATCCTTTTCGATGGTCTCTCTGTTCAGAGCTTCTTTGATAGTCTTCACCGCCTCTCCGTACAGTTTCCAGAATGCTTGAGTTTCTGTGAGGTATGTGGTTTCTTCTAGTGGGATAGCCCATTCATCCTGACGGTTCTCGACCAGATCTAACCAATCCGACATCAAGGGCTCACGATCTCCAAACAATCCAGGCAGATGGACGAGGAAATCTCCCTTNTTGCCCTCGAAAGCGTGGGGCGAGATAAAGCCACTGAAGTTTCTGAGTACGTCTGTTCTTCCATCTCTCATGTATCCAGGCAGCTCGTAGATGTTGAACAGGCTTCTCGGCAAGTAGACGATGCCGCGTGCAAAGCCATAGCCATCAGGGCCACCACTCGACTTTTCGACCGTACGGGCCATGGCAGCTTGATCGGCGTCGTTTCCGAGGTCGACTTTGGGGTTGCAGAGGGGGAAAGCCATGCCATCTACAAACATCGAGATTGTCCAAGGATGCACACGGACGAAAAAGACACCAGTGTTAAGACCTTGGATATCACGTGCTGCGACAACGTTGATATGTGAAAACTCTCTAGGCGGCAGAAAGATGTGGGCAGGAATGTTTGGGTTAAGGATGATGGAGTCTGCGTCTACCCACATCAACCATTCTGCCCTTTCGTGTTCTGGCTTTGCGAGTTCTTGGGCAACTTGTTGGATCATAAAGGTGGGCTTGTTCCAGTAGCCGCAGTATTCGTTTTGGCGCTTGATGTAGGTTGGATAACCCCATTTTTCTCCATGCCGTGTGTGTGAGTCTAGAGCTCGTTCGTATAGTTTGTTGTCACCGTAGAGCATGGACACTTTGGCGATACGGTATGGTTTTGAGCCGTATATGAAAGACGGCTGATGCCATAGAGCTCCGAGGAAGCCGGATACTATGAGGAGTGAGGCTATCAGAGTAACAAGTCTATTGTTAAACCANCTGCGAGCTTGTAAGTCTCATGCTTAGGACATTGCAATGACGCGACAAGTGTGTACCCCAATTGTCAACAGCGGCTTCCGAGGCGACTGCAGGAACGAGTCTGAGCTCGTCGTGTCGAACGATCGTTTCGACTCTTCCATGTCAAGTTGACTGTAACTAGTGTCACTCATGATGTGTATAGGTGTAATGGGAGTGGAGTTGGAAGCTCGGAGAGCAGGCGTCCAGCCGGAGAATAAGTATCATGCTGGTCGCATAATTGGACTGTTCTCGAGCTTGAGCCGTTGTTGTTGTGATCCATACAACCGTTTGCTCAGCTTCGGGTTTTTGGCCGTTGGATGTGATTTATAGATTACATTGTTGGCTGCCGTCTATCGCAGTAGGTTACTTCTCTACACTCTTCGGCTCGGTTTCTTTTGGCTGGATTATCCGCATATAGAGAACAGTTCTGTAGCAACAGCCACATTTGACATGTCTTGTCGAAGATAAATCGGTGGTACTCGAAACTCTGCTCATAGAATCTGTATAGGCCAGAAACCAAAATAGGCAACCGTCACCAACGGTCAAACACGCGAGAAACAGCCCTGGTCGCTCGGCAAAGCCTATAACATTAGCGATTACCTATATAGAGCGTGAACTTTCGTGTTGTTGCAGACATGGAACAACAACTTTCCAATGTACGTGGCTGCCGGGACAATGCAGATTATGTCGAGATAGTCGTCTATCCAGGATAGCATCACTTTGGCAGGAAGCGAACGCCAAGCCTTGTGAAGGCGGTGACTCATCTGCCGGACCCTGTCTGCTCTCCGACTTGCATGACTCTCGTCACCTTCTGTACTTCATCACAAATTCATTTCATCAGCGAGGTCGTGACATGGCTCATGGAATCTGTAGGGTGAGCCAAAGATCTTCTGGAATGTATTGGTGACCGGACCAGACACGTATCATCACAGCGGGCTCGCCAGGAGTCAAGCTAGTAACGAGGTCTCTCTCGCGCTCATCCTGGTTTATCAGGTGTCGAGATGACACTCTCCGTAAGCGACGACTGTCCACCGAAAATTCGAGTCAAGACAGCAAGGATCTGCTTTCCTTGCGCGAATGACTAAGCTATATGGATATCCATCTCGTTCTGACAATCTCACATCATGACTACAGCGAATCAGAAAAGATTTCGAGAGGCTGATCATATCACTCTACCACTTAGGGAGGAATCCTTCCACTCATCACACCTTTTATTTGCACATCTTCCGCAACATATGCTTCCTCGCCTTATCACGCAGAGCCCTCCATTCTTTCCTCAAGTCCTTAATGAAGGCATCAACCCATGCAGCAGAAGTGGCTGCGACATTGGATCGCCACTTTTCAGCTGTGGCCTCAAGCATTGCCCTTGCGTCTTCTGGCGCCACGCTCGTTCTGGCGTCACCGATGGTGCCAAAGTTCGTCGAATCTATCTTGGGTGCAGAGCCAGGTTGAAAAACGATGTGATAGGTCCACTGCAGGTAAGGCAACCATATTCGGACATGTCGAGTAAAGGATAATGTTTCTTTACCGGTACTAGATGCCTGAAAGGTATTCCATGTATTATACCGTAACAAGCCAGCGTCACTGCCCGTGAGGATGTCGTGAAATCCCCTCACAGGATGGTCAGGAGGATAGTTGTAAAACAACGAAAANAGGGTAGAGCTGTTGGTAACTCGCATGTGCAGCTGTGCCTTTGGTCCAAGGACTCGCGCAACTGTGTTCGCAAACTCGGCTTGTGTCTGTTTGCAAACCAGCATGAGGGAGTGTTGCAATTTCTGCTCAGTCGGATCTGTCAACAGGTGGTCAAAAACCATGTATCGCAACTCCGGTGGGAGTTGTTCCAGGAGCGGAGAAGCTCCGTATTGGTTCCTTCGATTGGTGATTCGTCTGACATGAATTTCGCCTTGCTTGAGCGATAAGAAGCTAACAACAGGTCCGCTTGGTATCGTCGTAGATATCCCGGGTATTCGCACTAATGATTGTGTTTCTTCGTATCGAGTCATCGATACGTTATTGTGTTGAGCAAGGTAGGGTTTGAAGATAGCTCAAGGTTGGAAAACTCCCTGCTGTAAGACTAGGATATTGAACAGGAGATGCATTGCAACTTGCGCTCAGATATACGCGATCGCCACGTGGACTAGTGAGTCACCAAACTAATTCGCTCGCACAAATGACGCATTACAGTATTAACAGGCTCGACAACCCTCAATTCGATATCTTCCTATGTCACTGATATGGTAGCCTTTGCATCATGAATACGAACCAGTCATTATTGCCGTCATCACCTTTGATTGTTACTTGAGTGGCCACAGCCTGGCGGTCTCCTTCTTCACTCCTCTCAGAACGACTCCAAGCCCTCATTACACCACTCACTATGGGCACAGAACGTCAGAGAAGACTCTTGAAGGAAGAAATCTTCCCCTTCTTCAAGCTACCTCTATAAATCCGGATCATGGTATACAAGCATCTGATCACAGATCAAGAACACAACATCACCAACTTCAGTCAATTCAAACATCTCACTGGAATCCTATACACGAATTTAAAAATCACGCGGAAATCTATCAGTTCTGTCCCTTCGTCGCTGTTATGGATATCGAAGTTCCTGGCTTCAGGGGCCGTGGGCCGGGTTCTTATATGCGTTGCGTCTGCAGAAGCCCCGATTCAAAACAATTGGACACTTGCCACTATCACAGTACCATGGCAGTACGCAGGATGGCTACTGCCAACGAAGCAGTGAGGAAGTTCCGATCTCGTTGCGCTAGACACAGAAAGCCGATGCGCATGAAAGTAAGAGCCAGGTGCGAGGAAGTGTGCACTGGATCAAGTGGACATAGCATTTGCCGCATGTGTGACTGGTTTGTGCGTTTCAAGATTTGGAGTCCTGCTTATGGCAGTGGAGGGTTTTGTGTGTTGTATGAACATCCGTTGTTTGGGTTTTGCTAGGCTGTTGTACAAGATGGATCAAGCCGTTGTATCACAGATCTCAATCTGAGCAGCACAACCTTGCCGCACGCTGTCAAGAGTTGGTGTTTACTAGCACTTTTTGCTTGGATGCTCCAACTTCTTCAGTCATGAATGCTCAGTTCCATCGAGCTTTTCCACACAAAGATGTCTTGTTCTGATCATACTATAAGGGATTGCTTTGCCGCTTTTCTGTACTCTACTCTCTAGCCGTGGGCTTGCTGCTCGAAAAAAAGCCAACTCGATCAGAACATTGTCAGTCTTCTAGTGAATTTTCTTCTCGTCCTCTCTTTCACCGTGATACAAGGTGATATAAAAGCTACAAATGTGTTTATAACCAATAATTCGTGATTGGAACGTCCTGAAGAATCGTCTCTTCGTGTATGTCACTATGGTCAAGAGAGCGCCAACAATTTCTATAGCTGCATCGTGACAGGTTTTGTTTCTTGTTTGGCACATGCGGAAATTCTTGAGGAGCTCTCTATAGCGACGCTACGATTCGGGAATGCCCAGGTTCTTTACATGTGTACAAGCATGAGTGTTTCGTGTATTCACAAGTTCGAATTGATCTCAGCTCCCATAAAAACATGCAAATGGGACAAATGTCTTCTTTGTCAGAAGGCCAGTCCTTTGCTAGAATCAACATAATTTTTCTCTCGAGGCAGTAATGGAGAATCCCGATCGCGTCTCCCAATACAACTCTCACCCTTAACAACAGCATTATGCATCTCCTCTTGAGGTCGTTAGTGTAGATTAAGATTTTTCCTTGGAGCAAGACTTCTGCCCGAGCGATAATTTTGTTGATGCAGCGTCTTCTCCATGGCCTATTGCGCTGTATCTTCGCATTCATACACAAATCTCATGAGTCTCTTCTTCGATGGTGCACACTTTTAGTCAGTTGAATATTGAACTTGCGTATTCGCAGAACTGATTCTTCTCCTTAGCCGCACTGCCACTTTGAGTAGAGCCATACAAGTATCTCGTTCAACAAAGCAATTCCTGGATATGTAGATACAAGAAAGAACCTCCACAATCAACATCGGTAAATCGTCGCATTCCGATAGCTTTTACTATCCACCCTCTATATCCTCCGAAATCATCGCAACTTTATACCTTTCCCTATTTCCATAACACCAGCCAGAACTCATACCTCAAGGATCATACACATCCACCTCACTCATAGCTTCTCTGTAGACTCAGGCACAGTGAACTACACCATCAGCATGGGTATGGCACTCCTACAAGCCCCAGAGAGATTAGCATCACAATCCCTCTACCAAAGACAGCCGAGAGCAAAATCAACTTACAGTGCCAGCGCTAGTGGTCTTGGTTGCAGAGCCAGTATCAGCGCAGTGAACCTCGCCGTCAGCGTGGGTATGACATTCCTGTGCGATAATATCAGTAAAAGACGTCAGGAGCGCTAGAAGGAAAAACTTACAGCAGTAGCACCGGAAGTCTTGGTTGCGGCTTGAGAAGCTGTGGTGCTGGCAGCAGAAGTAGCGGCGGCAGAGGAAACGGCAGAAGATGAAGCAGAAGAAGCGGCAGGAGCAGCAGAAGACGAAGCAGAAGCAGAAGCAACCTCAGCAATCTTTCCCGTACACCCCTCCCCAGGCAACGCAACCTCCATGGCATAAACATCCAATGCAAAGTACTGCAAAGTATGCGTATTCCTCACAGCCTGTGCAGGGTCTTCCTCCGCCAGTTCGAGACACTCAGGATAAGAATCTGCATAGTGTTCTGCTGCCCCNTCGCCAATCTTGGTGGTGTGGTAGAGCCGATGCATCAGGTCTGCCGCAAAGTACGTGGCTAGTTTGCCGGAAGCGACGGTATAGCCGTTACCACAAAGGGCTTCGAGTGGTTGGCGTGTGGTGTAGGATAAAGGGCAGATAACTGTCTCGTCTGTAGCGTTTGAACCGCGCCAGTGGCCGCCCCAACCTAAAGATATCAGTACCTTGTTGCAAGGCTGAAAGAGAATCTCAGACATACCTTCTTGATGACAATTCCCATCAATATCATCACAACGAAACAACACGCCTTCATGATCCCCATAGATAAGTTTCTCATACCAGCCAACGACTTCAGCAGTACTTGCGTTGCCAAAGTACTTGGCATACAGTTCAGAAGTACTGCCATGAGAAAGAACATGGTTGGCGGCTTGACGGGCAAGCTTTATGGTATCTTCCAGCGCTTTTTCCAATTGGTTTCTCTCGGTGCCGTTGCAGGAGGAGTGGATGGGAAAACCTTGGATCTCGGTGGCGGGTTGGGGGTAGGAAGTTGCTGTTGTGCCTGAGATGGTTACGGTGGTGACATCTCTGTTTTTGAGCACGGGAGAGGCAGTGGTGAGGGCAGCAAGTGCTGCACTGAGAAGGAATTGGGTACGCATGTTTGTTGGAAGATAGGATGAGAGAAGCGTCAAGAGAAAGAGCGTTGTCTGCAGTGCTTTGAATGCTTTGATGCTTTTTTTTTATACCATAAACTTGCATCTACCTTGACACTTTATATACTTACATTCTTTCTCAAGCNNATCGGCTATAGCAAACCACTGACATGTGCACTGCAGACATNNGACGAGTCCGCGTTGGGACACTNNTTTTGCCCGAATCCCAGATGCCCAGAAACACCCGAGTGGTCAAGATCCCGGGCCAGTTCGAGCGAAAAGGTCAGCCGTGAAGGATGTTGAACAAGCAAATCCCTCTACCAAGACCGAACCATTACATTGTGGCTTCGCAGACACTCGCAAAATGCCTGTCCGCCAAGCTTGCGGTATGTAGCGGTGTCGGTGGACTCTCCACTCTGATCCAGGTCGCGAAAAACCCATACCTTGGCATTGACCATCAAGGTAGCCAAGCAACACTTTGCTTCTCAACAGTGAGGCAGTGTAGGCTCCAACTTGCAGCAATATCGTTGCTCAACCTGCCCGAGATGGCGTTTCCAAGGCTCTTGGTATGCTTTGCAGGTCTTGGGTTAGGATTAGACCTTCCGAACATGGCAATAAGGTATGGTCATCGCGTCTCTTGCCAAGTTTGAATGAACGTGGTGGAGCAATACTCTACCTGCAGAGTGAAAAGTTCTAGCCGGCCGACAGTCAGATGTCTTGGAGTTGTGCTGAATATAAAGAAGCATGAATCATCGAAAGAGCTCCGCAACTGCATAATCTGCTAGATCACTCGTTATATCAAGATGCATTGTCCTTTGTTTCTGCTCCCAATTGGAGCTGCTTTTGTGCGTGCACAAACACTGAGGACATTCTCACTCACCGCATGCGCAACACAAAGTGGCGTAGTGTGAGTACATCGCATCAAGACTTCAGACACAAACTGAACAGTTTTCAGGAACTGCTTGCGCGATGGCACCATCGTACCATGGACGACTCTGAGCAGCACAGCGACAGTAGCACCATCACCCACCACAGCTCCTAGTACAACTCAAGCAAAAGCAGCTGCAGCTCCTACTGCAATCACCGGTTGCCACATGCACGGTGAAACTCAATTCTGCTTCGCTGGAGATGCAGAGTATGAAGTCTTGACCACTGCCACAGCGACTGAANGAACTGCCATCAGAGTATACCGGATGCCATGCTCACGGAGCTGACTTGTAAATCTCTAAAGTTCGTCGTCCTATCAGCCATCAGCTAACAAGAACAGATTCTGTTTCGATTCTCAAGGTGAAGAAGTTGAGGTTGTTGCCGAAGGTGCTTCTCACGACGAAGAGTCTCACGGAGAACATGGAAGTGGCACGACTTCCCCGGCAGTAACATCAGTCGCAGCGACTGGTGCTGCCGAGACGCCCAAAGTAACAGCGCTTAGCGATTGCCATATGCACGAGACTCAGCAATTCTGTATGGGTCCTAGTGCTACAGAGTATTTGATGAAGATTCCGGCGACAGCGACAGGAGAACCACCTTCCCAGTACACAGGTTGCCATGCACATGGCTCACAGCTGTAAGTCGTACTTGNNGTATCAGTATGCATCATGTCTGACAGTAATAGTTTCTGCATGTCTCCTGCTGACGGTGAGGTCCTTGCCCAAGCGCAGACGGCAGACGGAGAAGAGCCAGCTGGAGAGGATTCGGCTGATGGAGTCAGTTGTCATTTTCACGCAGGTGTCGAGTAGGTTCAAAGGAATTCTGCAGTTGTGATCTGATCTGATATGCAACAGGNNCATTGTGTTGACGCAAACGGCAACACCGTCGAAGGAACTTGCGAAGCCGTCAATCGCGACTACAATATCCCTCTACGCATTGGTCTCGTGTTTGCCATCCTTGCCACCGCATCTATCGGTGTTTTCGGCCCAATCTTCCTCTCGCTTGGTAGGTTCAAGAGTGGTAGTATCGTCATGTCGATCATCAAGCAGTTTGGTACTGGTGTGATCATCTCGACCGCGCTTGTGCATGTAAGTCATCATGCTGTACACAGGCAACTCGGATACTGACCATTCTCAGNNCTTTTCACCCATGCAGAACTCATGTTCGCAAACCACTGTCTGGGTGGCCTCAAATACGAAGCCACGACCGCAGCTATTGTGATGGCAGGTATCGTCATTTCGTTCGTTCCTGAGTATGTCGGAGCCAGGATTTTTCTCTGGCGTGTGTCAAAGCACACCGCTCCCGCATCACCATCACCCGAGCAGAGTCATGAATCGAAAGGAGCTAAGACCAATGAAACTCCTGTCGGCCACCACCTCATACACTCCGGAGACGCTCATGCACAGTCTCCTGCTCTGCAAAAACTCAAAGTCAACATCATGGAAGCTGGAATTATCTTCCACTCGCTGCGTGAGTTTCAGCATGGCCAACGTTCATGATCTCTTGCTGACAAGAACCAGTTANTTGGTCTCACACTCGTTGTTGCTGGCGATTCCGGATTCATCACTCTCTTCATTGTAATCATCTTCCATCAGATGTTCGAAGGCCTCGCTCTCGGCTCTCGCATCAGCGATCTCCAAATCAAAGTGGTGGAAAAAGTCATCATGGCCACAGCCTTTGCCGTCGTAACACCCATCGGCATGGCCATTGGTATCGGCGTTCTGAATCAGTTCAATGGCAATGATCCTTCTACAATCATCGCTATTGGTACATTGGATGCATTGAGTGCTGGTATTCTGCTTTATGTGGGGTTGGTAGAGATGCTGGCGCACGACTGGATACATGGAGAGCTGAGTAGAGCACCGATGAGACATATCATTCCGGCTGGAACCAGTTTGGTTGCCGGGTTGGTGCTGATGAGCGTGCTTGGGAAATGGGCGTAGATGCGTCGATTAAACTGTATGGGTGAGGATTGACCGAGTTTAGTAACACGTCAAGGATGGTCTCTCTTGTCGACAGTGTCTGTGAAGAAGGAGGGCAGATTGGGAGGATGCCTCTCCGGGATGATGCGGTCAGGATCACTAGCAAAACAACGAGTACACATGTAAAGAGATTCGTCGCTGTTCGTAGGGTCTTGTTTTTGGCTCCACCACGTCTTCAGATAACGGTCTTGGTCGCAGGCTGTACAATGATGATCGACGCGGGTGGGATATACGATAGGGGCATGGGTTTTCCATGACCAAGCTTCTTCAAGTCGACCAGTCTTGGCCTTTTGATGAAGGAGGGTTCTAAGGCCAACCGTTCGACGGTAGGCAGAGCTCTCTTGATACTCACGACCTAGTAGTGCTTTTTTTGGTAGCAGCATCTCTTTTGTTCCTTTGGCGGTGTATTTCGATGCCTCTCGGTGTAGCGAAGTACCCTCTTCTGCGCAAGAGCTCAGACCTTCGGAATACAGGATCAGACCTGTAGCGACGTCCATAGGCAGACAAACCATCATGTTCAACAGCATCCGGTGCTTGAACATGGGGTTTTTGAAAGAAAAGGCTGGGTTGTTGAGAAGGTGATGGGATGGTGGGGCCAAAAATGGACCTTACAGATAACGCCAAGTGGGAAGAAAGATATGGCATCGCGATAGAGCAGATGTGTCTAAGTAGTGCGGATATGGTTAGAATATGAGTATGGCTGTGCAGAATTCGGATGTGGTCAAACGTGCACGCGTCGGGGTCGCGTCAGCTCCATCCGAGACGGCGTCAAGATGTTGACTGCATCAACGACGACCCATGGCATGGACAGCGACCATGGCCCGTTCGACGTGCATGACTTCTGGCGCAAGTCTGCATTCAGTCTGCCTGGTGAGCCTGGGCAGACTCTGTTCAGCGACAGGCATCTGGGTGAGCACGACGCGCTGCCCGTACATGGACCGTCTACTTAANCGAGCATAGAAATACCCTTGATCGACCATCACTTCGATGCCGGACTGCGGCTTCCAGTCATCCATGACTTCCAATTCGGCACCCTTGATGGCCTCGACGCGAACCAAGAGCCCGACCGAAGTCCTTCGCTCCCCGCCCCAAGCACGTCAACAAGCCTTCCCAGTGATCTTGACGACTTGTGGAAGCTCGACCTCACTACACCCACGAAGCATGTCCCTCTGCGCACATGGGAAGCTTTCGCCCACCAGGACCATACAGAGTCGCCCATCTCGTACCTGTCCGACGCTGGTTCGCGCGCATTCGACGCTCTCCAGCCCAACGACTCCAACCTCCTCCGGTCCGCCTTCGCCCTCAAATGCCTAGCCCTCCTTGGCCTGGGCAGGTCCTCCACCCTATTCCAATGGAAGGAAGAAGCCAAGACTTTTGCGCCTACTCTCGACAATCTACGACTGTCTGGTCTGAGCAGCACCGCTTTCGACAGCATCGTCCATCGACTGACCACCATCGGTTGTGCTTTCGTTGACGCAAGACAATTCGCCATGTCTTCGTACGTCAACAAACACCCTTTGGCTGCTCGTGTCGCTCTTGCAACCACTATATACGCTGTGCTAGAAGCCCTCGATCAGAACCTGTCCGACCGCGTCCTGACTGCCGAATCTTCCCTACGACTGCTGGCTTGCTTCGATACTCCCGCTATCCTACTGGCCGAGATAAGGGGGCTGATCACATCCACCTCTGGCGCAACCACTGATACAGCTTTTCTATCTGCCTGTCACGACACCCTCGATCGGTTCACCAATGCTTGCTCTCCCTTCCAATCTCTTCACGCCGAGATACTCAATCACGTCTCTCAGCCGTGGTTCCAATCCATCTACCAGAAGACCGGTCTTACCCATTACCACTTCGAACTGCCTATCCAGGACGATATTCTGGATCATAGCGCTCATATCTCCAGAGAAGACAATGCCCAAATAACTGAAGTCATGACTGGGATCGCCGTGCTGCGTGACTCTGCACCTGATCATCCTCTACTATATCCTGCTGTTTGGGGTGTCCATAGCCTCAGCCTGGAGCTATCCTCTACGGCCATGGATATCGACCGCATTGTCGATAAGGCAAACAAGTATCAAAAAGACTTGCTAGTCGCCATATCCAAGTATAACAGTGGAGGCTCAAAATCGCCTGACGCAGATACCAGACCGCAAGAACGCCATCTTGTATCAGAGCAATTGCCATGGAGCCTCGATGAAGGCCAGCAGACCTATTTCGAGGACGTGGGAACCCGCTTTTCTGAACCGCCTGTCAACATGGACACTTCAAACATCCGTATCCTGGCTACGGGTATTCTTGAGGCTTGCAAAACTCAAGAGACGTCGGCTCTCGACCTGCGGCATCTTGCGAAGACCTCCTTAAATCACCTTCAGCCATATCTCCAGGTCCAAAGTCGCCTCCTCAACGGTACTCTTCTGCGCCTTTTCTTCCGTCAGTTTTCCCTCCGTGAAAATCTCACCTTGAACCACTCATTCCATCTCCTCGGCAACGGTCTGTTCGTTCAGCATCTCACGGCTGCATTGTTCACTTCCGAGTCCAACGCACGTGGCTTACGTCTGGACAACCGCTCTAAACAGTGGCCACCCGCCTCTTCGGAATTGAGGCTTGGATTGATGGGCGTCCTGTCCGAAGCCTATGGCTCTAATGACATCCCGGGCAACCTCTCTTTCGCTATTCGTGAACTCGGCGACGAAGAGATTGAGAAATGCTTGGATGCCAACAGTATCCACGCGCTTGACTTTTTACGCTTGCGATATGAGGCTCCTACACCGCTGAACGCGATACTCGACGATACTGCAATGGCCAAATACGACGATTGTTTTCGCGTCTTGTTGGGGGTACTGAGGATGTTGCACTTTGTCACTCTGCTCCGCAGCACTGCACAACAGAAGCATAGTTCCGCTCCAACACAAGCTTTTGCCCACGAGGCTTGGAGCTGTGTATCCGGCCTCGCATCTTACTTCTTCGACATTGCCGTTGCCGGTCCCTGGAAAGATCTACAGCGTACGCTCGACACCATAGAAGCAGACCTCACGATCGAAGATGCAGAAGGAACCTTTGGCCAGCGAGTCACTTTTGGCATTTCGCATCTACGCAACAAACATAGCGATATGCTCGACACTATTCGCTCGCGCCTATTCCTCCGCTCTCGCCATGACAAGTTACGCAGCCTTATCAATGATGTCTTTGCTTGCGTCTTGAATGTTCAAGTAGACGCCCACAACGAGTATGAGCTTTGGAAACAGAGAAATGAGTTGAAAGCTAGGATTTCGCGAATCGTGGATGCGTTACAAGAGCTCACGAGGAAGATCGGCAAGAAGAAGAATCTGAGTCAACAGGATAGGGATGATATTTTTGCGGTTGAGGTGCTGGGCTTCAGACTCGGTGGCGGACAGATCTGATATCCAGAACCGCCTCGACAATCTCACATACGGCCTCCAAATAGCTTTGACATGGCCATTAATCCCAACATACTCGTCCACCTAATACGCGATAGTCTTGGTGTCCCAATGCTAGCTATTCCCTCTCCGCCATCGTGGGTGAATTCTCTTCTTCTTGCTCTCGATGTGTCTCCTTCTGCATTGCTCACCTGCTTTTCTTTCCTCTTGCTTTATTCGGGGTTCGAATAGTTCTTGCTCTTCTCTTGATCTGTTTTTCCCTTGATTTCTTTCTCTTTGATTGCGTCATTTCTTGATTCGTTCCCTTCTCTTATATCCACTGGACCATTGTTCGTGAAGCGCATATGTTATCGCTTTTCGACAAACGTGCTCTGTGGAGCCATGGGCTATTGTGATGAGGCTTGTGTGATCTGTAGTTTTATATGCCACTGCTGGTACAGCCATCAGTCTCCAAACATCAGTATCGTTTCTCGACCGTCTAGACAAAACAAGATCAAGGCCACAGGTCAAAATCCGTTTTTAGCAAGAATCCAAGGACATTGATGCAGCACAGAAAGGCTCGATAATTTCACTTGTGAAAAGAAAAGAGAAAACAGAGGGGCGAGAAGGAACAGTTTGCGGATGAGAGTACAATTGGGGTAGTAGAAGATTGTAGTATTTCTCGCAAACTGCGTGGCTAGCTTTGTGGGTATATTCAGAGTGAAAAACAAAAAGAAAGAAAATGGTTGTTTTTGTGAGAAAAGCTAAGCAGAAACGCCCAAACCCCCAAGACATGAGCATAAAAACACAATGCCAGCAAAGCGTGTTGATGATGGTGGAAGACACAATGACCACAAAGACCGGGTTGCGGACTTCTAGGTTGTTTATCCAAGCAGAAGAAACAAATAATTCATACCAGTAGACGGAAATGTTGGAATTTGCTCATCGCCACAAATCCTGTCGACTATTAGCACGCTTGTGACCATTGCTCTCAGTACCAGGAATTTTTGGTGGGGGCTTGAGCCAACTGCCACGATTTCCGATGCCGCCGACACCGCTGCCAACACTCGTGCCCATGGTAGCAAGAGCAGCGAGCGCACCGCCTCCATTTCCAGGACTGCTGCCACTGCCGCCCCAACTACGAGACATGTGGCCGGCTGACGATCGTGGTCGTGATTGCTCTTCTTGCGGGAGTGCTAGGAAGCCGCCATAGCCATTGCCGACAATCACACTTTTACGTGCGTCGCCACCGAAACCGCCTTGTGCCCATTGAGGACCGAGGCCACGAGCAGAATTGTATGAGCTTTGTGGGCGCCCACTGCTACCAGACCTATGGCGGCCGTGAGATGGTGGTGGCGGTTCATAAGCTGTGAAAGCCCACTCGACTTCATCTAGACCCTTGGAGAAGACTTCTAGAGGTTGATGCAGACCGCGGGGAGGATTCATAGCTCCAACGACGCTTTGACGCTGGTTGCCGCCTCCGTCCATGAAGGGTGTCGGAGGTGCGGGTAGCAGCATGATCTCAGCGAAATCAGCATCACGAACGTAGAGCTGTGAAAGAGCAGGCAAGCCGTTGGCGTGTAGTGACTGGGCCAGATATGCGTAGTATGAGGCTGCAGGTTTTTGTAGGCCATGGGCATCTTCTGAGTCGGTGAGTTCATAATGGAGGACCTTGAGAGAAATGGACTCGAGGGGTGGCAGATCGTTGAGCGAGAGAGCGAGGGAGTTGGAGACAGTTTCAACGATGGATAGGGAGTGCAGAGAGGAAGCGTCGAACAAGAAGTGGTGGAGGTGGATTGGGTCGATACCAGTGCCGTTTAGTGAGAGATCCTGCAGGGTGTTGCGGTTAAGCGGTTTTTCAAAGTAAACACCCATGCCCTCGACGGTGATCCTAGGAGTGTTCTCGAAGGCTAACGTATGCAGAGCAGGGAAGTCTGGAAGCATTGGAGATTGGTAGAAGATGGTGTCGTCCAGCCATGGCAGGTCGATCATTGTGAGTTCGCGCAAAGCTGGCAAAGAACCAAGGACGATACGCAGCGTGCTGGGCTCAACGTGGATGCCCGAAATCTCGATGATTTCTAGCCCCTGCCAGTTGCGACGAGCGAGTTGTTCAAACGAGCCCTCGGAACCTGATCTGTAGCTCATCTTGCGGATATCGGGACAGCGTGCCTGTAGCTCATGGACCAAAGGCATGCAGTTCGGATCGCCGTTGAACGCTCCGTCAGGCAGATCAACGTATTTCAAGTTGGGCAGAACGGATATGGTGCGGGCAAGGTCGGCCTTTGCTGTCTCTCGCGTCATGTATGGTAGCTTGAGCATAGTCACGCCATGTGCCAGGTTTGGATTCTCTCGTACGGTACGGCAGAAGAGAGCCAATCTGATTGTGGGAACGTCACCGGACTCAATGGGAGCCTTGAGGAATGTCTTTTTCTGTCTCTTCTCGGCGAGGATCTCTTCAAGTTCGCAATAGTGGACGGCATCGATGCGGACGCTGCTGTACCTGCCCAGTGGTCAGTATTGTGATTGAGTATTGCGAAGAGGACTCACAAGNACAGTGGCAGCAGCGTTATACCAGCGGCGACAGACTTGGCCTGCCTTGGCCAGATCCCTCAAGTCGCACAGCATACATCCTTCGCCAGCGGTCGACCTTTCACTAGGCTCGAATGTCGAATCTTGGGTATGCGGCGCGACCTGCACCATGATCTTGGTGAGTATGTCATTGGGTAGTTTGGCAGCAAAGTCACGTCCAGGGCGAACAGCAAGGGGAGATCGTGAAGAGTGTTTCGGACTGCTGTTGTTGCTTTCGCTGTCTTTGTTGTGCGACTTCGCGCGGAGGTGCTTGAAGAAGCCCATGATTGCGGCTCTCTACAAATATTCGCGTAGCCTGGAGTTGATTGGAGTTTAGGAAAGAGCGCGTCTCTCAGAAAGCCATCTTCCTCAGATACACAGAGGGCAGTCACGGGCCACGAACAGGTGGTTGCACCCTGGAAATGCCGATACGCGCGCACCTTCCCCTGAATCCGTCTGCTTTTCATTCCTGGCCCACGTCCCCGCATCGCGCCTGCCCTGTTCCTGTCTGCTTGTGTCAGTCTGAGACACGGTGCACGGTCGTCGAAACCTTGACAAGTCAATTCTCCAACGCGCTTGAAACACGACAAACAAATACATAGGGATGGTATATTTCAGTGGCATCGCTACTCATGCCACGACTCTCTACCAAACTGCCATTCGGAATTCTATCCTCCTCTGCGTAGCACTCTTGTCTCGGCAATGGCCTGATCGTCCGACGCGCTGCTTGCTCCTTCGCCGCCTGAGCCTGATGCCGATCCCACAACATCTTCATCATCGCTTCCCTTCTGCTTGGGGGCCTTGCCGTTACCGTTGCTGTTACTGCCAAGCTTGCTCTGTGACCGATGGAAACTTCCATCTCTCTCATCTTCCTCGATTGTAGCACCATTATCCTCATCACTGTCGTCGTCGTCATCGTCATCGTCCTCAAGCGTGTGGGGGACCTCTGATTTCCTGCGGCGCTCGAAATCTTGAGCGTGTGATGCGCGCAACAATGTGCCAACCCTGGTGATTGCTCTGACCAATGGTGACGCTCCATTTGGCCCGGTCTTTTTGCGTTGGCGCAGGAAGGCTGACGACGACAGATTGGTCTTGGATGCTCTGCGTGCTGGGTCAACTCCAGTCGCTGTCGAAGGTGTAAGCGTAACGCTGCCAGGTCGCTGTGATTCGAGATCATCTGCCGAGTGTCTGACTTCGACCTCTTCGGTTGGTTCCACTTCTGTTTCCGTCTTGCTGACTTCGTACGGAAGAGGCACATCTCGCGATGCGCGGTAACGACTGACACTGCAAAGCGTGTTAGTATATGATTCGACGTCTCGATGTGTTTGCGCAACATACTTGGTGCAATGCTCATTTTCAACTCTGAACAATTGCCACATGCCACGTCGGAGAATCTCGGAAAAGGCAATCAAGAAGGATATGATCGATGAGTGTTGCGTCTCATGCCCGTAGATGGCGTAGAAGATCCAGTTGAAGCGAAGGACGGGATCAATCACTATCGCAACGTAGTACCACCAAGCGTATTTGAAGCCCAGGGTGTTTCGTAAGAATGGATGCTTTGCGTAGGGGTCCATCAAACTCCAGTCCATGACAATGTCCCAGACACTGCAGTAGACACCGTTGATGGTTGCCCAGAAGATGAACAGTATGCGTAGCTGTTCTGTCTTGTTGTGACGCCATAGACTCAAGCTCATATAGTAGAGAATGGTGCACATGTACTTTCCGAAGTTGGCCATGTGGGGNAAGAGACTTCTCGTATCGGCATATCTACGAAGACATTGGAGAGCACGCCAGATACCGGGTAGAGTTTGGAAGAATCCGAGGAGTCGTGAGTGCGATGAGTTGCATTGTGCTGGATTGTTCCAGTCATTGGCGTAGAGACAGAAGAAGAGCTCAATGTTCTGTCTGAAATTAGCTGGTTGATATCTTGTTCTATTCGGAAAGACTTACGCCAAGNNAGCGTATGTTTGCGAGCAAAACATGTCGCCCAGGAAAAAGTCTCTGAACTCAACTGGGAAGAGTCCGGCGAGGGACAGTCGCCACTGCGCATGTCAGCTTGTATATCGCTTCTCCCAAGGGAATGACTTACGGTGGAGTAAGCAAACCACNAGACGACTACGATGGTAGAATATAGGGAACGGGTTGAAAAGAATAAGACCCGAAACGCAAACGAGAACGACTGGCCACCAGACATAGAATGAATGGGTGCCCGAGAAGTGCTTGAAATTAAGCCACATCGTCAGACCAAGAGCAAATCCAAGGAGGGCGGGGATCTAAATCAAGGTCAGCAGCGTTTGCAAATGAGAACGAGAAAGCGTACTTCTGTAAGTTGTCGCNCAGTCCGCATGATGCCGAGTGTCGAATTCGAAGATGAATGAATAGTTGACTTTGGCTCTGGACCAGACTCTGCATGCACAACAGAAGAGCAGGGTAAGGAAAAACATCAAGAAATAGCCGCCGTAGATCTGCATCGTAGATCAGCATATGATTCAGCAAGTCTTAGGGTGGTCTAAGACGTACCTGCAGCAAGTAAGACGTGTGTGATACGACAGTTGGATTCGGATCATTCAACAGCAGGGTACCATAGACAACGCCTTCGATACCAAAGACGGTGCCTGCAGCCAGAAGCACTCCGTTACGGAACACGCTCCCAGTGTAGTCACCCATTCTGGCAACTTTTGCGCGCAGCTTGCCGACTGCGATCTTGTGGTTACCTCGTTCGAAGTAGCGAGCGTACATGTCTTCAACGGCTTGAATGTGACCGTCCACGATTGTGCTGCTGACAAAATATGCGTTGTTGACCTTCTCCCCATGTATCGGCCTGATGGTCGAGCGTTGACTGTCTTGTCGAATTTTTTGTTGATCTTGCGGAAGGCTGTCCTGTTTAGTAGAGCGTATGACTTGAGCAATTCTAAGCCTCTGTAGTACTCGGCCAGAGCAATCTTCAACTTGCGCTTAGCAGTTCTATAAGGCACCTCCGGGTGGCCTCCCTTACGAGTGTAGTCTCTGCTATCGTCCATTGCGCGTGGGCCGCTGGGGGTACTCAACTGCTTCATGGCTTCAAAAGTCTTGCCTGATTGCGGAACCCTCTTCCTGCCAGGAAGGCCGTTGACTGCCTTGGCCCAGCCGTTCTTTATGGGTCCGTCCTTTGTGATGAGTCGAGACTCTTCACCTCCAGCAGTGCTATTCCTGGATACCATGCCGTTGGACAGCAAATCCGTATTGTGTGACGGGCGCTTAGTCCTAGATGTCGCATAGAGGATTTCCTCCATACGCTGATCACGCATCATGTGAAGTTGTTCTCGCAAAACCTTGAGCCGTTCGGTAGCCTCATCTTCTTTCTGCTTGTAGAACTCCTCGATCTTCGCCAACTCTTTATCCAGGAAAAAGAAGAACTGAGACTGACGGACATCAATTTCTCGGTAAGCTTCGAGAGCTATGTCGTCTTGGGAGGGATCGCTGCTACGGAAGCCGCTGAACATTCTTCGGGTGGGTGGTCGGGTAGGTTGGGCATCCTCAACGCCAGGCATGGAATTGACTCGTTTCGGCTGGAAGACACTCCTGTACCTAGAAGGGAGAGTAAAGCTGGGGTGCTTTGGTTGTTTTTCTTCGCCGACCTGGTATGCGCTACCAGAAGAATCTTGACGCATGGCGCTGCGACGAGCTGAAGTGCCCAGAGCGGGACCAGGCAATTTCAGCGATCTGTTGGACTCCTCACTTCGGCGCGAAGCCTTGGGCAGACTGTCGAGGTTTGGTGGAGAGCCGATGATACTCCCATAGCGTGTCATGTGTCTTCCGTCACCGTGTATCTGTAGAGGAGTGTTTTCTGCATCTTCTGCGCCGGGAATGGGCATGGCCGAGGTCTTGGAGCCATGTTGATCGTCTTCCGAGGGAGGAGGTATAGCGCCGACGTCTCCACTGCTGGCTCTTCTTTCGCTGGTTCTGGTGGCAGGTCGATTCAGGAAGGCGTAGAAGGAGCTTTTCCGAAAGTCGCAAGCGGAGAAGAGTCGCGGCGGCCATCGGACTGGCTTGTACGTTCGACTTTTTGCAGAGCGCGTGCAACAGCCTTGAGTTTCTTCTTTCCTTGCTGCTGGGGTGTCAACTCGCGTGCTCGTAGCGCTGTCCGCGGCGTAAGTGTGTTGAAGCGCAAACCTTGTAATCCAGATATTTGGCCCGCCATTCGGGTACCAGGTCAGCCTCTAGTTCTCTAACACCGATTCGTCAGTCAGTGTCGTTAGGATTGAGCACTTGTCGAGGCTACTTACTTTGCAAACTTCATGGTTGCTCGTGTGCCTGTCGCAGCTTCACATCAATGCCATGTTTATGTGGCACAGAACCAGGTTGAAAATATTCTTATCACTGTGTTTTTCTTGGATACATTGAGCGACTGTCACTCAACCTCTTGGCAAGTTCTGGGTTTCCTGGGGAAATTTGTGGCTCGAAACTTGGAAAGCGTGCTATGTCATCGCTCTGCCATTGGCCAATCGCCGGAGACGCTTCCCATAACTTCGTTGTTCTCACATGGCAATGTTTGTTGATTCACAAGTCACAGCACATGGGGCATCAGTGGATTGATATGACTGTTCTCATTTGGTTGCCAAGTTGCAATCATTGTTTGGTATTCATGCTTTGATCATCATGCATTCGTTTCTGTCCTCTTCAAGAGACCAGGTTGAGTCGTTTAGTAGTTGTCGTAACCACCGAACTGCTGCTGGAGGTGCTGGGGGGACCCNTGCTCGTTGGGGTCGTACTGGTCGTACTGGCCGTACTGNCCGTGGTAATTAGCTTCTGCTATAATGAGGATTGAGCTGTGGGTGCATACCTGGTCGTCGTAGAGAGCCTCGGCGTTCTTCTTGGCCTGGTGCTTGGCCTTCTCCTTGTCGACGTAGTCAAGGCCTTTGGTCTCGCAGAGCTTGTCGACCTCGGCACCAGCGAAGGAAGCAATGAGCTCCTTGGCGAACTCGTGGTTGACAGGCTTGCCCTCCTTGCGCTGTCTCTCCTCGAAGGCGTGCATGGCGGCGAACGAGGCGCCACCAGCGAGGAGCTCGTGGGAGAGCTTACCCTCGTGGTCGTCGTTGTAGACCTGTTGGTAGGCGTCGGAAGATTCACCTGAATACTGTTAGTCTTCCTGATGGATGATGATGATCTCCAAGTGTTTCTCACCCCAGCCGAACATTGTGATTGATGTGATGTGAAAAGGTTTGGTTTGAGAAGTTGTAAGTGGTGCAATGAAGCGTGTGTAGATGGAAGAGAAAGAAGGAGGGAGGGGTTGTCGTCGAGCTTTATAGCTGCTATCACCAAGAAGGAAGCTACCTTGCACGAGCTGCCCCACCTATTCGCTCACAGCTCCCTCAGCTACTGCGAGCTTCCATGATGTGGCTTCTGGTTAAATGATGACGCGGCTGTCCCTGAAGCTCCCAGGTGAAACGAGTAGTCTAGATCCTCCTTCTTCACGACGAACCAAACTCAATGACGAAGCGGGGCTAAACTGCTACTAAGAATACCTTGACCAATCTCACAGCTGGCCCTGTGTTGCCCTTGGAAAAATGAACAAGGAACCGCATCCTACCAGCGTCAATCAGCGTCACTTCGTACGTGTTGACCTGGAGCTCGGCCGGTTTCCATGTTGATCTTTTCATCACCCCTCGATGATGCAGAGAACCTTCCCCAGGGCCAAGCCGGATTGGCGTAGACAAGGCGGCTAAGCATTGGTGATCGGCGGTGCTGTGGCGGTGCAGCGCCACGAAGCGGCAACGTCGACAGGATTCGAGAAATGCAAGCGAGCTGCTGAGAAGGGCAAGCATCGTCGAGGCAAAAGTCTGCATCAACAAACAACGCTGGTGAATGTGTCAATAGAGCTACACAATCAACATGTCGACCAGCAAGAGACTGCCTACAACTTCTGACTTCCCGTCCAACTGGACTTTGACCGTCTCTCCTCGTAAGTTTCGTACTTTGCCCTCATGGCGTGACGTTCATATCCACTGTCACAAACCGTTCATTCACCGCCTCATCCTGCATGCGCCAGGACCACGTCGACATCATATCCCTCAGCTAACACATCACTCAGCTCCGAGCTCGCAACGACCAACGAACATCCTCATTCTCCTTCATGGCTTGGGCGATGCCCATCTTCCTTTTGCCCAGCTTGGATCCCAGATGAATCTTCCCGAGACAGCATGCATCTCTATCAAAGCCCCTGAACCTCTTCCCTTCGAAGCTTCGTCTTTCCACTGGGGTGACGATGTCATATTTGACAACACGGTCGGCACTATAGACCCTGACGGTGGCTTCAAGAAGGTTGTTCCAAGACTTATCAAGGAAATTATCGAAGACACTTTGATTAAGAAATGTAGTTATCAACCTCGTGAGTTGATGCTCTTTGGATTCGGCCAAGGTGGTATGGTAGCTCTCAACACTGCAGGTAGGTCATTATTTCACGAACAGAATCTGGACAAACTTGACACGTCTCCTANNGTAAGTATGGAGAAAGAGCTAGGCGGCGTCATCAGTGTCGGCGGCCCTTTGCCCAGTGAAGTTCCTGCTTCTCTCTCTCCGAAATGCAAGACTCCAACCTTGGTTTGCTCAGGCAATGACAGTCCTTGGGTCAATTCATCGGCCGAAGACAAGTTGAAGGCAGTATTTGAGTCAGTTCAGCTCAACCGCTACAAGAGATCTGGAGACACAATGCCTAGGAGTCGCGACGAGATGTATCCCATCATGCAATTCTTTGCTAGGCGTCTCAAGAGCTCTGCAGGTGTGCCAGAAGGCAGTGTTGAGCTGACAGCTTGATACTGCCTCGCTCTTGTAAGTGACGCCTCGGTGGAACGATGGTCCGAGGATCAGGGTCGTACCTACAACTACCTTGTTCAAAAAGAATGAGCAGTCCAGCTTTTTGTGGTTATCATTTCATGCTCTGGTTATGCTCATAGAACCGACTGACTTCAGTCACTATGTGACTGCAGTTTGGTTCATTCTGGTAAATGTTTGGTTGTTTTATGGCTCAAGGTCAGCTTTTGTCACTGATTGTGACGGAATTCAACCACGCTCATATGCAAGTCCAACACAACCACCGATATCCATGGCAGAACACCCAGGAACAATCATCGACTACATCATCAAGATGCCTCTTGTTGATCTGACAGGTATGGATATATCGGTATCACTTCGCGTAGAAAATCTCCCGAGCGGATGTTGTTGAAGTTGCTGCTGACATGGTGTTGCCAACGTCGCGTCATCCACCCCTCGATGTCGTGATCAGCCTTCTATACTTCCAGAGAATCCTCGGAAGCACAACATAACCAATGACAGTCCAACTTGACTCAGGCAGCCTGTATCAAGCCCATCAATTGCTTGTTACATTAGTCTTGTTGATGGGTCCTAAGTCGAAATGACCCGCTTGTTCTATTCAACATGCTAGCCAAGGTCCAAGTACCGATGCACGAGTTTCTTGCTTGAAAAGCGATGTAGGTCCTTCGTTTGAGATCTGGTGTCTTCTCTTTTGCATTCACGTTTCTCCACTGTCGTCGCCCCTGGATCAATAATACTGCTCTTCGAGCATCGTCTACAATCATGTCCGACCACGACAAGAAATCCCAGCCAGACCCCTACACCGAAGAACGAATCTCCCCAGCTTTGAGCGCAGACCTAGATGCTAGCTACGAAGCCTACAAAAGCCATGGAGGTTCGCCAATCGACCCGGCCGAAGCGAAAAGAGTGTTACGCAAGATCGATATGCGGATTGTTCCCATCCTATTCGTCGTCTACCTCCTCCAATACCTCGACAAGAACTCGTTGAACTTTGCCGCAGCCTATGGATTTCAGAAGGGCACGCATCTGCATAAACAACAGTATTCTTGGTTGGGATCCATCTTCTACTTTGGATATCTATTCGCACAATTTCCAGGTGGCTGGTTGTTGCAGAAACTGCCCATTGCGAAGTTTCTTGGTACGACGACTATCAGTGAGTAATCATCTACGCTTGTGTATCTTCTCTTCCACTGATGGAGATGAATANTAGTCTGGGGTATCATACTGATCACCACACCGGCATGCACTAACTTCGCTGGGGTGGCAACAAATCGCTTCCTGCTGGGTACCTTCGAGGCTGTTGTGAATCCTGGATTTGTCCTCATCATGGGTAAGATAACATTTATCCTGTCTCCGTCTACCCACGCTAATGACTTCCGCTAGNGCATGTGGTGGACCGCCGCCGAACAACCCCTACGCCTCGAAGCGTACTACTGCACCAACGGCATAGCAACCATGATCGGTGGTCTCCTGGGCTACGCAATCGGACACATAACCACCGGCTCCCTTGAACGCTGGATGTATGTATTCATCATCTTCGGCAGCATCAGTATCGTCTGGGGTATCGTGGTGCTCGTATTTCTTCCCGACATTCCCTCGACCGCAAAGTTCTTAACCGAGAGAGAAAGATATGTTGCAGTGGAGAGAGTGGCCAGCAACAGACAAGGTGTCAAGAACACTCATTTCAAGAGATATCAATTAGTGCAGACATTACAAGATCCAAAGACTTGGATTCTGTTTGTTATGGCTGTGGGTGCTCAGGTGCCTAATTCTGCTATTACGAGTGTAAGTGTTTCTGTTCAAGCTTTTGGCTACGAGGAAAAAGTGCAGAAGCTGATGCAAATACAAAACAGTNTCACCTCCATAATCGTCGGCTCTTTCGGCTTCGATACCCTTGGCACCCAGTACCTGCAAATTCCCGGCGGCTTCATTCAATTCATTGCTCTCATCGGTGGCGGCTTCATTTGCTCGCGTTACCCCAACTCTCGCTGCATCGTCATGATAGCTGCAAACTGCATCTGTATCCTTGGAGCTGCGATGCTTGTCGGTCTCCCTTCAAGCAACAAATGGGGTAGATTGGTAGCATTGTGGTTATGCTATTTCCAAGGCTTGGGATTCAGTATGAGTTTGACTATGGTGAGCAGTAATGTGGCTGGATATACGAAGAAACAGTGTACGGGCACGATTCTGTTCGTGGGATATTGTGTGGGCAACATCATTGGTAAGTTTGCCTCCGCTCTTGCCTTATGTCCGTTCTTGCAGAGACTGACAGAAAGCAACANNATAGGACCCCAAACTTTCAGAGACAGCGAAAAGCCTGGCTACCACAGTGCTTACATAGCCATGTTGGTGGGCTATGTTGTTAAACTGGGTATGGTTGTTGTTCTGTACATCTACATGTATACAGCAAACAAGAAACGCGATCGCGAGGCTGGACAAATGTCTCTGGAGGAAGAGAGGTTGGCTATTGAGCAAGGCATGCAAGATCAGACTGAACTTGACAACAAGGGATTCAGATATACTCTATAGTGATAGTGTGTGTAGAATGATGAAGTTTTATATGCTCTTGTACGCGCAGAATTGCTTTTGGTAGATACTTTCCACTTGGCAGATGATAATGCTATTTACAGATCAGCGCTCCTTATGATGGTTTAGGTCGACTTCGCGCTGACTGTTGTATCGTGACTCATCCAATTTGATTACCCAGTCGCCGCTGATTACGTCCAGCAACAAATGCTCCATGCTCTATTGTACACTGATTGTCACATTGCGTATGATTGCCAATTTGGCTCAAACACCAATCCCTCTTGCCTCTATGTAGTCAATCAGAGCCCATGCGATGCACTATGACTTATGCTCGAGACTTTGATCCATGCTACATGTGTCCTCGTCGCCTTCAGATCCAGATGCCCAACTCAAATTTGATTCGGTCTCATAATCTTCCTCCAGACACGTATCCTTCTCGAGTAGACGACCCTTATACCAATCGGAGTGTCGAGATCGAAGTCCCCTCATGTTTTCAAAGTCCATACCTCTACTGTACACATCACGTAGAGACACTAGAGCCAACTTCATCCAGTCAGGGTATTCTTCGCCCTCGTTGGGGCAATATTTGTCGAAAGCTTTGACGTATGGTGCCTCATCGCGCGGCATAAAGTCCCGCTCGGGATTTTGCGGACGAATGTTGTCAAGAACATCCTTGTCGACGACCAGAAACATATAGCTCTCGGGCCATACCAGCTGGTCCCCGAAATCTTGAGATGCCACCCATGTTTGAAAATGTTGTCGGAGTTGATCGATTGTGGCGCCGTCGAATCGCAACTTGTCATTCATCCAGTAGTGCTGTTGCCATGACCTAACCAGACGGCCGTACTCAAGCTTGGTGCTCGGGAATTCGTGGAGAGGCCAAGTAGCAAACATCGCGAGAAATTTCGTCCAGTCTGCTTCTGAAGGGTAGTTTGTACGGTAGATGGCAAACGCCCAGCGCTGCTTTCGCAACAGCCTTGTTACAAAGGCACTCATGATGTGTGGAGATTCGGAACACAGGTGAAGGCTGTCGAAGCCAGCAGTCCTGCACCTGAAGTGCAATGAACCGGGGGTGTAAGTTAGGAGTGAGATTCAGTTTGCAAGGCTATCACTAAGAGAGAACACAAGAAGCGCCTGTTGCGAGACATGCCATGCGGCTATGCTTGGCACTTGATTATCTTTGATGGTACAGACTTCACAATCATCCATATCAAAGTCGGATGCAGAAGCTGAAAAATGGATCGTATCAGCCTAAGACTGTATTCGCCTGTCCTTTCTAAGATGCCTTGGTGAATGTTATCATGCATTCGTGATCCTAAGATATTGTCAACTCTCCGCACAGGTACTATTTTCGAAGTATGATACTTACTGCTATTTCTGGGACAGTCACATCATAGAACAACTCGAATCGTGAGGTGATTGCGGGCGATTTGTTCTCAAAGCCTGGGGCGATAGAAGTGTTATAATCTCTGTAGACCGCGACTGTCAAGGCTGTCATCTCTGCCATGGCCAAGCTGTCATATCTTTTAGTATAGAGGCCAAAAACGGTTGCTGCTAGCCTTCGACTTACTGTAATNCCTATACACATACGACCACCACTCGAGAAAGCCCAGAACCATCGGTTCATTAGTGCCACTTTGTCTGGCTCGCCGCACCACCGCTCAGGGTTGAACTCTAGTGGCTTGTCAAACACATCGGCATTGCGGTGCAGGGAGTAAGGCGACATGTTGACTATAGTGCGGGCAGGTATCGTGTATCCAGAGATAATACAATCAGTTCCGATCGATCGAGGCTCAGAAGCTGGCAGCGGAGCATAAAGTCGAAGTGTCTCTTTGATGACTGCATTCAGATAGGGGAGTTTATCGATAACATCGAGCTTGGGCATGTTATTTTCGAAGGCGTCTTCTGGCAGGTCACGGACTTCCTCGACCAGTCGTTCCTGTATATGCGAGTTCTGTGGGCGAGACAACGCCCATATCAGGAACATTAACGAATCGGCTGTTGTATCGATACCGGCAAGCAGGTGATCCGCACATTCAGAAGCGATATCAAGAGAGTCCAGACTATAACGGCCAGATTTATTGACGCTTTCGTGAGAATTCCATAGACGTGATACGATGGTAGGCTCTTTGGTGGTTAGATCCACGTTTGTTTTGGCTGCGCTTTCAAAGCTTTGGTAGGCTTCTAAGGCATGCTTGCGGATTCCAGTATAGGTTGTAGGCTTCTGCATGGGCAGAAGCGGCTTGAGTATACGCTCCGTCAGACCTTCGCGAGAGTACATCCATCTTGTCAAGGTTGGAAAGTGTACGGCAAACCAGCTCAAGTAGCGGCGAGTTGGATCGATGATGTCGTTGAGAAGAGCACGATGTTGGACATTGCCGTTTAGCGCAGATGTTCCGCCAAAGGAAGATCCGTATAGAAAATGGGTAATGGCATCGATAGAGAAGTAGTGAAGGCTGCTGAAGATTTCGTGAGGTTGATCGCCTTTCCCTCGNATGAGTGCCATGTAATTGGCGACTTTCTCTTGCACCATACGAGCCGCTGGTCCATTGAGCATCAGCGACTTGGAGTAAGCGTTGGCGACCAACTTCTTGCGATCACTGTGCGCCTTGGTTGTGTAGAAGGTGAACAGGTTCTGTCTACCATATGCATCGAACATACGATAGAACCAGGTTCTTTCAAAACCACTTCCGGCTCCGTAAATGGTGCGAAGGGCGTCGAGATTGTTGCAGTGAACCTCGTTAGGACCAATGCGCACAATTGGACCGTATTCTTCGTGAAGCGCTTGTATAGCTCTTGTCCGGTTTCCTCTGTATTCCTCCAAGGCCAGACGCCATTTAGAGAGTGCAAACAACTTTGGTCCAGGAATCTTGCTCTTGGGGTTCAGAAATAAAGGCTCGATGAAGATGTAATAAGCGGCTGCCAATGGGACAGCAACAAGAATGAAAAGAGTCAACATCTTCGAGAATAGACCAAAGTTCAGAAGTGCAATGACAACTACTGGATCGCAAATTGATCACGCAGGTTGAATACGTGAGGGCCGATTGGCACGTATCTGTCTTCTTAAGAAGTATGAGGAACTGATCGTCTCTTTCCAGTCACCCATGAGCCACGTCGCTGCTTACCTACCTTAATCGGAGAGCGATCTGGCTACCCCGCGATGTCGGAGCGTCCGACAAAGCCAATCATCAGGAACACGAGTGCAGGATGCTGGGTGTTTGTGACTCTTAGCGTTGTTGACTGAACCTAGGTGATATGGCTATGACCACCGCAAAGATTCTGCGAGGGCAAAATTCGTGGAGATATCTTACGGAGAGAGTGAAAGAAGATAGCAAGATTTGGTTGTTGTTGTACGTACAGGGACATGTTTGGCTCGCACCCCGGCATGTGGATTTACCCGAAACTCGGCTCTTGCCGATCGCCTTTCCGACGCGTCCCTGACCAACCCCTTCCACTTCAATGACCTGTAAGTAAATCAACAAACTCTTGATCAATTTATACAAATAGCGTGTCGAAACGATCACGGAGAGGCCCCATTGAGAGTTTGACACGCGATCGTGACCATAGTTCGGCTGTGCGGTAGAAATCGACCACACGATGAATTTCAAACTGTCGGAAGAGACAAGCAAAACCTGGATATTCCTTCACGTACACCCGCAAATTGATTCGAGAACCCTCTCCGGATAAGCCATGGCTAATGCTCGACGAAAAGCCTGCATGAATGTCTCCCTCCAAATGACACTTCGGACTTTCACTCTTGGCCGTTCGCGACGAGGACTCGACCACCGTCAATGCAGACAGAAACACCGTCGATGTATGCCTGTACGACCATTAGCATCATGTATCTGCCTGAAGGACCGCTTCGTTCGAAGCCATTGAACACGGCGTACTCCAGCTCGACTGATGAGGTAGACAACACTCGCAGCGATGTCTTCCTCATTCCCGGCCCGTTTGGCAGGAACTCGATCAAACAGTGAGCTGAACATGTTACCAGCTTCACCGATAGGATTCATGTTACTGGGTACGACTATTTCACAGTCAGTATAACGGTCTACCTTGGTTTCCGGACCACGAAAGCTCACATCCAGGGTTGATGCCAACCACTCGAACATAGAAACGACTGAATTTGGCGGCCAGCAATTTGACGAGATGGTCCGTGGCAGCTTTGCTTGTTGCGTAGCTTGTCAAGTCTACGTTCGTTACGTTGTGCATACTGGCGCAAGAGCTCGTCAACACAATAGCATCACGGCCGGCTTCTCTACCCAAACAACCATTGCCCAGGTCGAGTTGTGAAGCCGCAGCTAGTAATGGTAAGAGTGCGACGGACAGAAAGTAATGGGCGGTTGTATTGACACAGAATGTGTCAGCCCTCTAAGCAGTATGTCATGGCTACACTGGTTGAGCATCATGTAGTGGAGGTGGTTTAGGTTGTTGATATCCTGGTAGTGAATGATAGACAAGTCAAGCGTGAAGATACATCGTCGTCATTCCAATAAAGTATACTCATGCTTTCACACTTCCGAAGCAAGTGATGTCTGACCTTTCCTGGGCAGTCTTGTGGCACTCTCAAGTGTGATAGCTTGACGGTCGGGCGCGACTGTGACCAAGATAACACTCGTTTACACTTGAGGCAGCACTCGTCGTCGACAAAGCTCTCACAGCCCAGAAATCCGAGCCTTTCACTGTCAACAAACACGGTCTCACAACCTGACGGTCGGTGCCTCTTACTCGGTCTCACTCCCAACACGGTCTCCAACAATATAAGACTGCTTTCATAAGGATTTCATCGTAAAGAACCATCTTGTAATTCGAGAATGTGCTGGTCTGCCATATTCCAGGCCTCGCCCTCCGAATCCGGGGTAGGCAATCTCACGTGATTCCCTCCCTCCCTCCTTCCTCCCTATCTCTACCTAATCAGTAGCGCCATCAAGAGTAAAACTAAAGTCCATGCCCACAGACGCAGGCCCAGTACCCGCCTGCGTAGCATCATACATAAGCAACTTATCCGGCATATTCGCTACAACCAACATAGCCGATTCACCATCTGCAATACTCGCTGATGCACTCTTCACAATTCCCTGTCCAGCAGTAGCAACAAGCTCGATATACCTAACATCGCCATATTTGTTTCCAAACCTCACACCTACATTAACGCTTTGCACAACAAAATACGCAGTAAACGCAGAACTTGCCGTTACCGTAGCTGTAACGCTGGAGCTCGGATTATTCAGCGGGATAATGCTGGAGCCAAAGTATCTGGGCGCGCGAGATGGGAGAACTTGGTATTCATTTGCTGCAGCGGCAAAAGTGTTGTTGTAATCGAGTGTGGGCTGCAAGTATCGGAAATATTTCTGGGCGACAGGGTTGCCATAGTCGGCAAAAGCCATATGGGCCCAGTAGCGTCCGACGAGACTCTGGACTGTGGTACCGGCAGACACAGCCATACGGTTGATGGTATGGAAGGGCGTTTCATTGGCTTCGGCATTGTAGGTGTTGAAGATCGTACGCATGGTGTTTGCGCCAACCCCAGCATAGTTGTCGGGATTGTAGGTCAAGTAACTGAGGAACGGCCATGCGAAGTAGTTGTTCTCGGGCTCTACCATCGTGCGATAGGATTGGCCAATAACCATGAAAGGCTGAAGTGCTGTTCCGCCAGTGCCAATGGTATCGTTTGCCTTTGCTCGGGAGTCCGCACAAAGATCAGATCTATACGTCTCGGCAACAAAGTTACCGAGTGTTTCTGCCCAACCAAAGGTGTTCTGCTGGTTCCACCATGCAGGCTCGGCCATGGATAGGACATGACCGTATTCGTGTGACATGACCCTAGCCTGAGTAATGTAGTCTGAGTCTACGACTACAAAGCCAGCACCAGTATTGTCCATTAGCTGGTATGTTCTGCCCGAGAATCTATTCTGGACGAGATTATCGATGATGAAGTAGTTGGTCTTGTAGTAGGGTGGTCGTCCATCAGTATTGGATGTTATAAACCTGAAGAGCGCCGGCCCAGTCTGTTGACATAGCAGTCCCAGGTTCCCTCCAAGTGTTGTAGTCCTATGGTGGTGTTGTCGTTGTCTTGACCATAAAGACGGAAGTGAGCACTCTCAGCATACGGACCTTTATCGATCGAAAATTTGTCTGCGTCCTGGAAGTCTGGGATAGGAGCAAGCTTGTAGTCAACCTGAGTAGGATCGGTAGGAATTGGTGCTAAGCTACTGGACGATGAGGTCTTGGACGATGACTTTGTGGGGGTGTTGCTGGTGCTACTGCTTTTGGACTACTTTGCACGGATGTGGCTTTGACCGAGCCGCTAGAGGCTTTCGAGGAGGTCTTGCTCGAGGACGTTGTGGCTCTAGTCGAGGTTTGAAGACTGCTGGATGGAGTCTTGACGGTGGCGGTACGGGCAGGCTTTGTAGAGGACTTTATAGAGGTACTTGTCTTACCGGTGGAGGAGGGTTTGGCCGAGGTCTTCGAAGAGGTTTTGCAGCAAGCTGAGAGGAAATGCTTGAAGCAACTTGAGCAGCTACGCTGGCTGAGACGCTGGCAGACACCTTGGAAGAGACACTCGCAGCGACCTGGGAAGAGACACTCGCGGCGACCTTGGAAGAGACACTCGCGGCGACCTTGGAAGAAACACTGGAGGAAACGCTTGATGAGATTTTGGCTGAGGCGGCACTACCACAAGCTGTGCTTTGGCTGACTGCGGCAGCAGAGACCGTGAATCCGGTGGCTAGAGCCAGGAGAAGAGTTGGTCCAGCAATATGCATCTTGATACTGCTATGTTATCGAAATTCTGTAATATAAATTGGAAACAGAAGCCTGTTCTAAGATCATGGGATATAGCACGACCTTTATATATACTCTACCTGACACATCTATACTGCACAATGCGGCTGACAAGCCAGGAAGTCTTTGGTTGCTGTGCTATACTATACTCACTGAAGCCCCAGAGCTGAACAGCGTTGTCAATGATACGCCATCTCATTTGTATTTGCAACGGTCAGCAACCAGGAACATATAGGCAGCTGAAAAACATGGTAGTCCCATAATGCAGCACCCTCGAGTTCCCGACATGCAAAGGAACATCGTTGGGATAGCGCACGTTTTATCCTGGATATCGTGCTGCATGAATGCTTCGAGTTGAAGTTGTTGCTCAAGGATATGAACTCTTGTAGACGACAGGAAACATTGCCTATGAAGACAGAGTGAACAGCAGTGAGATACTTGGCGACAAAAACTGAAATGACTCAACTGCGCTCGAGAGTAATGGGTCTGCTTTTTGACACGGCATCAGGCTAGAGGAGGGAGAATCATGTTTGTCGAAAGAGGAAGAAGAGGTTTGAGACCCATTCCGGCACAAAGGCCTGGCCGCCGCCAAAACATCTTTGCCAAGAACTTCCTAACCTCCTCTCCTCCCACAACGGTATATAATAATTTTTCAGCTACTCGATGCACGACGATATCTTTTTCCTGCTTTGGGAAATTTTGTGCACTTACATCCATATTTGCTTTACATAATTGGGCACACGTGAAGAGAGACATGGAATACATTACTGCCAACGTCATGACATGAAATCGTTAACAATTACAAGACCTCGCTAACACCACTCCTTTCCCATCCTCGCAAAGCGATATCTGAATATTTGACTGTTTTTACCCTCCTTCCCTGTACCATCCCCACCATCCCATTCGATTTCGTCCCCCNNGAAATCATCTCTACCCCAAAAGCCCATCAAGGCTTTTACCATTCCCTTTCTTTCCTCTTCGAGCGACGAGATTTTCTCTTTCTGCTCAGCAATCTTTTCTTTCAAAGCCTTGGCCTTGGCACGCCATGAGTCTTCTCTTTCCNNGAGTGTCATAGATAACTTGGTGTCGAAATCCAGATTTAGTGCATGCAGATCCGACAACTCTGTTTTGGTCTTCTCGAGCTCTGCTATTGTAGCTTCGAAGTCTGTTTCCGCAGCAGCGGATGCTAGAGTCAAAGCTTGCAGGTCAGAGGTTTTGGAGGCAAGATCTGCTTCGGCGAGAGCGAGTGAGTTGGCGGTGGTCTTCAATTCTGATTGCGTTGTGGAAAGGGTGGTGGAAAGTTCGTTGATGCGGAGGGAGAGGGTGTCGCGGGATGTGCGGAGGCTGGTCATGCCTTCTTCGATAAGATCGATCGTGCGGCGATGTTCTGCCCTCAATGTTTGCAAGGCTACAGAGTCAGAGTGTGATGATGGCTCAATCCAGAGTTCGCGGAGTCTTTCTATCTCTTCGTGATGTTCTTTTTGCTGAGCATCAAGTTGAGTTTTCAAGGCTTGAATGTCTTTGCGAAGACCATCTGCGAGTTGTTGTGTTGAGCTGTCATGAGATGCAGAAGGCGGCTGGTCTTGAATGCGGTCAAACTGCTGGAGCATGTCCAGCTCTTCACGTAGAGAACGTACTTCTTCATTTGCTCTCATACGCTTCTCTGATTCCTTGTTCAACTGATCATAAACATCAGCTCGAGATCGTCGAGCTTCACTGTCTGCTTTTGCCCAGGCTTCCTTTTCTTGTGCGTGTGACTTCGATGTTTCGTCCAATTGAAGTTGTGCTGTACGTAACGCAGCTTTGAGTTGTTCTGTGGTCTGATTCGACAGAATATTCTGCTCATTAGGCTTTTGACCGGGCATTCTGTGATCAGATAACTGCTCCGCGGTTCGAGGGACGATTTGAGCCTTCTGTGCCTTCTCCTCCTCAGCCTGGAACACAGCAAGTTGCTGTTTTGCTTGTTGTAATTGTTGTGCAAGTCCTCGGGTCATTTCTGCCGCCTTGGTATTTGCATCTTCGTGAGCAGCCTGGACAGCCTTCTCCTTGGTCGCAAGAGCATCTTGGGCTTGCTCTAGTTGTTGCTTGAGGTCCTCGCTGGTGAGGTCACCCTTGATCTGAGACTTGAGTTCTGCGATCAATTTATCCTTGCTCTCGATCTTCTTGCGCATATCGTCAAGCTGAGCTTGCAAATTTGCAATCTGATGTTTGAGTTCTTCCTGCTTCTCGGATGTCGGGAATCCATCATCCACGTCGACCTTGGTACGATTGATGGCGAAATCCTCCTCTTGATCATCCTTCGCTTGCTGAATACCTCTTCGAGCATCAGAGAGTTCCTGTTGAACACGTTCGAGTTCGTTGCTCTTCGCGTTACGTTGATCCTCGTTCCAGACTTTCAAGTCTTGCATGTCGTTCTCGGTCTCCCGAAGGTCATCCTGCGATTGCTTCAACTGGCTTCGAATGTCTGCAAGCAAGTTATCCTTTGCTTTCAGCTCATCCTTGACCTTGTCGAGCGAACTGTGAGTCTGACGTTCCGCATCACGAGCTTGACCAAGCTGGATCTGCAAGTTGTGTATCTCGGCATCCTCACTGTCATGCATTTGGTCCAACTCTTTTGCGCGATCCTCTGCAAGCTTCGTAGCATCCTTTTCGCTTGCCTTTGACTCTTGCAGGTCAGATTGAAGTTCCCGCATTCGGCTCTGGTGGATTTGACATTCGTCGCGCATGCGGTCCAGCTCTTCTCGTAGCGACTCCAGCTCATTTCCATCCTCAGAACGACCTCTGCTTTGCGATCGATCAGATCTCTGATACCGACGAGAGGCGCGCTCCGTGTCAAGTTGGGTTTGTAGAGATTCATTGAGTGCGCGCAGCTTCTGCAACTCTTGGTACAGACTATGCGGTTTTTGGTTGGGTGTACTGTCAAAGTGTGGCATGGGTGATCGCATGGACGAGATGGTGGGAGGACTCGAAGGTCTCTGATTCTGTGATTGGCGCAGTCGCGAAGTCGAGTACGATCGGCGTTGAGCAGGATCAGGCGTGGCATTGATAGAAGCAGGGAGTCCTGGAGTGAGCTCGGAGTAATAGTCCTCGACGGTCGGCTGCAGCATGTTCTTCTTTGGCTCTTCAAAGTCGCCTTGATCGGGTCGAGGNGTCGGATCATTGGCGCCAGATTCGCTCTGAGTACTGCGATCAAATCTGGGCGAGGGATTGGGCGAAGAGTTTGTCAGGAAGTCGGCCGTTGTCTCATCGAACAGATCTTGCTGTTCTTCCCATGCCGGCAGTGGTTGTTTGCGCGGTGTGCCTCTAAAGTATTTGGCTAGGTTGACGGTAAAGTCAGTCGGGCCATCAATGTCATCACTATGGATCTTGTCAACAATGCGATGCACGCTCGGCGAGTCCAGAGCGCTAGGCTCATCGTCGAGGTTCAAAGCGTCCAGATCTAGAGAATACTGTGTTTGATCGCGTTCATCATCGCGAGAAGAGCCATGAGGCGGTGGCGCTGGCGGAGGAGGTGACGACAACATTGTCTTTGGATCAAGAAATGCTGACTATGAATATCTTGTCGAGTCGCGTTGATACAAAAAGTGCCAGTCGCGATGACTTCGACTGTTTGTTGTTGTCTGTGCACGCCATGCACCTCGCTCAAAACGCGGGGTCGGCGACTGAGCCTTAACTCCGTTCATGCATGTGATTGTCCTACATCTCGACTCTGTACGAAAGGATGCTGGATGGCTCCAGGGGAGGTGATTAATTCTGGCTTTTCAGCGGTCTATGTAACAGTCTGGGCCATCGAGTAGCCCTCGAGAGATTATTGGTGCTAGACGCTGGACGCCTTTAGCCTGAAACCATCATCATTGTATCTTGGACTTTGAGACCGTGGACATGATGCATGACATGCAAACAAACTGTACTGAAGCAGTTGTGTGTGTATCAATAGTAGACCATATCGATCTCGTATAGATGTTCATCTCAATCAAAGTTCTTCATAAGATCGTCAACAGCTCGAGCAGCATACCGCTTGCGCTCGTTCTCTGGCATGCCGGCAGTAGTCTCTGTTATATTGTCAGCTTTTTCATATGCCGCAGTATTTTCCAGTCATACCTTTNNGATAGCCATCAACTGACTCATCATCTGCTCCATGCCTTCAATCTGCAAAGCACTTCCCTCATCCTCATCGCCTTCATTATCCGGATCTAGCAGAGAAGCCTTCATACCCCAAAGCTCAGCATTCATCTGCGCTTGTTCGTCATCCATGCCTCCGATATTGTCTTCATCATCTTCGTCTACGGAAGATGCAGACCATTCATTTGCTTCAAGTGCCTCTTTCGCCCTGTCCAGACCTAGCTTTTCTCCATATTCGTTTTTGCCTGTCGCAGCTATGTGAATGTACTCGAATCCGAAATCCAGACATATCTCTTCGGCAACAGCAGTAGACTTGTCTTTGTTGGAGGGTGTGAGGTCGATGGCAAGACGCGTACCATCCCACATGATGCCACAGGCTTTCTCCACCACCTCACTAACAGCCTTCATGGTCTTTTCCACTTGTTCGGATATCTTGGCTTCCTCTGCTGACTCTTGCTTTGCGCTGTCAAAGCAATAGATCCATGCGCCCAAGGCGTCGACCACTTCTTGAGCTTCGGGTTTCAGGAAGTCGGCTTTCCAGGCTTCGACGTCGATGACTTCGTCAATCCAGATGGGGATGGCGGCTGTGTAGTATGGGGTGCTGATTGTCCATTCGTGCGTCACTCCGGCAAGGGAGCCAGTAGATGGGTCGAGGGTGGGTGCAGAACCCGTCAGATCTGTCGCAGTGNNATGAGCCTGTGCTGCCGTTAAACATGTGCGGGTTCGCGGAACAGAGTATGGTCTACCTTTGACAACGCGAGAAATGTCGCTATCTGGTCTGCCTAACACGAGAATGCGACGTGGGTGTTTGATTTCCATTGCTGTTTCTGGCAAGTGCATGTTCACGGTATGAGACAGAGAAGACAAAGATGGAGAGAGCTTGGAATTGTTCATTTCATTCGCCAACCACGTGACCCATATCTAATGTGAGTCGTCTTTCCTTTTTGTGCCTGTCAGTAGACGGCGGTGGAAGTGATTCAAGAGTTTTGGCTTGGTGCGAGTCCCTCTGTGCTGCGTCCGTGTGCCTGTACTGCAGTCCAACCTCTGGCTGGTTGCATCACCCGAAGCGACATATGTATAGCCCAAGCGTGCTGCTGACATGAAACTTTCGTCTCTCTCTCTCTCTTTTCCTGTGTTGATCATCAAGACGATTCGCCTGTCACTTCCATTTATCCACGGGGTCCACCTCTTTGGCCTCTGGCTCTGTTGACGGTAGCGCGACCTCTGGCCAGACCAACACCTCTTCCGCGGACGTTTCTTGCTCTGAACATGGGTGCATTTCTGNNTTATGTCTCTCGTCAGCATAGCTCCTGCATCCTTTAACTGTATTCCACCAACCTCAACATGTCCGGAACGATAAAGTATCGGACGTGCGATCCTCTGATGTAGACCTGGTCCAGATGTGATACGCGACCATCTCTAGCTGTGACAGTGATGTCTCTGAGTTGGCAATTCATGTTGTCCTCGGCTGTCATGTCGTCAGTGTCCTGATCCTCTTGTCTTTTGTGATCGCTGAGGGTCGCACCTTCGAGTAGCTTGCCACGGTAGACATTGCCAGATGTGATTTCGACGGTAACAATGTGGCCNCTGTGATATTGCGCATCAGCACATGCGATTTTCAATGCGACACAAGATGAAGATGCGCGTACAGTCGCTTCGTTGAGCAGCTTGATCGGAATTCCAATGGTTGAAGTCATGGCGGCGGTATGTTGAGCGTGTCGTGTGGTGTGGTGTGCAGATTATTCGGGAGATCGTCAGAGAGGTGAGATAAATGCGCCGGAGAAAACAGTTGTAGAGGGTTGTTCCAAGAGCAGTCAGAGTCGTCGCCAGCCAGAACTGCGATGCGCGCGAATCTCCAGAGCTTCTGGCGGAGCGGCCTTGGCGTTGCTTCGTCTTGGCGGGAAACTTGAGACGACAAGGTCAATCCCAACTCATCTTTCTTGATCTAGCACTTTCAATCATCAAAATGAATGTATCGGGGACATTGAGCTTCTTCAGGCTCTTCAGAGACCCTTCTCTATGCTTGCCTCATCATACTGTCTCCACCTTCAACCATCTACCAATTCCCNTTTCTCGTGCTTTTAACAAAGCAGATGGTGAGAAGAAGGTAGACATTAGGGCCGTTGTGCTTGACAAAGACAACTGTTTTGCTGTACCAAAGGAAAATGAGGTCTACAAGGCTTATAAGGTAAGCTACCGTTTTGTGAAGTTCCTCTTTGCGTATAATGCTATAGCATGTTGGATCAAGCATGTCTGACCATGTTGTAGGNAACGCTTCGAAGAACTCCGCAAAGCATATCCTGGATCTCGGTTGCTAATAGTATCAAACTCTGCTGGAACCCTATCAGATCCTACTGGAGCAGAAGCAGATCTCTTGGAGAAGAATACTGGAGTCAAAGTTCTTAGGCACAACACAAAGGTGTGCTTGCCCTAGATCATGTTCACCTTCTTGCTCTGACTGAATTGGTAGAAACCTGGCTGCCATCCTGATGTACTGTCCTATCTCCGTGATGCACCAGACACAGGAGTCACGCACCCGTCTCAAATCGCTATTGTAGGAGACAGGCTCTTCACCGATGTGATGATGGCAAACATGATGGGCTCATACGGCTTCTGGATCAAAGACGGTGTCGTAGAAGAAAAAGGACTCGTAAGTTAAATCATGAAATGTCGTGGTAGCATTACTGATAATGTACAGTTCGTGAAACTCGAGAGAAGTCTTGCAGGCTTCCTCACTCGCCGTGGCTACGTTCCGCCATCCNCCCAAAACCAGTTTGAGTAGTTGTTCAGTGCCACATCCTATCTTGAGGCGATCTCGCTCCGATGCTGCTGAAGTGGCAAGCTCCTGAAGACAGCTTCTCGTGAGCGGGCACCAGGCCATCGGGGAACGGGATGGTCAACACAGATGTATACTGCTCAGATGGGTATTCGGTGATGTGACCATCTCCGGTCGTGTCAGCCGCGACAAGCAGACCCTGGTTTCCTCCAATGAACCACTCCTCATCCTTGGATGAAGGCAACGAGACGTGTGCCAAGCCAGAGGTGTACACAACAAGCNNTATCGATGTTAGCGCATGACCAGCATCAACTTGACGATATTAGAACAATACCTGAGGAGTAGGACTATTGTGTCTGCTGCCATTGAACCTCGGTGGAATGATAGTGTACGAAGCACTACTAGCATTGAAGTTGAACCTCAGGCTACCGGCAATACCAGGTTCCGAAGAGTCAACCAGCGGTGTCGCAAACCGCCAACACTCGAGCGCTGATTCGTTCGCAGCATTGGTGACTAGGGCAGTGGCTGTGAGATAGTCGTACGCTTGTGCGCTTGCGCAGAGCAAAGCAAGCACGGAGGTTGCCAGATAGAAATGCATAGTGGTGATCTGTTTGCGGACGGAGAATATAATATGAACTATTGTCAGAACAGAACTTGGAGTGGGAAAGGTGTTTATAGGAGAGTGAGGAAGCTGTGAGGCATATGAAGTCATACCGCATATGACTTGTTTTAGCAAAACTTCGTACTCCCACTCATGCGTTGGAGAAGCCTGCTGCGATGCGACCATGCTACTGCAGCATTACCGTTGCTGTTCACTTAGCGGATACTGCTCCTCACATGTCCACGGTACTTGCACTCGCAGTGAAAAGTATCCACAGTGGAATTCCTGATGTCATTGCAAGGTAACTCACTAGACACCGCGGAGCAACACGGTTTCAACTCGCTCCAACACGAAAAGGGGCTCCAAAACATCATGATCGCACAACCGTCGTGACATCTTCGTGAGCATCGACAACGCTTTTGATGCGCGATAGCAACTACCTTTCCAGCTCTAGCGTCATGCAAGCCGCGGCTCGGCCCGTCTCCACAACTCTGAGCGCCGGCTTGTCTTTCCTTGCTCGCATCACTTTCCTCCGAAACACATCTTGGTATCAAAACTACAAAAAGTCGCCGACGACAACAACAATGGCGGAAAAGGACAAGCCGACGATGAAAATGCCTTTTCGTGCGGCTGAAGGCGTATCTCGCTTCTTTCTCTTCGAAGCTCTGCGTACTGGCTGTGAAGAAATTGAATCCGCGTGTTTGCAACTCGAGTCTGCGCGTGACAGAGCCGAGAAGATACTCATCAAGGAGTCACCTGCTGAGTTCGAGTCTTTGGTCAAAGACGTACGTCAACACTCACGATGATGAGGATGAAACTTACTGATGAGAATAATTGCAGATGNNCTGAAGTCCTGTGCAAAGAGCTTGCAGACACATGCTGCGATTGTCGAGGCGGTTGCCGAGACAGTCAATGGCGGTACCAATCAGTCTGATCACAGCAGTACAAAGCTGGACAAGTTTAGATTGCTTGTTGGCCAGATCAAGGACGCTGCTGCTAATATCGAGCAATTGAGGAGCGCGAACGTAAGTTGTCTACCTTCTTTATTCTCTTCCGTCCATTGCTTCCGAAGACAACTTCATTCCTGGCTCAGTGCATTTGAAGATACCTCACAATGCTTCACACTTTCTGTTGAGCATACATACATACTCTAACCATTGTTCTGCATATAATATAATTACTAACACCTTTCCACAGACCNNAAAACGGAACAATCACCTCCACTTCCAACTGAAAGCGACTTTGACTTGGAGCCGGAAGTGCAGTCATCCAAAAAATCGAAAACCAGAGAGCCAGAGGAAACCACTCTTCCCAAGAACAAGAAGAATAAGGCCAAGCACGCCTCGAACATTTCAGCACCAGTCAATGAGACCCCATCATCTGATGTTCTGGATGAGAAGCCCATGAAGGGCAAGGGAAAGAAGCTAGGAAGGCCTCTCAAGCCATTTAAGACGTCCAAACCTTCTTCAAGAGCTTCCGCCGAGTCCAGCTCACCACCTCCGGAAGAAGAGATTGTACAATCAAAGCCATCTTCCAAGTCTATTCCTGAGACCAAAGGAAACACCGAAACTCCCAAGACCGACAACCACTCTCACCCAACTACTCCCAAATCAGCTCCAGCAAATCAATCTTCGGTCGACGAGGAAGACATCAACGCAGAAGTAGACGCTCGTCTCGCAGCCAAAGAGNCTGAAGCGTGCAAAAAGAAGGAAGCGAAGAAACGCAAGCGCGACTCTGTCGCCTCCGACATCTTCTCCCCAGATCCGAAGGCCGAGCCCGAGCACAGAACAGTTTTACCAGCGAAGAAGAAGGCACGCGTCGATAAGATTGATGGTGATGGCAAAGGAAAGCGTCAGAACGTTGACGATGCCCCGGGCAGCAAGTCAAAGGTGAAGAAACAGAAGACTAATGTCGACATCAAGAAGGAAGAGACGGCAGTCGAGGCGAACAAGGCAAAGCGCAGACGCTTGTCTGACATCGCTGTGGCAGAAGCACCAACCGCTGCTCCAGAGGTTAGAAGCCACAAGAAGCGTCGTATGGGCTTGTGATCGATGGGTGCGGGAACGACGAACTGAGGAGATTTGACTTTGCTTCGAGACATTGACGATCAGATTTGCTAGCGCACCAGAGATATTCACATATGCTAACACGAGATGGCTGCCGACGCAAACAAAAAAGAGGAGGCAGAGGCTGAAAATAGTCACCAACATCATCGGTTCAGTATCGCTCCGCACGAACACATTGGTGCTCGCTACATCAAGCAGTGAAGCATTACATTACACAACACAGATACATACATTGCTCATAAACCAAGAGACGAACCACCAACATCTCTAAATTTTACTCGCACCATCCTTCTTGCCCCAAGCCTCCTTGACAAAGCCCTCAACATCCGCCCACAAATCCTCCGGTTTCTCCATGGCAGCAAAATGACCTCCCTTGTCATGACTAGAAATATGAACAAAGTTTCCAGTCTCCTTGACCCACGAGACTGGCGTCGGAGAAATCTCGTAAGGAAAGTAGGAATATCCTTGAGGTTTTCCAGAAGGTTTTGCAAAGCGCGGTTTACTGGAGGGACCAGATTGAGGACCAAAGAGNCTTTGGAGCGATGTTAGTAATTGCATAAAGAAGCGAGCAGGGGTAAGACTTACACTACGATAAGGATAGATGCATCTCGCATAAGTATCCGTAAGCCAGTAAAGCGATACAGAATCGAGTATCTCATCAAGACTGGGATCCTCATCCGTCCACTCCAAAAACTTTTCCCCTATCCACGACAGCAAAGCCAGNGGAGAGGAACTCAATGTCAAGCCTATAGTAGCTGTCCTGGTACCATGTTCCATGGCATACGCAGACCCCGAATCCTTGAATGCTTTTGCCCTCTCCAATCCCCGTTTCTCGATATCAGAGATAGGTAAAGAGTCAGCATTTGCAGGAGCAGGAAGTTGATAGAGGTTTAGATGAAAGGCTTTGCAAGCAGGCGACTCAACACCAAGTTGGCGGGCAATAAAGCTGCCTAGATCACCGCCTTGGGCTATATAGCCTTGCTCGCCAAAGCCGAGGTTGCGCATCAGTATATCCATTACTGGGGCCGTGTGTTCGGCTTTAAAGTCTCTGGTTGTGGGTGGAGAAGAGGAAAATGCATAGCCGGGCAGAGAAGGCACGATGATGTGATAAGGCAAGGAAGCAGGATCTGGGTATTGCTTTTTGATGAGGGTGAGCAGAGACAAGAACTCGAGGATACTGCCTGGCCAACCGTGAAGAAAGAGGATGGGGATCGCGGTGGGGGAAGTAGAGAACAAGGCGAGGAAATGGATGGTAAAGTCCGAGCCTTCGGGGTCGGTGATGGGGATTGTAAAGTTTGGGAATGAGTTGATTTGGTCTTCGCATCTTCTCNNCTGTTTGTTGTCTGCCATTAGTCTGCCAAGGCTCTTTTCGGACGAATTGTATGGAAGTGTATACCAGTCATAGGTGGTTTCCCAATGTTTCTTGGCTTTGATGAGCCAGTCTCTGTTCATACCGAATCGACGGTCTGTTTGTTGGTTTTCGTATGTTGCAGGTCCGATCTTGGAATGAGCGAGCAAATGCTTCATGGATTGGATGTCATTGGCATCAATCTCCACCTTGAAAGGTTTAGGTTGGACCTTTGCGGTGGACGGAACTTGGGCATAATCGGCCATGGTGGGTTTTCGAGATGTGGTTTCTTGCGTTACGGTGTGGGAAGAGGGCAGAGATACTTATAGGCTTACATGGGGAATTGATTATGTATATCTCTTCTTCCTGATTGACGATCTCACTGATCCCTTGCATTTGTAATAGGCCATGGCATGTCGGATGATGTAGTTCCCCGCTTGGGAAGCTTGACCTCGGATGTGTTTGACCGAGCTTCCGGGTGCATAGAGTAAACACATTATGTTGTGTAAGTAGATAGAACTGTTCGCTGTAGACATGCAAAGAAGCCCTCGATCTGGATGATACAGAATGCTTAGAGTCAGAGGTGATGCGAACAGCATTGACAGCATGCCACGAAATTCAGGAAAGCACAAGTCTTGGCATTGTTTCTTTTCCCCGCAAAGTCCGTGAGTCCTCTTTCGATAAATTTATGAAGCTCTTTTTCCTCAATGCGCATCGCAACTTGACAATACCACAACATCTCGATCATTACAACCCACAACTATAGCTCTAAAGCTTCCGGATCGCATTACCAAACTGGCAATACCACCAATACAGCAGCAGACGAGAGCACGAGATTATCAAGATGCCGCCCAAGACGGCTACGGGCAGAGCTCGCGGAACAGGCACACGAGGAAGAGGAGGTAGAGGACGAGGAGGCGCCGCCGCAGCAGCAGCAGCAGACTCCACGTCAACAGACCAACTCATGACCGATGCGGCCCCGGTAGAATCATCCACACCAGCACCCGTCGCGCAGATGACAGCAGCCCCAATCGCAAACATGGCTGCCGAGGTCACCGCTTCTTCTTTAACCGCAGACGCAGCACCAGCACCAGCGCCAGTAAAACGCGTAGCTTCAGTTCGTCGCGGCGGCGCATCAGCATCTCCAGCACCTTCAGCTTCGCGCGGCAAGAAACCAGTCGTGCCCGCACCCAAAGCAGTGAGAAGAAGCAAGGAAGACAGAGAAGCCCTGCAAAAAGAAGCGAATGCGAAAAGGCCGAGGAAGCAAGAGCAGCACTGAGAGATGCAAAGAGAGCTGGCAGAGGCAGAGGCGATAGAGGAAGAGGAAGAGGTGGTGGTAAAGCAAGAGGTGGATTCATGGGAGACAGTGAGAGGACCATCAGAGACGTTGTCGCCAGCGGTCCATTCTCAGCTGGTCAAGTATCTGCCGATGCCGGTTTCCGCGGACAAAGAAGAGGTGTTGGCGGTGGAGGCTTTGGAGGAGGCGGTGGTGGTGGAGGAGGTGGATATTCCGGCGGATCTGGTGGTGGAGGCAGCGGCAGCAGTGGAGGTCCTCGGATTAAGAGCGAAGGAGGCCCTCATACAACAACGTCAACATCGAAGACGGCGGCTACATATCCTCAGACCTGGACGAAGCAGACGAAGGCCCACGCAAAGACATCGACTTCATCAACCTCCTCAGCGACGATGAGCAAGACACAGCAGCCACAAACGCCGGCATGGCTCCTATCCGCGTCAACCGCGTCGAGCACCGCGAGCGAGAGAAGCCAGTGGCCGCAGATGCTTCAAAGTCAAAAGCCGCAATCACCGAACAGGCATCCCACACCACCGCCATAACCTCGCCAACAACCACAAAAGAACGCACCGCATCGCCCGAACTCGTGCGCAGCAAACAGCCCCGCGCAAAGGACGTCCAAGTCGTGCGCAGCGAGAGAAAGTGGAAGGGTGCCTGGGAAGACAGCTCCGACGACGAGCACACAGCCATAAAGCCTGAGCCCCTCGACGACGACACCAACACCTCAATCACAGCAGCAGCCCTTCCCGATTCTACTCACCCAGCAATTAAAGAATCTGCTTCTCCAGAATCACGGCGCAAATCAAAAGGCAAAGGCATCGCCAGAAAACACGCCTTGCCCACCGAAGCACCAGCCCTGCAAACCGTAGAAGAGAGACGAGAATGGGAGCGCCATCACCTCGACCTCGAGATCCTGCGCCAAGAACTTGGAGAAATAACTCTACCTTCTTCTACTCCAGGACCCGCAAAAGACACACAAGGCGACACGAAAATGTCCGACGGCGATGCCACCACAGCCACAGGAGAAGAATCAGACCTCACAGAAGGCGCCGACGCAAGTACTTCCCTACCCTCATCCTCAACAAATCCACCCCCAGACCGCCGCACCGACCGTGTATACCTCTTCCAATTCCCTCCCATCCTCCCCTCCCTGGTCCCCGCAACCGTAAAACCTGAACCCGTGTCACCAACCTTGTCAAAGAAAATCCCTGCCTCAACAGCAGCAACAGCAATCGATGTAGACGCTTCAGCAGCGCCAAAAGCAAAGGCAAAGCAAGAGGTCCCAGAGTCTGCTGGTCAGATGCATTCGCCTTTTCCTTCTGGCTTGGTTGGAAAGCTTCGCGTGCATGCGAGTGGAAGGACGACTTTGGATTGGGGCGGTACTTCGCTGCAAGTGGGCATGGGTACGGACGTGCAGTTCCTGCAAGATGCCGTCGTTGCAAAGTTCAATGACAAGAGTGATGTGGAAGGTGCAAAGGGCAAAGAAGAAGAGCAAGATGAAGGTGCATTTGGTGGTGAAGTCATGGGTTTGGGTCAGGTCAGGGGTAAATTCGTCGTTACTCCTGACTGGGAAGAGATTGTTGGTGTGAGAATCTAGAAGATAGAAAGAGATAGACTCGCTTTTTCGCTTGAGCAACAAAGACGAATAGACGTGATAATCATTGATAACGTTGTGAAGCTACTTCTTCATCTTTTTCTTCCTCCCAAGGTATCTATCATTGTGCGCAAATCATCAGTCCCTGCGCCTACCGGATGTGGTGGCATACCACTTCTCTTGCATATCTTGACCCCCTCATCTTAGCCTCCTTTTCTTGTTCTTCTTCGCGCGTGGGGGCGACTTGCAATCCATCAAAGCCACTAACCCTGGGCTCAGTTCACGAGCTATCCGAATCCCACCAGAAGATTCCCCATCGGTTTGCTAAACAGCTTCATCAGAGGGCTTATCTTCGGGTTCAAGGCTTGGCTCCTAGCGATCCTTTTCCTTGAGTTCATCCTCTGCATTCTTGACGACGGTGGCCATGTCCTTTCTGGCCCACTCCCAGTAGTCGTTCCAGGCGCGAGCGTGTTCGGCGGTTGTTTCGGTAGGGAAGGTCTTGTTGATGATGACACTGACCTTGGCGATGGCCTTGTTGTGCTCTCCCAACTTCTCCAACTCTTGCTTGACAGCAGTGTCCTTAGGCTTGAAGGCAAGGACTGCTCTAAACGATGCGGCTAATCCTTCAAGACGACGGACGGTCTCCTCGGGTGCAAGAGTGACGAGCTTGGTCAGCATCAAGCAGCACAAAATCTTGATCTCATGCTCATCTGCAACACCGGCTTGGATGCGGTCATAAAAGGCAGAGATGGGAACACGAGCAAATGCAGTCTCCATAAGAGCGTACAATGTTTCGTATGCAGACTTGCGAAGCTCAAGACCATCGTCAACCTTGTGCTTGAAAGGGCCCATGGACACTTCACGGATAAGGTCTGCGTTGATGACAGTCTCCTTCAGAGCGAGCGGCAACAAGGTGTCAAGATGAGGGAGAATCAGATCAGGCTTGTTGTGGGCGGCAGAGTTGAATGTTGTCAAAGCAAGACGACGGTTGTTCAGGTCTTCTTCGTTAAGCATAGTTGTGAGCATAGGTACAATGCTGGGTTGCAGGTAGACGTCGTAAGAAGGATCAGTATCCGAGAAGGTGTAACGGAGAGCTGATATGACCATGCCACGGACAGTGGGCGATGAGTCGCTCAAGTATGCTTGCAGCTGAGGCAGGTATGCAGCGGGATCGATCGTTGCCAGTCTGCCAATGCATTCAGCACCAACGACCTTGTTGTCCTCGACTTGCGAGGCAGTGATGATGTTATCCCAGAGTTGTTTTGAGTACTTGATAACCTCTGTCTCGGCGGCAGTGTGCTGTAGCAGTTCCTTGATCGTGTGAAGAAGCAGGTATTGCTTGCCTTGACTCATGCTCGACTGAATCTGAGGCAGGTAAATAGAAATATTGCCAGCAGCGGCGCGGCCCAGAGCAACAGCAGCTGCAAGAGATACCTTCTCCGAAGTCGAGAAGAAAGAGGTGAAAATGTCAGGTCCGTAGGGGAATGACGGGCCCATGCGCAGACCAGCCTCACCGAGGATGTACAAAGCAAGGCATTTGCGCTTCTCATCCGATGTGGACTTCAACTCAGCTTCGAAGTCGGAAAGTGTGACACCGACTGAGTTTTCTCCAGCGACAAGAAGGATACCGATGACTTGACCAACAAGCTCAGGGTTGCCATTGACGCCAACTTCAGCGAGCAGCGACCTCATCAGGTCCTTACCAGCACCCTTCTTGCCAATAATCTCAAGCGAACCGAGCAATGCATCGAGTGCAGCGCCACTGAGATCCATCTTGGCCACGAAGCAGTATGCTTGGATAACCTCCTCGTTGAGCACAAGTTGTGGTCTCTCGTTGGCGAAGGAACCAATGATGACAAGAGCAGGACCAATAAGATGAAGATCTTGATCCACCAAGATCAAGGGCAAAAGAAGTTGGACTGTCTTCTGCACAGTCTCATCATCCATATTCTCGCGGCAGGCAGGATTGACAGCCATGCGCTTCAGAGCAGCAAGACTGGCTCCGCGCAGAGTTCTGCTAGACTTGCGTAGCTGAGCACCCAGCTCGAGCGACACATCACGGACCCATTCAGGAGTAAACTCCTTGGGGCTTTGAGCCAAAACGGCAATAGTCTCAATGGCTCTGACAGAGGCCAGACGAGTAAGCTCATTGCGAAGTCTGTCATTGATGAGCTGCAGACCAGCAAGTCTGCTTTGTTGGTTGAGAAGAGCCGACCCTTGAGTGCCAGAGGTACGACCGATTAGGAGACCAAGAGACTGTACTGCCTTCTGTCGGACCTCGGTATCAGTGTCGGAGGCCGAGATACGCTGAGTCACGGTCTCATAAATTTGTTGCAGANNGTAGGTAACGTTCTGTTGCTTGGAACCAGCAGAACGAGGAGGAGTAAGAGCCTTGATGTAGACTTGAATAGTGTCAAATGCTTCGCTCGAGACCTTGCTGAACTTCTCCTTGGACACGGTGGTCAGGGCGGGCATGATCTTGGCAAGATATGGCTCGATGACCTTGGAAGAATGTGTGTCAGCAACAACGCGCAGCAGGCGCAAAGACTCGATACGAAGGGCATTGTTTGTCACAGAAGCACCTCCCGATGTGCCACCAGTCGACTTCATGGCATCAAGAACAGGATCGATGACCTGGTCGATGCGTTTCGAGAGACCACCGTGTTGAGCAGTAACCAGATCTGTCAGCAGAGAGATCACCGCATGCTTGGTAGGAACAGTGCTTGACTTGAGCAATTTGGCCGAACCCTGAACGATCTGGGGGTTGATGGCTGCCAAGCTGACTTGAGGACCACCTTGAGGTGGAGGCGTAGAGGGAGAGGCATAGCCATTGGACAGGGCAAATTGCGGGCGGTCGCTAGAGAAACTACTGTCACGACGACGCTTGCGGCTGACTGGAGGACCTGTGGCTGAGGACATTCTGCGAAGACTGGGAGTAGTGCTAACTTCGCCAGTCTTCTTGACGAGGAAAGCAAGAGTGGAGAGGACCTCGAGGCGCACACTCTCTTCACGTTCCTGGAATCGAGAAAGAAGAGCCGGAGCGATTTTGTCGTAGAGGATACCACTGTCAAGCAAGTCACCGCTTCCTCGTGTAGCGATCAAGGTGTGAACGAGCTTGGCAGCACCACGACGAACCTTCCAGCTGACATCGTCCTCGTCGTCGAAGCCAGTCTCTTCTTCAAAGTCCTCGTCAAGATCGAAGTCGTCTTCTTGATCGCTCTCTGCTCCTTCCATCTCGTCGTCCTCGTCGGCGGCATAGTTGGGATCGTATTTGGCGAATCGAAGACATGAGTCGATGACCTCGGTGATGTANGGTGTCATGTCCTGGCTGCACGATGCCAGGAAGGATTCCAGAGCTAGCAGAGCAGCTTCACGTACTTCCTCAACCTGAGGATCACGACCTTCGTCTGATTCGGCAGCCTCTTCATTCTGCTGATCCAACTCTTGCTCACTCAAGGGTGACAGAACGAATGGTGCCAGAGTCCTGAGGTATGGGCCAAATTTGCGGGGNATCGATCGGGCCATGGAGGCAAAGATTGTGAGGTAGAGTCTGCGCTGAGCCGGTGTGAGGTGGGACTGGCGCAAGCTCTCGATCGAGTGCGACACGACCGAACTGAGTAACGAATCTGAGAAGTACGGCGAAAGAACGGAGAGAGCGTTGACAGCCTTCTTCTTCATGACAGTACTGCATCGAGCGTTCTCCAGAACCTCTGCTGTGACCTTCTGCAGAGCCTCCACCTCGGCTTCTTGCAGCATTGGGCCGAAGCAGCGAGCAACTTCGACCAGCACGTCCAAGGCGTTACTGTCGATTCCAGTCTCGATCTCAACTTGGATCATGCCCTTGGGCGGTGCAGGNAGGTTCTTGCCAGTGGGAATGACAGTGTATCCAACCAGACGAGGAATCAGGGCACGACTGACTGCGGAGTATGATTCCTGGACTTTTTGTGTACGAGGAACGGCGGGAGCTGGGCGGGGTAGTGCGACGACCATGGCTCGGACGGCGAGAGCAGGTACTGAGTTGTCGACAGCATTGTCGGTACGAAGATTTGAGATCTTATCGAAGGTTGGGCAGAGGATGCTCTCGGGAGCCTTGTTGACGAAAGGACCAAGGCACTTGATGGCCATGTTTTGAACGTCGCCATTTTGATCGTTGAGAGTGTGTAGAAGGCCTTCGACGACGCGTGCGCAGCAGCTGTAGTCGTGTGAGATGAAAGTGGGGTGGCCAATGGTGAGCATTTGGTTCAAGTCGTTCAACGACATGTAACGAATATCCGGATCGACATCTTGCAGCTTGGGCAGTAGAGAAGCGACGTGATGAGCGGTCGGGTTGACAGGAATGGCGGGAGCCGTTGTTGCGGCCATTATGGTGGTTGATTGATGGTACTGCGAGAGATGGCGAAGCTAGAGTGCTGGTAGTGGGGAGGAAGATTAATAAAGCTCTCATCCAGAGATTTTGTGGTGGGTGGTGTAGGAAAACAGAGTGGTGAGACTGCAGAGGAGGATGAGACGTGTACAGGCAGCAGAGAAATAAAATCGTCTTGGTTCACTTTGCAATCTTGAGAAAGAGCGTGTTTGCCAGTATCTCGTGTTTCGATGCCTGGCTCAGGCGACAAAGCGTCTGTGCACAGTCGTAGCTGCCCTTTTGGATGACGGATGAAGAGGCTCTTGCTCATCGGAAAGTTATGACGCTTTAGCTCGACAGCTCTTGCCAAGCAAATCACCCGACGGCAGCACTTTCGTTCTCTCGCTCGAAGCGCGTCACACCTGGTCAATTGATCGAATACCACACACTCCACCTCTCAACCCTCGAATACACACACAATGGTCCTCCCCGATCTGCCATGCGCGGCTTCTCAGCTGCCCGTCTCTTCCGCTCGTCTGCCCGTCCTGCCGCCCGTGCTGTTGCCAGAAGAGGTTACGCCAGCGGCCACGGTCACTCGGCTCCCAGCAGCGACGTCCCATGGTAACATTCACCATGCCTCTATCAATCCAATTGGCCCGCCATTGACAATCTACCCGTGCAGGNNATCCTCGGCTCTGCCGGTATCACCATTCCCGGCGCTTGGTACCTCTGGCCCGACTCATCCAACGGCGATGCTCACGGTCCTGGTGATGCTCACGCCAAGCACGTCGAGGAGCACCCCGAGGTCGAGCAGCCCGAGGAGGAGTCTGAGGACCAGCCTCAAGAAGAGTCCAACGATGAGTCCAAGTCTGAGGCTCACGACCCCAAGGATGACGGCGAAGCCAAGGACGAGGGCGGTGCTCTGAAGGATGGCCAGGGCGAGAAGACCCAGGAGCAGCCCCAGGCCAACAACGAGCCCGCTGCCGGCGAGTCCAAGAGCAAGCCCAACACCGAGGGCAAGAACATGCCCGAGAGCAAGGGCAATGTCGAGGGTGTCCAGTTCAAGGGCAAGACCAACCAGGGCGACTCGGACAACGAGATGCCCGATGAGCGTAAGCGTGAGCCTGACGGCAAGGGTGGCTTCAAGAAGCGCATCGACTCTGGCTACGGCAAGAACCTCGGCGAGGGTCCCGAGCACAGAGATGATGGCTCTACCAGCGTGCGTTATTATGCTGTCTCCTTGCTTGCTGGCGACCAGAAACTGATATGATCGCAGGCTGCCACCTCCAAGACCACTTCCACCGGCGGTCAGGGCGATATTTCTACCAAGCAGGCTGGTCTCTCAACTACACCCACCAGGCACTCAACAAGGTCAGTAACGCAATCTAGGGCGGCATCTTTCGGGTTTGGTGCACTCGTCTAGCAAAGCCGCGGTGTCTCCCTAACCAATTGTGTGTGGTCATGCTAACTGTACCTTTGTTTTAGAATTGACCAAGACCCGAACATGTCGAAGAAGGTTTGCTATCTCCATCGTCGTCTGTTTGATCCTGTTTCTAACAATTTTACAGNNGGCGAGGGTGCTCCTGAGACCGCAAAGTCGCAAGGAACCGTTTCCGTGAGTTAAGCCGAGATATACTTACGATTTGATATCATGCTAATCGTATCTTCGCTGTAGGTCAACCGTCCCACTCCCGAGCAGCAGAAGGACCAACCCAAGGGTGAGGAGAAGGATGACCAGCCTACTGCCGACAAGAAGAAGGACGGCGAGTAGAAAGCACGATAAAAGTGTTAGAATCGTCTTTTCTCCCTTCCTCGCATAATACTACCAACGAAGGTAACGAAAGCACCACATTTGCGCAATTCTGTACATATGGATGAATGTAACATTACTGCCGATGGGCATGAGTCTACCTTGCTTGGAGCAGCATTTGTGTACGACCAAAATTGTGAAGCCTGCTAGGAAAACACCAGAGGTTCGAGGGTAGACTGCACTCATCTCGTCGAAACAAATAAGCCAACATGCCAACATGTAATTCTCATAGCCTCCATGTGTAACAAAAGCTGAAATGATTTCACACCGACCCCTTCTCGAAGTGAGAGTGATGTCGTAAGCTATCAACATGCACATTATCTTTTGTACCAGAACATTGTACACAGAGATAATCACAGATCCATGTGATAGTTTGTAAGTTAGGGGAAGGTGAGGTTCGCAATGAAGCCTGCAAAATTCTGCTGAAACGTTCAAGTCAACAAGTCGAGCGTACAACCCTGGTCATAATTTTCTTCCTCGATACCACAACATTATATGCCTCCCACGCTCACAGCATAGGTCCTACACGTTCTCCCATATATGGAAACATAGTTGATGAGTGCTTAAATTGAGATTGTGTGCTCGATACCGAAGATAAGACCAGAAGTGTGCCAAATCAAAATTCTTAACTCAAGCTTTGCTCATTCCAACACAAGTCATCACCTATCTTCGATGTCCAAGATGATGTCCAGGATGATACCAAGAGTTGCAAAGGCCAAACCCAAAAGAGAAGATATCCAAGAAGGCGATGAGAAGATATCACCACTCCACGCTTTCGAATCCAATAATTCTGCCCGCCACAAAATCCTCTAAAGTCCACCACTGCTCTTCTCCTTCGGCAGCTGCAGCCACCCATGCCCAAGCAGTGATATCATGACGCTTCCCCTCTGTATCCTCGACTTGTGTCTGCACCTTCCTCATCTCGAGCTGTGCCTTGTGATAGACAGCAAAGAACTCGCCAATCTGCTCCATAACTCCAGCGTGCTCAGGAAAGTAGAGCAGCCCTTGCACACGAGGATAAGTCGAGAATGCTGTAGACTTGACCAGCGAAGGCAGCAGAGTCGAGGAGTCCAGGTATGTTGTGTGGTCGAGTAGGATAGCGGGTGTTAAGCGGCATACAACTTCTGATGTGCGGAGGTTGAGGAGGGTGGAGAGTGCGCAAGGCAATTGAAGCATACTGTGCAGGAAGATTGGGGTGCACACCAAGGGGTGCAGGGCTAAAGGGGTGAAGTGGTTTGTTAGTGCGAGGTGGGAGGAGAAAGGGAGGTAAGTTGATGTTAAGGTGTTTGGGGCAGGTAAAGGGATGGGAGGTTCTGTGTAAGCCACTGGTGATGATGGTGTGGATGGATACCAGGGGTCTGTGGCGTTGGACCATAAAGAGGTATCTTGGTCTTGCGATGAGTTGTCGGAGGTGTTTGGTGACCAATTGTTTTCTCCTTCATCATCTTCGTCGTCTTGTTGAGTTGTTGGTGAGCTTGCTTCTCCGTGAATGTTTTCGATGCTGCCTTCCTGTATCTCTCCGTTTGTCGAAGAGATGTCCTCTTGATCGTCGACGTTGACCAGAGTCTCGTCGTGCTCAAAAGTGTTGGGAACCTCATAAAAAGAGATTGGATACAGTAGTCCGCAGGCAGATCTTGACCTATTGCTCGGAAGTGTAGCATATTCCTGTATTTGCTCTATTTGCTCTAGAGCTGCTGGAATACATGCCAGACTTTGTCGGGGTCCATGCCGCTCAACGACTTGCTTCTGTGTGGTCATAGAATTATGAGTGGTTCTAGTTCAGCATCCAGGAAAGATATCTACCTTGGTCTTGTTGGATGTTGGCGCGGGATATTGAGAAACATGTCTTTCATATCTGGACCGCAGGTCACCGTGGTCTGCATTCCTTGGGAGTCTTTCTGTGAAAATGATAAGCTACTAAGCTTGATCATGGTTGTGGGCGAGGTGATGATAAAACATGAAAGGAGAATGCTTTGGGAAGAACGAACTATTCCCAGTGTCTTTTGGAACTGATAGACACTCAAAGTACAACAAGACCTATACCATAAAGCGGCGTGTTCCTTGTTACCCAAAGATATCGATGCAGAGGGAACGAATTGACAAGACGATGCTTTGGGCCTTGGTCACGGGTACACCAAGCTGAGATGTTTTTTGTATTGATGGACGTTGATGTACAGAATGACCGCAGTCGTCTTAGGCTCGCGTGTATCCTGATGCCCGTAAATGTCGATGTAGAGTAAAGAAGGCAGACCTACCGTCATGACCTACTGGTTTTGGGTCCCTTCCATGTTTGCTATGAGAGTGTGAAAACAGAAGCTGAAAGCATCAATTGGCCAGAAGACGTCGTCGAGATCCAGCAGAGAGTGAGCTTGCTCCTGTTTCGAACTTCCTGAAATCGCAGCTATCGAAGGCAAGTCGAGCGTCCGGCGCACTCGTCGAGATGCATCTGCCAGTAACAGTAATCTCCACTGAATGGCTCAGGAGAGTGATTGGTGGAGCACAAGAACGCCAGATTTCCATATTCGGAACGCATGTGAAAACAAAGATGGTTGTCTCAGCATTCTTGATGCAGTTTACAAAAACTCATCACAAGTGGCAAGCCAAATCCCAAACGCTGTCTCGAAGCATGTATTTACCGTAGGCAGCAGTGGGCTTGTTCTGTGCAACATGAACGTGCAAGCTTGGTGATAGTGAAGACATGGATCAGTCCATCAGATTCCATCGAGTTCTTTTTCGGTGGCGTAGATGAGTAGGTAATCATTGTCGTGTGAGTGAGAGGTGGAGCGTCGGCCAAGTGGCATTAAGACTTGCAACGGAGTTGAATTCACCGAGGCTTGGCACGAGCTCTCTCGCAGCGTCATTGCCTCACATCCAGCACCTCAAGACAAGTCTCTCACTCACTCGCCATCTCCTCCCAATCATCACATAACACCTTGTCCATCAATTCTACCACCTTTTCCTTGTTCAGATCTTGAACTCCTCCACCTTATCAACACATACTCCGCAACAGGATCAACCACCATCATGTCTGGGGAGCCGGATCACGTCGAGACCAAGCACAAGGTCAAGCTCGAACAGTACGATCTTCACACGCCTCATCTTGCATATCATGCGCATACTGACCTGTCTCGTAGTGACNCCTCTGGCGCTGAGCAAAAGCACGTAAGTTATCGAAGCAGCACCACTCACCACCAAGGAAACTCAACTGACTTGCCTCCTCAGGTCGAGAACGACGTATCAACGGCTATCCTCNAAGAAGAAGAAGAAGCCCAACTCATTGATGTAGGCGCCGCCATCATCTCACATTGCCACACCCATACTAACTAGCCAATTAGTGTCACTGACGCCACCAACGATGACAACTCCATCATCGCCCTCTCCAACAACACCATGGAGACTCTCCAGCTCTTCCGTGGCGACACCGTCCTGGTCAAGGGAAAGAAGCGCAAGGATACCGTCTTGATTGTTCTCGCCGACGACGATCTCGAGGATGGCCAAGCCCGCATCAACCGTGTTGTCCGCCACAACCTCCGTGTCAAGCACGGCGACATCATCACCGTCCACCCTTGCCCTGACATCAAATACGTGAGTTGGCCGGAGTCTTCTCTACCTTGTTTCGATACTGACACCCACAACAGGNCCAAGCGTATCGCAGTCCTCCCCATCGCCGACACAATCGAGGGTATTACCGGCTCCCTCTTCGACGTTTACCTCGCTCCTTACTTCCGTGAGGCATACAGACCCGTCCGCCAAGGCGACCTCTTCACATGCAGAGGTGGTATGAGACAAGTCGAGTTCAAGGTCGTCGAGGTGGATCCCCCAGAGTTCGGCATTGTCGCACAAGACACTGTCATTCACTGCGAAGGTGAGCCCATTCAGCGAGAGGACGAGGAGGGCAACCTCAACGAGGTCGGCTACGACGACATCGGTGGTGTTCGCAAGCAAATGGCTCAAGTCCGTGAGCTTGTCGAGCTGCCTTTGAGACATCCCCAACTCTTCAAGTCGATCGGTATCAAACCTCCTCGTGGTATCCTCATGTACGGTCCTCCCGGTACCGGTAAGACTCTGATGGCCAGAGCTGTTGCCAACGAGACCGGTGCCTTCTTCTTCCTGATCAACGGTCCCGAAATCATGTCCAAGATGGCTGGTGAATCCGAGTCCAACCTTCGCAAGGCATTTGAGGAGGCCGAGAAGAACTCGCCCGCCATTATCTTCATCGATGAGATTGACTCTATCGCTCCCAAGCGTGACAAGACCAACGGTGAGGTCGAGCGCCGTGTCGTTTCGCAACTCCTTACCCTCATGGACGGCATGAAGGCTCGCTCCAACATCGTCGTCATGGCCGCCACCAACCGTCCCAACTCGATTGACCCTGCCCTCCGTCGTTTCGGCCGTTTCGACCGTGAAGTCGACATTGGCATTCCCGACCCTACCGGCCGTCTGGAGATTCTCCAAATCCACACCAAGAACATGAAGCTCGGTGACGACGTCGATCTCGAGAGCATCGCCGCTGAGACCCACGGTTACGTCGGTTCCGATATTGCAGCCCTCTGCTCAGAGGCCGCCATGCAGCAGATTCGTGAAAAGATGGACCTGATCGACTTGGACGAGGACACAATCGACGCTGAGGTTCTCGACTCGCTGGGTGTCACCATGGAAAACTTCAGATTCGCTCTTGGTGTCTCCAACCCTTCGGCCCTCCGCGAGGTTGCCGTTGTCGAGGTTCCCAACGTTCGCTGGGAGGACATTGGTGGTCTCGAGGAGGTCAAGCGCGAGCTCATCGAGTCTGTGCAGTACCCCGTCGACCACCCCGAGAAGTTCCTCAAGTTCGGTCTGTCACCATCAAAGGGTGTCCTTNTCTACGGACCCCCTGGTACTGGTAAGACTCTTCTTGCCAAGGCCGTCGCCAACGAGTGTGCTGCCAACTTCATTTCCGTCAAGGGTCCCGAACTTCTCTCCATGTGGTTCGGTGAGTCTGAGAGCAACATTCGTGACATCTTCGACAAGGCTCGTGCTGCTGCACCTTGTGTTGTCTTCCTTGATGAGCTGGATTCCATTGCCAAGTCTCGTGGTGGTTCAGGTGCTGGCGGCGACGCTGGTGGTGCTTCCGACCGTGTCGTCAACCAGCTTCTCACTGAGATGGATGGTATGACCTCGAAGAAGAACGTCTTTGTTATCGGTGCTACCAACCGTCCCGAGCAGCTCGACAATGCTCTCTGCCGTCCTGGACGTCTCGACACTCTCGTCTACGTCCCTCTTCCCGACGAGTCATCTCGTGAGGGTATCCTCAGAGCCCAGCTCCGCAAGACCCCCGTCGCTCCCGATGTTGATATCGCCTACATCGCTTCCAAGACCAACGGTTTCTCGGGTGCCGATCTTGGTTTCATCACCCAGCGTGCCGTCAAGCTCGCCATCAAGGAGGCCATTTCAACCGACATTGAGCGCACCAAGGCTCGCGAGGCTGCTGGTGAGGATGCTATGGAGGAGGACGCCGAGGATCCCGTCCCCGAGCTCACCCGTGCTCACTTCGAGGAGGCCATGCAGAGCGCTCGTAGATCCGTCACCGATGTCGAGATCAGGAGATACGAGAGCTTCGCTCAGCAGATGAAGCAGTCAAGCGGCAGCAACTTCTTCCGCTTCCCCGACGCTACCACTGGTGGCGAGAACGGTGGTCAGGACAACTTCGGCGAGGCCGGTGGTGATGACGACCTCTACAACTAAGGGAAGTTGAGAGAAGGATATCTCATGGCAAATGCACTCTGATAGAAGCGAAGGAAGTTTAAGGGGGAGTTTTTTCTTAATGGAAGCCGCAATGGCACCACTTACTGATGAATTGACGGCGTGAAATGGCTTGTCGTTTTTCTAGCTATTTATCTAGTTCACGTGGAAATGTACTTCTGAACAACGAAACATTGCTTGCTGATTGTGAGATGTTCTACTAGTGTACAAAAACTTCTAGTGTAATAATTGATTAAGAAAGTGGTATCATTGATGAGTAACCTCCAAACGCTGTCCAAATGCGGCGTCAGTCGAGGGCTCCTTTGTCGGTCGGTATGAGTCCAGCTTACCCAGTGTGTATGCAAGAGAGGAAAAGAGAAGAAGTAGAAGTTGGATGCTCAAGCAGTGTCGACTTGACAGATCTTGTCCAATTCCTTCTTGACAACCTTGACGGCCTGAGTGATAGCTTGGTCGGGAATTGCCAATGAAGGGTGATTCGAGTCTTTTGCAGCACTCGGATCTGCCAAGGCTTCTTCGAGAATGCGATCCATCAAGTCGTCGTACTTTGTGCATTCACCAGAGCGCATGAGCTGGGTGACGTGGTTCTTGAGATTGGTTGCCCATCCTGAAGCCTGTAGTTCGTGGAGGATGGCAGTCTGAATTGTGGCTATGGAACCGTGGTCGACGAGGGCAGTTGTGAGTTGTGTTTGAGTTGCCGGTTGGGTGGAGAAGCTGGTCGACTCGTTGACGGCGAGTTTTTGTGCCATGTTGATGTTTTTATTCCGTGACAGCAAGTTGAGTTTGATATGTTGATGGGGAAGTTCTTGGACGTGTGGAGTGTTAGGGCAAGAGGTCGGGGTTCTCGAAGCTTGGCGTGTGTGCTCCTGACGACGACAGGCACAAGAGGGGGAAGACAGCACCAGTCTGCTGTCTCTACACTTTCACAGTCGCTCTCGCCTGGTATACCTCGCTACCTCAGTCAAGCCCCTCAGGCAGGCCTTACTCAGCCGCCACGTTTTATCGCAAACGGTTCTGCTCCGGTTAGCGCCGCCTCCACGCCAGGGTGCGCGCAGTGGAATGTCAATGGCCGCCTACAAGACGACGCAATACCACCATGATTCAGACCCCGAAGACGACTATCTACACCCCACATATCACTCGCCAACCCTGCCGCGCTCCCAACTGCACGACGACGATCTTGACGACGACGACATGACGACCAGTGCTGAGCAAACGCCCACCACCTTCAGTCACTCGCTATCGCATTCTCTCAACTCGAGCCCGACAGGCCTCATCACACAATGGACCGCTGAGCAGGTTGCCGATTGGGTCGCCGCTCTGGGTCTGACCCAGTATGCCGACGCCTTTGTCGACGAGGCCATCACCGGTCTGGCCCTGGTCGAGATGCAGCACCACGACTTCAAGGAGATGGGCATCATGAGTGTCGGCCACCGTTTGTCTCTGCTCAGAGGTGTATACGACATCAAGATCAAGCAGAACATTCCTCTGGACCCGGATCATTATGTACCATTGTGTCAGTCGCAGCTCATCCTGAACCTCCTTGACATGACTAACAACAATGCGCAGNCTGCTGGAGACAATGCTCTGGATATGACAGCTACACAGGACGATATTGCTCGCATCATTGAGTCGATCCGTTTGCGCGACTCACGCATTCTATCAGCCGAGATTGAGCTCCGAACCCTGCGTGATCAATTCGAGCGCATATCAGAAGAGAACAGAAAGCTGCGCGAAGATACTCTGCCCGTCATTCGCATGGTCAAAGACCGTTCCCAGCTACCACCCACTCCGGCAGACGGACTCGGTACACCTCCAGCAGACATCAAGACCGAAAAGATGGCCAGTGGCTTGTCACGCAAGTTCTCCACCAAGAAGCTTTTCCTTGGAGGTGCTCCCAAGAATCCCTCGCCTACCATCCACGAATCTTCCACTCTCGATCCCTCCGCTGCTGCAATGGCTGCCACATCTCACTTGAACCCCTCACATCCTCAAAACTCGCCCAACCAACTCTCACAGCCATCTCCTACATCTCCTGCATATACTTCCTCGGCCCAAGCCATGTCCGCCGGCAACCGTTCCTTCCCACGTGACGTTCCGCCATCAGCTCGTCCTTCATATATCGAGGACCCGCGTCAATCGCATTTGTCTCACGCACCATCTACAATAGCACCTTCAAGCCGCCGAACAGCAGCAACACCGATACCCCCACAGGAGGAACCTCCAAACAGCGCCCCACTTCCAAGATCTGCTCGCGAGAAAGACAATCCACAAGTCGAAATCTTCAAATCATTCCGTGTGAGCATTGAAGATCCATGCCACAAGGTCCTACCTGTAGCCTTACAGCGATACAACATCAACGATGACTGGCGCCAATACTCCCTCTACATTGTCTATGGCGATCAGGAACGCTGCCTAGGCTTGGAAGAAAAACCACTCATGCTGTTCAAACAGCTCGAACGCGAAGGCGGTAAACCTATGTTCATGCTTCGCAAACATGCCGCTCCTGTTGGTGAAGGCTGGTCTGCGAACCGCACAGTCCCTGCTTCAGAGATGCAGAATCTAGGTCCTAGTAGGGAAAGCGTGAGGAGGGAGAATGCAGACAACGGCCGAGCGTTGCCTGGAGGTGTGCTCTAGGCGAGTACACCTCTTTCTAGGTTAATGCAGGACCTTGTTGGTTTCCACCATGGCGGTGCCAAAGTCGCTGGCAGAAAGTTGTGGTACTATCCTGCTCAGCAGATCTCTGAGCATGCGCTCAAGCATGGTGTGGAAATTGACTTGGATGACTTGACTGGGGTTGGGAGAAGGCAGAAGAGACAGACAAGGCTTTGTGAGAGAAGAGGGGTACTTGGGTTGAAGGTCTGGATCCCGAGTTGAACGTTGATTTGAGACTTTGTCTCTCTAGCGATTTTGAGCATGCATGGTCTTTTCTTGGATATAGAGACTCAATCGTGCAGTCGAGAGCAGTCTGAGGATCTTTTCTAAATCTTACACTTTTTGTGCTCTGAAGAAATTGTGCACCACCCGATCATTCCGACATCCAAACACGCCTTATCGTGTCTTTTCACTGCGAAACCATGTAGGTATCACTGTCGTGTCTTCCTCACTTCAATGCCCTAAACCATCAGGAGATAGGCATATATCATTATGAGCCCTGTCCCACTTTGCCTCTTTGGGACAAATAAGTGAGAAAGCTTGTTGTTCGATAAGCAACAGCATTTGCGGAAATTCACACGCGGAAGTTGACCGCACGAAACACCCATCTTGATGTGACACATTTGCGCTCGCGATAACCAGTCCTAGAGTCGGCCAGATCAAAGTCATAAGATCTGACAAACAAGCGACAAGGAGTCCGCGGGCGCCCGTCTACCGCGTGCAGCCCTTCTCGTTGCCGCGTGATGGCCCCGCTTCATTTGGCGGTCGCGCCCCGGATTGGTAGCTCTATGCGAACACATCTTATCGACCTTCCGGCTGTACCTGTCTAATCAGGTATAGCGTGGTTTTCTACTGAACCGCTGCTCAATAGCTACGATGAATATAAGTAGATGTGTCCCTCGTTGGCAAGATCCTGCTCCTCTGTTTCATACCTTCACTGTTCTCTACTCTTGCCAGCCATGGCTCCCTCTCATCCTTTATCTATCCTTTCCATCGAGGAGACCAATCTCGCTAGAGAGATTGTGCTTGCTCACCATGACAAGGAGGTCATTGATTTCCGAGAGATCTTTCTTCAGGAACCTACCAAGGCGGAGTTGGTCAAGTATTTGCAACTTGAGCATTCTGGTCGCTTGTCTCCTACTTCTCCTCGTCCGGCTCGTCTTGCCAAGTGCCAGTACGATGTCATTGGCCAGGACAGAATTCCTTCTTACCATGAGTCTGTGGTGGATATTGGATCAAGGCAGAGAATCAAGCATGAGGTTATTGGCAAGGAACATCAAGCCGCATTGACTCTGTAAGTGGTACATGCTTTGGAGTTTGCAGGACAGTTCTAACTTTCTTCACAGCNNAAAGAATTCGAGGTTCTGGTTAGCGTCTGCAAGGCTGACCCAAAGTTCAAGCAAGCCATTGCCGAATTGAATATCCCTGACTACTATGAGATTGTCGTCGAGCCCTGGCCCTACGGCGGTCTCGACGAGGAAGACGAGAGTCGTCGCTACTTCCAAGGACTCATCTTTGCCCAAGACACACGCAACGGCAATGCCGACTCCAACTTTTACGCTTTCCCTCTACCCCTAATCCCCGTCCTGGACATTCACAAAAAGCAAATCTGCCGTATAGACAAACTGGCCACTGGCGGGGAAAACGACAGCTTTACCGCAAAAACCCATGCCGAAAAGATTCTGGAGCATTGCACTACTGCTGAATATGTGCCGGAGCTCTTACCCCAAGGATTGCGTCAGGATCTCAAGACTTTGAATGTTTTGCAGCCTGATGGGCCTTCGTTCAAGGTTACTGACGAGTCTTTGGTTGAGTGGCAGAAATGGCGTTTCCGCGTTTCGTTTAATCCTCGCGAAGGCGCTGTTATTCATGATGTGCATTATGATGGCAGAAGTGTCGCTTATCGTCTTTCCGTCAGCGAAATGACTGTTCCCTACGCTGATGCCCGGCCACCCTTTCAACGCAAACAAGCCTTTGACTTTGGCGACGGCGGAGCTGGAAACTGCGCTAATAATCTTTCGCTGGGCTGTGATTGTCTCGGTGTCATCAAATACTTTGACGCCGTGATTGTCGACGACGACGGCAAGGGAAAAGTTCACCCTAATGTTATTTGTCTGCACGAGCAAGACGAAGGCATTGGTTGGAAACACACCAATTGGCGTACTGGCCGTGCAGTGGTTACGCGCAGCAGAGTGCTGGTCGTCCAATTCATCATCACCCTCGCCAACTACGAATATGTCTTTGCCTATAAGTTTGACCAGTCCGGAGGCATAGACATAGAGACGAGAGCTACAGGAATCGTCTCTTGCGTCAACATCGACGCCGGAAAGACCAGCAACTATGGTAATGTGGTTAACCCTGGCGTCCTGGCGCAGAACCATCAGCATATCTTTGCTTTCCGCATTGATCCCGCCATCGATGGCCACAGCAACACAGTCATCACTGAAGAATCGCATGCGGTGCCAATGAACGCCAAAACAAATCCTCGCGGCAACTACTACGAAGTCCGCAAAACACCCATCGAAAAGGCATGCTGGGCAGATGCCGAACCACGTCTCAACCGCGTCTTCAAAATCGTAAACGAGAACATCAAAAACCCCATCAGTGGAAACTCGGTAGGCTACAAGCTTGTGCCTCCAGCTACACAGCTTTTACTCGCCGACCCGGCTTCCGTGCAAGCCCAACGCGCGCAATTTGCTCAACACCACGTCTGGGTAACCGCATACAAAGACGACGAGCTCTTCGCCGGCGGCCGCTTCACCATGCAAAGCCGCAAAGAAGTCGATGGAGTAGCAGATGCAGTGGCCCGTGGCGATGCAACCAGGGACACTGATGTCGTGATCTGGAGTGTGTTTGGGCTTACCCACAACCCTCGCGTTGAAGATTGGCCGGTTATGCCCTGCGAAATCCATCAGGTGCATTTGCGACCTACGGATTTCTTTACCAGTAATCCTAGTATTGATGTGCCGCCGAGCAGCAACAAGGCTTCGGTGGAGGTGCCAAAGAGCTGTTGTCAACCTGCGCAGGGAAACTGTGAGGAGAGCAGAGGAAAAGAGAGAGAGAGTGTGTGTGTGAGGTGTAAGTCCCTCAAGATGAACTGTAATGAGTTTTTGACACGAGGGATGCAAGTCTCCCTGGACACACGTCAAAGCCAAAGAATAACGACTTTAGAATATGGGATACAAGTCTCCCTTCGCAACGACTTTAGATACCTTTTTATTTGTTTTTGGCACATATCTACGTATGCAAACTGTTTCGGAAAAGTCTTTTGTGCAACAAATGGTTGTGATTGTCATGGACTATATATACGCCAGGGCTATTCGTAGATGCCTTCTTCAAACTTGTCGGCGTTGAAGAAAGTACTCTGGACTATGCGGCCATTGCCCAAGAAATCCGTGCCGTCGCTTGCTTTGATGGCCNNTGTGGTCTTGTCAGCAAAAGTATCGCTCATGAGAGTCGCACGACTTACGTTGAAAGCACTCAGAGCGCTTGTAAACTTGACGAATACTCTCCCAGTAGCGCGATCGATAAAGACGCGCTCCGAACGACCGTAATCTTCCAACTTCTCGCCAATCCTCTGCATCAAGTTGTCCTCTTCAATAGCCCGATCGACATCCATGTCTTTGAGCATGCCCTCGAACCTAGCAACAAGACTGAAAGCTTTGCTTTCATCGATAGGTGCATCGGTTTTGGTCTTTTTACCTCCGACAATGCGACCCATAGCAGCGGGTTGTGCCCAACCACCACCTTCTGCATCGGCCTTGCGTTTCCGTTTCGTGGCCTCGTGACGGAGGATCGTCGTGATACCGGTGGCTTCCTTTCCGAGACCTTCGCCCTTCTTCCAACCCATCTTCTCCATGTAGCGTTGAGCAAAGCCTTTTTGTCCGGGTGCGGATTTTCGTACTTCGGGTTCGGGTTCTTGTGATGTGTCCATGTTGGTTGATTCATACACATGTTTCGTATCGTCTTGTGTCTGAGCAACTTGTTCATAGCGCACAGGCTCGCGTGAGATGGTTCCTGATGGTTGTGATGGAGCAGTTTGAGCTGTGACAGGCGAGGGCGCGGATTGGAATGGCTGAGCAGGCGGTGGAGGTGGTACAAAGTGAGGCGCCGGAGGAAGGTAGTTTTGTAGGCCAGGCAGAGTAGGAGTGGCTGAGAATTGCGGAGGCGGAGGCGGAGGTGGGGATGGGTATTGTTCGAAGAGTGGAGGTTGAGGAGGATAGGCTGCAGGCACAGGGAGCAAACGAAGGCGGTGGAGGNNAGGAGCGAAGGCGGGTTGAGAAGTGGCAGGAGGATCGACAGGCTCAGTGAGTTCTTGCGGAGGCGGCATGTTCTTGTACGAGACATCTGTTGCAAGTCTAGGCTCATCTCTTGCTGGCGGAGGGGTTCCAGGACGCTTGAAGGAGTGGAGCGTCTCCTTCCACTGGTAGCGGGCATTGAACTTGGAGTCCGAGTGCTTCCAAGCATCTAGGCGTAACTTGGTGCGAGTCTTGGTAAAGGCATCTTGGACGTTGTATGGCGCAGACCAATCGATGTCCTCGATCTGCAACGAAGCCTTTTTGGATCTTTTTNNGCTCTTGCGCTCCTCCTTCAGACGAGCCTTTTGTTCCTCCTGAAACTTGTGGTATTCGTTTACGACATCAAAGTCTTGCTGCTGCGATTCGTTCCATTTCTGGACAATGGGACCTGTTGCGACAGGGGCAGCAGGCAGTGCAGGAGGTTTCGTGACAAGAGTGGGGTTCGAGTTTGGCCTGGGNTTTTGCTTCTGGACAGGCTGGGGACGTTTGATGGCTGGTTGGAAACGAAGAGAGGCTGCGTCGAGTTGAGGATCAGCTCGCCTTTATAGTATTGAACTGCTTCAGGTACCATCGGGTGTTTTCTTTTCCACAGCGGCCGGAGGCTCGTCTTCTTTCTTGAACGAGTACTTGACAGGCGCGCCAGAGATGGTGGCAGCAGGTGCAGCGGCTGCTGGATCCAGCAAGTTTGCGTATAGTGATGGCGGCATTTTGGTGGTGGCCGATGGTGTAAATAGTGAGACTCGGCCGTCTTCGATGTCGCTGGCCGAAGCAGCAACCACCGCGACCTTCAACTTGACGTGCCAAGACCGGCATCTCTAAACTGCGGGAGCGGGGAAAGCTCGGATCTGTCGATGTCACCATCATCTCGACCATCCGATTACCCGCCGCAACTGCCATCTCCGTACATTGTCACTTTCTTATCGCTCCTTCCTTTTTCTGTTTCCACTGTCTATATACTCCTTGTCTTGCTCCAGCCCTTTCGGTAGACACAATCCATTGCAATTATTACCATAATGACGACCCTTACAAACGCTTTCTCGCATTCGTCTCATGACACGGCCATCATCGTGCCTGGAAAGCAGCCCTTGACTGTGTCGTACGAGCAACTCACAGCCGACATTCTCTCCTTCCAATTGAAGCTCGCCAAATTGGGCATCACTCCTGGCTCGGCCGTCTCCATCGCTCTCCCAAACACATACCCATTCATCGTCGCTTTCCTGGCAACCGCCTGGCAACGTGCCATTGCCGCCCCTCTCAACCCTGCATACAAGCAGTCTGAGTTCGAGTTCTACATTGATGACTTGAAGTCTGCTCTTGTATTGGTGCCCCAAGGTCTGGCTGATGGTCCCGCCGTCAAGGCTGCCACCAAGTACAATGCTGCCGTCGCCGAGTGCTATTGGAACGGAAAAGAGGTTGTTCTGGATGTCAAGAATGAGGGAAAGCTGAAGGGCAAGGGAAACAAGTCCATCGAGTATGCTCAACCCGACGATGTTGCCCTTGTTCTGCACACTAGTGGTACCACTGGCCGTCCCAAGGCCGTCCCACTTTCGCACAAGAACCTCACACGCACAATGTCCAACATCAAGGCAACTTACGAGTTGACCAAGGCCGATCGCACCATGCTTGTCATGCCACTTTTCCACGTCCACGGTCTCCTTGCCGGGTTCCTGGCTCCTTTACTGTCTGGCGGTTCCGTCGTTGTTCCAGCCAAGTTCTCGGCTTCAGACTTTTGGCGCGACTTCCAGACACATGAGGCGAACTGGTACACTGCTGTGCCTACCATCCACCAGATCTTGCTCAAGAGCCCCACTCCCTCTCCTCTACCAAATATTCGCTTCATTCGTTCCTGCTCTTCACCTCTGTCTCCCAAGGTCTTCCATGAGCTCGAAAAGACTTTCAAAGCTCCAGTCCTCGAAGCCTACGCCATGACCGAAGCTGCTCACCAAATGACTTCCAACCCGCTACCTCACAAGGGAAAGCGTCAACCCGGCTCAGTCGGTGTTGGCCAAGGTGTCGAAGTCAAGATTCTGGATCAGTCAGGCAAGGAGGTTCCCCAAGGCTCCGAAGCCGAGATTTGCATTCGTGGCGAGAACGTTACTACCGGCTACCTCAACAATCCTGAGGCAAACAAGACCTCTTTCACGGCTGAGGGCTTCTTCCGCACTGGTGACCAGGGCAAGCAAGACGCCGACGGCTACGTGATCATCACAGGCAGAATCAAGGAGCTCATCAACAAGGGAGGTGAAAAGATCAGTCCAATCGAACTCGACAACGTCATGGCACAACACCCCGCCGTCTCTGAAGCCGTCAGTTTCGCTATCGCAGACGACATGTACGGTCAAGACGTCGGTGTTGCCATTGTCCTCAAGGACAACCAGAAACTCGAGCCTGCAGACCTCAAGTCATGGATGGCTGAACGCGTTGCCAAGTTCAAGTTGCCCAAGAAGATCTTCTTTACCGATGTCATGCCCAAGACTGCCACGGGCAAGATCCAGAGACGTATGGTCGCTGAAGCTATGCTCAAGCAAGAGTCTCCCAAGGCCAAATTGTAGAACCTCACCCAGGCCGAGAATTTTCTGTATATATCATGTATATTTTGGTCACGAATCTAATGGACAGATATACCTCACATCTTGCTTTTCTCGAAAAGAACTATGTTGTGTGTAGTGTGAGCAACGTCTAGGTGCCCTGATTTCCGGACGCAATGAAGAGTTGGCATCAGATCTGTTCGCGTGACACTGCGAACATCTCCTTCATCTTCAATCTTGTTGACAGTGCATGACTTCGAATGGCTAGAAGATTGCACGACTACCTCTTGGCCATGACATGACTACCTACAGTAACGCACGTTCGTTCTACTGTCCTTTAGACCAGCAAACACGAACGTGCTAGAGGCAATATTGCTGGCAACAATGTGATCACTAGCATGGTTGTCTGTGACCGAGGGTCAGTTGAGCGGCTGTGGATAGACGAGACGTAAGAGCGGTTTGAGACACCACCGCAATTCGTAAGAAGCCCGCGATAAGAGCGTCCTTCGTCAGTGATATTGAGACCGAGGGTGCCTTTCCTTACACTGGAGCCTGGACTGGTCCTAACCGCCTCGACGTGGCCAAGATAGCGTTTGCAATATATCCTAAAGCAAGGTGTTGCGGATCTTTTCCCCGTGAACAATGTTTCTAGATGGTATGGTGCTGGTCGATGTTTTGTCAGCGAGGCTGGTATCGTGGTTCTTTTTGATCTTGAGTACTCGAAGGATGGTCATGATATGCGATTTGCCATTGACCTTCTGGCCCCTTCTCTCATATTCGTAATAATAGCCTTCTTCTTCGTCCTCCTCTTCTTCAGGCTCCGAATCTGTCTCAGGCCATTTGCATTCTTGGATTGCATCGAGTGTGAAGTATGGCGGACCTTGAGTGGCGTGTATAGATCTTCGGTGCGCGCAAATACACTGCCGCTCATGTACTCTGTGGACCGAGATTTTGATACCAGCTTCTTGACCAACCAGTACCAGACCCGTGCTGAGAAGCTCTTCGTTGCGTTCTGCCCAACAGGGCCAATGCATAGAGTAGAAGATGAATCTCGGTGATTTGAGATCAGGCACACATGCACGCCAGTCCGAGAGGAAGTTAGATACCACATCCGTGATGTCTTGATCGGTGTGTATTGGATGATATGAGGCATTATAGACGGGATCTTCATGGTCCCCAGAATACCACTTTGGTCTGGGATTCCAAAAGAGGTTGTGATTAAGCCACAGACAGGCACCATCATCATTGAGCCAAAGATGTCTCAACAAGGGAGGCAGAGAAGAGGCCAGTGTAGACGACGAGTCTTTGTTGACTAAAAGCTGGAGTGGTACGTGAAGTGTAGTCAAAGAACCAAACGTCGAGAAGTTGAGCGTTTGCAGATATTGGTTGAACCAGTCATAAGGTGGAATTATGTGAAGATGGAAAGACTGCAGCGCGTGTCGAACGAGCTCAAGAGAACGCATAAGTACTCGAGTTTTCAGCAATCTTTCGCTCAACCGATCAGGATTATATTTTGCAGCTCCATTGACGTATGGATCACGGCTCGGGGGTGTCGTCCAATAGTCATATCTTAGGTTGCGCAAACGAGGACACGCTCTAAGCAAGTGAGCAAGATCGTATTCGTCCAGATATGTATATGTCAGTTCTGATGTCTCAAGATCAGTCGTGAGCTGTTGAGGAAGGACATCCGACCAGAAGTAAGGTGTGAGAGGTCGAGGTAAATTGAGAGCAAGAGATCGAATGTGTGGAAGTCGTAACAANAGCAGTTGGAAGAACGTATCAGCTCGTGCGTATGGAGCTCTACCGCTGCCCATCCGCACTGACTCTTCAAAAACGCCAACCGATGCCTTTTGAAGATGGGGAAGGACTTGTTGCAGCAGAGGACCACCGAGAATCGCCAAAGCATCTTGGAAACAAGGACCAAGGTCAAGTGATCTTAGTCCGGGCAGACGTGTCAAGACAAGCGCAGCAAAAGCGCTGGGGCAGCCATGGTCGAGCCGGCGAAGCCATCCAGCATCAGACATCTGCGCGCCACATTGGAGAACCGTTCTATGTAGTGGAGATCGTCGTGTGATAGAGCGGTTTGATTTGGATCTGTCCAGACAGACCGAGAAACAGGACCAGCGAGGCGAAAGCGATGGACCAACCGAGCAAGAGCGGGCGAGGAGATAATTGTCCTTGCTAGTAGATACAATGATGGCCATGATTGGTTTGGGCAAGCGATCTCGTCGAGACAGCCTCTCATAGTGCATCGGTGTCTCTGTGTCTGGCGCCCTGCTTCTAGGTGTTGTTCAATCGTACAATGTCCGATTTGTTCACAAGGACAAGAATCTTGTTGCATATTATCCCAGCTTTGCGAGCAAAGCATCAAAGGGCGTCGCCACGTCAAGTCGATGTTCTCGTACAAGATCGAGGTGGCATGTTTACACCACGTCTTGGACACCAGAGCGCAGCGTGCGAGTTGGGCATGTGTGACGCGTAATGAAATCTGGTGAAATAGCTCTGGAGGCAGGGTCGAAGATGCGGCCATGTCTGATCGATGGGGATGTGAGCAGAAGGAAAAACGCATTGGAATCATTCGAGACGTGGATTTCAGCGCTGGCCAATCTGCCGACGAGTCAGGGTAGGCATAGTGTTGTGGCAGGCACAAAACCTGGATATAAAGTCAAGACTAGTGGTTGATGCCACACTTATGTCTGGAGGGCAATGGAAACAGCTGCAAGTTTTCTAGCATACGGATGGTTATCGTATCGCCTGTCGCTGCCAGTCTCGTGTCCCTAGAGAGACTTTTATCTAATGAGTAGAGGTTGGGAAGCAGGAAGGTGCGGTGCCAGGGTCGTACTCAAGGCTCTAAGTCTTGGCGGTCGCTCCGGCATTCTCCCGCCGACCTCACCTTCCTCAGTCCTGTCAAGGCACTGATTTATGTCGCTGTCTGCAGGCAAACCGGTCTTGAAAGATGACGAATCGTCATGATGCCTCGATGTGGTACCGCGTCAACGTCAGATCTCGGTCTCGTGTGCCGGCCTTTTCCGAGAAGGAAACTCACCGTTTCGGTGGATTCTAGCTTGCATGTCTCTGGTTTAATATCCGTCTGATGACACACCGCCAAAAGCGTAATGCAGGAGAGAGGATCAGAAAAGTCTTCATGGGACGAGACCGACAAGAATCATAGGGAAACGACGAAGAGCAGGACTCAGACAAACATAAAGTTTGTATGTTAGGTCGGGGATGCGGCATGGCAACGAAGCTCAGGTGGTCATCATATGATTGCGATATTCAGATTGACGGGTAAGAGACTCGCTAATGACGATGTACAAGTTGATGTTCGACCACAACTTGGAGCCTTTCTCCGCTAAGCTGCGGTCATGTCGGAAGGCCATACAGAACACAGACATGTTGTCCGAGGCAACGGTGACCACTTACTAGTAGACGTTCTGACAACGTGCTGAGAATGCTGATGCTAGCCAGCATCGATATGTTGGACCATGCCTATCCAGATCCATCACCACGGGATCAGGGGAAATAGGAGGCTTCGACCGTAGAGTCACCATCAGCTAGGATACATCTATGCTGGAGCTAACCAAGTCAAGCATGTTTCGGAGTCGACTCTAGGATCAGCATAAGAAACCTTGTATGATCTTCGCACATTAATTTGTGTCAGGTCAAACGCGTGGTGCGTTAGTGTGCAACATGAAACCTTCGCCCCACATTTAACCTCGACCACGACCAACAAATATTCGGATCAACAACTCATGCATACAAAAGGCAGTCTTCTCTGCTGTGAGGACAATTCAAACACATACAACATTCTTTTCTCACAATAACACACTCGCTCACTCTGCAAACCAAGTTCTGTTCGCCTTCTGAAGAAAGCATCTATTCATTCGTCCATCACAAGAAACCAAAATGCGTTACTCTACCGCTGCTATTGCCCTTACGCTTGCTGGCTGCTCAGAAGCTGCCGTGCAAGCCTCTCGTCCAGATGCTACCGCAGCTGATGCCCAGCCTCCTGTTGTCTATGTCACCAGCGTTGTCGAGCAGACCACTACTTGGTGTCCCGCCGGAGCCACAATCACTCACGCAAGCGGTACCACCGTTCTCACTGCTGCGACCATGATGACTCTTCCCGTCTCCAAGTCTGCTTCTGTTTCGACTCCGGCTCCTTCTATCTCGACTCCCGAGGCCGCCCCTGCTTCTTCAACCACCCAGGCTGCTTCCATCTCGACCGTTCCCACTGCCGGCGCCTACGAGTCTGCTTCCGTCTCGTCTGCCGTGGCTGTCTCGCCTTCCTCCATGGCCACTGTCATCTCAGTCTCCTCTATCTCCGCCTCAAGCCCCGTCTCTCCCGTGGAGACTTCCAGCATCCCTCCTGTCGCAGTTGCATCCAGCGCTGTCCCCGTCGCCTCTGTTGGCACCGCCGTCCCCATCGTCCCTGGGGCAGCCTACGCATCTTCCGCCCCTTACCCCGTCTCCATGGCCACTGGTGCCGTCGGCTACGCTCAACCCTCTGGTGTTGCTGGAACCGCTCAATCTTCTGGCCACGCTAGCTCGACCGGCTCGGCTGCTAAGCCTTCCTCTTCTGCTTACACTGGAGCCGCTTCCCGCAACTTTGCTGGTGTGACTGGTATCTTTGCTGTTGCCGCTGCCTTCCTTACTCTCGCATAGACGATTCGAGTATGATTTGTCTTTTTGCAGCTTTGGCCGTCTTCCTGGGGAAGCGTGTTTTTCCGTTTTATGCCAAATGATACCATTCGAGGATTGCGAAAGTGGCCTTTTTTCTTCTTGTCCTGCTTGGGCATGTTCCTTTTCTTTCTTTTTCGTTGTTCCTTTACATCCGTCTGTCGGTTCTCAGCCAGTTTTGCACAGCAGTTATAGAAAGATTTTACAGCGACAATGTTTGTCATCATACCATGTCTAGGGTCTTGTTTGAGTGAAAACCCATCTGCTTTGAGGTTGCTATGGTGGTCTTTCGTGGTCTCATTATCGCGCCTTGTTCTCTTGTCTTACTGAGCGCATCTCGACTTCTCCTTTCTCCAACATGAACAGCTTCAAAAGGTGTTCCTCAGCCCGAAGATGTGAGCAGTGTGCTCGACCTATTCGTGGAAGCCTCGTGGCCAGAATATAGTCGATCTCTCTTTTTGGGTACTCGACAGAGTGCGTGATGATCATCATTCGCCTTTGCACCATGTCTCTGGGGTCCAAACGACGATCGGTGTCCGCTGGAGTGTTCGATTATCCAATTCCGTATGGACAAAGGGATATGGCAAAGACCTCTTCGCTGCACCACAAACGACCAGGGATATCTCGAGAACCGACGCCGTGTAACCCTCAGGTGGTGAGCGGTGTCTACAGAGCATCCATACTGGTCCTCGTGCTCAGCGTCTCATTCTTATTGCCCAGCTTACTGATCTGCAAAAAAGCATCCACACCATATCCCTCCAAATTATGAACTTCAAGGCTGCCAGCCCAATACTCTGCAAAAATACGACTCATAGGCAACCCAATACCCAAACGCAAATCTGGATGTCTTTCACTCAGCGATCCCAGACTATGATCAAAGCGAGTTTGCTTGTTGTCGTGTTTGGCAGAGGAGTATGGAGAAGGTACTTTGAGGTCTTGGAGTGTAGCTGCTAGTGCAGGGACTTTTTCGAGGTTTCGAAGGCGGCGGTTGCGTTCGGGGCCTTTGCTGAAGGACCAGAGGGTGGGCAAGTTTTCGCGTGAGATGCCGCCGCCTTGGTCCGAGACGCGGATGATTACGTGTTGAGCAGCTTCGCATATCAAGACTTCGATGGGTGGAGGTTTGGCGCCATGTCTTTCTACTGTGGCTTGAAAGGAGTTGCGCAACAATTCGCCAATAATGTATTCGAGGTGACTGGGAATGTACGGGAAGAAAATGTCTTCGGCGCCTTCGATGACGACTTCGGGGAGCGCTACATCAGAGCCATATGCCTGTTTTGCAAGATTTGCTATTGTGTTGGCGCATTCTTGGACGATTTCTTTTGCGTTGCACCGGAGAAAGATTTCGCCCACAAAATCGTCACCGTGTTCTGGGTGCAGTTTTGCGGCGGGAGGAAGGTGATCTGANGAGTGGAACGCTTTTGTCAAAGCACAGTGTTGTTCTGCGATGACTCGTCGGCTGATTCTCGACCTCAGTAAGGAGTTTACGAGTTTGTCGCATTGTTCGCTGGGGATTGCTTCGGAGATCTCGAGGACGCCCATGGCAAGTCGGGGGATGACGCTCAGATGGTCTCTGAGTTGTTCTCGGACGACATCGCAGAATCTGTCATTGTCGTCTAATGTTTTGATCTCAGGGACCTTCCGTAGCTTTTCGAAGGCAGCGTAGTACAGTTCGTAGACATGAGAGATATGCGGGTTGACAAGAGCGGCATACGGTAATGTTTGCATGTCGCGAAGTCGATGTGCAATCCTNTTTCGAGGATTAGTCATGCGTAGCGTTGTTGAATTATAGCAGGAATACCTAGTGGGTAGTTCCAGTCGAACATAGTTGGCTGATCCAAGTAATCGAGTGTCGGTAAGAAGTCGTCCAAAGAACGTGAGCTGACGTAGACTGATAGGTCTCGCTTCTCGTTCTACCCATNNCTATAAAAGCTGGTCAGCATGAAGACAATCAAAGATCAGGGTTTCTTACTTGTCCAAGACAGAAGCAGGACGCCACGGAGGTGGAACTATGGAGATGCTTCTTCGTTTGGCCATCCATGTTGTGCGAGTCAAGGGACGTATGGACGATACAGCTCTGCACAGTAGAGGCTGAGCGGCCCTCATTCTGAAAGTGTGGTCAAACATGTCGTCGGAAGTGACTGGCTACGAATCTATATATACAAGAGGTACACTCTCATGGAGATGTGACGGGAAACAGATGCTAGTGGTCAGTCACAAGTCACGATGTAAATTCCGCGACATCAGGTGAGTTGTGTGATTGGAGTGCGATGCAAGTGCTGTCGAGTCGGGCCTCCTCCAGCGACGTTTTGGGCTTGGTCGAGGCTTCGACAGCGACCCCAGGAAAACTGGACCCTGACTGACGTCTGCGAGTGGAGCTTGCGCCAAAGGCCTCCCAAAATTTTGTCTTCTCTCTTTGTTTTCTTTGCTCTCAATTGCACCTTTGTCACCTACATCCAATAACATCAACATGGCCGACGAGCAAGTACCAGTCCACTACGAGGATCTCGCTCTCCTCGAGACCCAGTTCGACGAGGTCGACCGCGAGATTTGTATGTCATCCTCTCCCATACCCTGGTGGAACGAAGAACTGACAAAGCATCCAGTGGCCAAGCAGTACGTCCTCAGCGCTCCTCTCTACGCCAAGCGTCAAGAGATTGTGTCCAAGATTGACAACTTCTGGCCCCTCGTCTTTGAGCAATCTCCTCCCGACGTCGACCGCTACATTACCCCCAACGATGCCAACATCTTCACCAAGCTGAAGAGCCTCGATGTCAAGCGCTTCGAGATCCCCATGGGTCCCGAGAAGATTGACGGCGAGGCTGGTGACCCGCGCAGTATCGCCATCCGCTTTGAGTTCGAGGACAACGAATACTTTTCCAACACTGTTCTCGAAAAGAAGTTCTGGTACAGAAGATCGAATGACGGCTGGTCTGGTCTTGTCTCCGAGCCCGTCAAGATTGATTGGAAGGAAAAGGACCCCACCGAAGGTCTCCTCGATGCAGCTCACGCTGTCTTTGAAGAACGCAAGAAGGCTGGCGACATGAAGAAGAAGGGCTTTGCTGCTCACAAGAAGCTTCTCAAGCTGATCGAGTCAAACAATGTTGATAACACCTCGTTTTTCGCTTGGTTCGGCTACGTCTCTGCCACTCGCTACGTTTCTGCCGAAGAGTCGGCTCAGGCCAACAAGGAATACAAGGAGCGCCAGGACAAGAGATCCAAGGGCGAGAGAGTCGAGAGCCCTGAGCCTGAGGAGGAAGATATGGCCGACATGTCTGGCGAGGATGAAGTCCATCCAGAGGGCGACGAGCTCGCTCAGGTCATTGCCGAAGACGTTTGGCCCAACGCCATCAAGTACTTTAGTAAGTGTCAGCCCAACCCTGCAAATTTACATCATCTAACCTCTGTTTAGCTCAAGCACAAGAGATGGAAGNACATGGAAGACATGTCCGAGATGGACTTTGAGGACATGTCTGACGAAGACGACGACAATGCACCAATTGACTTGAGAGCACTGGTCGGCAAGGGCAAGCCCAAGACCAAGCCCAGCAACGACGCCGATGAGCCTCCCAAGAAGAAGCAAAAGAAATAAGTGCAAGAAAAGATACAAGAGCGTGGATTTACTCGAAAGAGCGATCCCTCCGAGTGATTTTATGGATGATGATTTTTCGATAGTTTTCTGGAAGGCCAATGATATACCCGAGATATTGGAACCAGAACTCAAGAAAGGCTCATGTTTTGCAGATACAAGTAATGTTCCTCAGTCCTCCACCAGTGGTTGCCAGTTCTCAACCGTCAACATCCATCTTATCTTCCTCCTTGTCCTTCAATTCCCTGTTCTTCTTCCTGCGCATCATGCTCAACACCACATCCTCAGCCTCCACAACAGTAGGCAAAGCGTTCAACTCTCCATCCAAATACCCATAGGACAGATACGACAAAAACATCCTCTGCAACCCCATCCTCCTTCTCACCGCCTCCCGAATCACCAACTGATCAGGACGGAACAAACGCACCTCCCCCAATCCCCAACACTCATATCCCCAGCGCCCTACCAATGCGGCAGGAACACCACAAATAGGCATCTTGGCTTTTGCCTCATACTGCTCATATTGCAGCTTTGTCATTGGACGAGCAGGTGCAGGACGAATATACCTATGGCGGATCCACAGACGCAATGTATCGAGTTTGGAAGTGCCGTCTGCGCCGCGCAAGTAGTTCCAGAGGGTACTGAGACTGCGTTCTGCAAGCAATAATTCGCGCATTGAGCACTCGCCCCCGTACCAATGTATTGGGTCTGTGTACAGCATATCCAGTTTAATGAAGAAGAGTTGGAGGACTGCAAGCACTTCTTTGGGGAAAAAGACGGTATTGTGGATGAGAGAGATGCGTGGGCCATTGACGGGGATGTCGAGGAGAAACCACATTCGCTGCGTAGATGTCAGTTTGATGTGAAGGAAAAGAGGGAAGGAAGAGGGAAATATACTTCTNAGTGCTTCCACGCCTTCGGTGCGTGGGATACGGTGGCCGTGTACACACATCCAACCCACGATTTCTCGGCACACGGATTCGCGATATGCCACCATTTTCAACCAGCGAAATCCCGGCACCGGGGCCGCAGAATGTTGTCTCTGATCCGCGAGTTCAGTCATCCGTTGTTTCCTCTCAGCCGGACTTTCAGGTTTAACACTTTGTTGCGAACTGTCTGATCCACTCGAGGTTTGAGAACCAAAAGAACCAGATGTGTTGGACAGGTCCTCAGGCTCCATCTTGGGCACCAAATCATCCCAACTCACACTTCTGCGATCGTGTCTGGGGCGACGTAGAGCAGGGTCTTCAATGCAGAGTTGACGGTAGCACCACCAAGGAAAGCATTTATCGGCATTGGGGGCCCAGAAAGTGGTGGCTGCCTTGATGAACGCAGTAAAGTGACTGTCCATGACATAATGAAACGGAGCAGAAACACTGTAGAGGTTCAGTAGTGTCTGAGGAGGTAAGTAGCTAGTGATTTGTAGTAGGATATCCACGTGCGAGGCCAGTGCTGTGAGCAGGTTGAATTCTCTGGGTGAAGGNGGTGGAGAGGGTGTATTCAGAACCACGCGTTTGCGGCGTCGGGTCGGGAGAGGTGATACCAGGGAGGCAGCTTCGGCGAGTATGTCGAGTGAGTTTGTGAGTCTCTTGTTGGGAGTGGGCTGTTTGCCGTTTGTTGTGTCTTGCTGGGGTTGGTCGTCGAGGACGAAGCGTCTCTTGTTGGAGAGAGATGGAGCATGACCGTTGTCCTGTGTGGGAAGGTCAGGCGAGTCGCTTGGACGGCGCTTTCGAAGGGCGCTGCTGGGTTCTGCCATGTTGGATGATGAGGGTGGTAGAGTGTTGTGCTGCGGTGGCAGTGTTCGAGATTGAGGATGTGTGATGGAATTTCCAAGTGCAACGTCAAAAAGTTGGAAGCGCGATGAGAGATGGCGCCAGAAAACGCGAGACGACAATAGCAAGTAGTAGGCTGTTGTCTTGATTGTGATATGAAGTTATTGTTGCAGTGAGGCAGCCGTGACGACAGTGCCAAAAAAATACCGAGTGAGCAATCGATGCTTCGCTTCACGGGTGAGTGAAAGTAAGCCACCACCAAACTTAACGAGATGCATGAATGGAAAGATGGTCTCCAAAGTATTTTGTAACGTACAATAGTGTTTTTGCGATGCAGAAAAGAAGGTGATGCAAAATTCGTTAATTTACTTACTCGTTGAGTGGTATGGTATCATTTCCGTAACCTGGCTGTTGAGTGGCCATTCATCCTTCATGTGTATCTCGTGTACTCCAGAAAACGCCTTTTGCCCATCTATCTTCAAATTCGGCCGACCTTTGTGCTCGTCTACCTCCTGTTGATCAAGTTCAAGAATTCTTCTCTCGTTTTGGCGGTCGATCTCATTCTACCGAGCATACAGCTGGTAGTGGTTGAGGCAGTCGTCTTTTGGACACCACGCATAACCATGCACAGATGGCTGGATTCCATGACGACTGCAACACCCTGAGGTTGGAGCACTTCGGACAAGGCGAGGGCGACTTGTTTGGTCAGACGCTCCTGGACTTGTAGTCTGCGAGAGAACATCTCAGCAATACGAGCCAGCTTGGAGAGGCCGATAACACGACCATTGGGAATGTAGCCGATGTGCATCTATTCGAGTCAGAAAGGGGTTGGCAAGAGGTGCCGACATGTGTACTCACCTTTNCCAGTAAAGGGTACTAGGTGGTGCTCGCAGAGACTGAAAACTTCAATGTCCTTTACGATGACGAGCTCATCATGATCCTCATGGAAGACGGCGCCGTTAACAATGTCTCTCAGGTTCTCCTCGTAGCCCTTGGTAAAGTACATCATAGCTTTTGCATAACGCTCGGGTGTACCATGAAGGCCCTCTCTTTCTGGATCCTCTCCAATACATTCGAGTAGCGTACGGACTGCTCCAGAGAGCTTCTCTAGACGTGCGGCGGCTTGTTCGGGGGTAGATTCGAGTCTCTCACGTGTGCCAGTANNCCTATACGAGGGTCAGACAGGGAAAACGGCCAAGATCAGATAGAGCATACTGGGCCAGCTCAGACCGTCAAAGTCAATGGTAGGAGCGAGAGTGTAAGGACTGCTAGCTCTGCTAGTCTGTTGGGAGGCCCAGTCGTCACGCGGATCTCTGGCCTCGGCCTCTTCGAGATTGGCGAGCTTTGCAGGACGCTTGTCGCGTGGTTGTGCGCTGGCATGTGGTTGGAAGTAGTTGCCCTCGAGATCAACAGGTTCTTTCTTGGGACCCATTGAGGACTGGATGGACTTGAAGGCGTTCTCTCTTTCGCGCGCGTCCCGGTTCTCTTGAGCCTTCTCGTGATTTACAAGAGGAGACGATCCGTTGATCAAGTGCGACGGGATGTGCTTGGGCCTGATGGGCGAATTTGGGTGGTGGTCCATGGCTGCGGCTGTCTGACAAGATAGATGTCAAGCTCGTGATTGTACTGGTGGTCCACTGATAGATGATGTAGCAGGAATAGAGCGGCTAGATTAGTCACGTCCTAGAGGAAATAGTTGGAGTGTGAAGCTTGTATGTGGTAGAAGAGAAAGTCCATTACGCTCTGCCTGGATTTACAGAGCCATGATTTCTGGTCGAGAGGCGGCTGTCATTAATATCTTTCCTCATTCCTCCCTGTTGTCCCTCGTCTAGCCCCGCCGGTCTCGCCAAACTTTTTCTCTTTGAGTCACGCCTTCCCGGAGCCCTGGAGCTAGACGGAAGAACGGCTTGGCACACGAGGGGCTGCATTCCCAACGCGGCCAGTACAAGCAGAACGACCATCACCACCATACAAACATCCTGTCAACTCTACTATTCTATACGCGCGATGCTTTTCCCGAGTGCTGGTCGACTGACATCCTCGTTCTCCATGTTGCTATCGTCTCTGGTTTGAGCGTCTCGATTGCTTCTGACGACCCGCGCAACGTGTTCATCCTGCTGCAGTGCGCCTGCGCTCATCCACCTACCTAGTTAGATCATGTTGCGTTTCGATCCACAACTAATTCATGTTTCGACATCTTTGAAGGCACTTGAAATGTCTTCTCGGAGCTTGTTCTCGTGCTGAGGCACTCCGTTCGCCTAGCTGACGCGCCTATTGTCATGTTTCGACTCGGATGATATCTTCTGATAACTGACCTTCCATTTTGCTTGGTCAGGCGGTAGACCAGGTTCCACATTTGCGTTCGTATTCGCGAACGTGGGTAGAGACGCCAGCGATATTACGGTTCGTCGCTTACTGACCATACTCGACTCGATGGAATGAAGCTTTCACGCAGCTCCTGCCTCGAGCAGTAATGAGTTCGAGCACCCATTGAGCATTCGTGCAAGCAGCACCCACGAAAAACGCATTCGACGATATGGTTCTATCAAGTTTCCGATCTGAAGAAAGACAACAATTGGGTAGCCAAAGCCCGATTTTCCGCACACAACGCAATCGAGGGAGCTCCACAGCAGAGTACTGGCCGTACCAGGGAGGACATTGAGTGAACGAAGCCAAGTCAAGGTAGTGTTGCAATGCTCAGTGATAGATGGTATCCATGCAGCTTGGGAGCTGGACATGAGTGCACTACAAGTGAATGATGGAAGGCGGGTCACAATCAGGACACCCACAAGACGCCGACCCACAGAGGCATCGCAGAGAGGTCACATAGCTGGCTCACTCGAGTTGAGTCATGGCCAAGAACACCATCTACTGGTCTGATAGGAGTACTCGACAGAGCAGCATTTGGTGATGGAGCACGGCCGCTTAAGCTTCGGGTACGGCGCAAGCGGCGGGGAAACGCCTTGGATCTCGTTCGGCCATGTTGGGCAAAAGAGGGCGCGTCTCAAGCAAAGAGTTGTTCGCTGAGCAATTGACAGGTGAGGGAACTGATCACTCCATTCATTCTTAAGCACTCTTCCCCTTTCTGCACCATATTGCTCTGCGCAAATGCTATTGCTGCTGTCGCTGGCACGTCGTATTTGAGTCAAGAGGATCATCACCCTTGCTGTGTCATTCGCGCGTGGGCTTCAAGGCTGTCTCGGTGGCCGTGTTCGTCGTCGGACTTGAATTTATGTCCCTTCTCCATGGCAGGCAACGAAACAGAGCACGGGCGACGTGGACGTGATTTTCCAAGCAGAAGCAGAGAGCGTGATACAAAGCTATCGCCGTCGCCTACTGCAGCCGGTCGAGGGCGCGCCGCATATCCTTCCACATCGCATCACCATCGCCCTCGCTCAACCTCTGCACACAGGGCCCAGGATCCCGACCGCGAACGCCCTACCCATTATCATCATCGTCACCACCATCATCGCCATCACCATCACGACTCTGGACGCACTCAGCCATCGCTCCCGCCAGCTGACGAAGCTGCTGTATCGTCTCTGAGCGCAAGACGTCCAAGTATTTCGCCAGCTCCATCGAACAGCTCGAGGTACGCCAAGCGTCCACCACGAGACTACTCTCCTCGATCTGCACGCCCGTACGACCAGCGCCCGTATTCAGATCGACCTCCTCCAGCTCGAAGACCACAGTCGCCCGACCCATACCCGCAAAGACGACGTTCCCGTTCGGTCGAATCTCGCTACAGCTCGCGCCAACCCAGATATCCGTCTGACAGGGACCGCTACAACGACCGTAGCCGATACTCGCCTCCACCAAACAGAGGTTATCGTACATCGGGTCCCTCGTCTCGTGGTCGTCCTGACAATAGTTACGCTTCTCGTCACAGCAAACCTCCTGCACGCTCGCCTCCTCGTGAAGCCCGACGCTCTGACTCCCCATCTGACGACCTCATATCGCAGCTGGCGACTACTGCACGACCTGAAGAAGCAAAGTCTAGTAGACGTCGAGGTCCTTCGGTGCATTCTCGTCGCTCTTCAAGGTCGCCTCGACCCGACGCTCGTCGACCATACAGGCAAGACCCACCTCGCTACCGTGAAAGAGAGAGGGAAAGAGACAGGGATTACGCGAGAGACTACGACAGAGATTACGGACGCAGCCGGGACTACGGCCGAGGAGGTCGTCGTGACTACGGAAGAGACTACGACAGAAGAGAACGCTATCGCGACGAGCGCGATCCAGACGCCATGTACAATAGAGGCGGCCCTCCTCGGCAGCCCATGCCTCGTCCGTACGTAGACCCTCGCTACTCCCAGTCACCGCAATACCCTCCTCCCGGACCATCTCCACCGCACGGCCAATCTCCATATGGTCGTGCGTACCCTCCGCAACAGCCTTATGCTAGCTATCNNAGGGGTAAGTTTTGATGTCCTGTACAGTTTTTCTATTGCTAATCTTGTACCAGTTCTCCAACTCACGCTGCCTATTCGGCTGCTGCCTCACCTTATTACCAGCAGAATTATCCACCTCCAGCCGCAAGTCCTTATTATCAAGCACAGCAACCCCCACCACATTATGCCGCCCCGCCCCCAGCGTCAGCATACCCACCTCAAACCTCGTATCGCGGCCATCCCTCGCGGGGATACAATGGCTCACAACGACCGCCCGCTCCTATTCAAGCACCTGCTGCTCCTGCTAGTAGAGGAGGTCGTGGTGGTCATTTCTCCAATCTGTCTTGGACTCCATCAAGTGGTAGCAGAGGTGGGAAGGTGCTTTCTAAACGGGAGACTAGCATATCCGGCACCGAAACCCCTCTCGCGCCTGGTTCAAAGACCGAGTCTGTCGATGACGATGACAATCCGTTCAGGCCGCCCAAGGACTTGCGAGCCGAGGATGAAAGCGACAAGAGAAAATCAGGCATCAGCTTCTCTATCAAAGGAATGGCCGGAAGAAGTGATCCTTTAGCACCTCACAAACCAGCTCCGTTGGCTGCGCCTCGCACAAGGAAGGAAATCGTTGTTCGCAAACGACTGAAGCCCAAGCCAAAATTGACAGGAGACTTCGCTACCTCGGATTCGGTCTACTATCGCAAGACTGGCAACGAGTCAGTCGTCGGGTCTGGTACGTACGGCAAGGTGTACAAGGCTGTGCATGTCTACACTGGAGACAAAGTCGCTCTCAAAAAGATAAGAATGGAAGGCGAGCGCGATGGCTTCCCGGTGACGGCAATCCGTGAAATCAAGCTTCTGCAATCTCTCAACCATATCAATGTGGTTCAGTTGCAAGAAGTCATGGTTGAGCGCAACGACTGTTTCATGATCTTTGAGTATCTGTCTCACGATTTGACTGGTTTGTTGAATCATCCGTCATTCGTGCTGACTGAAGGACACAAANAGNATCTTGCAAAGCAACTGTTTGAAGGACTCGATTACCTCCACAAGCGTGGCGTACTTCATCGCGACATCAAGGCAGCGAACATTCTCGTGTCTCGCAATGGTGAATTGAAGTTGGCCGACTTTGGTCTTGCGCGCTTCTACAACAAGAATGCAAAACGAAAGCAGGACTATACCAACAGAGTCATCACCATCTGGTACCGCTCGCCTGAGCTGTTGTTGGGAGAGACACAGTACGGACCTGCGGTCGATATCTGGTCAGCGGCTTGTGTCTTGGTCGAGATCTTCACCAAGCACGCCATCTTTCCAGGAGATGGTGGTGAGATTAACCAGCTCGACAAGATTTACAACGTTCTCGGCACGCCTTCGAGGTCCAACTGGCCAGGGATAGTAGACCTGGCTTGGTATGAGCTTTTACGGCCAGCGCATAAGGTGCCCTCGACATTTGCCGAGAAGTACCAAGAACGCGTATCATCGGCAGCGTTTGATCTCTTGAGCGCCATGTTTGTCTTTGACCCTGACACTAGGCCTACGGCGAGCGACGTATTGGAGCATCCATATTTCATGACGGAGGAACCAAAAGCGAGCAAGGTGGTGGAGTTGAAAGATCTGGAAGGTGACTGGCACGAATTCGAGAGCAAGGCATTGCGCAAGGAGAAGGAGCGTGAAGCGAGAAGAAAGGACAAGGAAAGTGCCGAGAAGCGTAAGCTCGAGGGACCAGTAGGCGATGAAAGAGAGCTCAAGAGGGCGAAGACTGGTGATGCACAGGCATAGCAGGTATAACGTAAAACTACTCACTGAATGAGATGAAGTCTGTAACAGGCGATGACGCTGCATTATTATAATTCATAACTTGCACAAGTTCCCCAGATTCAGGGACGGCCACCTTTGTGACTCCAATACAATTGCTGGCTTCAAGCTCCGCGACACCTTGCAACAACACACAGTTTCAAGATGCACTCGTCGCTCGTGCGGATACAGAATGTATTCGGCTTCTTCACCACCGTGGCCTTCACTCTGGGCATGCTGATAGCGCTGAGTGTTGTTGTCTCGCACCAGAACCCGACGGCAGAGCTCGAGCTGCGCAACGTCCAGGTGTAAGCAACCACACCTTCTGTACTTGTAGAAGCATGATCTGACCAGCATGCAGAGNTCAAGGGCCGCCCTCACTACTACAGCACCAAGAAGGAGGAATATGCGCACATCAAGTTCGACCTCGAGACTGGTTCGTTGACCTGCAATTCGTAACCCGCAACACGACACTTTCTGACCATCCCTCAGNATCTCAGATCTCTCTTCTCGTGGAACACCAAGCAAGTCTTTGTCTACGTGACTGCAACATTCCCTTCCAAGTCACCTCTGTCACCTCCCTCGGAAGCCATCATCTGGGACGCCATCATCCCCGCTCCTTCCGAACCCTGGCACGAAAACACCTACATCCACCCCCAAAAGAACCGCAAACAACCCTCTCGCCGCCAAAACACCGCCGCTGCAAACTACAAAGCCTATCCCGAAGGCACTGCCCCCGGTATCCTGAAGCTCTCGAACCAAAAGCCCAAGTATCAGATTACCACTCCTTGGTCCAAGATTGGTGGGGCCGAGAACTGTACACTGCAGTTCAAGTATAATGTGCAGCCTTGGGTTGGTGCGCTGTACTGGAGTACGCCTAGGCCCTTTGGCATGTGGGAGGGTTTGCAGGGGGCGATGAGTGATGTGTTTTCCATGCCTTTGGTTAAAAATTCTGCGCAGGCGAGTAAGAGCAAGGAGGAGTTGAAGACGGAGACGGGTGGTGAGAGGAACAGGGGCAGTCCTGCTTAGGATGTGTGATAGCAGGCAGTAGCGGCTATGCACGTTCTTTTCCAAGGGCATTGGGAGCTATTCTAGAGCTTAATTCTTGCACGACTGTGTCAGAGCCCGCAATATGCCTTTTGTGCTAGATCATAGGGAACATCTGGTCAAATCCGACAAGTAGTCCTTCTTTCCAGTCAGCAGATAGCGCTAAAATATGCTATAGGGATGCACAGTTGTTTATTGGATGAGACGCGTAGCCACAGAAGCATCCTCGAGATCATATCTCTCCTTGGACAACACTCTGTCTTTAGCAAGTATCATGTACTCCTATAGCTAATAAAACAACAGTATTTGGTACGTAGGGACGACAATATAGGGGTATAGTAAAGATAAGAAGCTCATCTGATCTGTCTTTTTCTGCTCTCGTGTTACGCAATTGCAATTGGATCCGGGAATCCGGCAGGCGCTAGACGCTCCTCGTACCTCCCGCATTACTGCTTGGTCAAAGTTGTCTGCATAGACAAACATCGACTTTGCGCCGAGTCCCATTTCCTCCTTTCGCGCAAGACGAATGGGACTAGCAACTTTCCCGTAGCACCCATCAAGCATAAGAAGCGCTGAGCCGAAAAGACAATGACTAATACCTTGCTAGGTCACCCTTATTACCGGCTACATAGTAGACAAGTCGATAAAAGAGATGTGGTATTATATAAAGTATAAAGGTCAAATGGCTTATAAGAAACCCAAAAATTCTTCATAGTAGTCTACCTACTTTCTTATATAGAAAAGGTGAGGGCGTCGACAGCGCTTGCGTAGAGTGACTTTCCAACCACCGCGGTAAAGCGAGCGATTGAAACACTGTGTTAGGTGGTCGATCAGCTCCGGAGGTCCAGCAACGGGAACGATCGCCACGATCACGAGAGGTCTTTGCGCAGATGACTTTAAACGATTGGCTGACCAAGTCGACAGCTCCGTGGCTATCGCAATTGCAATCGACGAGCAGGCTAATACGATTGCTGGGGTGAAACGTTCGAGAAATCAGATGGCAGTCAATACGATCTTCGAGCACCTTGGAGATGAACATGCAGCACTGGGGATACGGGAGAGGCAAGAGGTGGAAGAATGAACAGAAAAGTTCCCACAGCCGTGAATTGAGGCCTGGGTATTGCCAGGCCATAAGACTTAGCATTGACATAGACACTACTTTTGACACAGTGTATAATGATCTGTGACTCTATCGACATTCGTCTTCAGCTAATAGTCGCGCGTTGGGCTCTTGATGGGCGCAATCCCCAAACTGAATCTCTGACATGAGTCTGTATCCACCTGAAAGATATCACTGAGTCCCTCGTTTGGCGTGAAGAAGGTCGTATCGGAGGACGCTCTGGAGCAAGACCTCGGCGCCAACGGCGCAGTCTTCAGGACTGGTGTACTCGACCGGGTTGTGGCTGATTCCGAGGTCCCCGATGCATCCCCCGATCCAAAGCTGCACTACCATCCAACACGAGGCACCGCCGCACCACTAATCGGTGGATGGGTCTGAGACGACAACAGTGTTGTCAATCTTCTCTCCATTCTTTCCGCTGCTCAGCTGTATCCCGTCGTTGATCACCTCAATTCCATCTTGAGTGATGACGTCTTCGTATATTGGACTGTCAAGCAGCGTTTCCTTCGCTGGGAAGGCCAGGTTGAGTCCATAATACAAGATCGCAGCGCTGCAAAAGCCATAGAGATAATTCATGTCGTAGATTCGTTGGACCTGGTCGTTGATGACAACAGATGAGTTGACCGATTTTGCTAGCCCTGGAGTATTGGGTATCACGGCAACCATAAAGGCAATGGCGGCTCGCCAGTTCACACCCCCAGTATACCAGTAACGATCTCGTTTTCGGTAGAGGGCAGGGACATCGAAGTTGCGCTTCTTGACGAGCCAGTAGTCCGTGGCGAGAAGTGCGGCGATTGGAGCAAGGAAGATGGCCAAGCCTGACATGAATGTCAAGAGTGAAGCTGCCGAGTAGACGATTTTCCACGGAACCATGATCCAACAAGAGGTGAATGTAGTGATGACGACCCCTCGTCGCATGTTGATGTACTTTGGAAAAAGACTGATCATGTCGTTCGAGCACGAGATTACGCTTGCAGACAGATTCGTTCCAATTTGAGCGACAACCCAGCAGAAACCAACGAAGAAAGCTCCGCATCGCCCGCCAGGACCATCCCATTGCGCAGCCAGTTCGAGAGGGGACCAGATGTACTCGCCATAGACGACTTTGGAACAAGATGTACTGATGACGCCGAACATAGACATGAGGAGGTTCACAACTGGCAGAAACAGGGCCTGCCAATAGACACCCTTGCTTCGCTTCATGTACCGAGTGAAGTCCGGGATGTTCGTAGCCATCGTCGCCCATCCTCCGCATTGGGAAGAGAAATTACTGAGGATGATCCACGATCGAGCTGATCCTGAAGTCTGATAGTCCTGATGCCAGATGTCGCCAACTCCTCCTGCTTTGTGAACCATCGTCACCACGGTCGCGATGCTAACCACCGGAACGATAAGAGTCTTGAAAGCGAAGAACCACTTGAGCTTGTGCGGAGGCGTCAGCAAGATTGGGAACTGGACCCAGAAAAAGACAAAGTGGGCGATCAATTGGTTAGAAGTGATGCCAGCACTCTCAGGGAGATGGTTGGGGATGTCCAAGAAACCTGGCCAGATAGCCCGTATCATCTGCAACATTGCTGTACTACCAGTCCAAGCCTGTATTGCGTGCCAGAACAACGCAGTGGCCATTCGAGTGATGACTGCAAAGCGTGAAAGGTAGAATCCAAAAGATGCTCGGGCGACAATCGGGTAGGGGATATGATAATGAGCACCGATAGCTCCATTTAGCATGAGCGGAACCGCATCAACCAAACCTCCAGTNGATAGCTTCCATCAGTCAGCCTCAATATCGATTGATACAAAACGATCAAACATACAAAGATAGATTGCTTCTTTCCATGTAAGCCCAGCAGCGATGATGGCACTAGGTGCTTCCCATCCCTGAGCATTGAGTGCGTCACTGCACCAGAAGCCTAGCAGCGACCAAGAGCCCCACGTCCTTCTCTCCAAGGGGGTCACGTCTGAGTCGATGTTGGACCAGGTGCCTTCCTCGTTGGCAAACGATGTGGTTTGACGTTCCAATTTCCAACCGTTTCGATGGGCTTTGGCTTCTATACTTGTGACGGCGCGCCTTCTCGCAGCAGACAAGCTGTTCTGGAGCCCTGTTGACATGTTGCGTGCTTTGCCTTGAGGTTATTCTCACGAGTCTGTGAACTCAGTCGGGCTTCGAAGATCACAGACCATGTCTTATACTTGGGTCAGAGCATGAACCCCGTACAAAAACGAGCGACGGGCAACCTTAATGAAAGCTTTCTGATCTGCATATACCCTATCACAACGATTACGGGGTGTAGGATAGAGTCTATCGACCGTCGGTTAATACGGCCACTCCGTTATTATCCAGAATTCGTAAATCTACATCTTAGCGTTTTAGCGTTCTACCTTTCTAGGTAGTTATTATAGATACTAGCTTAAGACTTTTAAGTATTATACCACTACTTTCTTATAGTAACTATATAGTTAAATATATATAAACTATTAACATTCTCTACTTACTATAGCATTATTATATATATTAGTAATTATAAGTACTCTATTAGTAAAACATACTAGATAATAGATTAAGATAAGATAGATAGAAATAATAGAGAGAATAAAATAAGAAAAAAGCTTATATAGCCTAATATAGCATATTAAGTCTAGAAGCCCTAAGTATGTCTATCTTCTAATATTAAGTTTGTTATGGAAGATAGTATAGGTATATAGGTTAGATTCTCTTAAGTTATGTTAAAGCTATAAAGGTTAAAGGATAGAAATTTAAAAGGTTAGAATAGTAGAAATATAGGTAATAGATAGCTAGAAAGGTAAAGAGGTATGATAATGGCGGAGTGGCCGCATTAACCGACGGTCCTATCGCCTGTTTATAGATGTTTCCTGTGTGACAACCTTAGGAGCTAATCGTAGACAGCCCATGTTAATTCGATCTCGACGTGGACGCAAGCCGCGTCACAGCTTCCCCAACCCCGCATGCCAACCCCTTATCTAAGTTGCCCGGATCGACCAAGCATGTCTTGTGATGGAGTCTTATCGCTGTTAAAGCCCGCTATAGATACGTCAAAGCTTAGATAGTGTCAAGTCGGCCGAGCTTTTGAAGCTCATAAGACCGAGGCTCCTATCATATCAGCATTCCCAAGATCCTGGAAAGGGTCGGGTGCGCGTCTTGATCGAGACAATCGCCGAATTTGTCCCCTGGTGTGACCATTCGTCTGCCTCACGTGCGAGAAGTCGTAACGCTTCTCGACCGGTGAGTGTTCGCTGCCATTGATAGATCATTGTCTGCATTCTCACTGATATGAGTTGCCTATGATTCAGCGACTCTTGATAAACAGGCTGGTATCATGGTTCCACGACTCGATGTGATGTGGCTTTCTGGTGTAGCAGGAGCCTCCTGGACCCTCATATGTTTCTCCAATCTGTTGAGCATCGCCTTGTCCGCAAGCGTACCGGGACCGGCATTCACACCGCTCGAGTCACTTCCAGCGCCCGTTCTACTGGACCTCGAGACAGCGATGAATGCCACAGTACAACGATTCAAATCTGAGAAGATGATTACAGACCCGGTCGAGCTCAGACAGAGCTCATTTTCTGTCCAGATCACATCGGCACATCAAACTTTGTTCAGTGCATACCACACGGGGCAAGTCTCACACGATGGGGTTCAGAGCGTTGGTATTGATAACGTTTTTCGTATCGCTAGTATCTCAAAGACATTCACTGTATGTGCATTGCTGAAGATGGAAGCCGTCTCCTTTGACCAGGCAATCACGGATTATATTCCTGAACTTTTGTCTAAAGAAGGGCAAGAAGAGCGAATCCCCTGGGAAAAGATCACGATCAGATCTTTGGCAACACAGCTGAGTGGTATCCCACGCGATAGTAAGTCGTGTGTGATTTTTCCTGCCTCGACACGGTGCTGACAGCTCGGTAGCTGGACCGCCGTGCTTCACATACCGCGATATCTTCGACATGCCAGAGATCGCAGATCCGATTCGCATCGGACTACCGCCCGTGATTTCTAGAGAAAAGCATGACAAGCAGCTTTGCGCGCAGTCGCGTAAGTGTCGTTTTGTACGAAGCTTGGCCAATTCTGACCAGAAGATAGACATCATCGAGCATGCTAAACGTGCAGAGAAAGTGTTCGAACCAAACCACGCACCAAACTACTCGAACTTGGCATTTTCATTACTCGGCATTGTCTTAGAAAGAGCCAGTGACACAACTTACGATGAGCTGTTGCACAGAGACATATTCGCTCAATTGCGTCTTAAGCACACGTCTTCATCTGCGCCATCCAGAAATTCTGCAGTCATCCCAGAGGTGGAGAACTTCTTTGGTATTGCGCTGGGCGCGGACAATCCGTGGGTTGCATCGGAAGCCCATCATATTGCTACAAGCTAACAGATATCTTGATTACAGGACGGCGGGACTGTACAGCACTCCTGGCGACTTGACCAGATATATGCGTGCAATATTGTCTGATACACTTTTGAACAGTAGTCTCAAGCAAAACTGGATGAAGCCACATTCTTGGACTTATTCAGGTCGTTCCAGTGGCTATGCAATGCCGTGGGAGATCTTACGAACCACGCAACTCACAAAAGACGGAAGACCCTTGGATATTGTGACTAAGGGCGGTGCTCTCAATGGTTACTACTCTACATTGGCACTTGTCCCAGAAATGGGCATTGGCTTCACCGTACTCATTGCGGGACACGAGTCCATCATGCACAGTCTTCGAGAGCACATTACAGTGACTCTGATCCCAATCGTGGACAATATTCTTCGCCAGACAACCAGACTCAGATATGCAGGCAATTACATCCTAACGCTCGATGGTGTGGTCAACCCAGATTGGAGAATGAAGCTCGACGTTGATGACCATGGCTTGCATGTGACGGAATGGGTCTCAAATGGGACCAACTTCCTTGAGGTCTATAATCGTTTACAAGGTGTTCAAGGAGAGAGTTGGTCCGCCAAGTTAGTGCCCACCGGAGTCACTACCAGAAATGGCACTTCCTTGATCGAACATTGGCGGCTGGTCACAGCTCCAAAAACCACAAGTGAGTGCTCTGGCGTATGGTGTCATGCGCAGTGGACAGATCTGGATGACTTACAATGGATGCAAAAGTCCATCGGGGATATCCATATCAAGACACGACAGGAGAAGCGTGCTATGGCCATAGAACTTGTTGGTCTGCGAGTGGAACTCACTCGGACTCATGACGACGAGACCAGCGGATCTGGTTACGGAGCCATATCACAAGCACGGTTTGCAACCTAGGAAACACATCGTGAATCTAGTCGTCTCATCCTTGGCCGTACTGTACGCTTTACTGCCTCAAGGATTGATCACGTCAGGCAGCGGAACGTTTCTTGCAGATGCTTTGCTACCAAGAACTTGAGATCATCTTCTCCACGCTCGACCTGGTTGGCGACCCTGTTTCTCTTCTTCGAGATGGGAAGCAGCAGCAGTAGAAATACAACATATTGAATCCTTCCTACCTTGGCCAACACAGAACAATCAGAAATCCCGAACATCATAGATTGCCATTTATTCGGCGACGGTTGTGGTTCGTGTAGAGTGTGGTCCCAGGCAGGGTCAACCTGCCGACAAGCGATGACGGAGCCAGTTCCGCGCAAAATCGATGACGCACCTGCCATCTGCGTCGTTTGGAGAGAGCACTTTTGGCAGCCTTGACGCTTGCTCTGTTTCTACAATCCGTACACCGTTCCTAATAAGCGATAACAATAGAGGACATCATCCTCGCACAATTCGAACATGCGTCTCTCGACCGCCCTTCCTCTCCTGCCTCTCGTGGCCGCCCTACCAACCGCCCCGCCTGCGAAACCTCTTCCTCTCATCATCTGGCACGGCCTAGGCGACCGCTACGATGCCGATGGAATTGCTGATGTCGCTGCTCTAGCGAATGAGATCCACCCAGGCACCGTCGTCTACCCCATTCGCCTTGCTGACGACGGCTCCGCCGACTCCCGCGCCACCTTCTTCGGCAACCTGACCACTCAACTTGCCGACGTATGCGACACACTGAGCTCAAACTCGTCCTTTTCCTCCAACAATACAAGGATTGATGCTCTCGGCTTCTCTCAAGGCGGTCAGTTCCTCCGTGGCTTGATCGAGACATGTCCAGGCATTAGTGTCAGAAGTCTGGTAACCTTCGGCTCGCAACACAATGGCATTTCCAAGTTCCAAAACTGCGGCACCTGGGATTTGGTGTGCAAGGGAGCTATGGCCGCCATCAAGGGCAATGCATTTGGTGAATGGGTTCAGGGCAACATTATCCCTGCACAGTACTACAAGGAGACAAACGAAACCACTGGAGAGCCTACAAGCAATTATTTGAACAACAGCAATTTCATTGCCGACATCAACAATGAGAGACACAACAAGAGCAAGGAATACAAGCAACGTTTGTCATCTCTGGACAAGTTTGCCATGTACGTCTTTGACGAGGACAAGACTGTGATCCCCAAGGAAAGCGGCTGGTTCGCTCAAGTCAACATGACCAGCATGGAGGTTACTGGACTCAGAGATAGACAGATCTACAAAGAAGATTGGATCGGCTTGAAGCACTTGGACAGAAAGGGTGCTCTGGAATTCAGAAACGCCACTGGTAGACATATGGACTTGACCGAGAAGATCCTGACAGAAGCCTTCACAGACTTCTTTGGTCCCGACAAGAAGTCATGGAAGATGGAAGAGACGCAGCAGGTGATGTTTGAAGAACTATAGATAAATAATGCATTAATTCGTCATCTACTAATCTATTCGCTTTCAGGTATGCCTACCGAAATCGGCATATCATCCATGCTTTCCTGCCTTTGTGAGCAGAGAGAACTCACGAGAAGTTCGCCTCTGTCGCTCTTGTTATGCGATTGCTACGACCTCTATCATTGTTCTCGTCCCTCCTCGCCCATGTATCAATCCTGCTTGAATTGAGTCATTGAATATCACCATCGATCTTACCTGCATGTTGGCTACGAAGTTCGCATTGCTTGCTGTTTCGCACGTCTTTCAGAACCCGGGACCTGTCTTGATTGTCACTGTAAGGCCAATCAAATTCGACATTATCGATGTGGTGGGGACTTGCGAGTACAAGCCTCAACACTCGCCATGAGTGATGACCACTTAGGACTGTGTTGCATCACTCAGGATAACACACTGAATCTTTAGGTACACAAGTTGAACGATCAATACGCATAGTGACGGTCCAGAATATCTAAGCCGCACAAGTATAAGACAACACTAACACTGATAATAAACACTTATGCGGTCTGTACATTACTCTTGTAGAGCTCCTGCATCTTCTGATATACATTCTGGTTCATCATCTAAGTGCCTGACTACACATGATTCGAAAGTCCGCCCAGTAGCAGGCGATACGCAGCGATGCGAGGGAACACTAAAGCCTTCTGACTACCACTCAGAAAGACGCGCTGAGTCTTCCTGGGCACACCTTGGGTGATCAACAGAGCTCCGAAAAATGGGAAGAATATAAGGTTATGGGAATGGGAATTCGAGTCAATTGCAGATTATAGTCATCGTTCTCTGCCGAAGAATCAGAAACAAGCCGTTCTGTTGGCAGATGGGAAAAGAATCGGGGTCGTGGAAGGAGCGAAGGAGCGAAGGAGCGAGGTGAGTGCAGTCCCGAGATTTGGCCGTGGGAAGCTTCGACCTCACCTCCTTCTACAACACTTCGTAAACTGTTTCCTCGGATTTCTGGCAAGACCGTACTTCCGGCAACACCAGACTCCGCATAATCTGGCACAAGACCCTGCTCTAACCGACTGTGAATATACGACATATCTCACTATGGAGTGTACAACATATGACTGTAAACTGGACTGGCGTCGCAAGGTCGTCCAGTTCGTCTTCATCCAGATTATGACCAAACGTTCCTTAATAGTCGCTGCATCTGAATTTAAGTTCAACTCTTCGAGAGCATGATAAAACTCGCAAAGAGTAATAGCCTTCATCCACTTCTCCATATCTTAATTAATAGAGAAATGTTGACTGTCTGGATCACGATTGAAGTTGAATTGCTCAACGGCAAGGGTCAGAGGACGCAAGGTATGTCATCTCATGATCTTCATTGAGTTTTCTCCTATATGTGCAAAAACAAGAGTCCAGAGCGGAAGTGGATAGGAATTGGGAGGTGCTTGAGTGTCGATCTGAAACATTTCTGCAATACCCGAAACTGCACTGTGTTGGATCCGGCACCGGAAGACAACTTCATGGAGGTTCATCAAAGATAGCCAACACCTTCGGAAAGCAGAACATATATTCCTGGAAGCAGTTCGACTTTACCCATTGCTCATTGGAGCCTCCGGACGCATCCTTCGAGCTTGTCTCCGTGTGGCAAGACGAAACTACACTAGCAGCACTATTTTCGAAGAGCTGTCAGACATCAGGATACAGAACTGCAAACAAAGAGATCGCTCTCTGTCTCAAAGTCATCGACTGCGACGAAATAAAAAGGTCTCAGATTTCGTCTCACCCTGAACTGTCTCGCTCTGGTCCAGTCTTTGTCTGAGGTTTCTCCCAGATGGTTGATGTCATAGTCAAGCATTTCTGTGTTGCCAATCATGATATAAGTCAGGAGGTTTGGGCTGTATTGGCGAGGTGAGAGACGGAGGATTGATTCTCGACCCGCGACCCCAAACAATAACCAGCGCTCGAAGGCACATACCACCCGCGTTCAACACCACTTCGCTCTCACACAACAAAGTCGTCGGTTCGGTCAAGTCTTGCTCGGTTTTGAATATCTACTCGACCTTCGAACGCAACACTCATCCATCACGACCCAACCTCATTCTCCAACACCACCATCATCGCAGTCTCAGCACTCAGGTGCGCGTACACATCAACATGGAGACGGATCCTCACCAGTATGAGTGTCACGTCTTCAATGACTTCGTGGCCCTCAACCCTCACGCAAAAATGCCGATCTTGGGCAAGAGATGCGCGCTCGACGCTCTGGACCACACCCTGTCTGCCAGCCATCATGCGCAGCCCATGAATCGCAACGACCAGTATCCTCAATACACTCCTCTTGTCGTTGCGCTTAACACAATCTGCGCCGAGTTGAACATGCCCTTAATCACCGAGGCTCAGCTACACAACATGCAGTTCATGCCTTGGTTCGATCCATTCGCCAAGGATTTCATCAGATCTCACCACGCTCAGCGTCTGATCGACATCAACAACTTCTTCAGCGCCCAAGGCTCGGTCACAGAAGACCACATGGTCTTGATTATTGCTGCGTTCGCCCACTTCATCGGTCTCAAGAACCTCAGTTTGGGTATCGTGACGTTGGTCAGAGGTCAGCCAGTCAAGGCCTTCCATTACCCGGACACCTACCGTATCCCTGAGTACACGGCTTGGGTTGTCGCAGACTTTCGCGCCAATGACCTGCGCCTCTATAGTATCGGGCGCCAGGCCGAACAGGATCAGCGCTTTGTGTCTGGACAAGAGGGAGAGGATGATGAGGAGCACGACGAGGACGAGGCCGACGACGAAGGCACCCCAGTTCCGACCACCACACCTCGCAAGACCGCTGCTCGAGTCCTGGCGCAGCAAGCTCCCCCTTCCTGCTGGCTTGACAGCAGATGATATCCTACAGCACCACAAGAGCCGTCTGCAATACAACAATATCTTGAAGGTTGCCCTTGTCCACAGCAACCAGAAGATTGCAGAGACCTGCAAGTCTGACCTCCTTCCCAAGAACGAGCAACTCCGTCACACCAGCGCCGTTGTGAAGCGCATCAACACCGGTGTCAACTGGATTGAAGACCAGTACGAGATTGATAATGGTGCCTTCCGCACTGCATATGACCGTCAGCGCCGTATTAATGGCATCCCAATCAGGGGTAAGGACGAGGTCGATGACGATATCATCAGTGCAAACCGCTCCAGGATCGATGCTGCTATGGCTTGGATCCGAGTAGGGGTCCACGTCCTGCTGACACCAACGGTCCAGCTCCCGTCGGTGTCGCCAACCCTGTCTCGGCTGGTCCCTCCTTCGGTGCCCCTGTGCATCCAGTCTCTCGCCACACAATTGCCCCTCCTGGATACACCCAAGCTTCGCCTACTTCCGCCATTACTCAGCGTTCGACTGTAACCTTCAGTCACCGCCGTGGCTTTCCGATAAACACCAACAGTAACACGATGAACATGAACGACAACAGCAATGGAGTCGACAATTCTGGCATGGCTTACGGCAACAGCGATATGATCGATGATGAGATGGAGATGGCCAATGATTTCAAGTGGAACCCCGAGGATCTCGACCTCGAGCGAGAGCTTGCGAAGCATCCCTTCCGCTGAAAGACCGCCTACTGACGAGCTGTTGCTCAACTGGATGCCTTCGGTACATGCTTAGTCCTCAGCATTGGATTGCTCGCTCTTGGTTCCAAGGGCCATGCCCGAGCGAAACCACGGAGTTCGGGGGCTGCTTGCCTGTTTCTTTTTGTTTCCTTTATTACGCGGATCGGTTGGCTTGGAAGCCTTTAGTGACGGCATTGTTTTCTTCGACTATACCCTTTTTGCGCTCACGAAATACTGAACGATGCATTTCTTTACTCTTTCACAATCCTTTCCCCATGTACCTTGGAATCTCAACTGGAGCGTTTCGCAGATTGCTGACTTGAGTACTGTAGGAACACACTTTGGTGTGTCGATCCATAGCCTGTTTCTCTAATCGTGGTTCGCGTATGTCGGTGCATACAGAAATTATACACTTCAGACAGAATCCATGTCTTTCAAGTTGCAACATACCTGCTAGAGGTCACACAAGAAGCAATTACATGAACTACTCGCCATATAATCAGATACCGTCGTCAATGCCATCAGCATCTACAGAGCAGAACATCTCCACCACGCCTCTAGTCTAACACAGATCCACATGATGGTTCATCATAGCGCTCACCAAAGTCGAGGCACTGTCACACCTTACAGTCACCCTTACAACGAACCGCAAACATCACCCCAAAACCATATCCACAACACTAAACCCCAACGGATGCTCCAGATAAACGCCCTTCGCAGTCGTAGGCGCAAACCACGCCAAAAGCGTCGCACCCTGAAAAACAAACACCCACACATACCCCAGAACCCTCCATTTACTCCCTTTAAACCCCATCTTCCTACCCATTCCAATGACCTTCTCCTCGGCCCAAAAAGCAAAAACTTGTGGCGTATACCTGTTAAAATCTGCTGTAATGCCGCCACCAGCGATTAAAGTGCCATACGTATGCACCAGCCACGCAAAGAAAAATGCACAGCACACTTTAACCCAATAAGTGCTTTTCTTCCTTTCGTCCAAGCCTAATGTTCGTACAAGGGCTTTGGTATAAGGTAACTGCAACGTTCGCATCATTTGATGCCAAGTGTTTGCCCAAAATCCTTTGATCGTATACGCATGCTTGAAAGACCCAAACAGTGGTGGAAATTCTGATGGCGAGAAGAGGTGGAGNGGAACAGTGATGGCGGCGAGGATTTTATGGGTGGCGGACATTGTCCAGCGAGCTTGGAGATAGATGAGCCAGGCGTTGNNAGGAGAGCCAGGGGAAGTGGTTGGGTGGTGAGTTGTTTGACCGGTACAGAGGCGATGGGTGAGAAGTTGCGGTGATGATGGTATGAGAGATCCACAAGCAAAAGATCGAAAGCTGCTGAGACCAGTTGTTTGGCTGCGAATTGCAGGCGCGGTATGTCTCTCGCCGGTGCTGGAGGTAGATTGCGGATTTGAAAGTTCCTGTGTCGAGCAACAGCTGATTAGTATGCTATATCTTTCTGACACAGACCGGAAGCGGTATATCGAAGATGGCAGTAAAGAAGAAGAAACTCACCATCCAATACCTCTGGCACTCATAAAGCCGAGGTCAATGACATCGAAAGCCCACTGCAACCAACCCCTGCTCTTTTGCTTCGACATCTGGCCCTTCCCATCTTTGTCTTTCTCGTCCCTTCTCTCGAAGTCTCTTTTCTCCATCAGAAACCTTGCACTCACCGTCCTTATCACGGTACTAATCAACGTACACCCAGTGGTGTAGACATGAGTGTATTGCCCCTGTGGCTTGTTCGCAACAAGATAGAACAACCAGTACATTCCAAGAACAATGGTAAAGATTGTCAAAGGCGTAGATCTAGAAATTGCGGTGATGCTGTATAAACTCAGGAGTAGCGGTAACAGGTACGCAGGTATAGGTTCTGACGCGGATGGTTGCAGCAACGAGGCAGGCTGTGTGGAATCCATTGTAGCCGCCCTTATCGAGTAGTTCGAGATGTGCCTCTGCCGGTCCCAGCAGATTAGTCGATCAATCTGCTTCCAGAGTTCCTCGGATCCGTGGGGGTTAGGAGACTCGCGTTGCAATAAAAAGACGGGTCGGTACAGAAAGACGAACGAGGAGAAGTTGGATCATATACAGTTCGATGAGCTTATCAAGTGTAAGGCGCTCAGCTGCACTTGCAGTGACCGGGGTGTCAGATGTTGTTGGCCTTGCATGAGGCTAGCATAACCTTTCGGTAAAGATCGACAAGAAGGATCCGTGGCATATAATGTTAGAAACGCACAACGACCGATGATTGTGATGAAGCTGACAAGATTAGCATACTATGACAACAGTCGGTTTCCGTTGTTAGAGAGTGATATCCAGTTCTTCCTACAAATGATGGAGAGAAAGTGGCAGCGGACCTTAAGGTTGAGAATGTCACGAAAGATGATGAGCGTCCGTGCGGACCATGGAGTTATGCAAACTTTATGCTGTTCTATCAGATTCGGCCATCCAGCAAGGTTGTACAGAAGCCATCTGAATTATAGATGGGATAGAGTTGATTTGACATGTCAAGCCTAGTGCTAGTGAACTCTCATCAAACTACCTTAGATGTACAGATGTTAACGAGACCAGCAGGAACGTGGGCTAGCCACAATAATCAAAGGTAGATAGTTTTCCAACAGTCCTCTAATACGAGTCCCTGCCACCACCTTCCACGCCCTGTTCTCTCTCGGCCTCTGTAGATAGGTACGGCACTCCTCTCGAGTAGTCTTTGCCCAAGTCGTTGACAGGAATTGCTTCGATTCGTATTTGTGGAGCAGAAAGATTCCTCGCCTGCATGATTCTCTGGTATGCAGCGACATAGTCGTCCTGCTGTTTAGGTTGCTCTCTGCCGCCTCGAGCTGGCAGCGCATACGTGACAGTCCCACCAATTGCAATAGCCAAATCAATGTTCCGCTCCATTTGCGAGGCATCGATGGATTTCTTGTGCTTGACTTCGACGATGTTGTTGTTTTGATAAACGATGTCCAATTCTCGGGAATTTCCCCACCTGTCGCAATTCTGATCATCTGAGAGTGCCCTGGAACGCCCTGCTTTTCTTCCGCTTTGGTCAGAGGTCGGGAGATCTCTTTGCCGTGATTGATGATGCCATTGCAGACCATCTCCATGGCCGTCAAAATCTCGAATAAGAATCCTCTGTCCATGGCTCGACCAGGGACAATCTCGTCATTGAACGTCTTGACCATGGTATTGACTCGGACGCGTGGGTCCTCTTCTCCTTTCGGAACCACGGGGAAGTTGATAGTCGGCGTCGCTGCCATGTTTGAGGCTTTGGTGGCGAGTACCGATTGTCTTCTGGTTGTCCCGCTCGGTCTGCGAGTTTGTAGAAATCGTGAAATGGTTCTTCAAAGGTATTCGAAGATGAGTCGGGTTGGGCGAATGATACAGCACTGGCATGTATTCGCGGCTAGAGTTGAGTGCGGGGTATGCGGTTCTACTGCAGGTGCACTCAAAGAGGAAAATGCTCAGAACATGATAGACACCTTTGCACGACCCAATGATGGCGGGCGGAGTGTCGTATGCAGCAGAGAATCTCCAGCGAGCCTGAAAGTTGATGGCAGATGGACTAAGCATCGAAGGACAACTGATGGAAATGGCTAAGAATCACTTGTCCAGCTGGCACAGAGGGGACCACCGATAAGCGATGCGAAGGTCTTGGCCTGAGAAAACCATAAGAAAGCCACAAGGCTGAGGCCATGATGGAAGCAGAAGGAGGAATGACCCTTGTGATGGAAGTGGGGGATGGTAGAAGCAAGAATCGATGCTTGGTGATTGTGATGAAGGTGACAAGGTTTGGATGTTTAGTTGTAGCTGATCTATGATGTTGACGCATCAACATTATTCCTTCCTGACGCTCACACGCCTACTAAAGCAGTAGATCATGACAGCTTCCCGTCGGTCCGTGCATGGAATCATGTTATGCAACATTTGTGCTGCTCTTCCCATCTCATCACATGCTTGGAGGAAGATCTCGAAACTGTTGAAATATGCTTTGCTGTGCTTTACTCGTTGCTAACATCAAATTCTAAGCCTATCCAGCTGCTACACGCCATACGATACAAAACAACAGGCGGTCTGAGACGTCCAGGAGCCAAATGTCCAAGATGACCCCTCTCATCCCAAATCCCTTTCTTCTTACCTCTTCCCTCGCCATTCTACAGCTTGGCCTTGGTCTCAATGGTAGGAAGCATGAGCTCCTTCATCTCTTCTGCAGCCTCATTAATGTAGTGGCTCATGCGCTCAGATCCCAGCTTCTTGGACACAATGTTGAACTGCAGACTGTTCTCGTTGATCATGTAGGCGATGCCCCAGCCCTCATCGACGACTTGGCTCCAGCCGTAGCCGTTGAAGTACTCCGAAGACAGTTGCGATGAGGAGATGAACCAGGTGGATGAGTAGGAAAAGGCTGGGTCGCTGAAGATGGAGGGCAGTTGTTCGCCTTCCTTGAGCAGTTTCTTGAGACCGAAGAGGTGGCGGTCCACGCCCTTGCCGTCCGAGGCGTCGCTGATGTAGGCAACGTGCTGCTTGATGGCGGATTGCAGCTTTTGTCTGCACTCGTCGGGTGTGGCTTCGGGATTGGCCATGGCGTCGGTGAATGCAACGGACTCTTCGCTGACGGTGCGGCAAGTCTCGGTGCGTCCCTGTTGGAAGCGGCGGGTGGCGGCGGACTCGTAGGTGGGTCTGTTCTTGCCGTAGAACTTGTGGTAGGCGAGCTGGATGATCATCTGGACGTATGCGTCGGGACTGCACTTGAACTTCTTGATCAAGCCCTTTCCGTAGCCTTGATATGCTTGTACCTTGAGCTCGTGCTCGCCAATGACCTTTGTGAAATGCGACTGAGCGCGGCCAACATCTTCGAGGTTGGAGGGNGAGAGATCGAAGCGGATGGGAGTGGGTTCGGGGAGGTTGCTGCGGACTGAAGGGTTGTCATAGTCGAGCTTGTTGTTGAAGATGAGCATGTTGATGTAGTCGTTGAGGCGGTGGGTGGGTGTGCCGTCCATCATGCTGTGCTCACCCATGAAACCTGAAGTTCCATTGTCATTGACGATGAACTGGAGCGGCTTGTCGAAGAAGCGGTTTGCACCATTGCCGTGCCAGTATTGGTGGGCGCGCTCTTCGAGTGTCACCGGTCTTGCCTCGTCCAAGCAGACGACAAAGGACGATGCCTCGATGGTTTGGAGAGCGGCCTCGTTGGAGGGGTTCTGAGCAATCAGGGCGTCGCGCATCTGCCACGGTCAGTATATGAAATCTGTCAGCTTTTCCTTGGTAGAACATACCTCAGTCCAGGTGTCTCTGTTCTCAGTAGTCATGACACCAACAGCGGGAGTGTCCTCGGCCAATTGGTAGATGCGCAGGAACTGCTGCTCCAATTCGGCAGTGGTGAGCTCCTTGCCATTGACCTCGTGCATGACCTTGAAGAACTGGTTCTTGCGAACGACGGTAATGTACTTGTGGTCGTTAGGAGCGTACTGCTTGGGGTAGTCGGCCGGCTTAGCGGGGATACGACAGCAGTTGAACATGAACTCATAACTGCTCATGGCGATGGGCAGCTTCTTCATGTACTCTGGCTCAAGAGTGCCTTCAACGACCTGCTTCCTGAAGTCGAGGACGGACGAGGTGATGGCAGCGGCTCTCTTTGCGGGGTTTCTTCGCTTGCGGTCATCGCGGTGGCTGTAGAAGTAGGAGACATAGGGCACGACGGGATCACGGTAGGCAAGGTATGCGGCATCGTTCCACCACTCGTAAATCCAATTCTTGTGTTTGGGATCCTCCCTTCTTGCAAGCAGGCGCTTCTGCAGCGTCTGGCCGAGACTGTCGGGAGCGAGGAAGTCGTTGACGGCCTTTTCTGTTTGAGCGTACTCTTGCTTGCTCAGAAGAGGGTGCACTGATCTGAGGTAGCGCTTTGCTGTCTCTTCCAGGGTTGGAACGGGCAGACGTGGCAGCGACTCCTCGAAGCGAAGCATGGGTCCCTTGGACGCATCTTCCTTGTACCCTGCGTGGACATGTCAGAGCACTGCTGGCTGTTGGAGATCAATATACACACCTTCCGGCAACGAACTGCTCTTGCGGGCTGGCGCCATTCTAGTCGTCGCAATAGTCGAGGGGATGGTGATGCGTGGACGGGTCAGCGGGGAGGAGAGGATGCGGCTTCGAAGACCAAACATCCCAAGTGTCGTTTGTAGGAGTGTGTAGGGAGGGAGAAGGAGTCAAGAATGCGCAAAAGAAAATAAGGGCTGCCGTCACACCGTGTACAAATATCCTGCTGCTACGTAGTTGCAACAGATGCCGAAGGTCCTCGGTCGAGGGTAAAGAGCTTCCCCAGAATTCCGCATGGGCCGAGGTTCGTCACTCCGCCTTCCCCAGCGACCGTGTGCTCGTCATGATAGAGAACGCTCATCCGCGACACACTCGGCTCGCTTTCTATGCGAGCTTTTGTCTGTTCGCTACGTCTTCTACATAACCATCGGGCCACCCACAGCCGAGTCTGAGCCAGCATGGGCCACCGAATCCGTTCTCGGCCAACTGACCAACACCATGTGATAATTCCATAGACACACAGATTTCAGTATGTATATACCACTTTGCTACTAATACACATGATCATGACCATCTGAGGCTTCTCATATTCAAGAGAGCTCATCATTTAAGGGTTCTCCTTGGCGAACTTGACACCCTTCTCAATGTTACCCTTGAGGTCCTTGAGACAGGCGTCGAGGAGCTTCTGCTCGTAGTCGGTGACCTGGCCAACGGGGTGGATCTTCTCAACACCGTTGGGGCCGAGCTCGACCTGCGAGGCGAAGAAGTCAACACCCTGGTCCTTGTAGAGAGGAGAGTCGACGAAGGTGGGCTCAATGACGCCCTTCTCGCCCTGAGCGGCCTTGAGGAGCGACTCGGCGAAACGGGCACCGGCCATGGCCATGGAAAGAGTGGCAGAGCCAGCACCGCCCTTGGCCTGGACAACCTCGTCACCACCGAACTGAACACGCTTGACGTAGGCGTCGAGCTGCTCGCCCTCGAGGTTGTAGCCAGACTGGCTCAACAGAGGGACGATGGTGGCACCAGAGTGACCACCAACGACGACAATGTTCTCCGAGGCGGGGTCGGTGCTCTTGAGCTGCGAGATGAAGCGCGAGGCACGGACAACGTCAAGGGTGGTGACACCGAACATGCGCTTGGGGTCGTAGACACCGGCAGCCTTGAAGACCTCGGCGGCGATGGGAACGGTCGAGTTGACGGGGTTGGAGATGATGAGGATGTTTGCCTTGGGGCAGTGCTCGGCAGCAGCCTTGGCCAGGTCGCGGACGATCGAGGCGTTGGTGTTGAAGAGGTCNTGACAGCTATTAGTAGGTGATGACTGCTTGTCGTTCATTCAGGTCATACCATCACGGGTCATGCCAGGCTTGCGGGGGACACCAGCGGGGATGAGGACAATCTCGGAGTTCTTGAGGNNGGCCTCGGCGACGTCGGCCTGCTCGTAACCCTTGACCNNTGTAGAGCGTGTGAGCATTGGAGTGTGTTACTGGGTGCAGCAGCTACTTACAACAGACTTGGTGTTGACGTGGGAGCAGTCGGCGGCGACACCNTGCATTGACATTCACGTAAGCGCTCGAGTCTACGAGCTGGACGGGGGCGACAGCATACCGGGAGCACCACGGACATCGTAGAGGGCAAGCTCAGTGACTCTGGGGTTGAGCTTCAAGAGAAGCGACAGAGGCTGGCCGATACCACCGCCGGCACCGAGGACGGCGACCTTGNNAGGCCTGCGCGAGACTGGATCAGCTTTGAACCAGACAATTAACCTGACTTGACGTACGTCGCGGGCAGAAGCCGAGAAGGCTCTGCGCTGAATAGTACCAATGGCTTGACGAGCGGCAAACATCTTGATGGTAGCAACGAGTGTTGGTTAAACAAGAACTTGTAGAGGGACGAGACGATGGAACTCAAAGATGTTGTGCTTCTCGGCGGAGAAGCACGAGCCATCCGTCTCACCACGTCCGATCCCGTCGTGTCCGGCACATTCCCTGCCATAGCCCCTCCACCACCGCCTTTCAGCATTATTCCTGCAGGCTCATCCAGCTTATGCCGGATGAGAGGATTTGACGCCATCAACCAGGTTGGATGATACAGCTCGTGAGGGGTCGGTTGAAAATCTCCCTTGACCCAGCGCCTCAAGATGGAGCTTGAAGCTAGAGCTGAAGCTTGAAAACGCCCATGTCGAAACCGCGAAGCCCAACACCCTGCCACGAATATATAGATGCTCGAAACCATCTCCAATCGCATCTAGTGCTCAAGCGATCATTCGGACCTTTTGTGAACGTAAAGATTATTGTGGCTATAAAATTCTAGAGTTGTGTATTATCCTTCCAGACTTATATGTCTGACCAATCGACCACGGTCCAAACTCGCTGTACATCACTGGACAAAAGCATCAGTATCTTGCCAATCTCATATTATTCTGTCGAGTATGCTTTCCCTCGACCTATCCTACTTCTGATCTTCGATCTCCTTGACCCTCAATCTAACCCACTCCTCATACCCAGTAGGCTCCCTTTCCAGCAACCATCTCAACACATTACTATTCCCAATCAATCCCCTCTCATTGTAGTACAAGAACATCCTCGCCCCGATCTCTTTCATCGCTTTCGGCGGCTCTTTACCTCCATTGATCATCTTGATACTCGTGTCAACCGCATCCTCGAACCCCTTGTGCTCAGCCTTGACCTCTTTCCCCAACACCTTACTGACAATAGCACAAGCCTCTACATAAGACAAAGGCACAGCCGTAGACACCAACTGATACGTCGCCGCAACATGCCTTTCCCTCTCCCTCAACACTTTCCCCGCAGCCTCCCCAATATCCCTGGTCGTCACAAAGGAAAACCTAGTCGCTGGATTCCAGTTCACAGAATGTATTGGTTTTTCCTCTTGCATCAGTTTATGCAAGGGCAGCATTTCCATCATGTGTGTTGGCTGCAGGATTGTGTAGCTGACAACAGACTCGATGAGGTATTCTTCGATATAGCGCTTGCAATCATGGTTGAGCAGTTTGGTGAGGATAGGGTGGATGACACTGCTATACACTACATGTTCCAGCGGGCCGCCATTGTCTTTTTGGGCAATGCATGCGTCGATGAAGTTGACACCCAGGGTCGTTTCGTGAGGGTGGAAAGGCGGGAGGACCAGAAAACAGGCGGTGACGTCTTTCAAGATACGGTGGCAGTCGTCACTGTTTGCGAGATCTGCTTGGACGATCTCAGAGTCTGGATATCTGTCTTGCAGTGATTGCGCGGAAGTGGAGCTGTTGCATTGCAAGCGGATCTTCTTGTAGGATCTCTGGATGTGAGGGATCAAGGCCGTGGACTGTTTGCCAGAGGCGCAGGTTATGAGAATGAGGTCGTTTTGGAAGTCTGGCATGGTCTTGGATAGTGTGATAAATGGGTTAGATGGGAGGTAGAGTTGGCAGAGGAATAGCTTTTAAGGTGAGCATGTCAGACTCGACGTCATGCAGCATCGATCATGCTCGGTGTCGGGGTTAGCTCAAAGTCCGGCTCTCCTGTTCTGGTAGAGGCGAGCACTATAACAATATAAGGGAAATAAGAGGATGGGGGAAAGAGTGATATAAATTGTCTTCTCAAGATGGAGAAAGACGGCATGGTGATGACTCCAATAAGAAAAGAGGTATCATAGTCTAAACAGACAAGAAAGAAATGCAAACCATAAGAACATCAAAAACAATGCTTTCCTTTCATAACCCATCAAACCCGCTGTCCATGTTCGCATCTCGCCCAAAGAGCAAAAAAGCAATCAAATCATTCTGTCGCACTACGCATCAGCAAACTTGTGTTCAGGCCCAGGGAGATCTCTACTCAACGGCAACGGACCCTTTTTTCTATGTTGTACCTGCACCTCCTTCTCATGCGCAACTTGTGCATGTCCCTTGACACCCCCATCAACATAGCTTTGCACGCCTTCGGTGTCGCTGCCGATGCCATCTTCTTCTCTGGTGCTGCTTGCGCGACTTACGTCCCGGCTGGCTGGTGTCTCGCTTCTCAAGCCCAGATTTCTGCCCTGACCCGGAGAAGGGTTGTTGAAGTCGTGGCCTCGCCAATCCGCAGCCCCTGTCTCGGGGACATCGGTGCCGGGCGGAGGTTCAGTGATGACAACGCTAGACCTTCTGCCCCGAGTGGGTTCATCCACGGCTTTCCAGACGACAGCGAGTTTGTCAAAGCCCTTTGTGCCTTTNTTGAGACTGCCTTTGATGCCGTCCATGGCTTCCCAGTCGATTTCAAAGACACCCGAGGACGCAGGGGCTTTGTTGGAGGTTGCGTTTTCTGGGCCTTGGCCTTCGAAGAAGCAATTGAACCAGACGTGGGCGACAGCAGTCACCATGCTCATACCGTAGCCTGCTTTGTTTCTGCGCTCAAAATCGATGTTGACGTCGCTGGTGGGCAGGATGATGGGAATTGAGGGCCTGAAGACGACGTCGCCGGTAGCGTTGTGGAGCTTGTCCTCTGTGACTGCGCCTTTCGTTGCCTTTGCCTGTTCCTCCTTTTCCATGTTTTCGGCTTGCTTGAGGTGGAGGTTCTTCTCTGCACTGTTCATGCCCATGACCGCAGTGACTGCATCGGCAAAGCCGCCAGACTTCTTGATCTCGCCGCGCACAACCTCCCTCTCTTTCTTGGTAAAGGTATGGAAGTTTTTGATGACACGGCCTTCGTCGACAAAGCCTTCGACACTGACCTTGACACCGTCCCTCAAACCCCAGACATGGACCTCGCAGATCTGGATCTCGCGCTCGACATAGACCTTCCTGTGCTGTGTCCAGCGATCGACATAGCTGATCCAGCGCAATTGGCTAGGAATGCTGACACCAGCGCCAAAGCCCGGCCGCATCCTGCGCTCTGTGAACCTGCGTATCGCGTCTTCAGCCTTCCAGCCCTCCTCCGAGATCAAGTAGCTGCAACTCATGGAGCCACTGCGTCCCTTGCCGGCTTTACAATGCACGACAGCAACCCTCTCTTTACTCTCCGTCAACCAATTGCGCATACTCGCCATGATCAACGGCACGAGCGCAAACGGCGGGGGATGGTGATCCGGCCATGGATAATGCTTGACCCTGCCATAGACCTCCTCATCAGGGTATCCGGTCCCTTCGGCGCGAAACTCCCAGATGGCCCAATTATCACCGTGTTTCTTGTCGAGGAAGGCGACGAGCTGGGAAAGCGGATTGCGGTAGGCGAGTTGGGGGTATGTGCCACTGGGGCCCGAGGTTGCGATGATGTTGTCGGTTACGTAGCAGAGGTCCAGTCCGGCTTCTGGGTGTTGGGCGCGCGGGCCGGCCACGATCTGGCGTAGTAGTGAGGCCATTGTCTTGGTTTTGTGTATGAAAAAGAGCGAGTCTTGGTTGTATGTTTTGTCCGTTGGAGTGACGCCCGAAACTTGGTCGATCGCAGGTGGCCCGACGTCATCGCGAATGCCTCGGAGCCTCGCACCTACTGACCAATTCTCTCACAACAACATGGCCATCAGATGACTCCTTGAATCAGAGATGATGAGGAGCAGTGGCACAAGGTCAGAGCAGTAAGAACATGTGTATATTAATGCATGCCGAGAAGGACCTCGTGCAAATCAAGTTGGCCTGACAGCCTTTATCCGATAACTCCGATGTCGTTCTCTTATCGTCATGTACCTGTTACATCAATGTCCTTTTTCCTCGCTTTCATAGCAATTCATCTCCTAGCCATCAATAACACTCCTATCCACTATGCCATCCCTACTCACCCTGCCTGCTGAATTGCGAAACCAGATCTACGACCTTTTGTTCATCGAATCATGTCCATACACCTTGACAATCAACGACCCCTCCCGCTCGCAACAAAGCCTCGCCGACTTTGGCAAACCAACGAATCTAGATGAAATCTCCTCGGCACCTGCTCAACCTTTACTCCTGACATGCCGTCAGATGCATAGGNAAACCCAGCTGCTACATCTCCAACGCACCTCGTTCACAGTCGGCGGCCTCTACGCTGACCCAGAAGCCTTCGCGCGCCTGTGCACTGCCAATCTTTCACCGTCACTGGCGAAGCAGCTCCGACATATCACGCTGGTCGGACGCATCAATCGTCTACGCGCCCTCAACGAGTGTTGGAATGGTGTACCCTTTGGAAACCCACACCTGTCGCTCGAGACATTGGTCCTCGTTCCCCGACGTCCTGCGCAATACGATCGGCATTACGCCGAGATAGCAGACTTGGACTCGGCACATACCTTGTCATATACCTTGTCCGAGACTCTCAAGAACTTGCACAATGTCGAAAGAGTAGTAGTGAGGAACGAGGATGATTGCTTCAATGATGTCGTGTGGAAGGTTATATATAGAAGCCTGATAAGTCGACTGCTGAGGTGGGGTGGGAAGTTGTGTAGTTGTAGGTTCAGAGAGGGCGATGGTTGGTTTGAGATCCTTGTCGATGGCCGAGATGCCGACCCCGAGGTCTATAGTGATGCCGATACCGTATTCCAGCGTATAATCGGTTGACGTGATATTACTAGAATCCAGATTTCCTTTTTGGCTTCTTGCTTCGAGAGCGTGTCGAACGTGCTGTATCTTCCGGTTGTTCAGCATCGGGTTCTTGGTCGATAATTTCCTCGTTGTCGGCTTTGCGTTTCCCTGCCTTGGTCCTCTGCTCTTCTTCTTTGGCTCTACGCTTCTCTTCTCTAGCCCTCTGCCTTTCTTCTTTTGCGCTCTGCATCTCCTCTTTGGCCCTCTGCTTCTCTTCTTGTGCAAGCCTTTCCATCTCTTTCTGTTCCTCATCCTTGACTCTTTGCTTCTCTCGCCATTCTTCTTTGGCGAGTCTTCTTACCTCTCGCGCTTCCCGATCCCTCTCTTCTCGTTCCTGTTGTTCGAGGGCCAGTTTTTCTTCCTTGGACAGAGTTGCCTTATAACCTGTCCTGGCCTTTCGAACCTCTTCTTCTAACCGCTCTTCAGCCAATCGCTTCTCCTCTGCTAGCCGTTTCTGCTTCTTCTTAGCGCTTCTTCCGTCTTCCTTTCTTTCCTGTGTGGCCTTAGACAGCCAACTTCTCCCTCTACTGCGGTCGTCTGGTGTTGACCTGCTGAGTAAAGGTTCATTCGTCGTTTCTCTGCTCAGAATCCTGTTCAAGCTAGGCTTCGGACGCTTCTTTCTGGGTACTCCATCCTCGAAGGTTTCGGTAGTAGCAATTGGCAGTTCTCCAGCAGGCGCATCAACCATCTCGGTATCAGCATCAATGTACTTGGTGCTCTTCCTGACAACAGCAATTTCGGATGCTTGCTGAGGCAAAACGACGAGACCTTCTTGCTCGAGATGTTCATAAGCCAGCCGTCTCCGTTTCCTCGCCTGTTGTCCTCGCTTGTGCATGCTAGCGAATGCTTCTGGTTGTATGCTCTCGAAACCAAGCTCCCACGGTGATTTGTATTCGAAGCCGTCTCTCCAATTGGCGTTATCTGACAGTCGACGATGAATAACTGGTTGACGTGGGATTTCGACCTCTTCGTCCTTAATGTCGTTGGGTGGCGCTACACCGAGAGCATCCCACATCCCAATCTCTTGCACTCGGCTAATCTCTTGATCGACAGCTTCGAGATATGCATCGTGAGCCTTCTGGAAGCTCTTCTCCATCCGGCCCTTTCGATGACGCCTCTTTCGAGCAGCATCTTGGACTCCTTCGTCGTCGGTCGGATGATAAGCGGCATCTTCATCGTCGGAGCCTTCCGAGTGTTGATCTTGTGGTATATTGACAGGAGTCTCGTCCTCAGTATCGGACGCTTCGGTCCAGAGCTCTGGGTCATCGTAATATTGGTCAGGGTCAAGAACATCGTCGTCCATCTCATTCTCAACCTTTTGTACAACATCGTCGTCCGTTCCAGTGATCACAGTCGCCGTGTGACCGACTCCCAGTCTCTCTTCTGCTTCTTCGAGACTGAGCTCAGCTCCGGCTCTTGATTGACCTTTGGAGAACTTAGAACCTCGCTCGTGAATTCGGAGCCCATGTTTCCTGGGTACGCCTCCCCAGAAATTGCGTGTGTTTGGCTGCAGATCCAGGATATCGACTGCCGCGCGTACGTCATTTGCTGTAACTCTAGCACTTGGTGAGTCCTTGTCGCGTGCTCGCAAACGGGTCATTGTTTGGAAGATGGTGGCTTGTACGACACGCCTTGTTAAACTGATCGTCAGGTTGTGAAAGTCCTGAAAAGCGGTGTGGTATATTGAAGGAGTCTCGTGACAAGAAGTGGTAAAGCTATTCCAGCTGTCGCCCAGTTCCGGTGACTGATACATGAACATCTGAGATAGCCGGAGCCACATGGGAAGGTCAAGAAGCTCAGCTGCAGGGACCATGATTTCTCCAGGTGACTCAGAAGGTTGTTGATCTGGCTCCTGACTTTGCGAGGTCGCTCTCTCAAGGGGATCCGGTTCGTCTTCGGCATCTGTTTTAGGCCCTTCCCGATCCGTCTCGATGTCCGTGTTGGCAGCCTCGTGGTCGCTTTTGGCAATGTCAGGATCTTCTTCCTCGTCTTCATCTGCATCCTCATCATGTAAACTTGACTTCATATAAGACTCGTCGCGGGCCATGACCTGTTCTTCTACTTCTTGCGCAATGTCTTTGGTGAGAAGCCAGTAGTCGCCATGTCTCTTCTTCTCCCGCTTTTGGTCACTCCTTGTCTGATACTTGGACAGGCCATCGGCGTATTCTTCAAGCAGATCTTCCGACTGCTTGCTGACTTCGAAAGCAGGTGATATGTCTGCAGCAGAAAACACAGGCAGTGCTTTTGTCACGTTGCCCTCGACGGTTCCTGCATCAAGAAGCGAGAGATACTGGCGCACTTCAGTCTCCGATTTGGTCTTTATTGCGCTTGAGATATCCTTGATGTTGTCTTTGCCAAGAGTCGAGATCTTCTGGAACAGAATTTCTTTCTCCAGTGGAGTCCAGACAGCCACCCCAATTTCAGATGCTGGTAATGCGTGGGTGATGGAGTGGAAAGGACGAATAAGCTCTTCCAGTTGATCATTGTAAAAGTCTCTGTAAGTTTCCTTGTAAGTAGCCCTTATGCTTTTTGTGATTCGAGGCTGAGATTTCTCTTTTGGTGTCGACTTCTTCCCAGATCCAGATCTTACAGATCGATTGCTTGTCTGACTGCGCGCACTTCGCACCGAGTTTGCATCGTCGCTTTGACCGTCTTCATCTTGATAATCGGATCCAGAATCTTCTCGGGCATTGTTAATTCCATTGTCATCATCGTGGACCGACCCACCGTCGGTGTCGTTGCCACTCATCCCATAGTCTGCGTCAAGAAAGAATATGTCGAGGCGAGACAAATAAGTTGTTATTCTTGTGCATCGAAACATTGCATGTGAAAGAAAGAGCAATTCAGCAAAAGTCTTGGCGCTTACATAATGCTCGCGTGTCTGCATCTCCCAAGAACTTTACCCAAACGGGAAGCATCATCTTCTGCATTGGACAACACCTTCAAACGAATGTTCAGAGTTTCACAGCTCATCAAGAGTTCGCACTCTTGTCGTGTAGGCTGCCAGGTTGGACATCGCTGGTCTCAAGTCCACCGACCACTTTCCCGCCGATATGCCACCGTACAGCCAGTGGCGGCGGCTCAAAGACCACAGATTCAATTGAGATCCTACCAAGAAGAATGTATCGAAGCCGTCCTACAACATCTCGAACTTGGTCAGAAGCGTCTTGGAATTTCTCTGGCTACTGGAAGCGGCAAGACGGTTATCTTCAGTCACTTGATTGAACGAGTCCCCGAACCAACGAGAGAAGCCACTCAGACCTTGATCTTGGTCCATCGCCGGGAGCTGGTAGAACAAGCAGCTCGTCATTGCCAGAACATCTATCCTGACAAAACGATCGAGATTGAGATGGGCTCAAGACATGCCTCGGGCGTGGCTGATATTACAGTCGCCTCGATCCAGAGCATCATGTCTGGCGATCGTCTTGTCAAGTTCGATCCCAAACGCTTCAAGCTTTTGCTCGTGGATGAAGCACATCACATCGTCGCAACGAGGTACTTGGACGTTCTCAAGCATTTTGGCCTCGACGAAGACTCACAANAGATACCCAACCACCAATGCCCCGCTTTGGTGGGTGTTTCTACAACCTTCTCTCGACACGATGGTCTCAGACTCGGCGCCGCTATTGATCAGATCGTCTATCACAAAGACTACCTAGACATGATTGAGGGTGAGTGGCTGTCTACCGCTTCTTTCACCACAGTGCAATCCGGAGCAGATCTCAGCGAAGTAAGGTCTCTCGGGAAGCAGGGAGACTTCCAAACCGGTGACCTGTCCAAAGCTGTCAACAACAATGAGACCAACCAAATTACCGTTCAAGCGTGGCTTGCACAAGCTCAAGACAGGAAGGCCACTTTGGTCTTTTGTGTAGACCTGGCTCACGTCTCGAGTCTGACTGCAATGTTTCGTCGCTTCGGCATCGACGCCAGGTTCATCACTAGTGACACGCCAAAGCAGACTCGAACTGAGCGCTTGGATGCTTTCAAGAATGGAGAGTTTCCTGTCCTACTGAACTGTGGCATCTTCACAGAAGGTACTGACATCCCGAACATTGACTGTGTATTGCTCGCTCGACCTACGAAATCCCGCAATCTCTTGGTACAGATGATCGGTCGAGGTCTGAGATTGCATCCTGGCAAACAGGGCTGCCACGTCATTGATATGGTGGCGTCTTTGGAAACAGGAATTGTGACTTCGCCAACCTTGTTCGGTCTTGATCCATCGGAATTGGTAGATCATGCAGATGTCGCATCCATGACTTCAACACGAGAGAAGCGTGAGAGGGAGAAGCTTCGCGAAGAGGAAGCTTCTTCAGCCATGGGTCAGGTCTCTGCTATTAATGCAGGCGACATGAAGAATCTGGCTGGTAACATCACGTTCACTCATTATGACTCGGTGAATGATCTGGTCGAGGACACTCGAGGTGATGTCTACATCAGGCAGATCAGTCAATTTGCCTGGGTCCAGATCGACACTGACCGGTACATCTTGTCGAGTGGTGGAGGTGATACCTTGAAGATCCACCGAGACGACACCACGGATGAACGACCTTGGCTTGTCACGAGTGTCGCAAAGCTCCCAGAAGGTTACAGTTCCAAAAGCCCTTATGCAAGACCTCGAGAACTGGCCAAAGTGCATGAATTTGATGAGGCAATCCACGCTGCCGACAGTTACGCAGGCAAACACTATCCTTTCAGAAATATCGCTACGAGAGCACCATGGCGTAGGTATCCCGCCACAGAAGCGCAATTAGCTAGACTGAACAAGTCGCGCCCCGAGGATCAACAACTTACTCAAGAGAATACCAACAAAGGACAAGCGGCAGACATGATAACGAAGATTGTTCATGGCGCTAAAGGACGATTCGACAAGCTCAACCAGGTTCGACGCAAGATGGAACAAGAGAAGCAAAAGCAGCAGCAGCTTCAGGAAAGAATGTCCAGACATCAGATACAAGTCGGTCCTGTGCGATGAGAGGCGTGTTTGTCATTACCAGGATGGACGAAACTGCCTGTCATGAGGCCAAGCCATGGCACGTTCAGGATCGACTGCACGTCTGGAGCGAGTATGTTGTGTCTCCGGCATTACAGCGGATAGCTACAGAATGTCAAGCTGTCGTACGCCACAAGCCATGTGTGCGACCTTGGTTCATGTTTGCGATTCTTTTGTGTACCCTCCAATGTGGGGAAAGATGTATTGAACAAAGATTGACCGCCACCAACGGTCGTCTTGATGTATACATGCGAGGAACACCGCAAATTTACGGTTCACTGGATTGAGCAACTCATCACCTCAAGTCTGCTCTTTATTGTGAGCAGCTCTCGAAGAGATAGATAAGAGTTGGTCGTCGGAGTCTGTTTTCTCAATCAACCACTCGCTCAACCACGACAATGACTTCCGCTCTACTCTTGTTTGCTGTTCTGTCGACTGCAGTCGCTGCACAGATTGGAAGGCGCCATCCATATGGAATCTATCCTGGACCCAGCATTACAGCTTCCTCGAGCTCAGTAAGTCACGTTAAAGCCTCAGAAGGAGTGCCGACTTCTGATCCTGTACAGAGCAGCATGATAGCCTCATCTAGCGAGTACTCGACTTCTGCAAGGATGGCCAACAGCACATCGTCCAGCGTGTCGTTGCCTACTGATACTTCGACTCCTGCTTTCGACACGACTACTTCGTCATCCTTATTGACATCTACTATGTCAGGACCTCCACTCAGCTTCACCACCAACAGCAATGGGACGTTTGTTGCGGCTACTTCAACTACATCGACTGAAGGCAGTAGCTCCGAGACTGCGGCAACAACTACGAGCGCCGCAGTCCCAAGAGAAACAACATGCGTGGCCGTCGCAATCAACAATATCGGAGCTAACGGTGTATGCGGCTGCGACTACGACGTATACACCTGCCTCGAGCGAATGTCCAACCTCAGCGAGTGGAGCATCTCTCAGACAACCAGCTCGTTCAATGACTGCATGCAAGCTTGTGATTCACAGCCGACTTGCTACAGCTTCATCCTCCAGATCAGTAACGGATTGTGCAGGATGTTTGGCGGGATGCTGAATGGCGGGGATGGCACAGTGTCTGCAGCAGACTTTATCTCGGGAGAAGTTGTCAAGGGCACTTGCACTGGACACTGCGATGGCTCTTGAAAGAGGCAGCGATATTGACTTTTCTTGGCGACCACGTTCTTGCTGGTTCTTGTTGGAGTTCATTGTGGTTCCTTGATTTTTGCGACAGGATTTAGTTGACGCCTTTTATGATAGTCTACCTTGAAATCTCATGCGCTTGTTCCAAATATGGCTGTCACTCCATGTTTGTGTGTGTGATGTTGCGGTTCACATGCGGGGAAGGGCTGGGTCAGCGCTTGGAGGAGGTTCGTCTGGAGAACAAGAAAACGCCAGCTTTTTGGTGCATCCCCGACCGCGCGTCCCGTGTTGTCTCAGCAGGGAAAATCGATATATGTCGAGGGGTATAGCAGCGGGTCAAGTATGTGAACAGGGGAGCCGTTGAGGATTTCACGGCGGAAGAGTGCGGCTGCGAAACAAGCAATTGCAGCTACATCATTGTTTTGGAGGGCGCCAAGCACAGGACTGCGCAATCGAGCATGCAGGAAACACGATGGCAGGCGGGTTGTGACAGAGAATGCAGAGGTGGGAGACGGTGGCTGGAAGGGTATTCTTGTCGAGCAGTGCAAGGGAAGAAATTGACAAGAAGAGAATTATTGATAAAGAGAAACGCTTGTTCTGTCGTCGTATGTGTGGAAGCCTTGCGGGTCCGCAGCGCGCGCATTGAGATTGACGATTGTCAGGGACATCCGTGCCCGTCCACTTCTTTTCCCTTTGCACTCTTCAATCGCAAACCCCCTCTGTCGTTTCTGTTTTTAGGATCAAGTGTCTGGACGGTCCTTGTCGGCAGCGTGGTCTTTCTCGGACGTCGACGGTGCTCATGCGAAGACGGGCCTCTCTTGCGGGCGCCGACGAAGATGAAGGATTGAAGGTCGACATGCGAAGCAATGTTGAAGAGGTGGATACCGACGACAACAACGACCATCCGCCCACCCAAGAACAACGGGAAGTCTCACGCGAAAAGGAATCCGACGACGACCTGGACTCTCCCCAATCGACCCCTGCGCCTGCCGCCGACACCAAGATGGAGGACTTCTATCGCAAACAGCGCCAACGCGCGAGGCTGCGCAGCCCCTGGTCGTGCTCGCTGGTGACGATGATATGCACCGGTCTATCGCTGCTGCTGTTGGCCACTATCGCCCAGTCTTTCCTCGCCCGCCAACTGGATCCCAAGGGCTGCAACATGTCGTACATGCTCTCGGCCTTTGCCAAATACACAGACTTCGACACAGAGCATACGAGGTTCGCCACAAAGTACTCGCTGTATCTGTACCGCGAGGCTGGCATTGATCAGGACACGCGCGTGCGTATGAACGACCAACACGTCATACAAGAGACTGACACTCCACACAGGNTCAAAGGCATTCCCGTGCTGTTCATTCCCGGCAACGCAGGTAGCTACAAGCAAGTCCGCTCTCTGGCCGCCGAAGCCGCCAATTACTATCACGACGTCCTGCAACACGATCCACAAGCCCAGCAGGACGGCAAGCGGCCCNTTGACTTCTTCTCGGTCGACTTCAACGAAGATATTACCGCTTTCCATGGCCAGACACTTCTTGATCAGGCCGAATACCTGAATGAAGCCATCGCATACATCCTCGCTCTCTATCACAATCCTCATCGCAGTCTGCGCGATGAATCCCTACCCGACCCTACCTCGGTCATGCTCGTTGGCCATTCAATGGGAGGTATCGTTGCCCGCACAATGTTCACAATGCACAACTACCAACCTAATACCATCAACACAATAATCACTCTATCCGCTCCTCACGCTCGTGCACCCGTCTCCTTTGACCAGGACATTGTCGACACATATCAGAACATCAACGACTACTGGCGTAAGTCATACTCTATGGATCAAAATCCATTGGACCATGTTACTCTGGTATCTATCGTCGGAGGTGGTCTGGATACTGTTGTGCCGTCAGACTACGCTAGTCTGACTTCTCTGGTGCCCGAATCGCATGGTTTCACCGTTTTCACTTCGACAATGCCTCATGTATGGACTGGAATGGATCATCTGGCCATCATATGGTGCGATCAGCTCCGCAAAGCAGTCATCAAGGCTTTGTTTGATGTCGCTGATGTAAAACAACCTACACAAACGATACCGCGCGAGGAGCGCATGCGCCACTTCCGAAAACGCTTCTTGACTGGCCTGGAATCCACCGTGCAGAAAGAGCTACCAAATCAAGAAGCAAAAATGCTTCTCTCACTCGATGATCAATCTTCGGCCATTCTCACCGAGGGTGAACCCTTGAGTCTTCGTCAGCTGGGTTCCTCTGCAAAGACTGAAGCTCATGTTTTGCCTGTACCATCTCTGGTGCAGAATGATGCTCGGAGACTTTCCGTCCTGACAAATCAGCGAATTGATGAACACGGTCCTGTCCAGGTCTTCCTGTGTTCCGCTCACGTTCCTCAAGCTGGCGCTGGTGGTAATGCTTATGCCATCAATCTGGACCTTTCTGGTGGCTCCTCAGGCTTCATGCGTTTGTCTTGCAAGGACTCTGCAGTCGATGCTATTGCTCTGCCTGCTTCGAACTCGGGATCAAACTTTGCTTTTGATGACGTCGCACCCTTTGCATACGTCGACTATGCGCTACAGGACCTGGCCGAGTATCAATTTGTTGCTGTCATTGACAAGGCGAGCGAACTCACCGATGGATGGGTTGTAGCTGAATTCAGCGATGCCGTCAAATCGACTGTCACTGTCAAGAGATCGTTGCGCAGTCTGATGCTGAGTGGCATGCATCGTGTCTTGCCAGCTACACGCGCCATGGTCAACGAAATTCGCGTTCCTCGTGTGCACTCGAGTTTACTGGCCTACACCTTGCGTGTTCACCAGAAGTGCAATACTGAGCCTCTTTTCCAGCCTCTGCTGAGGCAGTACATCTCTGAACCGTACGAGTCGAAATTCTTCCCGAACGTTCGCGGGCATGTCAACATCAATTTGCATGGCGTCTCGCCTTTTGTGCCTCCTCCGGCGAATGCGGCACACACCAAAGATGGACTCTCGCTACAGATTTGGTCGGATCCAACCTGCAATGCAGAGATGAGTGTGTCCTTGGATATCGACTTCCTCGGAAGCTTCGGCAAACTCTATATGCGTTACAGGACTGTTTTTGCTGCTTTTCCTCTGGTCGTTGTGACGCTGGTGCTGCGAAAGCAGTTCAAAATCTACGATGCTACTGGTTTGTTCATTTCATCTACCGTGATGGTAAGATTTTGCTAACAATTTGTCANNGGCATTTTCATGAGCTTTACAGAAGGCATGGATCAATGTATTCGTACATCTCTGCCTGTTCTCTTCATTGCATTGTCATTCTTGTCGCTCGCCTTTGCCAATCATGCCACTACTTCTGCTGCAGAAGAGATTCTCGGACGCCAGCATGGAGCTACAGAATCGTTCTTGGCGTTTACCAAAAATGATCTCTTGCTTGGCTCTAATGATCCTTTCTTCTTCTGGCTGGTGCCACTGTTTGGAGTCATCAGTGTCGGCGTCTGCATTGTGCTAAATTACATCACATTGGCACTGACACAGGTGTTTGCTTTCTGTTATGCCAAAGTCAGGAATGTGCGGTTGAGAAATGACGACGGAAGGTTAGTTGAACGTGTTGATGGATGCTGCCTTGAAACGATCGCTGACTCTGTGTGGAACAGACGAACAACAACAGCATTTGCAGTCACTAGCCCTCTGCAGCGCGTCATCACAACCAGCATCTTGCTCATCATGGTTGCGACCATCATACCCTACCAATTCGCGTACCTAGTCCTCTGCCTCGTGCAACTCGCAACCTCTGTCCGCGCGTTGCGACTGGCACAAGAAACAGTAAGCACATGATTCTGGACCATCAAGAAGCACATGGCATGCTAACACGAACAACCAGNNCGCTCGGGCAACAACTACAACTTCTACAACTACGTACACAGCATGCTAATACTCATGCTCTGGATCCTACCCATCAACTTGCCAGTCCTCGTCGTCTGGATCCACAATCTCGCCGTCCACTGGCTGACACCCTTTTCCTCGCACCACAACATCCTCTCCATCATGCCCTACATCTTGATTGTCGAAACCATGAGTACTGGCCACATCATCCCTCGACTACAGTCTCCATGGCGCTTAGTCAACAACATCATGTTGTTCTGTCTAGGGCTGTATGCAGCGGTATATGGCGTTAGTTATGCGTATGTGCTGCATCATTTGGTTAATTGTTGGTGTGCTTGGTTGGTAATTGTGCATTTTGCGCCGGTGATTGTGCGGAGAGGTGCGCTTGGGGAACAGCAGAGAGGAGGAGGCAGTTCGCCGCCGACGCCGCCGGGGGATGGGCATGTCAAGAAGATTCCTTGAAAGCACCAAGCGAATGAGTGTTTGTATATAGACGTGTTTTTCTCCTCGCTAGCGCTTCGTTTAGTTTGGGCATTGTAATGATTAATATTTCTTCCTTCTCTTTTGGTGCTTCCTTTTTCTTCAGCGCGATCGCTCCTTCTTATTGAGCTCGATGGAATCTCTCTTGACTTCTTGCATTCGGTAGTTTCTTCTTCTTGTGTATGAGCATTCCTGCTTCTTGTGTATCACTGCTGCTTTCCCTCGAGCTCGGTCACACTCTCCTGCTCTCCATCGTTTCTGCCTTGCTCCTTAGTACCTTCCATTTGCAACCCTTAATCATTGATGCGGAAAACCCCGCATGTGAGGTCCGTAGTTGCAGTCTAGAATAGTCGCTGTTTAGGCTGGACAAAATTAAGTCTCATCAGAAATCCTGCAGCTTCCAACGGCTTTTTCAGCTCGTCGGCTGCTTCCAATGGCGTGTTGGCTAACCTTTTCGGCTATAGAGTTAGCTGCCGGACAACGCTTCCACTCCGTATCGTGAAGACTTTGAGAAAACCTTCGAGTGCTAGATTGTGTGGGAACGCGGCTTCGAAGATCTTAGGAAGAAAGCTATGGTGAGTCAATTGCGATGCTACAATTCTGATCATTTCAGGATTGCTTCGATGACTTAGGTACTCTTCTCCTATGCGACTCTTCTGGACTGTGTACTTGGAGGCGCTTATACAGTCGTTTTCTTTCTCCGCACTAAACGGTGTGAAGAAGGGCCTATAGGTAAGCCACAACACTTCGGAGCAGTCGAACCGATCATGTCTCATCTCATCACTTCGGAGCAGCCGAGTTAACAAAGTCTCATCTCATCGTTTGTTCAGCTGCTATGCTAAGTCGATAAGTCAGATGCGCTCCCAAATCCCGGGCGCAACAGAGATGCATACTTAAGGACTGCATTTCTGATGGGCAGGAGCCAGCCTCATCTTGTTGCTTCCCTGTTCGAATTCTGACAAGATGGTGTCCCTCCAATTCTTCCTTGCTTTAAGCTCTCTTTTCGTCATCGTCCGCTGTGCAGTCATTACGCAACCCTCCACAGAATGCAAGATACCAACCTTGGACGGTGCACTTGTTGAAGGACAAGTCACACATCCTCTTTACTTTTGTACATGGTATCTCGAAGAGTATGTCTAATTCGACAATTTTGATTTGTAGTTATAAGACTAATTTCAAAGCAGAACCCGGACAAGATCACCTGTACTGGGCCTTAACCCCGATAAATTGACCAGTGCTTGTGAGCGCATTAGCAGATGCGCGACAGCACAAAACCGCAGCGCAGCGAAAGCCGCCATCAAGAAGGCATCTCAAAGCACAACTCCCGTTGGCTCTCAATGTCCTGTCAGTTCTGCGAACTTCCTCACCAAGGAATACATATACACCTCTGCATTCTGCACTTTCTTCAATGCCTAGTATGTCGGAACCTGTCATTGTTTTAAATCGTAACTGACTTTAGACTCAAAGCCCAAGAATCACATCTCCCATTCCAAATCAAAACACTAAAGCAGTGTTCCATGCTTGCGACTGTATCCTTGGCAAGGTCTTTGCGTCTTCTACTTTGACCACGTCGAAGAAGACCAGCACTATCAAGACGTTGATTTCAACCAACAAGTCGAGTGTCAAAGTCTCTACCACTTCAACACGTAAGCCTCCAGCTTCGACTTCGTCGCTCAAGTCGACGAGCTATAAGCCTTCAGCATCAACGCAAAAGTCAAGCTCTTCCAAGAGCTCGTCAGCACTGAAATCGAGCAACACTAGCAAGATCTCATCCTCGACACCCTCATCGAGTACTGCTCTCAAGACTTCGACTTCACCAGCGAGATCAAGCTCTTCGAAGACCCCACCTACACAAGTGTCAATGAGCACCAGGGCTTCTGGGTCAAGTTCAACGCCTCCTGCAAGCTCAAGCAAATTCTCTACATCGACGTTGGCTTCGAGCTCAACTTCATCGGCTGCAAAATTTAGTAAATCCTCGTCTACGACATTCAAAACAAGCTTGTTCTCCAGGTCGACTTCCACATTGAGCACGAGCTCCTCCTTCAGGTCGTTCTCCACATCATCGTCATCATCAACATCCCAGACATATCGCGCCATAGTATCATCTTCACCGTCGTCTTCGGTCTCGACCTCCGTCCCCACCTCGAGTGTTTCTACCAGTACCACCTCGGCTAGCATTATAGACGCCTATGACGTGATCACCTCTCGAGGCTACCAGTCTTTCTGTTCCATCTATCTCGGCTTCAGCACTCCATACACAACAGTCACGGCAACTCAGACTGATACGGAAACCACCATCCAAACAGATATGGCAACAGAATTCGGCACTTCTACCTACATCAGCATCTATACAGAGACCGACATGTCCACTATCACTGAACTTACTACAGTCACGACAGCTAGTCCAACATCAGTCGCTGTACTAAGCAAACGAACCGTTCCTGCCATCCCAACGCCCTTGGCTGGGTACTCTGACAGCGGCTTGAGTTCGGCTTGTAGCAAGGCAGCTACCCCTCCGGAGACTGTCACCGTATCATCTGCGACCACAACCACGACTCTTCTGACATCTGTCACGAACATGACAACAACCACTGTTTTACTCACTACGGACGTAACATCAACAACGGAGCAATATCTAACCACAGTCACGTCGACGTCGACTTCCTACTTGCCTTCCCGACCTACTCAAGTGGTTGTGAACCCCTCTTTTGAGATTGGAGGTGTCAATGCGGGCGACCAATTATCACCATGGATATACTCTGCAAATGCTCTCTCTCAGGACAACGCATACAATTATTACAAGAGTTATGACGGCGACTGGTTCACGTAAGTCATAGAGTCTGATCTAATCACGCAAGAAGGACCTCAAACAACTGACAAAACTGAAAGGGTTCTTTACCGGGATAGCGGGAGTCTACTACCCTCTCTCAATCGCTAGTTGATCTTGTACCCGGCGCCACCTACAGATTGCACTACTACTACCAGGTCTTTTATACTCGTCATGTGCCTGGAGCCAACATGCTAACGGTTACTATTGGCGGTCAAGTCGTGGACACTTATACCTACGCTTATTCTTTACTCTCGACTAGGTATGTATCGAGGATTGCTACATATGTTGCGACAGCGGAGTCGGCGACTCTGAGCTTTACGCTTGATGGACAGTATTCAAGTGACGTTGCTTTGGATGCCATCACTTTGACTATTGTGGAATAGAGATAGTCTATGGTGCATTAATGTCTACTTTGTACCCGGACATCGTTTGCTTTCAGTCGACTTCCCTGAGCATTCGACATGCATTGTTCCGGACGGTGCATGAGATCAGTGCCAGAAGTACCCAGAGATCGATTAGTTTTCGTCCACTATGTGCAGGTGGTCGAAGGGAACCCGATAGGTATGCGGTAGGCTGCAGTGTCGAAAATCGACGACGATCGTACTTGCCATCTCGTGTCAGCTGCAGCCTTCCATTGAGTACACGGACAAAAGCAGAAGGCACCAACCCGTCGCATCGTCTCGGCATCACCACAAAAAACCAGAAAGAACCCCCAACCCACCTCTTCTCGCCGCAGGAACCCGACACCTTCGCACCTACCACAACACCACCTACCACATTTCATCATCACAACTCACGACATTATGTGCACCAGAAGAGTCAGCCGCTACACTGCTTGCCCCCACCACCACAACAAAGCCCTGGAAGAAAAGCTGTGCATCAAGAAGGGTGTTGTTGCTCCTTGTCCTTCGTGGGAGTGGTTGATCATCAAAGAACTTCCTACTGCTGACCCTTGTCCTTGTGACCACTGCTTGGCTGCTGAGGAGCGTCGTCTGGAGTTGGAAAGTCCTGCTATCAAAGCCAAGGTCAAGGACATCTCTCAGTGATCGCGTCAAGGTGAGTCTAGATCTTCGTGTGTTTTACCAATTGACGATGCTGACGATCGTAGCGTGGAAATGGCTGCTGAAGATGTCATCGAAAGTACGAAATGGGTCAAAAACACAGCATGATCCAAAAAGATGACCTCAAGTTGAAAAGGTCATGAGCAAAAGTGATGGGATTCTGGCTGGGTGCATTCTTTAGCTCGTCAAAATGGCCATAATCACATCTCCATCTCATCAGGGTTGTAGCCCTTCTTCTTTCCCTCTTCCAACTTCTTCTTCGTCTTTTGTTTCGAATCTTCAATCCACGCATCGTAAGAGCCATCTGCAATCTTTGCAGCAGTAACACCCTTCATCAACTCACCTACGAAACCCACAAAGTTGTGTCTGCGAAGTGCATTCTCCCATTGCCATGCACGACGCTTCTCCTCCTCGCGGTATACCATGTCTTCATCTCCGAATTCTCTTGCTTTGACGCGTAGGTCTTGACACATGGCCAGTAGGTTGAAGCGGATCTCGTTGGAAGGATATCTTTCGATGCGGCGTTGGAGGACAGGAATGACCTTCTCTGCGAAGTCTGTGGGTGCACATGGGCCGTGGTTGATGGGAGCTTCTTGGAGACCGTCAAGTTCATAGAGCTTGCCGTTTATGCTAGTGTATGCGATAAAGTGGAAGAGGTCGTCGTCTTGGGTGGCCATGCGGGTCTCGTCTGATACGAAGGGCGAGCTGCGGGCAAAGGAGTTGTGAGTGTCGCGGATAAGGTCGCTGTTGCTGAGAGCTTCGCCACGGATCNNTGTGACTGTCAGCTTGGCCGTGACTACACTTTATTACTGGAGATGACATACGTCTGGTGGGAAGGCGGCGGTAAAGTCCTTAAAGTCTGTCAAATGAGGACCCAGTTCAACACCATCTGCATTGTCCTTGTTCATCAAGACACTGAGTAGAGCTTGTGTACCGCAGGCATTCTGGATCGTCTGAGCAGCGAACCACACCTTGCCCTTGCCATCACCTCCACTGCCAGCATCGTCCAGGTTGTATGTTGCTTCAAAGTCGAATTGACCGTCTAGCGGACCATCTGATTTGCGAGCTTCGTTGTTGTATTTGAAGAGAAAGATGACTCCCAACGGTGATAGCTGGCCCAGTGATTGTGCGTCTAGTGAGATGAGCTCCTCGAATTGAACGTTCTTGACTCCGAGATTCTCTAGCAGATATGTGAAGACGCCNCTGATAATTTGTCAGTATGCGCAGAATGGCGATCTATGAAGCATCGCACTGACAGCGTCTGACTCGATGGTATTCCAGCCTCCCGACATGTTTGCAGAGTTCGAAAAGTGACGTTCGAGTTGTGAAGCTCGTCGCCGCGCAAACATTCATGCGTCATGAGCAGCACAGCTTCTGCCAAGCCAGTTCGGTGATCGGCGTTTCGGCTGCAACAACCTCCGCTCCGCCAGCCCATACCGTTTTTGCAAAAGGAGGTGCCCTAAGGAAATTTTTCATTTGCCTAGCAAAAACTTGTACTGCACAGTTGTCACACGAGCAAAACATGGAGTAGCTGGGAATCGAACCCAGAACCTTCTCCACTCAGTAATGCTCAATGAGCAATGCTAAGAAGATGTCATACCACTAGACCACAACCCCAATTGATGTAGGGATGATATTTGTCAAGTTTCAAGAATCCTAGTGCCCCCACCAGTCCACGGTGTAGCAATGCATCTCAACAACTCGAACTGCTGTCCAGAGAGCAGGAAAAAGCCCAACATAATTCTGAGATTGAAAGCTCTAAAGCTTGCTAGCTTCTGTACCTTTCTCGAGCTCTATCACAAGCTTGCCAAACTGACTTCCGTTCTTGATGTCCTCGAACAAACCATTGATGGCCTCGAGATTGTCAATGCCCGTGACCGTTCTTGAGACGACGGGTCGGATGTTCTTGGACGACACGAAGCTGACCATATCGGCAAACTCTTTTCGGGAACCCATGGTAGAGCCACGAAGATCAATGTTCTTGAGGACGGCGGCCATCGTGAAGGGCATTTTCGGACCTGTTGTCATGCCATACGAGACAATAACACCGCCGGGCNNTGCAAAACGTCAGTCATAGCAAATGTGTATGATCTGAAGAAGACTCACCTTCAAAATCTTGAAAGTCTTGCCGACGATATCACCACCAGCACCGTCAATGACAGTGTCAAGGAACTTTCTATCCTTTGGCAATTGCTCCAACAACTTCTTCTCCCAATCCTCTTCTTTGTATATGGCGCCTCCTGCTGCACCTAGCTTCTTTGCCTTGTCCAGCTTTTCTTGACTTCCACTCGTCACAAAGACATTTGCACCAGCCGCAGTTGCAAACAGCAATGCCATGAGTGCCACACCACCTCCAATGCCAGTGATGAGCACATTGCGACCGGGTTTGCAGTTGCCGCTTTTTGTGACAGTCGCTCTCCACGCAGTCAGGCCTGTAAGAGGCAGTGCCGCAGCTTCAGCATTCGAGAGATGCTTGGGTGCCTCCTCCAGCTCAGAGGCGTCAATGACTAAACTCTCAGTCAAGGTGCCGAGAGGATTGAGCTTTGTTCCTCCGAGAATAGCATATCCCTTGGGGTCTTCAGGACCTTCGGGGTCATCTTTCCATCCAGTGCCTGGGTTGAGGATGACGCGCTTGTTCATCCATTTCTTTGCTTCAGGAGACGACCCAGTCGAGGTCACGATGCCAGTACCGTCTGCAAGTAGTGGTACGCCGAATGTTGTGCCTGGGTATAAGTGCTGGCGAATGAAGTGGTCTCGATGGTTCAATGCTGCGGCGGTGATCTTGACGACTACTTGATTGTCCTTGGGCGTGCTTTCGGGGACATTGATCTTCTCTAGAGGATAGTAAACTTGGCCAGGCTTGCCGTCCACTTTGCGGATTGAGATTGCTGCAGGCATTTTGCTAAGGAGTGTATATCACGAATGGGCAGGTTCAGCAAGCGACACTGCTTGACTTATCTTGGAGATGTGGTTCCAAATCAACACCAAGAGGACTCCGTTCATGCGGTTATTGCGGGGCGGAAGTGTCAAGGTGGGGAGAGCTTGAGAGGGCCAAGCTGAGCCGAGGCTCTTTGAACATGCTGACTCAGCTTTGTGCGACTTCACGTCCTGCCTTGGGAGGCTTCATTGTTTCCAGAGATGATACCCGGCCAACACAATGGAATCAGTATTTCATTGTCATATCTGAACATTCCAAAAATCAGGCATGACCATGAACCCGTTCGTTCTGGCGGCAAATATTCCTGCCATCTTTCACACTGAGATGCTGCCTCGCTCGAACTTGTTCTCATCGACGTGATATCCTCAATAATGCCAACAAGATCCCCTCAATCAATACGAAGATACATGGCGTCTGCGATGTTCTTCTCCAAGGTCTCCTGGCGCATCTCTGCTAGACGTCTGTTCCATCTCACACAGTCTGGATGCTCGCAAGGGATGTTGGTACCTCCAGAGAATTCCAACTTTTCGTATTGCCACCCGTTTGCTGGACAAGCTACGACTGTGCGTCTGGCGTTTCGGCAGTAGTATTTGAAGACAGGTTCATGGCGACACTGGTACCAGACCTTACGCTGTTCTCGGCACATATTGATGTTTGGTCTTGAATTGTTTCTATTTCGGGTGTGAGTAAGCGCAAGGACAGGAACTGCTGGAGATCTTACCTGGATGACTTTGTGGGTTCTCTTTGGGATTTTCGGACCACTCACAAGAGTACTGCCTTCTTGGTTCGAGCAATGAAGAAGCATTTTATACTGTCATCGCCCACGGGTATAGCGGATTGTATACTGCTTACAGAAGCCTGCATCGCCCCTGCCCCAGGTCGTGGGGTTCTGTACCACAACCATTACGCTTTGTGGTACAGTTCAAAAGCGGGTGCCTCTGGACACTAGCCCTGTCTGCTGACAGCAGCCTTTGCGAAACAACACCTTCGTTCCAGCTAAATGACACTCATCCACCACTTGGTATCGTTCCGAACTTGCTGACAAGCAATGGCTACCATCAACCCGGTATGAGATTCTGGTGCAGGATTTCTCCCAGATGTCGGACCGAAGTCTCCAAAATCCCTTCCAATAGGTCACATGAAAGATGACCTGTCACTTTTTTGACTGCTCGATCGATCCGCAAGTCAGCATCTGTAGCCCCCTTGCTGCTGAGCACTCTCAACAGCTCGCTGCTTCTCGCTTTGTTCAACTCACTCCGCTTTGCTTTATGCGACCTTGGTTATACACCCCACAAGGATCGCACATCCTTTCGCATGCCCTCTGCTGATTTGTCGACCCTCACCTTGGCTGCACATTGAGGACATTCCTTTGTCTTTGACGGCGATTGTACCACACGTCAGTATCTTTCTCCGCATGATTGGCCCCTCTCGCTAGCACCATCGCATTGGTTGAATGTGTGGGACCCGGTATGTCCGTATTCTGGTCATGTTGGTTGGTGATAATGACACATTCTCGTTGCTTGTCTGGTCTTTGGGTGAGGAAATGCCACTCAAACTCTGGCGCGCACAGCTGGTCTCTTATGCTCAAGGATTGCTTCAGTCTGCCATCTATCCTGCTGCAAAGTCTCCTACCCATCCGGCTGTATGAGCTCATTGAGATGATACCATGGGCTGCTACAAGACTCTGATCGTCCAGATCAATGGTACGTGGTTGATTCAGAAGCACAACTCTTCGTTGTAGGGATGTCGATTTTATCATGCTTGAAAGCCTCTATCTTATGGTCGATTATCTGTCATCCAATTGTTTGGCTGTAAACAATAGTGCTGGAGGTTTACAAAACGTCTACGGGAAGTCGTTGATTGATCAGACGAAGACATTCGCTCTTGAAGGTCCTTGCAGGCGCTCTGGCAAGCACGAAGCGAGTGGTTCTCATAGTTGGTGCGCCTCTTGGTAAGATTCCAAGACCAAAGTACGACAAAGCCCTCAGTATTGCTGCTGTTAGGAAGAGACACTTGGCGAACGGCTTTTCAACGACCCCCTGCTCTTTTTGAGTGGTGCAGGTCGCTGAGCTGGAGTTCACAGAACTGTAAGTCAAGCACATGGATCAGTCTTTCCAATCGGATGGTACGGATCGGGACCAAATTTATCAACAGCATCCAGGGAATCAGGAAGCCGAGGATTTCGTTCGCGTCGGTTGATCATCCCTCTGACCAAAGTCAGAGCAAGCGATCCACTAGTTTACAACGTAACAACTCGCTTGAAATACTGCTCAGCAAAGGCAAAGAACATGTCATAGCTGGCCGTCAGCATGTGGAAAGCGGTTGACTTCCACTTCAATCTTTATATATTGCGTAGTCTTGACCATCCTCAACCAGAGACAGTGAACCAATCGGACTCTCCCATGTGACCGCCTGCTGCGGTCGCGCAGGTCACTTAGTGCGAGGGAAAGGTAATTCAGCTATCGCATCTTTTTTTCGTCAAGTCCTTTTGTTCGAACCGTCACGTCGTCCCTTTGGTTTGTTTTTTCGTCTTGGGCCCAATATGAATTTCTCACTATCTCTAATGCAGGGTCTAGCTCCAGTCTTGACTTGACACTCACGCTGGAAAAGCAGATTTATCTGCGTCTGTCACTGCTTTTAACCTGTTATGACATCGAGGGACGCGTGGAATATCGTCACGAATCACAACAGCGTTCGGTGGAAGCCGAATGTTTGTCAGCTTTTCGGTGACCTATCTTGCAAATGACCAGGTAACAGTATGTCTTGTCCATCACTGATCTGATCACTCGAAAAAGATTCGTGGTTCACTTCTCCGGCGTGACCAGTCTCGGCTCTCGCTCTCACTTCACCATCAATCTCAACTAAACGGTCCTCCCCTCATTACGCGCGCGGTTTCACCAGTTTTCCATCTACAACACTCACAGGTAGCACCGCTGCATCTCACATACGACTCATCCGCACAATCATTCACCATGGACGACGGCCATCAGAACGTGATCAGAGGTCCGCCAGTTCAGCGCGCACCAGATGAGCGCAAGCCTGATCGCGCCGCTCTTGACGCTGGACTCGAAGCAGAGAGGGAAGCTTCTCGTTTGCTTCATTGGTACGATCCTACCATCTACATGAGAGCTGTTGTTGGAGCGACACTGAGCGCCAACCTTGTCAAGGAGTCTTTCGACAATAGCATTGCGCACAGTATCGGCGGCGCAGCACCTGATGTGAATCCTCAAGAATTTCATGTTTGTGCTCCCCACCTATACGTTGATGCCATCGCCATTGCGACAGTGGATGGTGTTCTCAGCAAAGAGTTCTTCGACCAACTTATTGCACGAGTTGAGTACCGCGTTGAGCCTCTTGGACATCGCCCCTTGTGATCCGTCAATCCACAGAGCGTCGGGACTTCGACTCTCCATGTACTCCATCGTCTCAGGTCCCTCATACTCGCCACCCTCGCGACCATCAGGCCCGTTATCCTGCTCAATCTCGAGCAGCTCAAGCCCCCTACTCGGCCCTCCCCACAATGAATTCATCAATGACCACTCTTCTCGTCTCCAGACTCCTCAAAGACAGCAGCCCGCCCATCCTGCCGCTACTCAGATCGACCCACAGAGCGTCGATCAATCTTTCGCCCAAGGTCGTTCTAGATACGCGAGCCCGCTTCCTGAGCAGAGTGTCGTTTGGAATGAACTCTACCGAGGTCGAAAGCCACGCCCTGGTAGAAGCCGCAGCCCGGCTATCTGCGAGCAGCGCGCATTGAGAGATCGCTAGGGTCGAGACCGCACGACGAGAGATTCAAGGCAGCTGAGTCCAGCTGAGACTGTCCAATCAAGACTTGACATACTGCACGAGGCTCCCGAGAGTCAGGACCGTAGCCTCAGCAGCACTGGCGATCATGAGTCCGATGACCACCGCGCTCCTGCTCCTCTCCCTTCCGCCGAAGCCCCTCGAGTACCTGAGGCTGCTCCTTCTCACCATCTTCTTAATTCGACATCTGCAACACAGAGCAACATCACCCCTAGAGAGCCCACTCCCCGAGAGACGTCAGCTACACAGTTGACAGTCACATACCTGAATCTGTTCCATACCCCAGCCATCCCCCAGAGCCCAAGACCTTGCCTCAGGGCCAGCATAGTCACAGTAATTGTGCTTCTGATCACGTTCACGACAGAAGTCAAGCCAGCAGTAACACAGACAATCTGCGCTCATCAACACATGCGCCTCCTCGACCCCTTCTTCCTTCAGCAATCGAGCCACTGCAGGAGAAGAACCAAGATGCGGTCTGCGTTGAATGCTGGGGCAGAGGTCTTGAGTGTGATTCGAAAGCGGTTTGTGGCGAATGTGCCAAGCGGGCCAGACCTTGTTCCTATGTCAAATGCCCACTCAGAAGCTGTCCCAAAGACATCATATGCCCAGCTTATCATTCTTAGAGAGGTGAAGAGAGCGTTCGCGTTGTGGGCAGCTTCATGCATCTGTCGGCTATGATGAGACTGGATCCTTCATCTTCACCACGCTACAACATGAGCAAAATCCGAGATGTGTTTGACAGACCTGGTTCTGCCGAGGAAATCTACCACCGGGTCGTAAATAAAATCAAGGAGGAGGAGCGCAGAGGCCAGAGGATTGCTACCGCGTTTGTCAAGAAGCTTGTCGTGAAGCGTGGCACTGCTAGTCCTTTGGACGAAAAGGCACTGATGCCAAAGATCAACTTGATTGTCAGGTTCCTTGTTGAGACAAAGTAAGCTGGCTAGCGATATGTCTTCCCTCTTGCTAACATCGCGTCACAGGAAGCCTAGGTACCAGGAGCTGTACAAGCGTGAGCAGAGAACACTCAGGCTTGGTCCTACTTCACGATAGTGAGTTTGCAATTGGAAGGTCTCGGTTTAGATGGGCAAGACTTGCATTCTCGGCCTTTTGTGCTCTGCACGGACTGTCTACATAGTCTAACGCTTCTTAGAGACGGGAGGTCGTTTGGAGATGTATGCGGGCATAAAACAGGGTCATCAAGCGAGGTTGTCAGGCTGCAGTAAGTTTTGCGTCTGGTCGTCGCATTGAGAATGTTAAGTTGTGGTTGTCTGTGATAAGCCTCTGATCTTTTACTTCTGTGTCTCTGAGCATCTCCTTCCCTCCTACTGTTCCTCTCGAGATCGTTCGCATAGCTCTCATGGCGCTCAAAGGAGATATGGCGTGTGTTCTAGCCCCATTCTTCGATTGTTTGCTTGACCTCATGGTTGCTGGTCTGGAGTCGTCAAAGCTACTATCAGTTCAGTCAGCTGGCACAGCCATGATGGACAGCACAACGTAAAAACCAGTCCGGACGACGTCACTCTCTTGTCGATGAGGTGAGCAATCTGATCCATACGCTCTTGATGTTGTGCTGTGAGCAGCTGGATGACTTCTTGATTGTTTTCCAGAGTGGGTTGGCTAGTTCTCATCTGGAGTTCGCGATACAGCTCTCTAGCGACTGTGGCATTGATGGCAGCAGCATCCACGCACCGTCCAGTTCTGAGAGCAGAATTCTACCCTTTCTGGCGAGTTGGACTTGTTCGATGACCAGATGATGCATTTTGGAGGCATCTGAGAGCAAGCGGTTTCTGACCTCGAGAAGATCTTGGGTTGTTGGATCGTGAGTGTCCCAGAAACTGGTGA